ACACACTATCCCCACGACGCCACAAGAATACCCGACGTGCTCGACATTGCCCTCTACAAGGGACTGGACAGCCAACTGACGCAGGAAGTCCTCTCAGAGGACGTCCAATCCGACCACCTTCCCGTGTGCATGGATATCCTGATGACCCCGGTGCTCCTGACGCCGCAGGCCCCGCGCCGCCGGACGGATTGGGGGAAATTCACGGACTTCATGCAGGACAACACGCCAACGAGGACAATTTTAACCTCCGCCGACGTCGAACAGCTTGCGGGAGACCTGTCAGTCTCCATACAGGCCGCCATGCAAAACGCATCCCAGCCGGGAAAGGTAGCGAAAACAACTAATACCATCCCGGCTGCAATAAAGAGAAAGCTCGCCGTTAAGCGCCGACTGCGCAGAGACTGGCAGGCCACCAGATGCCCCACCACCAAAACGAGGTTAAACAAGCTTGCAGAAGAAATAAAGCGTGACATCGAGTCCCATAAAAAGGAGAGTTGGGAAAGATACGTAGAGGAAGCCGGTGACGACTGGAACAGCATTCATCGCCTGTGTCGCCGGCTAACAAATTCCCACCCCCCAGTCCGACCCCTACTGGCAAACGACGGAACACCGAGGTACCGCGCAGTAGACCGAGCGGAGATTCACGCGGATCACCTAGAGCGCCAGTTCCAGCTCAATCCATCCTCAAATAGTGATCATGTTGCACGGATAGACAACTTCGTGAAGGAGTACCTATCATCGCCACTATCACCTCACGAAGATCCGATTGTCTTTACACCGGGACAAGTGCAGCGTGAAATCAGAAAGACGAAGCCTCGGAAAGCCCCCGGCAGCGACAACATCCCAAATACGGCGCTGCGTCACCTGCCGCCGCGCACTATAGCGGCACTGACGCGCCTGTACAATGGAATAGTACGCACAGGGCATTTCCCAGACCACTGGAAGATAGGCAAAGTCATCACGCTGCCTAAGCCCGGTAAGAACGTACTGAAACCGGAATCGTACCGGCCAGTGACGTTACTGCAACACATGTCAAAGGTGTTTGAGAAACTCCTCCTCAAACATCTACAACCACACTTAAAACCACGCCTGGAGCAGTTTGGATTTAGAGCGGAACACTCCACGACACTGCAACTGACCAGAGTCCTGCACGTCATAACGAGCGCCCACAATAAGCACGAGCACGTTATTGCAGTGTTACTGGACATGGAGAAAGCCTTCGACCGCGTGTGGCACAACGGTCTACTGTATAAAATGGCCACTCAGACCGAAACACCAAGAAGGTTGGTCCGAATAGTGGCCTCATTCCTCCACTCAAGACGCTTCATGGTGACGGTGGAACAAACCTGTTCGGGAGAGCGACCCATCCGCGCGGGTGTACCACAGGGAAGCTGCCTATCGCCTGCGCTCTACGCGCTGTTCACCGACGACATTCCCACTACCCCCGAGTCTCTCCTCGCGCTGTACGCCGACGACGCCGCCTTCATAGTGACATCCATCGGCAAGAAGCACGCAGCGCTGAAAATGCAGCGGCAACTCGACACCCTACCAAAGTGGCTGGACGACTGGAGATTGTCGGTGAATGTGCGCAAAACGCAGGCGATCTACTTCGGACAACGTCACTGCCCTCCCAAATTGCACCTGCGCGACTCCCCGATCGAGTGGTCTACCACCGTCACCTACCTAGGGGTGAACATCGACCGGCGTCTAAGTTTTAACACCCACATCAAGGGGGTCTGCAACAAGACCAGGGTGGCCAGGCACCTCCTTCGCCCAGCGTTGACAGGAAGACTCCCTCTCCAAATAAAGACGGCCATATACAAGACCTACATCCGACCGCGACTTACGTACGCAGCGCCGGCATGGTATGTCTACGCATCTGCGTCGAATAAGAAGAAACTCAGCGCGCAACAACACCTTACACTGCGCACCATCGCCGGCGCGCATAAATACGTAAGGAACGCCACCTTGGAGAGGGACCTAAAGATCCCTCCGCTGAACGAATTCATCGGCAGCCTCGCAGCGAAGATGTTCGCGCGTGCGGACGCATCGGGCTGGGACCACCTAAAGGGAATAGCGCCCCTGCACGCGCGACCTCCGGACCACAAGCCCTACGCACGCGAACTGATAGCTCGCGTGCAAGAAAACCCAGAGGAAGACGTCATGGACACATGAAGACCCCTCCCCTCCCTCTGATGAGGGTTACAATGCCGTCCCGATCATTCAAACGCTGGCAGTTTGCTGGGCCTCCCCCCACGGGGTCTCACCCGGCAGGCGAAGACCGCGCAGAGTGAACGGGGCGGCACGTTAAGAACCAGGTTCACCCCAACGACCCGCTCATATTAATGAGCGGCGGATGGAAACCACCTGAGAGGGGTAAAAAACCCCGGACAGGTTTCCCCGGCTCCCCCTAGGGGAGAGCATGAGAAGAAGACGGACGGACGAGCGGTATGCACTGCACTGCACTGCACTCCCCAACCGATAAGGAAATAGGATACTCTTCAGTACGAAACCGGGAGCTTCAAGAAAGGAATTATAGCGTTTCTCTCCAGCCTGAACCAGCACCCCTACAGTCCACGCTCACCGTGCGGTCAAGCTGCACCGCACAAGATTATATATTGGACACAGTTTATGTAGAAAGTATGCAAGCAGGCTGTATCTGAATTTGGTAGGGTTATACGGCCGTATAACATTTTCTATACACTAGCCTGATATGAATTGACAATTTTGTCACTTCTTCTATGTAATTCCTTGTTCTTAGTAATAAATAAAAATGTGTACAGAGTAATTTATATGAAACGGTACTGTTGCTTACACTGTGGTTTTTTGAAATTATTTAATTCTTTTTATTATTTGTACAACATGGGCGAAACAGTATACTCTGTTATGTCCATGGTACTGCTCATGTCTATAGGCGACGGTTACCACTTTCCATCAGGTGGGCCGTCAGCTTGATTGCCATTCTAAGTTGTATAAAAAAAAACCCTACAAGGTCGAATTCAACGCGGTTTTCCACGGGGTTCTCACTGGGAACTATCTTTCACAAGGTGAGCCAACTGGCCTGCTTTATCCTTCCTTATCATCTCTCGCTGGTGCGCCAACATTTTCATATTTCCATACATTAAACAACTTATGTGTGTGTGTGTGTGTGTGTGTATGTGTGTGTATGTGTACGTACATACGTCAATGTGCATGCACATATGTGTGTATGTGTGTACACACCTACTAATAAGTTGACATTATTTCCGAAATATCCTAAATCCTTACTATATGATGGGGGGGAGCTGTTAGTAGGTCTAACACCCCTATTGCTACCAATATAATCTATCAGGTCGACCTCCATACGGTCCTCGTTGGAAATCAACGTGAATTATCTATCTATATATATACTTATAATAAATCTGTAGAGAGGTCAATTCTGTACATGAAATATATTTCCAAAATAACTATCAGCGGGTGATTAGTGATCGATACTGATGACAAAAATGCAATCAGTAAAATTTTTGTCTGTCTGTCTGTATGTTCGTTATAGAAACAAAAATTACTCGACGGATTTTAACGAAACTTGGTACAATTATTCTCCATACTCCTGGGCAGGTTATAGTATACTTTTCATCACGCTACGATCAATAGGAGCAGAGCAGTGAAGGGAAATGTTGGGAAAACGGGAGAAGTTACTGCATTTTTAAGCTGCCGTCACGTATGCAGCCTTAATGGCCACTGTTTAAAATATAAAAATGTCCACCCGTGCGACGCCGGGACGGGCCGTTAGTTACCTATAAATTTATCACAGTGAACCAACCAACCCGATTTCACCCTCACCTATTATCCCTTACTGGAGCTCCATCAGCGTATACCAATAGCGTAAACAAAATTGCCATTCTATTTTCATTAAAAAAAAAACTACACGATCACCCATCCAAACTACAGCTTCACTTAACGCAACTTAACCTAATAGATCAACATGGGTGGGAAAGGGATTGTTAGTAATGGAGACTGAGAATCCCATTGCTAGCAATATACCCAACCAGGTCGACCTCCTCGCGGTTCCCCCTGAAAACTATCATGGTTAATTCCTGTTGAATTCATCATGACGGGCTAACTGGCCTGTTTTCATTCTCATCTATCACCCTTCACTGGTGCTCCGCCAGCGTATCCCGTTAGCGCAGGCGGGTGTACCATACCATATTCACCCATCAAAACAATAGATCAACACGGTATTTGAATCCAAATACGCTTCAAGCGCTTCAATTAAGCCGAATACAACAATTGATTAATGGAAGCGTATTAGCAGGTATCAAATGTTGAGACCATTATTTTAATTAAAACCCGCCAACATTATGTAAACTCCGTCATTATTATTCATTCGTGGATATAAATTCAATGGGATGCAACATAAGCTGTTATTTTGCTAATTTATTTTAATTAATCGCTATTAACTTTATAAAAAAAAAAAAAAAACACTTTCTTACACTTATATTAGAAAGAAAGAAAGGAAACATTTATTGACAACAACAAAAAGTTACATAAATTATGAATTTAGAAAAAAAAAACTACATTTGTTATTATTAGTTAATATGTAGGTATTAAATAAAAAGGTACATATTTATTTAAACATATATTTTTTTATTAAAAAAAAAACAATTATATGAAACAAGAAAGAGTTTACTGTACTATATTATTTTTAATTTACTTACCCAAAAAAATACATTAATTTATTTATTTAAAATATAATTAATAAATCATTATAATACCACAATAAATAACTATCGATAAATAACTGTTATAAATTTTTTCGCTTTTTTTTTTCATAATTATTAACTGTATTTAAAACGTTATTAAAAATAAACGTGTTAATTTAACCGTTATTCATAACAGCTGCAGCACACATTCATTATGCAAATTAATGGAACACCAACGACCCATAAAAAGGGTGAAGCGACGACCTTTGTGCATTGTATATTCATGGGATCGCAAAAAAACTGCTTGAACATACATACCATCAATACACCGCGCTGTATCCTTAGCATAGATTCGTTATTTCCTCTTATCGTGCAATGTTTGCATTGCTCCGTCCACTAAATTCATTATAACACATTCAGTATTCAACAAGCACGGTTCACAATCAATATTATATACAAAAATTGTATGTCACTGCTAAATGGAACACGTTCTCGTCATTGAATCACTTATAAAATGCACAAGGAAACGGCACAAGTGTAATCGCGCCCAGAGACGATTTCTACTGATTATTTCAAGGGAATGCTTGGATGTATTTATGTATAACATCTCAATTCCGACGGGACGCGGGAAATTGAGCGTTTTAAATAGATTGGTTTCGGTCGAGAATTGCGTGAAGGCGTAAGCGTAGGCGGTTTTCCAGCCCCAACCCCTGTACCTATAGTGATGTTACGGAACGTACTCGATTTTCCTGCTGAATAACTGTTAACGCTTTTCACGAATAACTAACTAGCTTAACTAGTTAAATAACACATTTGTGTCTAACGGCCTCATTGCTAGCGATATACCCTATGAGATAGAATTCCACGCGATTCCTCATAGAAACTAACATGGTTATTTCTTGGAAAAATCATCATGTTGGGCCAATTGACCTGACTTCATTTATACCTAATACCCCTCACTAGTGCCCTGCCAGCGTACACTAATAGCGCAAGTGGGTTTCATTTTCACCTATTAAAAATATCCTTACTACATGGTAGCCCAGGAAAGAAGAAATTATTAGTTACGGCCTCTATGGGGTACAGATCTCCATGTGGTCCCCGCTGATAATTATCATAAAAACTAGATTTTCATATCTAATTAAATTTATCCTTACATTTACAAAAAAAAAACTTTTTTATGCAACTCAGAATGGCAAACAAGCTGACGGCCCACCTAATGGAAAGTGATAACCGTCGCCTATAAACCGTGACCTAGCAGAGTGTACTGTGTCACTATGATACCCTTCATGCATTGCCATTCCTGAGAATTGAGATGTTATGCCTCGTTCTTAGTTTATTCTCAGTTCCTCCTCAAACTCGGCCCGGAATTCCCTGTAAATCTGACCCCACATGAAGTATTGCTGTCACTTATGAGCAGGAGCGCCAAGATACCACCTTGAACCCTTTGACTCAGTGCAACAACGAGTTATGAGAATTGTCGTTAATGCCAGGCTGACAAGCAGTATAAACCCTTTTAAGATTACTTCGGTTCTAAGACTTAACTTAGAAAAGATTTTGCCTCACTCTTGTTCTGTTGCTTGTACAACAGTGGCGTGAATTTACAGGGTACAGAGGAATAACACCTGAGTCCTCAGGAATGGCAACGCATGGGGGGTATCATGGGCGAAACAGTATACTCTGTTATGTCCACGGTACTGCTCATGTCTATAGGCGACGGTTACCACTTTCCATCAGGTGGGCCGTCAGCTTGTTTGCCATTCTAAGTTGTATAAAAAAAAAAAAGACTGTGTTCAGAGGAATTGTTCAATATGATACCCACGGCCACTTTGTACCATCAAACCAGTTCGCCATCGACAGGGAGTTCACCTCCATATCTTTGAGTCTAGATGGTCGCGTACAACGCGGTTTCAGAGATATTTCCTTCCACAAACGCTCAGGTTATGAAATGAGCTCCCCGTCTTTTTCCAAGAGACGGGAGCATTGGGTTCTCCAAAAAAAGGGATAAAGAAATTCCTATAAGGTCAGCAACACGCGCGTAATGTCCCTGGTATTGCAGGCGTTCATAGACTACAGTAACTGCTTTCCATGGTGAGCCGTAGGCTTATACCTTCATCACTACCACTACATAGTATAAAACAAAGTCGCTGACGCTGTCTGTCCGTCCCTATGTATGCTTAAATCTTTAAAAATACGCAACGGATTTTGAAACGGTTTTTTTTAATAGATAGAGTGATTCAAGAGGAAGATTTATATGTATAATACATGTATAATATTGTAGAGAAACATTGATAAATTTAGTGGTTTCTAACGTGATATCGTAAATAAATACACTTTTTTGCGCTTACAATGCAAACGCTGGCTGAACTCTACGAGATAAATCAAAATAATGTACCACAGTATTGTACACCTTTAAAAGGTCAATAAAAAAAGGCCGCGATTATATATATCTATCTCTTAAGGATAACTCACAATAACCATTTTTTATCATTTACGTTTTACAGGAAAAAATGGCTTATTTACGAAGTGATTTTAAGGCATACAACATTAATCCTTATCCAATTAAGTACCTTAAATACATTGTCTATTTAATATAGATCAATATGGCTCTTTACAGCATGTAATTTAAATGAATATTCTCGAAGATATTGAAGTTGCGTCGGTACCAGCCGGAGGGAGGGGGGCTATTTAGTATCAGCATTGTACCCGAACGAAGCCAGGGCGGTACGCTAGTAGTGGTATAAAAACATCTTTAATAATGGAACACGTTTTTAACTTTTTTTATTCTTTCTTCAAAATATTTCATTTCTCAGTATTAGTTAAAAACCGTCGTAAGATTTTATATTCTGTTTAGAAACGGTTACAGTGCACAACGCGTAAGATAGTACAACACTAGGATTTGATGTTGCCAGGTTATAAAATTAAAATTCCGCCAAATTAAATGTTTTGTTTTGATTATGTATAGGTGTATTCTATAGGTACTTATATTTGTGATTAGAATGAACATGCCGAAATTAAACTGCTTACTGATGAAGCTGTTACCGCTTATGACAATTAGGTCAAATTGATGCCAAAGCAGCCATTTTTAAAACGTTTTTGTATAAACAAAAAAAAAAAACTAAATTCTTTTTTCTTTTAAACATATGTATCGTAATGTTATCTTACTAATATAATAAAATTGTAAGTAAACGACGTCTGTATGTAGGAGATTAATTATTATTATTATTTTTTAATTTTTATAAAAATTCTCATCTCCCCTCTTAAGGAGAGGAGATGGCAACTAACCCCCGGCAGAAGCACAGTCGGCCCGGGTTCAGGGCCCCAGGGAGCGAAACCGGCGTACAATGCGGGCAGAATCTAAGAGCACCGCTTTCTGCATCTTTCCCGGGAGTGAGCCGCCTCGGAATCCCAACCGTCTGAGATATTATTATTATTAGCTTCTTTCGGGCTTCTTTTAGACATAAAAGCCTGTAATACTACCTTTTCATGATCTTTTGTGCTTGCCCTTTTCATTTTTTTTTTTTTTTTTAGACTCGACGCTATTTTCTATCACTGATAGGAATTTAAGACGTTCTTTGTAGCGATGTTTTTTATCACCTCAGGATACAGAGTGTGTTTTTCAAAGGAGATATATCGTTTATGTATGAGTGGGCTACAGCGACACATTCAGTGCTGCGGCGTTTCTTCCTCACTGTGACATAATCTGCAAACACTTTTTGGGCATAAACTAAGCATAAAACAGAGTGGCTTACCAGACTGATGATGACAGCTGGAAGAGAGATGGAAGTAGATAATTATTAGATATATCACTGAAGTACCGGGTGAACTTTATGGGAATTTTGACGAATACCAGACAGATATACACTTATTATTACACGGTTTACGAAACACAATAGTTTATGTTGACACATGTGTCTATTCGGTTTTTTTTTTTCACGAGAGAGATGACGGATGATAACAGATGGTAACCCTAGTAACCACTCTTAGACTTTTTACTAGTGCTGTCCAACCTTAATATAAGCCTAGTTGGGTCATGGGTCATTACCAGAGGGAGATTTTGTACAATAGTCGTTTGCTTGGCCACCTATGTCCAATTCGTGTTTCAACCGTGAAGCAGTTGTTTACATGGCTGTGTTTCGTTTTGAAGGGTGGGATATGGCAGTGAATTTACAGGGTACAGAGGTATAACACCTGGGTCTTTAGGAATGGCAACGCATGGGGGGTATCATGGTCGAAACAGTATACTCTGTTATGTCCATGGTACTGCTCATGTCTATAGGCGATGGTTACTACTTTCCATCAAGTGGGCCATCAGCTAGTTTGGCATTCTAAGTAGCATAAAAAAATATGCTTGCTTGGTTTGCAGTGTCCAGTGAGAGCCCTTGTTAATATACGCATATTATTTTTACTTAAAATAATTAATTTCTTAGAGTAATTTTCTGAAACCCTTTTAATCGGGGCTTAAAACATCTCTAAAACCTAATGGCGGTTACCAATCCGCCTGCCAAGTGTGGCAACTACTGGCAAAACCCCCAAGGGGAGGCTTATGTTCAGCTGTGGACAGTTAAAGGCTGATATGATGAAACGGACTACCAGTCTCATTACTAGCAATATACCCTGTCAGGTGGCCCTCCAGGTGGCCTCTCCTGGAAACGTGATTAATTCTGCTAAATAAGCCAAGTGACCTGACTACTCCCTCATTTATCATCTCTCCGTGAAGCCCCGCCAACGCTTTAGCGCAGACGGAATTGCCATTCCGTTATCATCCATAAAAAGACATATATTGCTAGCAATCCAGGTGCTAGTTCTCATTACTAATAATCCTTTCTCCCCCACATAAGCAACAGTTACCACTTTTCATCAAAAAACCATCAGAGGTATTACTTATTTTTTATTCTAAATTGCTTATAAAATAGCAGCTTTTTAGGCTTCTTCAAAATTCAAAAAGTTAACTAGGAGAGAATGTTATATAGCATAAATTCCGCCTTTTGTACCAAACATTATTTGTAATGTCGTCGATAAAGAATAAATAAAAATATAAGAGAAATGGTCGAAAATGATAAAAACTTAAAACATTAATTAACCTATTATGGCCATCCAATGGCCAATCGTCGTATAGATATTATAGAAATAGAATACCAATTTATGTATGACAGATATTTTATCGAAGACGAGAAATTGTGAATCAAGATCCGTATCATTGTTCCAATCATTAAGCCCAATAAGATATCACCCTAAACCAGTAACATAGATAAATTTATCTAGTAATCCAAAATCTGCAACAACAAAAAATATTAAAAATGTATTATTTAATTAAAGAATGTTTAATCTTTTCAAATATTATCAGTTTATTTAAATAAATCCTTTTTTCATTATAAATTACGAGACAGAATCAATTTAATTTGAAACTCCGTAAATTGAAACAATAGATACCTACCAAAAAAAGTTATCAGAAATGACAGCTTGAGAGGTTGCAAATGACAGCTAAATATGTCAGCAGTGTAAAATGTCAATATTCCAGACAAATTATCTTTTTGAAGACTAGGCAGCATGGTCTCCGACCTTAGCCTGTTCCAAACGGAACAAACGTACTAAAAAAAAAAAAAAAAATCAGCTTAACCTCAAAAACAAACATCCAGTCTGTGATCTAATAACAATTATTAATAAATTTCATTTTCCATTAGAAATCTGTTACAGTATTAATCGTCTCATTAATTATAATTTTATCTAAATGCGCTAAAATGAATGTTTCCCGGCATCTTTGCGTATTCCGCCATCACAATGTCAGCAAAAACATCTACAAGAAATTTCGTTCTTCGTCAATTAACTATCAATCTACACAATCTGCACAGCCTCGGGTCGTGGATGAGAAATTCGATTTTGAAGATTTGAAAGTTTTAGAACGTGCCGAGCGAAGGAAAGCTAAGATACGGCCGTTCATGAAAGACATCTTCGTCTCTGTATACAATAAGGATCTACTCGCCTACCCGGAGATTTTGAATAAAGAAGAGTCTGAAGCTTTGGACGCACGCATCGATGTCTTGGACAAGACATTCTCCGATCCGGAAAAAAGTAAAGATGACCGATCCAGAGTACTGAAAGGGACCAGAATGTATGGCGCGCCCGCTCCGTTGACCAATAACGGTTTAGCATCGAATAGTACAGAATTAATTCGTTATTTAGAAATAATATCCACTGATATAAATTTAGGACTGGAAATAAGTGATCATTGGGTTGGTTTAGAGATTTTAAAGAAAGGTTTATTAGATGAGCACTACCAGCAAATAATCACTGATGTGACCAGTGGTGAACATAGCATTGTGCTAGCAATTAAGGAGAAAATTGCTGAACGGATCACACAAGCTGATTTTAGGACAACAGCCGAGTTAGATGGACAAAGTATGTATTAATAATAAATAATTTATTTACATTACTTACAGCACACAAACAACAATACACATAAATGCACAGTGAAAAAAGATAAAAACAAAATGCATAAAATAAGTACCAATTTTTCCCTTCATGCGTGTGCCACAGTAACACAAAATAGTCATAACTCAGCTTATTGCTTTACCCTAAAAAGAGCAAAACACTGATATTGTGCTTTGGCCGAAAGTGAGCCGCGAAATTCCAAAAAAATAATAATAAGAGATCTTACCAGAGGGAGACTAGGTACCCAAACAATCAACTTTTGTATAAACAAAAGTTGATTGCTTGGGTACCTCTGTCCCATTCGTGTTTCAACCATGAAGCAGTTGTGTTTGCATGGCTGTGTTTCAATTTGAAGAGTGGGATATGGCGTGAATTTACTGGGGACAGGAATAACACCTGAGTCCTCAGGAATGGCAACGCATTGGGGGTATCATGGGCGAAACAGTATACTCTGTTATGCCCATAGTACTGCTCATGTCTATAGGTGACGGTTACCACTTTCCATCAGATGGGCCGTCAGTTTGTTTGCCATTCTAAGTTGTATAAAAAAAAATGTAGATAACTTTTTATTTATTATCAGTTTATAATACTAGTAAGGATTCTAATATTTCTTTCAACAGATGTATGGAGGATAACTGGTGAGAAAATTTGCAACAAAACAAATGGATACTTCCTCGTACTGTGCTGTATCGAGGGGTCCAGGCTGAGGGCTTACCTGGTGCATCCCGGAGCAGATGGTGTCAGTTACAAAGATGGAGTTGTTGAGTTCAAAAAAACTACCGGTATATTATTTTTAAAACTGTTTATTTTTTAAATGATGTTTCTATACAGGGAGGAAAGGGACAGATTGGCCAAAATGAAACCAGCTGATTCAAATGAATGCTCTGAATCTGATGACAGATTGTTCTCCCGCCGGTAATGCACTGCACCCGTGTAATTAACGATTCTTAATGTTGACGCCGCGCAATGTATTTGAAATATTACGATCAACACGACGCACGATACCTACAGCGCGTACAGTGCTACAGGTCAATGGCGCTTCTTCGTAGGTAGTGTGCGTGATGATAAAAGTCCAAAGGAACAATATTTTAACATTTTTAATATTTCCAAACGGCATGTATTATGTAATTTTAACATCAAATTTGTGTTTCGTTTTTCTGATTCTGTTTCTGGCTCCGAAATTTCGGAAAACATTTCATAGTAAGCCCTCTGCAGTTTAGCCTTTGATGATATTTTAAGACGGAAGCTGCCACCCATTTTTCAACCACCTTCCCTTAGTCGCCTCTTACGACACCCATGGGAAAAGAGACAATCCACTTTATGCCGAGACCATACGCAATGGTAGTAATCCTGTCGCTATTCTTGAGCACTGAAGCATTTACAGTCAAAATTTGAATTTTTGTATATTTATTTCTTTATAATGGATAAACTCAAAAACTACTCGACAGATTTTAAAAATTCTTTCACCTATACAAAGCTACATTATCAGGGAGTTACATGGGCTATATATTATTTTCCAAAAAAATTAGAGATCCCTATGAAAATTACAAACGACCCAAGGTAACGAACACTCGTCTATTAAATTAAAACCTAATATAAAGTACTATTGCCACGTTGGCCCAGTATAGAATAGACCATTCTCGTCCATTCCCGTGGTTGTTGCAAGAAGCGACAAACGGAACCCAACAGTCGAGGGATGGGCAGCAGCGTCCCTCTTATCCCTTTCAGACCCAAGATATTTTTTCTTTCAGATTAAATATATTTTCGTGTTTTGGAGTCAAGCCATCTTGCACTCACGCACGAGACTACTGCACCAACCTAATCGCTAAAATGATTTCTTATTGGCTGGTTTAGAACCTCACTGTCATGTTATTTCAGCTTCGTGCGTAAAAATGAATTGCGCGCGGTTTTAGAATTTTTTAAAGTTACAACTCACGCCCTTATCGTTCAGGTCTGAAAGGGTTAAAACGTATCCAAGGGCTAACTTCGATTGCCAACTCATCTGACAAGCGTGGCAACTACTGACAATTTTTTTATACCACTAATGTGATAATCAAGCATACGGCCCACCTGATGGTAAGCAGTTACCGTAGCCTATGAAAATCCCCCAATGGAGGTAGGCCTGTTCTGCAGTGGACAGTTAAAGAATAGAAATCATTTATTCAAATAAACTTACATTGAAGCACTTTTGAAAAGTCATTACATTTTTTGTTAATCTACCGCTCGTTCGGAAAGCTGTCTCATCACAAGAAGAACGAGCAAGAAACTTGCGTGTTGCTCTTTTAAATAATTTTATTATTACTTTACATTTTCAAGTTTAATTGTGTGAATACAAACCACCAATTAGCACTAATTCAATTAAATACTCAAAAAGAAAAAAAAAATTGAATACATAACCAACTGGTTAAACAATTAATAAGAGGAAATCAGTCATAGTGATTAGAGCAGACCAGTCCCTACAAGCAGCACCCGTTCACGAGTATGACGGATGAGCCAGCCATCACTGCGCTCGACCATATTTTAGGGAGCCCAATGACCCGGCCCACCACGCCGCCACAAGTCTGGACATTTTAGTGAGCATGACTACTCAAAACACTAGACCACGTCAAAGCTACTCACAATTGCCATCTGATAGTTATAGTATTCACATTTTACATAAGAATGCATGCGGCAATTAATACAAAAAACCGCTACGCTTTCATATTTCTAAAATTAATCAATTAAATCAAGAAAGCAATGAGAAAATAAAATTATAACGTTGTATGCTAATAAACTAATTATTTACTTGATATGTTGTCATCTATGAATTCGTCTATCCTGTAATAGGCTTTCTTACATAAAAATTGTTTAATATAAGATTTGAATTGCCTCTCTGTCAGATTTAATGTAGATTCCGGCAGTTTATTATAAAATCTTATGCAATTACCATAGAATGAATTACTGATTTTATGCAGACGGCATTTAGGTAAAATAAGCTTATTTATATTGCGTAAGTTTCTACTTGTACAGTCTTTGAGTTTTTTAAAACTCTCTAAGTTCTTCCGTGTATACATAATATTTTCATAAATGTATTGTGAAGTAACTGTGAGGATATTTGAGTCTTTAAAGCACTGACGTAATGACTCTCTCGAACCCATACCATAAATAGAACGTATGGCTCTCTTTTGTAAAACAAATATAGTATTTATATCGGCTGCTTTACCCCACAGCAGTATGCCATAAGACATTATGCTATGGAAATAACTAAAATATACAAGTTTAGCCGTTGCCACGTCTGTTAATTGCCTAATTCTTCTAATTGCATATGCAGCAGAACTGAGTCTACTGGCCAATTTTGAAATATGGGGCCCCCATTGTAATTTCGAGTCCACTGTTATACCTAAAAAAACTGTATCATTAACAAATTTTACTATTTCATCATTAAGCAATAACTGTGTATTTATTAGTCTTACATTAGGAAGTGTAAATTTTATACACTTTGTTTTGCTGGAATTTAATAATAGGTTATTACATGTAAACCAATTTAATATTGCAGACATAGCACAATTTACATCGTCTAATTGATTACTTTGACGTCCAATTTTAAACACTAACGAAGTATCATCCGCAAACAGCACTATATCTGCAATTTTCTCTACCATAAAGGGAAGGTCATTTATGTAGATTAAAAAGAGAAAGGGGCCTAAGATTGACCCTTGTGGAACGCCCATCTTAATATTAGCTCCCTTAGATTTTACACCGTCAATATCTACAGTTTGAACCCTATCCTCTAAATAAGTTCTCATTAATTTTAGATCATTATCTCTTATACCATAATGTTCGAGCTTGTACAAAAGCGTTTTATGATCCACACAATCAAATGCCTTTGATAGGTCACAAAAAACTCCGAGTGCATCCTGTGACCTCTCCCAAGATTCGAAAATATGTGTCATTAGCGCAACACCTGCGTCAGTGGTAGACTTGCCGGCGGTGAAACCATATTGCTGACTGTGAAGCAGTCCGTTAACCCTGAAGTGATGTAACATTTGATTTAACATTATCTTTTCAAACACCTTACTTAGAACTGGCAAAATAGATATAGGTCTATAGTTCCCTGGCTCAAATTTATCTCCTGATTTAAATAGTGGGATTAATTTGCTAAATTTCATTAAATGTGGAAAAACGCCATTATCAATACATTTATTAAAAATAGTGGCTAGATATGGAGCAACAATATCTATGAAAGAACTAACTACTTTTACAGACATGCCCCAAAGGTCTTCCGTATTTTTTAAATTTAGCTGTTTGAATATTTTTATGATATGAAAGGGGCTAACATGTGAAAATTTAAATCTTAAAGAACAACAACCGATATTAGTCTCTAGTAATTTTTTTGCTCGAGATTGAGATGAGTCCAGAGAAGATGTAATATCAATCGGAATATTAGCAAAAAAATCTTCAAAAATATTAACTACATCTTTTGTTGTTGTTATTAATTTATTATCATAATTTAATGTAAATTGATTACAGGCTATTTTAGATCTTCCAGTTTCTATATTTATAATGCTCCAGATGGTTTTAATTTTGTCAGAAGACTGCTTAATTTGTTTATTAAAATAATTAGACTAATATAGTATAAAATACTAATTTACCTTTCCATCTGTCTACATAAGTGGAGTCGGGGCGGATTACTAGTATATAATGTACTAAGTCAATGACCTCTCTTCGCAGCCACACCACTCAGCGAGATCTCAGAGCAAGCATTAGCACAGACACTCGGTCTGTCTCGTCTCCACGCGGCTACGCTATGTCGCACTACTTTAAAAAGGGCAATGCACTCATGCGTTGAATATGTACAACCTAGGGTATTTTCAGGTGAGGATATTGAAATTTTTTTTATTTATTTTTTATTTATTTATTTATTCTTTATTGTACACAAAAAATTACAAACATATAATATATATAAAATAAAGATGTACAACAGGCGAGCTTAACTCTGTAAGAGTTCTCTTCCAGCAAACCCTGAGTGGAGAGGAGCATTAATTACCAGCGGGCAGTGTGCGTACAATAATTGGAGGAGACAGTATAGTTGTTTCTATTAAGATATAATAAATATGTTGACATATATACAAAGTAACTCAAAAAATTAAATCAAAATACATACATATCTGTATACAATACATACATAAACATAAAATATCTATTCACATACAAAATACGTACATATATATACGTACATATATATACAGAGATCTCTTCCAGTCAACCCGATATAGTTGGAAAACATGTCGTTAGCGGCCAGCTGTAGTGCTACGATGATATATTTTTTTATACCACTGAGGTGATAAACAAGCATACGGCCCACCTGATGGTAAGCGGTTACCGTAGCTGTAAGGTATTACGCGCACGTTGCCGACCCTGAAGAAACCTCTTTACCCCCCTTTTGAGGAACCCCATGCTGTAGTCTCTTGGGAAAACCTCGGCAGGAAGCTCATTCTATAACCTGAGTGTTCATGGGAGAAAACATCTATGAAACCGCGTTGTACGCGACCATTTAGGCTGTAGGGTATGAGGGTGAACTCCCTGTCGATGGCGAGCCGTACGATGGTAGAAAGTGGCCGTGGGCATCATATTGAACAATTCCTCTGAGCACATGTTAATAATATATTAAAATTGTTTTATAAAAAAATAGACTTCAAATCCATTTCAACTTTTAAGACAGACTTCTGTGCCTTTTCAATTGCCCTTTTAGGTTTATTATTGTTTTTTTTTTTGTAATGGATTATAATGGAATGGTAACCCCGCCTGCGCTATCAGTATACATGGCGGGGCACCAGTGAGAGATGATAGGTGAGGATGAAGCGGGTCAGTTAGCCCATCGTCATAAATACACCTGTAATTCAGCACAATGGTTTCCAGGGGGGGGCCACGTGGAGATCGACCTGACGGGGTATTTTTTTTTATAGGTAAAAATGGAATGGTTACCCCACCTGCGCTAACGGGATACGCTGGCGGAGCACCAGTGAAGAGTGATAGATGAGAATGAAAACAGGCCAGTTAGCCCATCATGATGAATTCATCAGGAATGAACCATGATAGTTTCCAGGGGGAACAACGAGGAGGTTGACCTGGTTGGGTATATTGCTAGCAATGGGGCTATTAATTCCCATTACTAACAATCCCCCCCCCCCCCCAGTTTATTATTGCTATTATGTCACAGGGAAACCGCTATCAGAGCTGTCCACCATCCGCGCCACCATCGGCGAGGCGTTACTCAACGTGTACGCGGCCGAGAGCGCCGAATACTTCACGGCGGGCCTGATAGACGGATATCTGGAGCCTGATGCTGAACTAGAAATGGCTATGTGCAGGTGTGTATTGTGCAAAGCCAATTAGAAGTCGTTAGCTCTTCGAAGTCAGCTGGTGATCCTGAACATGTTCACCAAAGGAGCACGAGGAACAGCGAGAAATGTCGAGTCCCTGTACTGACATGGCGCGTACAGCTGTCGAGTTAATTGTCGAGTCTCCCTCTGGTCTAGACTTTCGGATGAAGTGGAAACGGCAAATATGGGGAGTTCATAAAATCTTACACATGCGATACAAAAACAGAAGAGGTGGTGGTGTATTCTATGCCGGGACCACACGGTCATAGAGAATGTTTCTTCTTATTAATGGATGATAATGGAATGGTAACCCCGTCTGCGCTATCGATATACGCTGGCGGGGCACCAGTGAGAGGTGAATATGAAAGTAAGCCAGAGGGAGACTTTGTACAAAAGTCGTTTGCTTGGATACGTCTGTCCCATTCGTGTTTCAACCGTGAAGCAGCTGTGTTTCGGTTTGAAGGGTGGGATATGGCGTGAATTTACACGGTACAGAGGCATAACACCTGAGTCCTCAGGAATGGCAACGCATGGGGGGTATCATGGGCGAAACAGTATACTCTGTTATGTCCATGGTACTGCTCATGTCTATAGGCGACGGTTACCACTTTCCATCAGGTGGGCCGTCAGCTTGTTTGTCATTCTTCTATACATGGATAATACGGCCATATACGTGTAATATACAATTATAATTCTAATAATGATAAATTAGAACAGCACAGATGAAAGGAAATAAGACAAAAATAACTTACTCTGTGAAATAACCTTTAAAATTCTCAGGAACTTCATCGCGAACAATGGCCTGGCTACGATGCTCAAACTGCTCAATATACCGGCTCTAGAGAAGGCTGAAGAGTGTGAGAGGCTGTTGAACGATATGAGACACTTGGCCACGTACGGCGAGAACTTGGACAGCGTTAACATGTTCATAGGTAAGTGTGGTAGAACTACATACATACATACATGTCACGCCTGTCTGTTTGGGAATAGATAGAATTCTAAGAGTGCCACACGGGCCATTGTCCATTAAACAAACATTTATACACAATAGGAGCCACAGACGGCCCTCTATGTCGAGGCTGTTTCGACGTCGAAGAAACGACCACTCACGTAATCCTGGAATGTGAGGCTGTGGCCCATCGACGTTTAGAAATCCTCGGAATAGTGAGGTCGCTCCATGAGGCCTGTGAAGATCCTAGGAAGCTTCTGCGCTTCTGGGCGGAGCTAGGTTGGCTGTACTAGCCACGACTCATACGCACAACGGCCCAAATGAGAGGCTAAGCGCAGAAAATAGAGTCCTATTTACATTACAAGGGTGCCAAATCAGGAGAATAGAGGGGATGACCGAGCAAATCATACCTATAAAATACCAATACCCATAAAATACCAATCAGTACCTATAAAATACCAATCAGTACCTATAAAATACCAATCGGTACCCATAAAATACCAATCAGTACCCATAAAATACCAATCGGTACCCATAAAATACCAATCAGTACCCATAAAGTACCACAGTCTATATCCATAGAAATACCACCCATTTTGGACCCATACAGATACTGTAATCAGTGCCCATGTCTAGAACATAACATTATCAGTCAGTACCTAAGATGCCGCGTTCAATTTCAGCACTGAACGGCATCCACCACGCTGGCAAGATGATGTCGGAAGAAATAAAGCAAATCAGGAATCCTGTTTTACACCCGGGTTTTCTATTCAAGAAGGCCTTAGCCAACAGGAAACAGGTATGTGATGAAATAATGAAAGAATTATTTTTATTAAATTATATATTTATTAAAATTAAATTTATTGCCATTCTTCATAGAAATTACATATATTAATTAACAAATATATTGTGCAGTATTCATGCGCCTGGCAATAGGTACAAACTCAGCTTTTGATGGACTGATGTTCGTTCAGCGATGATTTTTTTTTTTCTTTTTTTTTTTGTCCATTACTACTTTTTTGTGCGTTACTGCACGTATTCCCCTATCTTTACCATGGGTGTCGTGAGAAGCGGCTAATGTAACTTAATGATCGAAGGAAAAACCGCAGCGTCCCTCTTAAAACGATACCGAAGCCTAACTGCGGTTACCAACCTACCTGCCAAACGTGACAAGTACTGGCAAAACCTCTTTATCCGGGAGGTCCACATCATATGATCTGACCGGATCGCATCATGAAGACAGCTGGTATTGTCTGGTATAGCGCTTGCCAATCTGCTTTCCAAACGTGGCTACTGACAAATCCCTCCTAATTGGAGAGGCCTTCGGAGGAAAAGATTTTTAATAATGCGGCCTAATGGCCCCATTGCTAGCAAGCTCTATCAGGTCGACCTCCACGCGGTCCGCCCTGTGTGACTAATACTTGTTGCATTCGTCACGATGCGCTAACTGACTTTCATCCTCACCTATCATCCTTCACTGGTGCCCCGCCAGTGTATACCGATAGCGCGGACGGGGTTACCATTCCATTATCACCCATTGAAACAAAAATGAAGAGACCTGTGTTCATCAGTGAACATTTAACCGATGATACGATGATGAATATATCCAATATATTTATTTATTTATTTAAATAGATAGATAGATAATTTATTTACATTACTTACAGCACACAAATTACAATAAAAAAAAAAACATACACATAATACCCAGTAAAAGAGATAAAAGAATGAAAATAAAAAAGCACAAATAAAAAAAATACAAAAACAAAATATATAAACTAACAATCTCCCTTCTTTCCCTTCCTTCACGCGTGTGCCATAGTAACACAAAATGGCCACAACTCAGTTTATTGCTTTGCCCTCAAAAGAGCGAAACACTGATATTCTGCTGTGGCCAAGAGTCAGTGCGAAACTTTTCATTAAAAATTTACAATATAAAAATATATATATATATATATATATATATATATATATATATATATATATAAATAAATAACAGATACCATTAGATGAGGGGTAGTCAGAAATCTTTTATAATTCTAGGAAAAGGACGACCCGACCCTAGACCTGTTCCTGGCTGAGCACCTCCACCCATCGCTGCGTCCTCCGGCCGAACAACTGGAGTACTGCGTACTGCGTATAAAGTACGCCTGTGAAACATTGATGAGCAGACATGGGATGAAGGTGGCCACAGCGTATACGTGAGTATTTAAAGATAAATTTATTTTTATACCGTTGAGGTGACAAGCATACGGCCCACCTGATGGAAAGTGGTAACCGTCGCCTATAGACATAAGCAGTACCATGGACATAACAGAGTGTACTGTTTCGCCCATGATACCCCCCATGCGTTGCCATTCCTGAGGACTCGGGTGTTATTCCTCTGTACCGTGTAAATTCACATCATATCGCACCCTTCAAACCGAAACACAGCCATGCAAACACAACTGCTTCACGGTTCTTGTTATAGTTGTATGTTACTCTTTCACGCAAAAACTACTGGACGGATTTGTATGAAATTTGCTATATCCTAACTCGACACTTAGTATATATTATGTACTGATTCACACGAGAGAAGCCGTGGAATACAGCTAGTTAATTATATCATCATATCAGCCTTTAACTGTCCACTGCTGAACATAAGCCTCCCCCTTGGGGGGGTTTTGCCAGTAGTTGCCACGCTTGGCAGTCGGTTTGACAACCGCAATTAAGCCTTGAAGATGCTTTAAGAGGGATGCTGCCGCTCATCCCTCACCCTCCCTTAGTCGCCTCTAACGACACACGAAGGGAAGGAAGGGGTGACCTATTCCATGCCGGAACCTCACGTTAATTATAAATTTTAATCCAAAATACGTTCGCTTCCAGAGAACTCAGCCGATTAGCAGAAGCCACAACAGAAATACTAGTTATGTCAGCCGTCTTAGCCCGAGCGTCCAGGTAAATTATTCATTCTCTCTTGCGTCACCTGCCCCACTTCTATCTGGTCTCCTTTAACCAAAGCTTGTCTGTAAGAGATCACCCTAGCGATAACACCGCTTTTTGTACCTTTACATGTATATTTTGATCTGTACTCCACGCTACTGTATTTCACTTGAATTGTTTATATGTCATTGTTTATTTTGATATTTCTGGTGCAATAAAGAGTTAAATAAATTAATAAATTGTTACACCATAAAAATAACGCCTAGGTAGACGTAATACTCCCACCAATACAGTAATAATATCGCGTTTTATTACATTATCGTTTAGTGAAATTATTTATTTAGATTTAGTTTAGTTTAATTTAGTTTAGTAAAATTATTTATTTAGATTTAGTTTAGTTTAATTTAGTTTAGTAAAATTATTTATTTAGATTTAGTTTAGTTTAATTTAGTTTGGTGAAATTATTTATTTAGGTTATTTTTATTCACAGTGTTATCATATCACCTGTGACAAATTGCAGAAAGTGATTTTTGCTCGCAATGACTTAATTTATTTTTATACAACTTAGAATGGCAAACAAGCTGACGGCCCACCTGATGGAAAGTGGTAACCGTCGCCTGTAGACATGAAGAGTACCGTAGTCATAACAGAGTATACTGTTTCGCCCATGATACCACCCATGCGTTGCCATTCCTGAGGACTTAGGTGTTATTCCTCTGTACCCTGTAAATTCACTGTCATGTTGCACCCTTCAAACCGAAACACAGCCATGCAAACACAACTGCTTCACGGTAGAAACACGAATGGGACAGAGATGTTGGCCGATTCTCAGACCTACCCAATATGCACACAAAATTTTATAAAAATCGGTAAAGCCGTTTCGGAGGAGTGTGGTAACAAACACCGCGACACGAGAATTTTATATATAAGATTCATTATTATTTGCAGAGCATACTGTATCGGACTGAGAAACGCCGAGTTAGAAATGAAACTCGCTGCCAGCTTCGTCAGCAAGACCAAAGACAAAGTGCGCAAACTGATACTCGAAATCGACGACGGAGAATACCTGAACCTTGACCATTTCAAAATATCGTTCGGCAAGAAAGTTCTAGAAACGAATTCTGTGATAGTCGAGAAACCGACCGCTAGGGTCTTCTGGTAATATCGAGTCGAAAGAACTGCGAAAAATGCTATGTATGTGAACTAATTATGGTAAAATTTCCACGCGTGGTATACACAACACATTGTATATATCCACACGTAGTATATACCACATATGGTCATTATTACACTTAGTTTATACTACATAAGGTCATTACCACACTTGGTATATACCACATAAGGTCATTACCACACTTGGTTTATACCACATAGGGTTTTGCCACACTTGGTTTATACAACATATGGTCATTACCACACTTGGTTTATACAACATAATGTTATTACCACACTTGATTTATACCACATAAGGTCATTGCCACACTTTGTTTACACCACATAAGGTCATTACCACACTTGGTTTATACCAATGTATGAACAGTGGAAGATGTTTATATAGTATGAATATTCTAGTTATAATTATTTAGGTTGTTTTGTAAATAAAAACTCTATGTTATTTATATATTGTTTTATTAATAGATTTTCTAAGGCTTATATATTTATCCGACTTCAAAATAGGAGGAGGTACAATACATTTGTATTTCTTTTATATTTGTCACTTTCAAACTCTGTTATTTGTAAACAGTTTTGAAAAATTATTTTTTATTTGAATGCATGATTTTAGAATACTTTCAATTTAGTCCCATAAGAGTTTCGTCAAAATCAGTTTAGTAATTTAATTTTTAAATCAAAACCGGTTTTTCCACAATTGAAGTCGGTTATTTTTTTGTGCAATATTACACAATCTACTTGTTTTCACCACACGCAAGAACAATATTGAATTACGATTGAATTTAAACAAAAAAAAAAATGTTTATATATAATTTATAAAAACTTAAATGGGATAATCAGACATTTGTGTGATCTTTTCTTTTTTTTTTATACAACTTAGAATGGCAAACAAGCTGACGGCCCACCTGATGGAAAGTGGTAACCGTCGCCTATAGACATGAGTAGTACCGTGGACATAACAGAGTAAACTGTTTCGCCCATGATACCCCCCATGCGTTGCCATTCCTGAGGACTAAGGTGTTATACCACTGTACCCTCATTTTACGGCCTATAACCACCTTTGGGGTAGACACTTATAAAAGAGATCTTCTCGGCTGCCGGCTTGAACGTATCACCGATGGTAACGTTTTTACCACCTTTTGTCACTTTACCACTCTTTTTACCACCTTTGACGTCTCTCTTTCTGATTTTAGTGAAATTGTCCGTTTTCGTCTCTAAACTCTTCTTGTTTTCCGCCGGTTTTTCCATATTGGCCTCCAGCATTTGGACCTTGTTCGATTCTTTCCTCTTGTAGTAAAATACCTCCCAAGCGAGGGTGATCATCGCAAGCCCCAATCCGAATAAAGTCGCTATGAAGACGCCGCCTGAAAATAAAATTTTTATTTTTTCTTTAATTTTTTTTTCTCCACAAATTTTACAGAAAAATACAGTTATATGAAAAAGAAATACAACTATATATGTATGTATAATGACAATGGTCTGTAAAACTTGTGGGCGACTGGACCCTAAACTAGATCAGAGATCTGTATCTCAGGAGTCCAGGCCCCCGACTCGGACACCATGTACAGCTTGCATTAAGGCTAACAAGAAGCACTAGTACTGATTATCATGAAATGTGTAAGAAGTACAATCTTATTTCTCTCGAAGATAGGCGTTCTCTTCTTGATATGATGTTCTTGAGAGATATTTGTAATAATGGTATAGACTGCCCGGATCTTGTGTGTAACGTGTTGCGTCTCCGTACTCCTAAAATCCGTACCAGAAATTCTCCTCTTTTTGCAGTTCCAACCAACCATACCAATTACTCTCAGAACTCAATAGTTTGTCGTCTAATGAATTCATATAACAAACTTTTTTCAACAGTGGATTTATTCCACCTCAGTAGATATAAATTCAGGGCTGTGATAATGGATGAAATAATATCATAATTACCTATGTTGCATATATGTACATGCACGTATATACACTACATATTTACATTTATTTATATCACACTACACATACACCCACACATACATTTAACCCTCTTTACAATTGGTGACCATGATTTTGTATTATTTAATCATTGCTGTCAATATCTGAACTTTAACAACATGAATTTAATTATTTTATATATCAATTAACTTAACTTTATGGACACTCACTATTATATATGGGTTCCTTACATACATGTGCTTATATTACTTGCATACACCCACTCTAACTTGCCTACCTCGCTATGGAATCAAAATTTTTGTTTGTATAAGTAAAATCCGTTATTGGCTGTATTCATAAGAGACTTAGCATGTAAGTTATTTTTTAAGAGCTGTGGATTTTTGTATAAAATAAAATAAAAAAAAAATAAAAAATAAACATTAAAATTTGCTAAAACGAATATACAAAACGAAATAAAATGTACGTGCGTGTGTGTGCGTGCGTGCGTGAGTGTGTGCGTGTTTGCGTGTATATGTGTTGTGTGTGTGTGTGTGTGGGTGTGTGTGTGTGAGTGATAAATAAATGTATTAAAATTGTAACTAGTCAACCTTCCTACTTCCTTTTCCGTAGATATCGTAAAAGGCGATTAATGAAACTTATGGTCGAGGGAGGGACAGCAGCGTCTCTCTTAAAACGTCACCAAAGCCTAACTGCGGTTGCTAATCCGCCGAACATGGCAGCAACTGGCATGTTAAAGTACGTATTCTTTTCTTACCAGAGAGAGACTTTGTACAAAAGTCGTTTGCTTGAGCACCTCTGTCACATTCGTGTTTCTACCGTGAAGCAGTTGTGTTTGCATGGTTGTGTTTCGGTTTGAAGGGTGGGATATGGCGTGAATTTACTGGGTACAGAGGAATAACACCTCAGAAATGGCAACGCATGGAAGCGTATCATGAAACAGTATACTCTGTTATGTCCACGGTACTGCTCATGTCTATAGGCGACGGTTACCACTTTCCATCAGGTGGACCATCAGCTTGTTTGCCATATTAAGTTGCATAAAAAAGTCTTGGGTCATAACGGCTGAACCAATCATCATGAATTTTAGTATTTAGATTGTGTTTGAGATGGAGAATGCCCATAGGTCACTATTTATTCCAATCGATCGATATATCGGACGTAAAAAGTTTTTTTTTATACCACAAACGATGGCAAACTTTATCTGTATTCTTACAGCCCGTCTGATGGTAAACGGTCACTGTAGCCTATGGACGCCTGCAACACTAGGGGAGTCACGTGCCAGGTCGTGCGTTGCCGACCCCGAAAAATCTTAAAAATAGTGGCAAATGAGGAATATCATGGGCTTCACAGCATACACTGTTGTTCACGCCCATAGGCGACAGTGACCACTTCCCATCAGGTGGAACGTCAGCTTGTTTACCCTTTAAGTAATGTGGCAAAATATTAAACTGCTCACCCAAGCTCTCCAGTGTGATTCCTTCGGACTCGTCAGCGTCAGGGCACGCCTGGCGCGCTGTGTCATTCCAATACCTGAATATGAAGTCAAATTAGAAGAATAACTTAAAAGTGTCAGAAACTTATATACCTAAGCTAATATTTTTATTTATTTATTATTATTATTTAACTCTTTTTTGCACCAAAAACAAAAATAAACAATGATATATATATAAACAATTCAAGTGAAATACAGTAGCATAGAGTATAGATTAAAATATACACATAAAGGTACAAAAGGCGGTGTTATCGCTAGGGCGATCTCTTACAGACAACCTTTGGTTAAAGGAGAACAAATAGATGTGGGTAGGTGGCGCAAGAGTGTATTTTTTTTTATGGGTGAAAATGGTATGATAACCCCGCCTGCGCTAACGGGATACGCTGGCGGAGCACCAGTGAAGGGTGATAGATGAGAATGAAAACAGGCCAGTTAGCCCATCATGATGAATTCATCAGGAATTGACCATGATAGTTTCCAGGGGGAACCGCGAGTAGGTCGTCCTGGTTGGGTCCTCAATCCTTCTTATAAACAATCCTTCCCCCCCCCCCCCCCCCGCAAGAGTGTATTAATATTTTTTACGTATAATGCACAAAAACATTAAATACATATTGTTTATTAGACTACTTTTTATAACAATGTATACTACATATACATACATAGCACATACATACATACATACATACATATACATAACATACATATACACGCATTAGAAAATATGACAAATCTAGTAAAACGAAATAAAGATATAAAATAAGTAAGGAAAAGAGTAACTACATTGAAAGAAACTTTTATGTCTGTAACTGACAATTCATATTTTAAATTCTGTAATAGTGGAATGGTAACCACGCCTGCTGACGCTGGCGGGGCACCAGTAAGAGATGACAGGTAAGGCTGAAAAGGCAGGTCAGTTGGCCCATCGTAACAAATTAAAGACTTAACCAACATAGTTTCCAGGAGGAACTGCGTAGAGTTCGACCTGATGAGTCTTTCCCACTCGCACAATGAAGTACTTACTATCTCTTGTTATATTTTCATAGTCTTTTAATAATAGATGGTTTAATCTATACATATATTGCAGATGCTTTATTCATGTTCAGACAGGCATTATTACACAATACTAGTAATCAACCAATCAGTGTCCACCTCTAGTGATGTCCCATATATACTAGTGATGTGATCTTACAACACTCTCATCGCGGTAATTCTTAGCTGATAATTTTTCAAATAGTTTTAAAACGGACGGAGTTATGAGGTGACAAACAAAAAAGACCACCGAATTTAAATTAGATTCATATCTTCAGACAAACTTACACATCAAACCCGCTAGTATTTGGCCCATCACTTACTTCGAAGCCAGCTGCTCCAAGAACCTCTCCTTCTGCAGTCCAAGCAGCGCCTTGGACAGGTCCTCCTGCAATCTGGACCCTTGCTGGACGGCCAACGCGTACGGCTGCTCAGCGAAGACTTCGCCTACTTCTGTCAGGTTGCAATTCCTGGTCACTTCGTATCTGACGAAAAATAATCAGTTGTATTGACGCCGAAGAAACGGCTGCTCACGTAATCCTGGAATGTGAAGCTGTGGCCCCTAAACGTTTAGAAATCCTCAGAACAATTAGGTCGCCTATGAAGATCCCAGGAAGCTTATGGGCGAAGCTGGGCTGGCTGTACTAGCCAAAACTTATACGTACATTGGCCAAAATGAGAGGCGTAATGCGGAAAATAGAGTCCAACTTATATTACATTACATTATGGTAATAAAATTAAGAACTTACTTGATTTCAGCTGAATCATGAATAAAAGCAAAATCCGCATCTGTATGCTCGTTGACTTGATCGAAGCCTGTCTTCGCGTCAGGCACTGGCCCTGGATAGATTATAAAGTTTGTCAAAAAATTTTATACTCTTATTTTGTTTAGGATTTCTTTTTATATATCAGACAGATGGCAAACAAGCATACAGCCCATGTGACAGTAAATGGTCACTGTAGCCTATGGACGCCTACAACACCAGGGATTTCACATAGGCGTTGCCAACTCTGATGAAACCTTAACAAGTCCTTTTTGAAGAATCCGATTCTGCAGTGTATAGGGACTTGATACGCCCTTTTTAAAAAACCCCATACTGTAGCCTAAAGAAAAACCTCGGCAGGGAGCTCATTCCACAGTCTGATTGTTCGCGAGAGGAGATCCCAATAAAAAAGGAGTTGGTGACCCCAATTGAGTAACCCGCCCTTTTTAAACAAACCCGAAGTATAGGGAAAACTTCGACAGAAAGCTCATTACAGAGTTTGAGCATTCGTAAAAGGAAACCCTGACAAAGATTGAATAATAACCCTTATGAAATGAATAAACAATATAAACAGCAAGTTGGACATCACAAAATACACTATGATGTCCATTGTACCTCCCATGAGTAACCATTCCGGAGGAATGGTGTTACGCTTCCATACCCGGAAATTTCACCGCCATTCCTTCAAACACCACCCTTGTAACCGAAAAATGGCCATATAAGCACAGCTGCTTGGTAGCAGAAACTCGGCATTATGGGGGAAAGGGATTATTAGTAATGGGGTTTAACAGTCCTATTGCTAATAATATGTTCTCTAAGGTCGGCCTCCACGAGATTCCTCCTAGAAACCATTGTAGTTAATCCTTATTAAATTGGATACAATGGACCAACTGACGTGACTTCCTCCTCACCTACCATCCCTCACTGGTGTCACGCGTATACCGATAACACAGACGGAGTTACTATTCCATTATCATCCATTAAGCCCCCATCACTAGCTATATACCTTATCAAGTCCACCATCCATCCTCTCTAGACACAATCGTGGTCAGTTCCTAGTGAATTCGTCACGATGTGCCAACTAATCTGCTTCCATCCTCACCTATCATCCCTCGCTGGTGCCTCACCAGGAGGGGTTACCATTATAAAAAAACTCATTATTATACATACCTGTGGCGTTTATAGCTAATAATATATGCCCGTATTGTTCTCTGATGGGGTAATCCCATACTCTGTACTGCGCCTGGTCAGATGTCGCATTCAGAGTTATTTCCTTCCATACTCTGGAAAAGAGGGGGAGAGGATTGTTAATAATGGAGACTAAGAGCCGCATTGCTAGTAATATACCCAACCAGGTCGATCTCCACGTGGTCCCCCCTGGAAACCATCTTGCTGAATTCTGAGTGTATTCATGGATCGATGGGCTAACTGACCTGTCTTTTCATCCTCACCTTTTCATACTCACTGGTGCCCCGCCAGTGTATACCGATAGCGCAGGCGGGGCTACTATTCCATTATCAACCATTAAAAAAAACTCTGGAAAAGACATTTATAATTTTAAAACTTAATACATAGGTTACCAGAGGGATTCATTCATTCATGGGGTTGGGCACCAGACAACTCTAGGGTTGGCATGGTCCACGCGGCACCCGAATAAGCAAACCTATGTTTTTTTTTTATACAACTTAGAATAGCAAACAAGCTGACGGCCCACCTGATGGAAAGTAGTAACCGTCGCCTATAGACATGAGCAGTACCATGGACATAACAGAGTATACCGTTTCGCCCATGATACCCCCCCATGCGTTGCCATTCCTGAGGACTCAGGTGTTATTCCTCTGTACACTGTAAATTCACTGCCGTATCCCACCCTTCAAACCGAAACACAGCCATGCAAACACAACTGCTTCCCGGTAGAAACACGAATGGGACAGAGGTGCTCGAGCAAATTACTTTTGTGTGAAGTCTCTCTCTGGTAATCTCAACAAGAACGCATTAAACAAACCTATACAGTGTGTCCTCGGCGAATTTCATATTAATAAAGTATTGATGTACAGTGGATCCTTCCACCACGGTGTAATTGATCCTGGACTGTCTCGCCAGCTGCTCCAGAGACGACACTGGGGTCTGGAAGACCAACAAATGCACAATAAATTTATTATATATTTTTTTTTTACACAATACACTTTAAGCACACCACTGTTTTAGTCAGACTTATCCAAACATTATGGTTATTATTAGGACCCCGCGGGTTGGCGAGGCTCGTGCTGAAAATCAGCGCTGTAGTGTCCCTCACACTACAGCATAATGCTGAGCACGGAGCTCATTTTGCAGGTATTGCGACACACGCACACACACACTCATTTTGGATGAAACTGTTATATTACGAATTGTTTTTTTTTTCTTTTTTTTTAATTTTATATTCTTTTTTTTTATATATATAAATATTGTGTGTAGTTTCGTTGTTATAATTCTTAATATTTTTGTTTTTTAACCCCTGTGTGGGTGTAGTCGCATATTTCTGTAGAATAAAGTTTCTTTCTTTCTTTCAATATACTTGTCTTTGTGAACGTTTCACTTTCCTTGTCCCCACTGGCATGTCAAGTAGGTCGAGTAAGTCCCTTATTCTTAAAATCCCTCTTCATACCTCCTCATACTATAGTGGATCATTTAAGGTTCTTGCGGCTAGACTATGGAACTCTCTTCCACTGCATATTCGTGAAAGTCAATCGCTGAATATATTCAAGAGCAGATTAAAAGAGCATCTTCTGTCCTCACAAACTTTTATGTCTATGTATATATATGTACGTATATTGTATGTTTATCTAATATATAAAATTCTCGTGTCGCGGTGTTTGTTACCAAACTCCTCCGAAACGGCTTTACTGATTTTTATGAAATTTTGTGTGCATATCGAGTAGGTCTGAGAATCGGCCAACATCTATTTTTCATACCCCTCAATGATAAGGGTGACCCTCCCCAAAAAATTTGTTTTTTTATAATTTTTTAAAATTTTTCCATTTTTATTTTATTATGATTTAGCATTGAAAAATACATACAACTTCAAATTTTCACCGTTTTACGATCAACTCCTGTTTTTTAATCGCGATTTTTATATTTCGCAATAAGTGGTAAAACAACGTTTACGGGGTCAGCTAGTATATATGTATTATTGTATACAGATATGTATGTATTTTGGTTTTAATTGTATGATTTACTTTGTTTTTTTTTTTTTTTTTTTTTTTTTTATACAACTTAGAATGGCAAACAAGCTGACGGCCCACCTGATGGAAAGTGGTGACCGTCGCCTATAGACATGAGCAGTACCATGGACATAACAGAGTATACTGTTTCGCCCATGATACCCCCCATGCGCTGCCATTCCTGAGGACTCAGGTGTTATTCCTCTGTACCCAGTAAATTCACGCCATATCCCACTCTTCAAACCGAAACACAGCCATGCAAACACAACTGCTTCACGGTTGAAACACGAATGGGACAGAGGTACCCAAGCAATCGACTTTTGTACAAAGTCTCCCTCTGGTAATGTATATACATATGTCAACATATTTACTATATCTTAATAGAAACAACTATACTGTCTCCTCCAATTATTGTACGCACACTGCCCGCTGGTAATTAATGCTCCTCTCCACTCAGGGTTTGCTGGAAGAGAACTCTTACAGAGTTAAGCTCGCCTGTTGTACATCTTTATTTTATATATATTTGTAATATTTTGTGTACAAATAAATAAATAAATAAATATACTATCACAGGCAGACAGCTTCCCATGCAAAAGCCAACATGGAAATGGCAACCGTCGCCTATAGACATGAACTGCATCGTGGACATCGCTAAATACAATATCATGCCCATGGTACCCCTCACGCATTACCATTCTGTGCCTCCGCGCCTTGTAAATTCACTGTCATATCCCGCCCTTCCTTGCCGTATGGTCCGGACACAGAATGGGCCACCCTTTCCTTTCCCGTGAATGCCGTAGGAGGCATAATTTTCTAAATCAGTTTATAAATAATTTTTTTTTTGTTGGATGAAAATGGAATGGTAACCCCGCCTGCGCTAACGGGATATGCTGGCGGAGCACCAGTGAAGGGTGATAAATGAGAATGAGAACAGGCCAGTTAGCCCATCATGATGAATTAATCATGAAGAATTAATCATGACAGTTTCCAGGGGGAACCGCGTGGAGGTCGACCTGGTTAGGTATATTGCTAGCAATGGGATTTTTAGTCTCCATTACTAACAATCCCTTTCTCCTCAAATAAAAGAGTTATGAGGCAATTAAAAGCAGTTAGGCTTTAGAGAGATGTTTTTAGAGGGACGCTGCTGCTCATCCCTCGCCCTCACAAAGTCGCCTGTTACGATACCCACGGGAAAGAAGGGGTGGCCTATTTTACACCGGGACCTCAAGGAGATTTGAGGTGGTAATACCAGCGGTATTACGCGCGCGTTGCCGACCCTGAAGAAACCTCTTTACTCCCCTTTTGAAGAACCCCATGCTGTAGTCCCTTGGGAAAACCTCGGCAGGGAGCTCATTACATAACCTGAATGTATATTATATAGGCACTTGCAGCATCTCCCTATCTTTATGGTACATTTATGATAATACCTGCATTCTCTCAACGGTCAGAAAGGCAGCCAAGTTAGCCGTGAAGGTGGCTAGCATGAGCACCACGAACAGCCAGTAAGCAGCCACCAGGGTCCTCCCCGACAGCGCCTTAGGTGCTTCCCCGCCGCCTTGTGGGGTGAAAGAGGTGAGGGCGAACCAAAAACTCTCCTTCAGTGTGAATTCTCTGAAAACAAATACCACACGATTAGATGGGAAGGGGATGGGGGGAGGGATTGTTAACGGAGGCCGCTGGCGCTATTGCTAGCACCAATCTACTGCGTCGAGGCTAATTCTTAATGACTTCATCACGGTGAGGCCAACTGACCTGCTTTCTTCCTCACCTATCATCTGTTACTGGTGCCCCTGCCAGCATATTCCGATAGTGCAAGCGGGGTTATAATTCCATTATGTAATGAAACGAATATTAAACATTCAAACATATTTACAAACTTCCATATATATAATATAATAGGATTACATAGACCGATCTTCAGTCGCTGATCATCCGCGACGGAAAGCCAATACATCAAATTGTATACAATTCGCTTCTCTCGGTCACACTGTGCGAAACACCAGTTATTAAGACTACATTTCAAAATTAATTTACAAAAAATCTTAATTGAGAGGCAAAAGTTAGACATTGCAGCAAGTTACCTCTATGTTCCATTTGTCTGCTAGATAGACTGTCATATCTGTCTGTTTACTGTACGGATAATCTGGTAGTATTATTTTATTGTTACCCTATTCCCTTTGGCCGCGACAGAATATCAGTGCTTTGCTCTTTTGAGGGCGAAGCAATAAACTGAGTTGTGGCCATTTTGTATTGCTATGGCACACGCACAAACGAAAAATTGTATTTGGTTTTATGTATTTTTTTTTTATAATTTATGTTATCTCGCCTTTTTTGTATATGTATGTTGTAATTTGTGTGCTGTAAGTAAGTAATGCAAATAAATTATCTATCTATCTATCTACATAATGCCGCAGAACTCGCGGGCCAAGCGTCTAATTCAGTCGACAGAGTTGCCGATCTTCCGTCGACAGACAAGCCGCAACACCGCATCGCATACTTCTTAAGCTATGTACTACATTCGGCAAACAGTCTGCGTTGACTGCAAGCACTAATAGGTGTATACATTCACGTCACATTCGGAATATCTTGTGTGACATATATGTCACACATAATATTCCGGATGTGACGCTAGACTTAAACTACTCACCTGCAAGGGTACGGATAAGAATCCGGGTCGTTCCTGGCCGAGTATGGGGAGTATTTGTCCAGTAGCCAGATCATGAAGCCTGTCAGCACCAGAGCACCCACGATACTGAGCCACACCTCAGTCCGGAGCACCGTCATGAACTTGAAGAGAGACGTCTTCCGTATTGGCTTGCGGATTGCTGTTGGAACATATTTGAACAACCTTTTTTAATGTAACTCCTGTACCTGCTTTAGGGAAGGCACAGTTGGGAGGTCCCGGGAGCTCTGAAATTCAGCAAAAGAGACGTCAAAAGTAAAAGAAATGTAATGCATCTGATTCCAAATAACCTTTTTTCGCCGTCAATCAAAAGAGCCGCCAAATGTGAATTACGATTAACACTTTCCTTCTGAGCATCTCAGTTAAAAGTGGTCTTGTATGGGTGTTAAGGGAGTGCCATCAAAAACTAACCCAGGGACACAGGGTCTAACACGTCACCTACACCACCCTGAGACAGGTCCACTAATGCTGACCTTGCATAACACCAGAGTACAATGGAATGGCAATGTAAGAGTGGTACCATGAGCATCACAGTTTATGATTTGTACATCCTGTTAATTTAAGGCTTGCAAGCATTAGAACTGCGATTTCTTGCAAGAGCAGGTTTCTTGCCCACTCACACGTGTCACGTTATGGTCGTAAAATCATTTGTTTAATGCCAAAATATTTGTAACGCTCCTCCTGACCTGTGCAGGGTCTGAAGAAAAGAACAGAATATATTGGTGGCAATGCTGCATTCAAGAAGGAGAGTATATCTGTGTCACTTCTATTCAGTCTATTCTTTCGCAGCGCAGGTTTTGGAAGTAGGAAAACCAAGAAAATAGACTATTTCTAGATAGTGCATTAAAATATATACCAGATAAAGTTAAACCATTAAAGATTCAACTGTGAAAAGTGTATAGGCCACTCACACATATTTATATCTACATATATAATTATTATATAATTATATAAATACAAACACACATACATACATAATTTATACTTTATTATATATTTATTCTATAACTGACAAAAATGTCGTATCAGACGACACTCCGCGTTGTGCATTGGAGATGTGCACAAAACCGGTTTTTAGCCGCCATGACAGGGCAACTGCGTGAGCGCTTCCCCCCTCACCGCGTCAGTCGAAATTCTACCGCCATGTTTACTACTTGTGTCGCTCGATATCTCACCGCTTTGTAAATGTTAACATCGGAGGGAAAGGGATTGTTAGTAATGGAGACTGAGAATCCCATTGCTAACAACAAACCCAACCAGGTCGACCTCTTCGCGGTTCCCCCTGGAAACTATCACGGTTAATTCCTGATGAATTCATCATGATGGGCTAACTGGCCTGTTTTCATTCTCATCTATCACCCTTCACTGGTGCTCCGCCAGCGTATCCCGTTAGCGCAGGCGGGGTTACCATACCATTTTCACCAGCAAAAAAAAAAAAAGTTAACATCGTGCTGATTAACTTTAATCTTTGTCTATCACTGTATCATTCTTCTTTCACTCCTATCTATTGTGTTGTTGACTGTATTGCGTGTAATCTTCCTATGCATTAAACCACTGTGCTAGCTACTTGGACTGCTTCTTTTCACCGCTTGACAAACATCATCGATACGCGGTTTACCAACGCAGCCATACCATAAACACGCATCCCTCACATCAACATCTATAAGAGCATCCAATTTTGCCGGAGTGGTTTCACGTGATCTTCGAATAAACAGACATATAAAAAAGATCTTCGGTTTCTCTTGGTCTTATTAAGACCACTCATATAAATTTTCCTTAAATATCTCCCATGTACAGACATCGTCTTTCAGTTACGTCTTTATTACATCAGTAAAATGTCGCAGTTGCAACAATCAACGTCATCATCATTGTTCCAGCCATTATCTATCCACTACTGGACGTAGGCCTCGCCCATAGACTGCCATAAAGAACGGTCCTGAACCACCTGCATCCACTGACTCCTTGCGATGCATTTGAGGTCGTCACTCCATCTAGTGGAGGGATCGTCCTACACTGCGTTTGCCCGTACGGGGTCGCCACTCAAGAATCAAGAAGTCGCAACAATGGGTAATAATTATGGATTGATGATGACATTCTGTTTACCAATTAGTATTCCAGTCTGCTCGAAGTATGGAGCCACGAAGTCAATGACTTCTTCCCTCTCGGCAGTCATGGTTAGAGCTGCTACCGCCAAATCTGTCTCCTGTAATTCAATTTACATCATCATTACATTATATCAGCCTTTAACTGTCTACTGCTGAACAAACAAGCTTCCTTCTCGGGGGGTTTTGCCAGTAGTTGCCACGCTTGGCAGACTGATTAGCAACCGCAGTTAGACTTTAGAGATGTTTTAAGGGGGACGCTGCTGCCTATCTCTTGCCCTACCTTCGTCGGCTCTTACGACACCCACGGTAAAGGATGGGGTGACCTATTCTATGCCGGAACCACACGGCTATTATTTCGGTTTGAAGGCTGGGATATGGCGTGAATTTACAGGGTACAGAGGAATAACACCTGAGTTCTCAGGAATGGCAACGCATTGGGGTATCATGGGCGAAACAGTATACTCTGTTATGTCCATGGTACTGCTCATGTCTATAGGCGACGGTTACCACTTTCCATCAGGTGGGCCGTCAGCTTATTTGCCATTATAAGTTGTATAAAAAAAAATGTATAATTTAAAATTTTGTGGTACAAAATCTTAAATTATACATTACATTGGTTGGCAACCATACACTTTTTTTTATTTAATTAGCATGCAAATACATTAAAAAAACTATGGACTTTTTAGTACAACTTAAACCTCTTGGGCTTGCGTGTATTACTTTACATTTCGTTCACAAATGTCAATATATTTACATTAATATTCCGCTGTTTTAGCAAGCTTGGACAGTAAATAAGCTTTTAGTTTAAACTTTATGTTGTCAGCTTGTTTGCCATTCTAAGTTGTATAAAAAAAAAACAATGTTTTTAACAGTGATATTGCTTCGCAGATCGGTAGGTAAAGTAAACCCCTGGGGGAAGGGGTCGTTAGTAATGCGAAATACTAGTTCTAATACACATACCTTGTCAGATCGACCTCCACGTGGACCCCTCTGGATACCCATCGTGCTAAAAATCTAGGTATATTCATCACGATAGGCTAACTGACCTGCCTTTCCATTCTCACCTATCATCTCTCACTGGTGCCCCGTCAGCGTATACCGTTAGCACAGGCAGAGTTACCATTCCATTTTTACCCATTAAAAAAAACCATACTACCTACCTCTATTTGGTGCGCTCAAACTCTTACTAGCTTCAAAACCTCTGTTAAATCTTACTACCTCTCACTTTAGTACTATTTTCCTGCGTTCTCTCTTTGTTTTCCTTCGTCATTTTTTTTTCAATTGTATGTGTGCTGTTAAGTATGTGTATGTTATGTATATATTTGATTGTGTATATATTATATATGTATGTGTATGTATGTATGTATATATGTTTGTATATGATAATATTTATACAATAGTGCGCCACCTACTCTTTGTCTTTTTCTCAATGTCCTCTAGCCAAAGGTTGTCTGGAAGGGATTGCTTAGCGATAAGGCCGCCTTTTGTATCACTTCTCATTAATATTTACTGTATTTGTTATTTCTCTTTTTACTTGGTGCAATAAAGTGTAAATAAATAAATACATACTTACCCCTCTCACCAAATCGCCCACAATACCGTCCCAGGAGCCGTTCGGTAGTTTCGTGCCGAACGTGCCCGACTTTGGTGTCACGATCTCGTATTCAAAATTCATGGTCTACAAAGAAAGCAAATGCAAATTATTTTTTTTATTATTATCTCAGCCGCTAACTGTCCACTGCTGGGCATAAGCCTTCCCCATGAGGGAAGTTTTGCCATTATTTGCCACATTTAGTAGGCGGGTTGGCAATCGTAGTTTTTTTTCTAAGTGAATGACAATGAAATGGTAACGCCGTCTGCGCTATCGGTATAAGCTGGCGGAGCACCAGTGATGGATGATAGGTGAGAATGAAAAGGCAGGTCAGTTAGCCCATCGTGATGGATACACCTGGAATTAAGCACGATGGTTTCCAGGGAGGACCACGGGGAGGTCGACTTAACAGGGTATATTGCTAGCAATGGGACTGATAGTCCCCATTACTATCAATCCCTTCCCTCCCTGGCAATCGCAGTTAGGTTCGGGAAATGTTTTAAGAGGGACGCGATAGGATGTGGTAGCCCATTCTATGCCGGGAACACAGGGCAAATATAATATATAGTTTACAATAATATACAACGTACTTCAGACAATTTAGCGATGAGGTCAATGCAGTACCCTTCGTAGATCGGTTGGCCGTCTTCGTTCAACATGGGCTCCCCTGACTCGGGGTCGATCTTTGGTAGAGTCCAAGGTATAGCCTAGAATACAGCGAAACATCAGACCAGAGCTTGTTTTTTTATAATGGATGATAATGGATTTGTTTACCCACTTGCACATCTGCATACCCTGGTGGGACATGAGTGAGGAATGATAGATGAGGATGAAAGGGCAGGCCAGTTGGCGTATCGTGATGAATTTACCAGGAATTAATCACGATTATTTCCAGGAGAGATCATATTACTTACAGCCCTTTCTCTCGCCTGGGATTTTTTAAATATGGTAGATGCTACCAGAGGGAGACTTTGTACAAAAGTCGATTGCTTGGGCACCTCTGTCCCATTCGTGTTTCAACCGTGAAGCAGTTGTGTTTGCATAGCTGTGTTTCGGTTTAAAGGATGGGATATGGCGTGAACTTACTGGGTACAGAGGAATAACACCCGAGTCCTCAGGAATGGCAACGAATGGGGGGTCTCATGGGCGAAACAGTATACTCTGTTATGTCCATGGTACTGCTCATGTCTATAGGCGAAGGTTACTACTTTCCATCAGGTGGGCCGTCAGTTTGTTCGCCATTCTAAGTTGTATAAAAAAAAATGGTAGAACGGTAACCCCGCCTGCACTATCGGTATTTTCTGTAAGGGATGAAAGGGGAAGATGAAAGCAGGTCAGTTAGTCCATCGTGACAAATTCTCCTTCCAAATGCGAATCCTTGTCAGCTATAAATTTTAACGTACTTACAGAAGAGGTTCCAATCCTGAAGAAGGATTTCAAGGGTTCTAATACAACACCCTGCAGAAGGCGGTACTCCTCGTCTGCTGACCAGGTGGCTACAGTCTGCAGGTCTTCATCAGGCTTATACATGGAGAGGACGAAGCGGGAACGCAGGAAGAGGCCTGATCTGTTTAATCAAATTATTTAAGTTTATTGAACTAAATATCTAGGGAAGACCACTTCATCAGTGAGATTTTAACCGCTATTTACTTCTAGAGTGATCTTTAGAAAGGCTAATGCCTTTTTCAAACCAACTTCAAAAGAAAGGTTCCCGATTAGGTTGTATTTTTTATGTTTGCTGCCTTACAGCTCTGTCAGCTGTAATCGATTTAGAATTTTTCTAAAACTTACAAATAAGTCCCATAAAAATGTTATTAAAATCGATTTAGAAGTTTTTTTTTATACAACTTAGAATGGCAAACAAGCTAACGGCCCACCTGATGGAAAGTGGTAACCGTCGCCTATAGACATAAACAGTACCGTGGACATAACAGAGTATACTATTTCGCCCATGATACCCCTCATGCGTTGTCATTCCTGAGGACTCAGATGTTATTCCTCTATACCCAGTAAATTCACGCCATATCCCACCCTTCAAAACCGAAACACAGCCATGCAAACACAACTGCTTCACGGTTGAAACACGAATTTGAGACAGAGGTGCCCAAGCAATCGACTTTTGTACAAAGTCTCCCTCTGGTAAACTATTAAAATATGACATGTATAAACTCCTGCCCTCGACGTGACTAATTAGTTAAAGTCAACAGGAAAACACTATATATAGTTATATGAAGGAAAACTCATGAATAATTTATTTCTATTAAATGACATTGCTCTAAAAACGAACGACAATGCGTATTTACCATTGTTAAAACACGAATGAGACAGAGGTACCCAAGCAATCGACTTTTGTACAAAGTCTCCCTCTGGTTTAGTTTTTAAAACAAAATTATTGTTAATTAAGTATTTTTTCGGAATACAGTTTAACTATAAACTGCCATTAGCAAAAGCTTTAAACCAACGGCTTGCGTTGACTCACTGACTCCCTGCATACAAGACCTTGTCTTAATTAAAGTAAAAGAAATGCATCAACTTGGAAATATGTTACATCATTCGGCCGTTAACTGTCCACTGTTGAACATAAGCCTTCCCCATTAGAAAAGTTTTGCCAGTAGTTGCTACGCTTGGCAGGCGGATTGGCAACCGCAGTTAGGCTTTGGTGATGTTTTAAGAGGGACGCAGCCGCCTATCCCTGTACCGTTAAGTTCCCTTAGTCGCCTCCTACGACACCCACGGGAAAGGAAGGGGTGGCCTATCCTATGCCGGGACCACATGGCTAAATATGTACAGATATGGATAGACACCGAACTATTTGAAGAAAGTTCTTTATTTCTTTATTCTTTATTGTACACAAAACATACTGTTAATCACAATTCATTATAAACATAATGTACAAAGGCGAGCTTATCTCTAATAAGAGATTTCTTCCGGCAAAACCTTTCCATGTTAATTGTGTTATTTTAAAAATAAAAATAGCAAAGTTAACATAACAAAAAATAGCAAAAATAACAAAGTTATAGCAAAAAACAAGGTCATGTTTGCCCCAAGTTGAGAGATATGCTAGATTTTTTACCAATTATAAAAAAAATACCCAGTAAATGACGATAGGGGAAAAAATAACGTTTGCAGAGTTAGCTTAGAGATACCTAGATATAACTTTTTTTTTAATCTTTTTTATTTAAAGGCTTTTATCCTATAAGGATATGTCAGCCTCGTCATACCCTAACTTTATAAAATACGTCACATACTTAAAACATTGATACATAAATAAATAATACGTAATGTCTTAGTAGTGTATTTGATAAAGGGAATTATTGATACAAAAATAGAGTAATTAAAGATTTTGCCATTCCGGAATGTGGTTCTGCGAGTATATTTGAAAGTAAACCAATCTCCTGTCTATTGAGACTACATTTCTGTATCAATACTTCCCTTTGTGTTTTGTATTTCGTACATTCGGATATCATATGTTTAATTGTGTATATATTATATATGTATGTGTATGTATGTATGTATGTATCTGTATATGATAATATTTATGTAATAGTGCGCCACTTATCTTTTGTTGTTCTTTCCTTTCTCAATGTCCTCTACCCAAAGGTTGTGTGGAAGAGATTGCTTAGCGATAAGGCCGCCTTTTGTATCACTTCACATTAATATTTACTGTATTTGTTAAATCTCTTTTTACTTGGTGCAATAATATCAGTGTTTTGCTCTTTTGAGGGCAAAGCAATAAACTGAGTTGTGACCATTTTGTGTTACTATGACACACGCATGAAGGAAGGGAAAGAAAGGAGATTGTTAGATTATGTATTTTGTTTTTGTATTTTTTTTTATTTGTGCTTTTTTTTATTATTCTTTTGTTTCTTTTGCTGTGTATTACGTATATGTTTTTTTTTTATTGTAATTTGTGTGCTGTAAGTAATGTAAATAAATTGTCTATCTATCAATAAAGTGTAAATAAATAAATAAAAAATACGGTGAACATCGTCCAATGTGTTACAAACATCACAATTCGGATTAACTTTTTTTTCATAAGAAAAACGAATTTTGCATTTGGATAATGTCCTGAATGTAATCCAAGAGTTGTAACAACGAAATTTTTATTTGCTTTTAGGTTTATGAAGCACGGTATTCTTGGAGGCTGAGACTGGATTGATATAGACCTAGATATAACTTAATCCTCACTTACCTCTCACCATCCCAATAGAAAACCGTCTCATTGCTCATCTCAGCATCTTCAGCGAACTGTCTGTACAACCGGTCTCTTGTGACATTCATCTCCCAACCCTGGATCTTGTCACAGTCTACGGTAGAAGTTAGGGTGGCAAGGTCGTGATCCAGCCTCGAGTAGACTTCTACTATATATTGAATGAAGGAGTTGAGGACTAGTTGGGATCTCTGGAAGAAGAAGTCATTTATTGGATTTCTTTTTTCATAACACTAAAAATAGCATAAAAATTGACAGCCCAGCTGGTGAAAAGTGGTAACCGTTGCCTGTGAACATGAACAGTACCACGGACAACAATGACTGCCTGGTTACCGTAATCCCACCTACTTCGGATATATCTAACTTAATTTGATACTAATGGCATGAAAATGGTATGGTATTCTCGCCTGCGCTATCGGTGTATACTGGAGAGGCTGGCGAAGAATTATAGGTGAGGAAGAAGACAGGTCAGTTGGCCCATCATAATGAATTCACCAAGAATTACAACGACGGTTTTCCAGAGAACTGCACGAAGACCTATCTGATATAGTGTATTGCTAGCAATGATGACTTGGATGATTTGGATGATAATGGAACGGCATCCACCTATGCTAACAGTATACACTGGCAGATCATTAATAGAGGTTGCAATGATGAGAATGAAGACAGATCAGTAGGCTCATCGCGGCGAAATCACTATGAATTAAACACGATGTCTTCCGTGGAAGATCATCGAAGATACGCCCCGAACCACTGCTGGCAATATACCTTTTCAGCAATAGGATGCAAGTCCCATTGCTAGCAATTCCTCCCTCTCTCTCAACTCGTTGAAGGTTCTTCTTTTCATTTAAGAGTTTCCTCTTGTCGGTGCAACTAATTCATGCATCTTCCTCCAGCCAGTTCTATCCCAGGCCATATCCTTGACCTGCCTATACGACATGACACCTAGTTTTCTTTTATCTGTCCCATGTGGTTATTGCTCGGTCTTCTCCGAATAATTATAATTCTAGTGATATCTTGGCTACTGTATCAATATACACTAATGATAATAATAAATCAATGATATTTTTATTATTCTTATTAAAGGGTGAGGTACGACAGCGAATTTACAGGGTACAGAGGAATAACACCTGAGTCCTCAGGAATGGCAACGCATGGGGGGTATCATGGGCGAAACAGTATACTCTGTTATGTCCATGGTACTGCTCATGTCTATAGGCGACGGTTACCACTTTGCATCAGGTGGGCCGTCAGCTTGTTTGTCATTTTAAGGTGCATAAAAAAAAGATCATTAAGCGCATCATGACGAAATCAACAACAATTAACCATGGTGGTTTCTATGGGAAACCGCGTGAAAGTCAACCTGATAAGGCCACCACTAGCAATGGGATTACTATTCCCTATAACTGACAATTCCTTTTCACCAATAATTGTTAAAAGTAACAGAATGGACATGCACAGTGCGATCTCAGAGGAGCTTCCTACTGCAAAAACTCAAGTTGAGAAATTATCTTCCAGCAGGGGCTTTCCCTAGAGACTGCAGCATGGGGTTCTTCAAAAAGGGCGTATTAAGGTTTCTTAAGGGTTGCCAAAGCGCGCGTGACATCCCTGGTGTTACAGGCGTCCGTAGACTACGGTAACCCCGTTCACCATCAGACGAGCCGTATGCTTGTTTGCCTCCATAGTTGTATAAAAAAACTACCTGCAAATCAGCAGGACAACTGCAATCCTCACGCCGACTGGAGATCTTGCAGCATTCTGCAGGGTCTACGTACAGCACCGCCGTGGGCAGTACCAACTGGGATAGATCCACGTTGTTACCAGTGTAGTCCGTGAAGATCAGGTTCCAGCGATAGTCCCGGCGGACTAACTTCTCTTTGACGGCCTGAAGAAGTGTCATCGTCAATGGTGATCAAGGAAACTAAAAAATCTATGTTTGCATGGATGGATTTCAGTTTGAAGGGCGAGATATAGCAGCGAATTTACAGGATAGGTATTGCAACCCCTCCTGTGCTACCAATACACACTAGTGGGGCATCAGTAAGGGATAATAGATGAGGATAATGCAAGTCAGTTGGCCCATTGTTGACGAACTAAACAACAAATCAATCATGGTGGTTTCCAAGGGAAATCGCGAGGAGGTCAACTGATATATTGTTAGCAATGAGGTTGTTATTCCCCATTACTGACAATCCCTTCTCCCCTCATTTTTAAGGAGTAAGCTGTTAAGCCTCCGTCCCCTGGTATTTAGTTTCCTTCCAAATAGAAATATAGCCAAACCATGGGAGCATGACTGTAGCGGCAGAAACACGAGGTGAATTCTCGTATTTCTATCGTCAAGAAACGGTTTGAGATTTTATTTTTACATAGTCATTATAAGACAACCTTAATCACCCCCACCTTACCAGAAGGGGGGGCTAATTCCTTCTGAACGGCACTTGTGTACACTCTGAGATGTCTTTGCGAAGCTTCATTTATATCCTAGGGCTAGTACCAGACAGTTCTGAGGCTTCTCGAACCCCATTTAAAAAATGTCACAGTGGCAAACGCCATAAACTTACCCTTCTATATGTATCCATAACAAACCCATTGCCCCCCACAATAGCGTAGAAGCTCGGCTCCGGTCGCATGGTCTTCAACGCTCTAGCGGAGTCTCTGGTGAGACCAGCGTGCACCCACACTCGAACATTCGACCCTCCGAGGAGTTGATACAGCGTTCTATCCACGTCTGCAAATGAGAAGGAGCAACTAGCACTTTAACCGTGTAGGTCCCGGCATGAAATAGGCCACTCCTTCCTTTCCCGTGGATGTCGTAAGAGGCGACTAAGAAACTTATGGTGGAGACTTGGGCAGCAGCGTGCCTCTTGAAATATCACTAAAAGCCAAACTGCGGTTGCCAATCCGCCCGCCAAGCGTGACAACTACTGGCAAAACCGCCCTTTGACTACGTTTAGCAGTAGATAGTTGATAAGTAGGTCCAGGCATGGAATAGGCCACCCCTTCCTCTCCCGTGGGTGTCGTAAGAGCCGACTAAGGAAGGGAGTCGGATGGGCAGCAACGTCCCTCTTAAAACATCACTAAAAGCCAAACTGCGGTTGCCAACCCGCCTGCCAAGTGTGGCAACTAGCAAATTCCCGTTATAGGGGAGGCTATATAAGGAATATGTAGAAAATAATATATAAAAACGGAAATTAGAAGTGCCAGAGGAGAGCGATCGAGATGGAGAGAATGACAGCAGAAATGAATGTAAGAAGTAAACGTCGCTGTCATGTCTGTACGACCAGTCCGAAAGAAAGAAAGAGGTGAAATATCTATGTACAATTTATATTAACCTATTTGATGGAAAAGGAAGTAATGATGCTGATAAGTGGCTATGAGTTAAATATGTACAATATTTATTTACAGACGCCACAGTCTTGTTACACGTGTATGCATAGATATCATACCACTTTCACTCTCCAAGAGTATAGCAGCGTCGGTGGCATTTCTCGACTCCAGGTAACTGTCCAGGGCTGTCAACAGCTGCTGTGAGCCGAGGAGAGTCCTCACTAACGGCAACCCTGAGTCCACGGCCAGCTGTGCTGCCACCTCCCAAGGGTACCACGAGACGTCGATTATCATGGACGCTCCCTTTGAAAGGGAGGCGCAAACTGGAAAAGTTTTTATCAGCTTTAACTTGCAATACATAATTGTTTGTTAGGTCATTAGCAAGCTGAATTCCAACCATATCTTGGCATTCGATTGAATATACATCTGCGTATACCTTTAGTTCTGATACCAACGCAATATGCAATACTAGATAGTAAAATATCTTCAAAATGGCCGCCGCCACAAGATGGCGGATAATGTATAATTTTAGTGCTAATATTTTATTTTAATTTTAATACCTTCTTCAGGTATATCAGCTCTATCCTGCCCTGAACTGATTTCTCAAATAAAGTTTTATCTACTTTTACTACTTACGGAAAGAGAAGAATGTATGGGTATCAACAATTTACAGAGATGTTCCAAAATTTCTGATTTATGTTCAGCTAGTATATTTAATAAAACCATTTAATTTATTTAGAACAAACTGACACATTAATTCTTCTTTCCTTCGAGTTTATAATGGATAGCGTTAACTTGAAGAGTAAGTAACGATAAATAAATGGCATTCTAATTTTAAAATGGCCGCAACCACCAAATGGCGGATTACATTATAAAAACTCATTTTTAAATAGTTTTTAAACAGGCTTTTTTAATATACAATAACATGTCATTTCAACTGATTTTAAGAAGATGTGTTTCTCAATTTAGCAGTATTTGTTACGTGTATATTAGCCACAAGTTTTATTACCGATTTTAGTGGTCCTTTTTTTATTTGATAAACTAATATAGAATTATACCTTTACCAGTGACCCGCCCTAAGCCCGAGCATATATCGTCATAGTCGTAGAATACTGACGGATCTTTATATGTAATATTCGTTAGAAATAGGTTTATTTTCATACAGCTATAAACTACTGGCCGGTTGTAATTTAAAAAGATATGTTTTTAAATTTAGTTGACACACTGTTAGAAACAATCGTTGCTTCACTGTATTTGCTCTTCTATTAAATTTTATCGTACTTTTATATTATGTTTATCCTATTCCCTTCCACTACGGAAATATAAGCTGATATCTCAAGCTAAATACCAACAAATATTCGTCAGATCCGTCAGTATTCTACGACTATGACGATATGCTTACATTTTTTACATCAGCTTGTTACGTCGAGTACGAATTAGATGGGTATAGTAAGCTATCCTTAAAAGATAGACATATGTCATCGTAGACTTTTTTATAGACCAATAAAAGAGAAACAATCCCACCATACATTGTTTTGTTATATCTCCAACGGATCAGGCAGCGTTTTCGATAAGAACTCCCAGTCGACTTAATGTATTCCGACGTCTTTTTTTTTATACAACTTAGAATGGCAAACAAGCTGACGGCCCACCTGATGGTAAGTGGTAACCGTCGCCTATACACATGAGTAGTAACATGGACATAACAGACTATACTGTTTCGCCCACGATACCCCCCATGCGTTGCCATTCCTGAGGACTCAGGTGTTATTCCTCTGTACCCTGTAAATTCACGCCAAAATCAAAATCCGTTGAGTAGTTTAAAAGATCTAAGCGTAAAGACAGCGAGAAACGACTTTATTTTATACTATATAAAGATTGCTGTTTAATACTAACGTCTTCTTGAACTCTCATCTTCATTTTCCCTATCTAGGAACACCACGGAATCAGCAACCTTGATCTCTGGGTGCTGCTCCTCAACCAGCCTCAACGCTCTTCCAATTTGCTGGGGCAAATCTTGATCCTGGGCTTCAATTATGAAAACTGGACATACATAGTTAAAGCCAGATGAAATTAAAGTCTAATTTAATAAAATTTCATCATCATCATCATTCCGGCCTTCAACTATCCACATTTTTTTTTGATGGGTGAAAATGGTACGGTATCCCCGCCTGCGCTAACGGGATACGCTGGCGGAGCACCAGTGAAGGGTATTACCCTTTGTTGTTGTCTATCCTAAGCGTGGCAACTGCTGGTAAAAATCCTCTTATAAAGAAGAGAAGGTTTATGTTCAGTAGTGGATAGGTGAGGGGGAAAGGGATTGTTAGTAATGGAGACTGAGAATCCCATTGCTAGCATTATACCCAACCAGGTCGACCTCCTCGCGGTTCCCCCTGGAAACTATCATGGTTAATTCCTGATGAATTCATCATGACGGGCTAACTGGCCCGTTTTCATTCTCATCTATCACCCTTCACTGGTGCTCCGCCAGCGTATCCCGTTAGCGCAGGCGGGGTTACCATACCATTTTCACCCATAAAAAAAACTCATTTGAAACAAAAAAAAAAAAGCGGGAAATAACCGAATTAGCTGAATTGTTCCAACCGTTTTCCACTTTCACTCTTAACCACACATTAAACGATTTATTTTCAATTATATATAAATTAAAAATGTATCCGTGAATTTTTACAATAAAACAAACGTGAAAAAAAAAATGCGACAATATTGCAGAGTGACAGCTACTTTTCAATCGACTTTAAAAAGAAGATAGTTCTCAATTCGATTGTATTTTTTTCTACGTCCGTCACCTCCGTCAGTTGTAAACCGACCTTATTTCAGTAAAATATTTATAAACCGATTTGGAAAATGATATATTTTTTTATAGAACATAATCTATAGCAATTAGATTTACGGAAAATATTTTTATATCGCGAATTATTTATTTGTTGTATATATTATTTATTATACCATCTCGTACTGAATCTTTCTTTCATTATATATATATATATATATATATATATATATATATATATATATATATATATATATACCTTAATCTACTTGTTATAATATTTTCTCAAACATGCTTGGAAATGTGAGCATTATTTTGACAATCTTCTTAGAGATAAATCAAAATTGCCGTACTGGCCAGATAACATACATGCGGGCAGCGGCCGGCAAAAGTTGCATGAAAATCCATATCTGTCGTGTTTTGCGGCCAGATAAATTACTATGTAAACTCATATCGGTCCTGTAATTTAAAAATGGAATGACCTAAAGGTCTTCGAAACATGGCTACCAAGGAGGTAACTAATAAAAGGTTTTATTTAAATTTCGAACTGGCTTGCAAATAGAAAGCTGTTTATTGAAAAAAAAACAAAGGAACATTATGGCGCGTGAAAAATTATTATTGTTCGTTATTCGTCATTGAACTTAAAAAGTAAAATTGTGTTTTTGATTTTCGCGCAATGTTTGATAAAAGTACTATACAAGCCTTGGCCACAACTAGGCATTGATGGACTCACGTATGTGTGCTTCGGCTACGCCTCGGCCCACATTTGCACGTTCGTCCATCAATACCTCAGTTGCTGGCCGCTGCAGTAATGTACTACAGATACATACTTTTCAATTGGAAATTAAATAAATCTAATATTACTTACCAAACCTAAGACTTAATTCAGCAGCAATACAACTCAAATTAAAAAATAATATAATTAAAAACAGAACGTATATCTCCATTCCTTAATTATTACAATATTTACAATTACAATTATTAATTTTATTAATTAAAATAGCTGCAATGTATTCTTGCAGTAAGTACGGTATAAATAAAGTCATCAACACATAAAATAATATTCTTAACTTTTCCAACATTACATATTTAGGCACACATTGCCAATGCGCAAAATAAAAAAACATTAAATCATAAATGAAGCGATGAAATACTTTTTACTCTATCGCTGACACTGTTAAAATTAAAAAGAAATTTATTAAAACATGAAGGAATGAACGTTATCGTTGCCACTATTAAAAAATAAAAAGAAATTTATTAAAACAAAATGGAACGAACGTTATCGTTGCCACTATTAAAAATTAAAAAGATATTTATTAAAAAATAAAATTGTGATGCAAAGGAGTGACACTTCTGTAGGTATTAAGCGCGCTTCGAAATTTACTATTCTAAATTTTTCAGATGCCATAACCGTAGTAAAAGCTTAAAACTATTACGATTTTAGTATGAATAATTAACAATAGAGTTTAGGTTGTTTGTAAACTTTCGAACAGTTAACGGCCGTTTATATCTTAGCACACAGTGTAAATGATCGCTACGATTATATATACATATTTGCATTATATATATGCATATATATTATGTATTAATATAATTATATATACATATTATTTAATATAATTATATATAAATAGTGTTGTTATATTTAATAACTCGATTACAATATATAAAAAGCTGATTAGGTTATAATATGAAGAATTCAATGTTACAGTATTTGCATATATATACATATATATATATATACTCGATGGTTTCCAGGGGGGACCACGTGGAGGTAATCTGGTTAAGTATATTGCTAGCAATGGGAGTAGGCGTTCGCATTACTAACAATCCTTCCCCCCCCCCTTTTTTTTAAGTATGTTAACACTTTGAATATTAAGAAGTTATAGAAATAAATTTATTTTTTAATTATACGTTGGTATAATTAATTACCAGAGGGAGACTTTGTACAAAAGTCGATTGCTTGGGTATCTCTGTCCCATTCGTGTTTCAACCGTGAAGCAGTTGTGTTTGCATGGCTTTGTTTCGGTTTGAAGGGTGAGATATGGCAGTGAATTTACAGGGTACAGATGAATAACACCTGAGTCCTCAGGAATGGCAACGCATGGGGGGGTATCATGGACGAAACAGTATACTCTGTTATGTCCATGGTACTGCTCACGTCTATAGGCGACGGTTACCACTTTCCATCAGGTGGGCCGTCAGCTTGTTTGCCATTCTAAGTTGTATAAAAAAAAAAGTCGCAAGTGCTCGCTCGGCCTAATCCATATCCGTATAATAATAGTAACATAGTTTCCACATTATATGTAGTGATTGATACTTGTTCATATTTTATTCATTGTGAGGCGTGATTCTAACGGTTTAAAGTTAACAATGTTACCCTTTGTTTGGTTTTCCGTACAGCCGACTGGTAAAGTGGTAATAATTCCTTCATACGCCACCTACCCACTTCTATTTATTTATTTATTCATTATAATAATAATAATAATAATAATAATTTATTTCAAAAATAAATGTTACATTTTAAATATAGGTAAAACTCTGCTCCCTAAATAGGTAAATCCTGTACTTTAGGATAAGCAGTGCTCTTCCCTATATGGCACAATGACACAAAATTATACAAATAAAGAAACAATACAAGTTAAGGTACTAATACGGTAATAATTTAATTTGCCCAAAATAATATTTTGTAAATGAAATCTTGACTGTGTAATTTGTGAATGTATGGAATGGATGAGTTATTTTAAAATGGCAGTCATAACCTAACATACTACTAATAACAAATCCTCAGTTTCATCATATGTCTTACTTAATAGCCAATTACTAACAATTCTTTTGCATATATGTTTAGTTTTTGAATATATAGATAATTCCTTATTTGCCTTTTTATATAAATATGGTCCCAAAAATAATAAAAACTTCCGAATAAATGATGTGTGAAATTTATTATAACTTTTTAAAGCTTGAACATCATTAACTCTTCTTTTATGCTCAGAAATATTTGCATCAAACTGATATATAGAATGTTGTTTACTTATAGTATTAAGAATATATAATTTACGGACAGAAAGAACATTACATTTTTGGTATAGCAAGTTTGTGGGATATTGAAAATCATAGAAATTAATAACCTTTAAAACAGCTCTCTGTGCAATCTCAAGATTTATTAGAACTGTCTTAGGAGCACCACCCCAAGCAACTATACAGTAGGTCAAAAGGGACTGACACAATGTAGTATAAGTTAGTTTTAGAATTTTCATATCTGCAACTTGCCTCAGACGTTTGAAAATGTAAATAAGTTTCCTAATTCTACAAGTTAATTTATTTATATGCTGTTTAAATGTTAAATTATTATCAATAAATACACCTAAATATTTTATTAGCTGTGTTCTTTCCAAAGATTTACATGAGCATGTTCTATTGTTTTTTAGATGTAATGGTAAACAAGTATGGGCAGTAATACATAAATTAACAGACGGTTGAGTAGACTCCCGGATGGAAAATGCAAGATATTTAGTTTTTTCTGTATTTAGAGATAGAGTATTATTAGTAAGCCATTGTGTGACTTCATTAATTCCCTCATTTGCAGCACGAAATACCTCCTCCCAAGTATCTGCAGTGAAAAGGAGAGCCGTATCATCGGCATAACATATGATATTACCATGGAGGGGTTTCAGTTTACATAGATTATTTATATAAATTAAAAATAAAGTAGGGCCAAGAATACTGCCCTGAGGGACACCATAGGTTATGGGAAGAGGTTTACTCCTATAATTGCCTATTGCAACCATTTGTGTTCTATTTGAAAGATAACTCTCAAATAGTGCAAGCTGAGTACCCCTTATTCCACTTTTCTCCAGTTTATGTAAAAGTGTAGTAACAGAGACCGTGTCAAAAGCCTTAGCAATGTCCAAGAAGATCCCCAGGCATTTTTTACCCTGATCTAGGCTACTAGATATAAAATTTAACATCTCTTCCACTGCATCATCAGTGGACCTTCCTGAACGAAATCCAAATTGATTATCTGACAAAATTTTATTTTTCTCAAGAAATTTTATTAGTCTAATATTAATAATACGTTCTAATATTTTAGATAGAGACGGAAGAATTGAAATTGGTCTATAATTTATTACACGGTCTCTATCACCACTCTTGTGAATTGGATAAAGTAGGGAAATTTTTAGTGCATCCGGAAAAACACCCTGGCTAAGACATAAATTAAATATGTAAGTTAAATATGGAATTAATTTATTTTTAAATTTTTTAAGAATTACATTAGATATGTTATCCCATCCAACTGAACAATCATTTTTTAGGTTCATTATTAATTGTGAGATTTCATTTTCGTCAGTACTGAGCATAACAAAAGAATTAAAATAATTATTACCGGAAGAAACATAAGGAATATTAAGATAATTTTGTCTAGTCTGGGGTATCTTTCCTGCAAGATTTTGGCCTACATTTGCATAATAGTCATTAATTTCATCAACTGATAGCTGGGGATCATTTAAATTTATAAGCTCATGAGGTGGTTGTTTATTTTTAGCACTATGAGTTATATTTTTTAAAGTTTTCCATAATTTTTTACTATCATTACCAGCTTTACTTAATTCTTGTCTTTCATATTCAGTTTTAACCTTCTTTATAATATCATTACAGAAATTACGATATCGATGGTAAGTTAAACGGATAGTTTCATTATCTGGAAACTTTTTATGTTTTCTATGTAGTTGATCTTTATTCTTTATACATTTTAGTAAACCAGGAGTAATCCAAGGTTTTAAGATTCGTTTAGACCTAGGAACTTTATACGTAGTCGTGTGTTTATTAATCAATGACTGTAGATTAGAAATTAAAAAATTAATGGCATCATTTGGATCGGTAATTTGAAAAATAGACTCCAAGTCAAGATTTTCTATATTTTTGCTAAAACTTATCATATTTAATTTTGAACGAATTGGATCGGAGACATTTACAATCTGATTAAATGATAAGCATAGTAACACTGCTTTATGGTCCGTTAATGTTGATTGAAGTACAATAGTTAAGGCTCGACTCTTAGATTTTAGCATCACATGATCTAAACATGAATTACTTTTATCACGTGTTACGAAAAGGTGTGCTGGAAATAAACCATGTGTTGCCAAAAGAGTCAAATACTGAACTGATCTATGATCCTCACAATCATTTGTTATATTTATATTAACATCTCCCATTACCGCAATGTTATTGAATGTTTTTAGTTTCGACAAAATTAAATTAAGTGATTCAAGGAATTGTTCAATATTGCAGTAAGAAGGCGATCGATAAATAGCTATTATGGCATACTCAGATCCAAACTCCATTACAAGAGCATTACCGTGTTTAAAAGTCGGTTCTTCTATATTAATATTGAGAGTATTTTTCCAATAGATGATGACACCCTCATTCTGATTGTGATAGATTTTGTTTGCACAGTGATTATATCCTTTAAGAGTTGGAATTACAGGGGAGAATGATAACCAACATTCAGTTAAAATCAAAATGTCAACATCTACGTTAATTTGCGCCAATAGCACCACAAGGCCATCAAAGTTCTTACCGATACTGCGAACATTTTGAGTTAAAATTTTTAAACATTTTTCTTTAGGAACAAAGTCAATACACTTTTCCGTGTCACATACCATAGATTTAGATACCTCAATCTGATCCAAATCATCAGCAATATTATTTAATATATTGAATTTTAAAAATAAAAATAAATGAACCATTTTTTTTCTTAATGATAAGTAATGATATCACCGACTTCAAAATCTGAGCCATTTTTAAGTTTTTAGACAAAAAGGCAAACAAATATAAGACCATTTTAAAACAGACAGATGTAATATGATGAGATATATGTGATGTAAGTTGTTGTGTAAATGCATGTACTTTTCTAGAAGTAAATGTGGATAATTTAACAGCAGATTTGCTTAATATGTTAATACTATAATAATTACTACATATAATAAAATAAGTAAGATCAAAGTAAACCAGAATAAAATTAAATGCGACAAACAACAAGAATTCATTAGTACATATATGTGTACATGGCGGACTTAATGCTAAAAGCATTCTCTCCCAGTCGACCATAGGCAAGTGTCAGAATACTCGAATGCGGTACTAGTAATTATTGATATACATACATACTAAAATTACATATATAAACGAATAAATATATATAAATAACCAATATACTTACACATATATGACATATACTATATTATACACGAAATTGAGAATAATATAAAGTACTTACTGTTCGGATAAAGTAAAAAAGTGGTTTATAGTTAGTCATTAGTCATTTATAAAAATTAAAACTTAGTAACTAGCTTATTCAAAAATATTAACGTTATAATTGCCTTATTAGGGGGGAAAGGGATTGTTAGTAATAGAGACTGAGAATCCCATTGCTAGCAATATACCCAACCAGGTCGACCTCCTCGCGGTTCCCCCTGGAAACTATCATGGTTAATTCCTGATGAATTCATCATGATGGGCTAACTGGCCTGTTTTCATTGTCATCTATCACCCTTCACTGGTGCTCCGCCAGCGTATCCCGTTAGCGCAGGCGGGGTTACCATACCATACCAAAAAATGCCTTATTAGAATTACAACGGTTTAAATTTATTATTGTCCTAATTTATTATATATTCTTTATTGCACTTGTAAATTACAATGTTAATGCATTTATAAATATTGTGAGCAAGGGTGGACTTATCTCTGACAGAGATCTCTTCCAGTCAACCCAATGCAGTTAGAAAACATGTTGCTAGCGGGCAGCTGAAGTGCTACAACTATTAATATTTAGTATACATAAACAAATATACAGTTAAATAAAATATTAATTATAAATAAATATAATATCTACTTACTTATACAGTGGATGTTAAAATAAATGAATATACTACCTAGAATAGAAATTTAGTTCAATGATTTCAAAGTTTGACAGTTCAATTATAAAAATAAATAAATTATGACTCAAAGGAAAGAAAATGTAACTTCAACCTTTTCTTGAAAGAGGTAATTGAAGGGCTCTCTTGTATGTGGGAAGGGAGTTTGTTCCATAATTGAGCAGCTCGATACGAGAAAGAGTTGCCCATAAAATGTGTTCTACACAAAGGTAGGTCGAGAATCCTGGACTGAACTTGACAGGAGCGTTTAGGACGGATTGGTGGTGGTAATAATTTAAATCGAGAGCGGAGGTACGAAGGAGAATTGGGGTTATTAAGTATGTTATAAAGGAAAGAAAGGATGTGCATATCACGTCGAAGTCGGATAGGAAGCCACTTTAACTGGTTGCGAAAGGCAGAAACGTGATCATATTTACGAAGACCAAAGATGAACCTATTGGCCAGATTTTGTAATCGTTCCAGCTTGTTTAGAAGCTCCTCAGTCACATCCAAAAAACAGACGTCGGCATAGTCAAGTATTGGGAGTAGTAGAGATTGTGCGAGCATGATTTTAGTATTTACTGGGAGAAAGTATTGAAGTCGCTTGAGAGAGTGAAATGTAAAGTGCATGCGTCTACTGAGCTCATTTATATGACATGTCCAAGATAGAGTGCCGTCCATTATGAGACCAAGGTTCTTAACCTTCTCGCTATATGCCACTGGAACTCCATCGTAGTAAAGTGGCGGTATCCCGGTCCAATTCAACCTGCATCGCATCCTGCTGCTGCCAATAATGATAGCTTGTGATTTAGCAGGATTTACGAGAAGACCAAATGTGTTAGCCCACGATTGTATTGCAGATAAATCCGTATTTAAGACAGCAATGGCATCAGACACTTCGGACAGTGCAAAGTGTCTGTAAAGTTGTAGATCATCCGCATACAGATGGTAGGGAGAATTAATGATCCGAGAAATATTGTTTATAAAAATTGAAAAGAGTAAAGGAGACAGCACGCCACCTTGAGGTACACCGGCAGTGAGTGGAGACCAATCCGATGAAGCATCATTGGCTCTGACACACTGCTGACGACCGAAAAGATAGGAAGAAAACCATTCAATAGCAGGAGAGGATACGTTTACTACACGGAGCATGGCAAGCAAAATGTCAAAATCTACTGAGTTAAAAGCGTTAGTAAAGTCAAGAAGAACAATAGCTGTGAGATTAGTGTCATCCATGGCACTTACTTACATTTATATACATAATTATTGATTATAGTGTTGTTAAAATTGTCAAGAGGGTATTCAGAATATTATGGCTTACTATTTAATATGTTAAAATAAATGTATTAATCCTAAAATCGTTTTTTAATAAATAGCGAATGCAACATAAACATTCCATTGAAAACGCAATCAAATTGTTTGATAAATAGTACATTAGAAAACGTAAGTGCGAGGGTAGAAGATACAGTACATCGATGCAAACAAAACATAGCAGCGGACACGCAAGCGAGTGCGACCGGCGTGAACATAGCCAATAGTCATAACACAGTCTCCCGTCCATTCCATAGTAGTGGAAAAACCATTTGCTCATATAGCTTCTGGTGGAAAATGGAAAAATGGAAAAAAGTCAGAAGATTGGATAGTTGTACAAAGAAACAAACTTAGAAATAGATTTATGGGGAAAAGAGGACAAACGAGTACAGAACCGGAGGGAAAATTTTGAGCAGCAAATGTAAAGATACCGCTTTTTATTGTATTTATTTATTTAACTCTTTATTGCACCATAAATAAAAATATACAATGACAAGTAAATAATTCAAGTGAAATACAATAACATAAATACAGATTGAAATATACATATAAAGGTACAAAAGGCGGTCTTATTGCTAGGGCGATCTCTTACAGACAAGCTTTGTTTAAAGGAGAACAGATAGAAGTGGGTAGGTGGCGCAAGAGGGAATTTTATAACTAGTGTTGATAAAAATAGTTCCATAGAGGACAAATCTTTATATATTTTGCAAAAAACTAATGTGTCCGTAACGCTAGAAGAAATTTGCATGAAATTTCAGAAGGAATATGATGCGTTTAAAATATTATATTTGTAACGCAAAGTAAATTTTATTGGTAATTCATTTGCATATCGTGCTGTACAGCTGTGGAATAAACTTCCCGTGAGTATTCAGAATAGCCCGTCCAGCAGTTCCTTCAAAAAAAGATTAAAATCCTTCAAAATACAGTAAATATTAATGAGAAGTGATACAAAAGGCGGCCTTATCGCTAAGCAATCCCTTCCAGACAACCTTTGGGTAGAGGACATTGAGAAAAAGACAAAGAATTCACGCACTGCTTAGGCGAGATCTGTGCAATTGTAATGACTCGCAGACTGTATTTGTTCTTGGTGATTACAATGCGCACTTAGATGGACAATTCGGTAAGGAGCTTTACATTTTTGTACAGAACAACAGCTGTTTTTTTTTTCTTATACAACTTAGAATGGCAAACAAGCTGACGGCCCACCTGATGGAAAGTGGTAACCGTCGCCTAATAAACATGAGCAGTACCGTGGACATAACGAATGGGATAGAGGTGCCCAACCAAACAGCTTTTGTACAAAGTCTCCCTCTGGTAAAAGGTACCTACGTGAATAGTTACTTACATCAAATAATCTTTCAAAACTGCACTTTCGTATTGTATTGTACTTCAATGAATTATTTACAGAACGGTGTTATAACTGCTCGCTGGTTTAAATTATGAGCAAATTGCCGTGGGAACGTTTACAAGTGGCCGTCTTGAAGCGACCTCATCGGCAACTTAGACGTTTATTTATTTAGGCAATATAATTAAATTGAAAAACAAGATTGTAAGGGTGTCCCCGTACGAAAAACAGGGCCTCTAGAAAAATGACAAACGAATTCGTCGATGGAATCCCAATCGATAGCGAGTGGGGGGAAAGGGTATGTTAGCAATGGAGTTTGACAGCCCCATTGCTAGCAATATGCCCTGTCAGGTCGACGTGGTTCCCTCTGGAAACCACCGTGAACAATTCTTGTTGAATTCGTCACGATGGGCTAACTGACCTGCTTCATCCTCACCTATTCCTACTTCACTGGTGCCCCGCCGGTGTATACCGATAGCGCGGGTGGGGTCACTATTTCATTATCACCCATAAAAAAAAATCGACAGCGAGTTCGTGAGATAGAATGAGATAGCAACGCCGGATGACTCATTCCAACTCATGGACTCGCTAGCGATGTCGATTCCATTGACGAATTTGCTCGTTACTTTTTTTTTACAACACACGGGGCAAACGAGCATGCGGCTCACCTGATGGTAAGTGACTACCGCCGCCCATGATCACCCACAACACTAGCGGCATTGCAGGTGTGCTGCCGGCCTTTTAAAAAAGAATATGCTCTTTTCTTGAAGGTTATGTTGTCGTATCGGTTCGGAAATACTTGTTTAGAGGGCCAGGTCAACTTAAGACCTATGTCCACCAGTGGACAGTTATTCGCTGATATGACGAATCATTGCTAGATTGTACAAATAGAGTATCTTCTAAGGAGGGAAGGGATTGTTAGTGATGGAAACTATGGACCCTATTGCTAGCAATATACCCAAGCAGGTCGACCTCCCCGTGGTCTCCCCTGGAAACCATCGTGACGAATTCCAAGTGTATTCATCACGATGGGCTAACTGATGATGTGCCCCGCCAGCGTATACCGTTAGCACGAGCGGGGTTACCAATTATCATCCATTAAAAAAAAATAGAGTACCTCCATACAAATGCTTTCCCAAAAACAGGCCAACTTTAAATGCGTATATTTAATCCGTCTAGCAATTCCTTCAATAAAAGTTTAAAATCATTTTATCTTTCCAATTTCGCTTTAATACTTTATTACTACTATTCTTGATTAGAAGACTTTCATCATTGTGTACATACATACATATATATATATATATATATATATATATATATATATATATATATATATATATATATATATATATATATATACATATATATATATACAGTCAGACTTCAGCTTGTTTGCCATTCTAAGTTGTATAAAAACAAGTAACAAACTCGTCATTGTCTCTACAAAACCAGATATAAGCTGAGAAATAATACACATACATAACAATAGCAGGTGTAGGTAATAATAAAACAGCATATAATTTAATATATAATAACTATTTATGCAAGTATATAAATGTTACATCAAGAAAAAAAAATAATTCATTTATCTAACTCACAAAATTAAGGAAAATAATATAATTAATATACCTTAAAAACAACATACAACCTCATTCTACTCGTATTTTCTTTTTTAATTTTACCATTGGGAACACGCACACACGGCTAATTTTTTTTTTAATTTATTGTATAAAAAGGTTCGTTATTTGCAAATAATGAAATAGAAAAAAAAAATTGTTTATGCCCGCTCGGTTTTGTAAGTCGTCGTAACCCTGGCGTTTACATTATTCTTGGTTTTTTATTAAATATTTTTTTAATTATTTTTAAAAACCTTTGTTCTATATTTCTATTTTAATCAAATTACTGTTATTGTAATGGGCAGTCGAAAAAAAAAGAAAACAAACATACAAATAAACACAGGCTCTGTTGAATAAATCCGACAGGGTAAATTTTTTTACCGGATTGCATTTAATAAGAAGTATATTTATTTTGATGCTTTTTACTTACAGAGTAACTTTTTAACCGCCTCAGTTAAACTTTTCCGCCTTAATAAATATAAAGTTCGTAATCAATAAATCGATTCAAAGTGCAAACAGTAAAGGCGGGAAAAGTTAAACTTGGCGGTGGCATATTGGACAACACTAGCTCATTACAAATAAAAAAAAAAAGTAGTTTTTTTTATGACTCATCTAATACAGAATTACAGAACAAAAAAAGAAATATTGTTAAATGTAAATATTTAAAAAATAAAAAGAACGTTTGACAGCTAACATGTTAGCGCGCCAATTTCAGTCTATTTTTTTAATATTACACCCACTCACAGACGTTACAGATAAACTCCTTTATAGAGTTAACCATAGACTAAACAAAAAAAAACTGCGCGCCAAAATTGAATCTGACAACATGACGTAGAAATAATGTATTATTAACGTAAGAAATGAATACATTGATTGTACTATAATCGCAGATAGACACAGTATTGATCTGCCGCACTATTCATTATCTGTACTTCTTTCCCAGTAATATAACTACAAACTTTTTTACTAGATAAAAAAAAGCAGCCATGTATGTGGTTCCTGAACTTAAAAACCGAATTCCTTTTATATTTAAAAAAAAAAAAGTTATTTCTCAAATTTGCATTGTTGTGTAATATTTTTTTTTCTGTTTACGCTATGTTTCCCTTACAACTAGTCATTTTTCAACGCTGCGTTTTAAATTTACAATGTTTGGGTCCGTTTAGTGTATATTTCGCTAAAAATTGATATATTTTTTTATTATTATTACTATTATCAAGATTTCTGACGCAAAAATTCTATCAAAAAAACTAAATTACTCAGTTACACCATGCAAATTGATATTATTTACAATTTTTTTTTTAAATCCGATTTTTTTTACTTTATAAGAAAAAAGTCAAGTCCGAATGTCCTCAGTCGAGATTCAAAACCGGTACCGATCCTTGAGGTATCGTTTTGGTATCACTAAAGGAACCCAAATTTGCGCAGAACTATGGACAGAGCGTTTGCTCCACAACTTAAAAACTACCTATCCAAATCTCTCTATGAAATAATCTAATTTATACAGATTTTCCATACACCCAAAAGAAAAATAATCCTATGCTACAGAAAGATACCAGAGTTTTAAAAAAATCTATCAACACATCACTACCTTGTGGTATAAAATTTCCATAAAAAATTTTCCACTCAGAAGTCCAAACTCCGGCGGATCAAGTGCGCTGCCGTTAAAAAAAAAACCGGTATATTTTCACCGGTATCACTGCGCCACCGAGCCGCCGCAGGGACCCGCTAAATACATCTAATAAAACTTGTTACTGTTGAAGAAATGTCAATTTATATTTAATTTTAAAATGAATAAATGCGCGTTCCGTTCCACGAGGAATTCCCCCGATACGATATCTCTTTATTCTCATTAAATGGCAAAATTCAGTCGCGTAACGGAACGTTAGATTTGCGATACCACCCAGTCGGCTGTTATTAAAATATCTATTTTGGCTCAGTTTCTTTTTTTTTTAAACAAGTACCGAGAATAAAATATAATTACATTAATCATTATTTATACAAGATAATTCAACTAACATCATTGCGAATTAATACTAATTAAATAAAATAATTAATACAAATTATTTATTGAAATAATAAACAGCTTTATTACGGTTTGTGTATGATTAAAAAAATAAAAATAAAAAAAAAATTCAAGACGCAAGTTGGCGCCAATCATGACACAATACAATAAGTATTAACGTTCCAATTTTGAATTCAACACAGTAAAAAGACATTTAATGTAAAATATTGGAAGATATTTGAATAATGCGTCATCTAACAGTCGCTTGACCGAACAGACGTTTGACGGCACTCCATCTAGTGACAAGGTCATGTTCAGCCCTCATTTACGCGAGAGTAATTTTGCCGCAAGGATCACGCATTCAGAGACATGGAGAGTTGAAAATCAACAGCGGTGCCACCTACTTACCCAATTTTAAAACCAGTTAAAGATAGGAAGAAAACTTCTACGGAGCTTGCTGCTGCCTTATCCGAAGAGGCTGGAAAGTCGATAATCGCTCGAACAGCAAGAAGACTCGGAGAAGCGGGACTAAAGGGTTGTAAAGCCAGAAAGACGCCATAGCCTTCAGAAGGTAACAAAAGAAGTCTGCTAGAATGGGCTTTACGACACCAACACTACGGAGAAAGAGTGTATGTGGTCCGAGGAATCCAAATTCGAGGTCAGTTTATTTTATAGTTATCATTTTTTTTTCTATACAACTTAGAATGGCAAACAAGCTGACGGCCCACCTGATGGAAAGTGGTAACCGTCGCCTATAGACATGAGCAGTACCGTGGACATAACAGAGTATACTGTTTCGCCCATGATACCCCCCATACGTTGCCATTCCTGAGAACTCAGGTGTTATTCCTCTGTACCCAGTAAATTCGCCATATCCCACCCTTCAAATCGAAACACAGCCATGCGAACACAACTGCTTCACGGTTGAAACACGAATGGGACAGAGGTACCCAAGCAATCGACGAATATTACGATCTTCTAAGTTATAGCAATTTAGAACATATTTATTTATTTATAGCAAGGCAACAGATTACAAATTAATACATTTATAAAATAAATATTACATAAAACATCATCAAATTTGCACTCCGACAACTGCACTGCATTACATTCGATATTAGAAACATTAAAAGAATGACGGCTGTAGATTTAAAGTAACAAATTGGCAGCCTTAATGTAACATTGCAAGGATCGCTGGAAAATATGTATATATTTGTCTCACTTAATACTTGTAGGTATTTGGAGCACCAGATCACGAAGGTCACCTTCGTGAGGCGACGTATGAACGTAGGGTACCACCCAGATTGCATTGTACCGACTGTTAAGCACGCCGGAGGCAGTGTAATATGTTTTTATAAGACATATTGAATAAATTATTAGGTGCCCAATGTTTTTAACTACAGCCGTATATTATGTAGATATATTACTGCTTGTTTCCATAAAAAATTTGCTACGAAACAATGAGAAACGACAGCTTCTATCGTCACAAAATTATTGGTAAGCCGTATGTATCGATTGCAAAAATAATCACGGAAATCGGTTAAAAAATTGTGACATAGTCAATCACGTGACACAAAAACATTCGGACGAATTGTGACTTTTGTCTTTGAAAACTTTGCCCAACGACACGCGATAGTTACTATTCAACGTTTATATCTCTCTCTGCTCTGTGGTCCCGGCATAGAATGGACCAGCCATTCCTTTCTCGTGGGTGTCGTAAGAGGCGACTAGAAGAGGGCGAGGAATGGACAGCAGCGTCCGTCTAAAAACACCTCCAAAAACCTAACTGCGGTTACCAACCCAAGCTAAGCTATTAGGGGAGAAAGGGATTGTTAGTAATGGAGACTGAGAATCCGATTGCTAGCAATATACCCAACCAAGTCCACCTCCTCGCGGTCCCCCCCGGAAACTATCATTGTTAATTCCTGATGAATTCATCATGATGTGCTAACTGGCCTGTTTTCATTCTCATCTATCACCCTTCACTGGTGCTCCGCAAGCGGATCCCGTTAGCGCAGGCGGGGTTACCATACCATTTTCACCCATCAAAAAAAAAACCCCCAAGCTAAGCGTGGCAATTACTGGCAAAACCCTCGTTTATGGGGGAGGCCTAGTCCTGTCCAGCAGTGGACAGTTCACGGCTGGCATAATTATGACCCCTCTCTGATTACGCCATCCTCGCGGTAAAATAACTCCCGTACTGTAAACAACGTTTCATCGCATCTGTTTTTTTGTGTAAGAAGGCGCCAAACAAGCGTACGGTACACCTGATGGGAAGTGACCACCGCAGCCCATGGACACTGACGACACCATGGGAATAGTAAATATGTGGTCCGGTCTCTCTCGTTTCGCCTTTTCTTTACTGGATCTACCTTTATTTACAACTGTGTTATATTTTATAGCTTAACTTATAAAACCATATCCTTTCTTATCGATATAACGTCTCCGAAGCTTCTTAATTTACCGTGACACGTCACGATACGGTACGATTTTCACGATCAACGATATTGCCGAGGAAAATTATTATTACTCCATACATTTGTATAAATTATGATCGCCTAATTTCATTATCGTAACGGTAAAAACGTACGATGTCGTGACGTGACACGGTAAATTAACGTACACACATATTACTAAAAGTTTTATTTTCAAATTTTCAGATACCAAATGCAGTATCTTACTGTACGTCTGTATGTATGGTCAAATTGTTTCTACACAACAAAAAAATAAAGTCATACATGTAAAAATTTATACAAAATGTATAAAAATCAAAATTCCAAATGTTTTAATGCATTACAAATAATTAATAAATTAATCATTATATCTAATACATTTAAAATACATATAAAAAGTCCCATTTCATTTAAAATCCACGAAATACCATTAGACCGAAATTAGAAGAAAAAAAAAAAAAAAAAAAAGAGATTAATTTACCGAAATAACAATTAACGTACCAAAAAAACATTTAGTTAATTCCCTATTTAAAATCTTAACCGAACTAAACATTCTAATTCGAATGTAAAAGAAAAAAAAAAATTTAATTTAATTAAATCTATTTTTCACATACATTTGTCGAGTTTTATTTTGTATTATATTAATCATTTGTAACAATAATACAAAATAAAACACGGCAAATGTAGCAAAATACAAATACACCTCTCGGTACCTGTTAAAAAATCTCTTAACTACGTGACAGCGTTTAAACACATTACCTTTTTTTTTTAAAAAAAAATTGTCAAATAACGTAACGTAGTAACGTCTCTGTAATACGTAACAAAGGGCATTTTTCGACTAATAAAATAATATTGAAACAAATATTTAACCATTCGAATACATATTACACATTTTTAAACGGCATATTTCATTTCTTTATAAAAAAAAAACAAAAAAAAAAAGTTAATAAACAAACATAAGACAGTGCAAGGCTACAACAAACCCCTTATCAGATAAAAGGTTTTTTTTTATACAACTTAGTATGGCAAACAAGCTGACGGCCCACCTGATGGAAAGTGGTAACCGTCGCCTATAGACACGAGCAGTACTGTGGACATAACAGAGTATACTGTTTCGCCCATGATACCCCTTACGCGTTGCCATTCTTGAGGACTCAGGTGTTATTCCTCTGTACCCAGTAAATTATATATATAGCCATATCCCACCCTTCAAACTGAAACACAGCCATGCAAACACAACTGCTTCGCGGTTGAAACACGAACGGGACAGAGGTACCCAAGCAATCGACTTTTGTAAAATATAAAATAACAGTTTTTAGTAACAAAACCGATTTGCTTATTTATCAATACTACGATAATATTTAAAAAAAAAAAAAAAGCGTAACGCCCTTATTCATAAAAGCTGAAGCCTAATTACAAATCTATAACAAATGTCAAGTTTTGCCACTTTCAAATTTGGAATTCAGAATTAGGGAAGAAAGAGACAAAACAGTTTAATAACAAAAATAGGTTAATTAGCGAATTGTCGTTTTTTATAAATAAGGGGATAAGAGTTTTTCTTTTTTTTTTTATCTGAATACAATAAACACTTTGTAACTGCAAATCGGATTTGAAAAATCTGTTTGTATCTGCATTTTGTTGCAATATCACGACACGACCGCGGGCGAAGCCGCGTGTCTCAACTTGTTTCTAATATAAAAAGTTACATTCGACAAAAGTGTAAGTGTTTAAACGCTACAAGAATGCATCAAATAATGCAATAATGCGAAACACGCAATGCATGTGCATAAGCTCACCGACACACCGCGATAACGTACCGAACGAGTCCTTAAATACAAAAAAAAAAATACAACTAGGAACATTAGAGCTTAAAACAAAATATATACTAAATAATTTAATTTAAAAAAAAATGTGGAAGATTTTTTTCTTTTATTTATTAGTGAAAAATAAAAAAGGAAAATAAATTATTCCTAGCGGTTCAACCCGCGCCTGCGGAGTGGCCGCAGCGCGTGCGCACTTTCTTAATACATAAAAATATTTTTATTTTTCTATGTGGCATGTGTTTTTATACTATTTAGTTCAATATAATCCCATTGTGGGACAAAAATTATACATTCATAATATTGTAAAGAGGAAATATTTGTATTTTTGTATGTATGTATGTTTGTAATGAATAAACTCGAAAACTACTTTGCCGATTTCAAAAATTCTCTCACCACTATAAAGCTACATTCACCCTGAGTGACATAGGCTACATTTATTGCTAGAAAAGATTAGGGATCCTAACTAAAACTTTCGTAACGTAACTCGAGGTGTAAAAAAATGCTATGAAATATCTTTGGTCGCGTGCGCTGCGGAAACTATTGGTGATAGAACAAAAGTATGTTCTACAATATTGAAGGAAATATCAATAACTACAAAAAACTTAGCGACACTATATGTCCAACTATTATCGTTATGTCACAATAATCACTTTTTAAAATGTTGTAAAAATGTCCACCCGTGCAACGCCAGGTTAGAATTATTAATAAGCTAACATTACCGAATGGTTGTATTATTTGAAAGCAAAATATTTTCTTATTTATATGTCTTAGTGTAAAAAAGGCATTAATAAAATAAAAAAAAAAAGAAATTCGTTTTGAAATACGAAACGATAAATTTAGACTGGTCGTAGACACATATAGCTATTAAAAAAAAGCAATGATAAGCAAATGTAATAATATATATATATATATATATATATATATATATATATATATATATATACTAGCTGACTCGGTAAACGTTGTTTTACCATATACATTATTTCTAGAACTATACATGAAAATATATCGTACTACAATTATTATATTCGATCGTCATCTTGCAACCCTATTGCGGAATGTAAAAATCGCGATTAAACAACAGGGGTTGATCGTAAAAGCGTGAAAATTAGAAATTGTATGTATTTTTCAACGCTAAATCATAATAAAAGAAAAATAAAATTGTCGGAAAAATAAAAAATTAAGGGAGAGTCACCCTTATCATTGAGGGGTATGAAAAATAGATGTTGGCCGATTCTAAGACCTACCCGATATGCACACAAAATTTCATAAAAATCGGTAAAGCCGTTTCGGAGGAGTTTGGTAACAAACACCGCGACACGAGAACTTTATATATTAGATATATATATATATATATATATTCATTAAAAAAAAATATTGTTTCCATCAAATTGTTAACAACGCCCTCTGTACAACAAAATTCATATATAAAACGTCGTATAAAAACACATGCCAGATCCAAAAAAAGATTTCTAACGAAGTTGGTACTTTAAAAATACAATTAAATACTTGCTATATGTATAGGCGATACATACATATTCGATTTAAAAAAAAAAAAAATTAAATACCACTAAACGTGATATTACGTGGATCGCGACTTAATCCACTTATTTTGCTACCGAGTGTTTGAATGGAGCGTTTGGGTACTACCACTAGACTGTGTCATTTAAAAAAAATTATCAATTCATTTAAATATATGTCCGTTATTACTAAAATAGAAAAAAAAATACAATGATTTCATTTAAAAATGCACATAAAAAAACACAGATTAAAAACATGTACACTCATTGTAAATAAATAGGGAACGTTTTTACATAGCGCATTAGTACCGAAACGCTCCTACAGATAAACTATTTTACCTGTAAAAATAAATAAATAAAGTATGAAAATGTCAGCTTTCTATTACAATGGTACTTCAGATCGTTGTGAGGCGCCAACCCACCAGAGAAATATTTTTTGAGATCATATAAAATACTTTCTTTTTTTTTTTTTACTTTTGTTTATTTTTCTGAAATCGAATGTGATACCGAAAATTTCGTGTCACTGACACTGTCGTGTCACACACACCACCTTGGCGGGCTGGCTCCGCCGATATTATGTTCACTGCATGAAGTAGTCCGGCTGCTCTGGATCCTTCTCGAACCGCTTGGCCTCTTCTTGCATGCTTTCTTTAATTTTCAAAATCGCCGCCGACTCCGTCTGGTCATTTTGGTCGCCACCTGGTCCTCCGAAACCTTTAAAATATTTTATAAACTTAATTTTGGTTTAATAAGCCCAAATTAACCGGTATTACTTTATTACACTAATATTTATATTTATAATGCATTTATCAAATATTCACCAGAGGGAGACTTTGTACAAAAGTCGTTTGCTTGGCCATCTCTTTCCCATTCGTGTTTCTACCGTGAAGCAGTTGTGTTTGCATGGCTGTGTTTCGGTTTGAAGGGTGGGATATGGCGTGATATTACTGGGTACGGAGCAATAACACCTGAGTCCTCAGGAATGGCAACGCATGGGGGTATCATGGGCGAAACAGTATACTCTGTTATGTCCATGGTACTGCTCATGTCTATAGGCGACGGTTACCACTTTCCATCAGGTGGGCCGTCAGCTTGTTTGCCATTCTAAGTTGTATAAAAACAAAAATATCAAATCTGGCAGGTGCATTACCAACAGAATATTGAAAATAACTGCAGAGAAACCAATCTCCAGAGGTAAACCTACTCTCGAGGTACTGGGAACGCTATGCATTGTTTCTGGCCCAAATACAGCTCGAGTTAGACAGAGATACGTGAACTAAACATTGTTACCAAGTTCTCTAACTCTTGTATTGTCACGATATGAATTGTGATATTATTTCGTATCTGTAAATGTATTATTATTTATACTTCAAAAATTAAATTTACGTTTATAGGTAGAATACTACCAAAGGCAACAGACGTCTCGACTAAATTCCATTTTTTTTTTCCTATTTTTTTTAAACAACTCTACTACAAATGGCAGACAAGTTGACGGCCCACCTGATGGATACCTATCGCCTATAAATACAGTACTGTAGACGAAGGTGCTATCCCATACCCTGGAGTTTCACTGTCATATCCCAAATTGCTGTCCGTGACACAACCACGCGAACACAGCTGTTTGGTGACAGAAACACTAATGAGGTTGGGGGAAAGGGATTGTTAGTAATGGAGACTGAGAATCCTATTGCTAGCAATATACCCAACCAGGTCGACCTCCTCGCGGTTCCGCCTGGAAACTATCATGGTTAATTCCTGATGAATTCATCATGATGTGCTAACTGGCCTGTTTTCATTCTCATCTATCACCCTTCACTGGTGCTCCGCCAGCGTATCCTGTTAGCGCAGGCGGGGTTACCATACCATTTTCACCCATCAAAAAAAAAAAAAAAAACACGAATGAGGTACTTATTATTTTTATTGAAAGACATGCTTTTTTCAAGCAGAAAACTGCTTGAAAAAAGCATGTCTTTCACTACTGCGACCTGCAACAGAGGTACTCAAGGAAAAAAAGAGGTACAAAGGAACAACATTTGCACCGAGTCTCCATTAACATTTTAGTTGGTCGATTAATTGTAATAATTAAAAAAATCCAAGTGAGACCAGTCTTTCTCGAATGATAGCTGTTTTTTACTTTTTTTTTTTATATAGATAACAAAGGGAAACCTACTCGAGGAACTTTTATAAATTCAGAAAGAGTTAAGCGGACATGTTTAAATGAGGGTCACCTAATTCGCGTTAATATATTCATATGGGATAAAATTAATTTAATAAATCCCTCGTGTATAATTTTAGAGGCATATAACACTGTCATATATATATGATTACTAGATAGAACCAGCTGTTCTATGGGGGAAAAGGGGTAGTTAGTAATGGAGTATGAAAGGCCGATTGCTAGCAATATGGGGTATATATTGCATTTTTTTTTATACAACCTAGAATTGCAAACAAGCTGACGGCCCACCTGATGGAAAGTGGTAACCGTCGCCTATAGACATGAGCACTACCATGGACATAACAGAGCATACTGTTTCGCCCATGATACCCCCCATGTATTGCCATTCCTGAGGACTCAAATGTTACTCCTCTGTACCCAGTAAATTCACGCCATATCCCACCCTACAAACCGAAACACAGCCATACACACAACACACACATAAACACAACTGCTTCACGGTAGAAACACGAACGGGACAGAGGTACCCAATCAATCGACTTTTGTACAAAGTCTCCCTCGGGTGAATGCATTGGATTGCAATTGCATCGGGTCAAACTCCTATATTAATTACCCCTGGAAACCGCCGTAGTTAATTCATGTGGGATCCGTCACGTTGGGTCAACTGGTCTGCTTTCATCCTCACCTATCACCCCTAACTGGTGCCCCGCCGGTGTATACCGATAGCGCAGCTGAGGTTCATTCTATTGTCACCCATTAATATCAAATTCTATTCAAATCTGTTCAGCAAGTTTTGACGTTATTTAGAAACATACAAATTTTTTAACAAAACATAGTTTAAGAATTGTGAGATTGCTTTGTTCTTATCCTTTACCCCCTTCCTGTCACTCTGCCCCCTACCGCTTTATGGCTACCTTATATCAATCTGCCATCAACTTTACATATCACTATGTTCTACACTACATTTCAAGAACGTTCATAACGAAGTATAGCTTCGTCATAATTATCTGTCAGTTTACAAAAAACCATTTTTATTTTTTTTTCTGAATATTTATAATCAAAGACCAAACAAAAGCGAGTTATTTTGGTCTAAAAATCAAATTACTGAACCGATTTTGATAAATAGAGGTATATAAAATGACAAAAGGCAGCTAAACGCCATAGAACCGATTTCATTTTCACTCTATACTAAAAATATAGAGGGAGTTCTATTAGTTAGAATTCAAATTATTACTGATATTCTATGTTTTTTTTTAATCTGGTTTCAAATTTAGAACATCGTTTCATATCCATGAGAAAATATTAGATTTTTTAATTTTCCTGAACATTTCACAGATTTGGATTTAGCTGTATTTGATTTTATAGGCCCCATTATATTTCTACGGGATCAATCTGTAAATATCAAATCCTGTCAGATACAAAAAGAATTTTTCAAATCGGTTCAAAACTGACGTAGTTATAAGCAACATATTATTTACAAAGAAAAAAAAAACATTAAAAAATTACAACCGAACTGTAAGAACTTGCTTCTTTTTGTAGTTTTTGAAAATAATGCTCTGCTAGCGATGCGTTTTTCATTCATCAAGTATCAAATAGTTTTACGTTTTAGTTCGGTAGCAGAGCATTATTTTTTTTTTTACATATAATCAATCTAAAAAAAAAATTTATAAATTAGTCTTTGTAAATTGACAGCTAACTGTGACGTCACCACACTCGGGCAAGTGTGCATTACGAACGCTCATAAAACATTTATAAAGTTAAAACATTAATTACTCACTTAAATTATAGTCTCCCATTCCTGAACCCGAGTCCTCCCGCGGTGTGCCCGGTCCACCCCCTCCGACCCCCCCGGGTGATGACTTCATGCCGTCCACACCTCCTAACCCTGAGCGAACAACGCAATTCAACGTATTAACTGCACATCGGCTGAGGATTAACGTATGACAAATATTATAAACTCTTCAGACACACCGCATAATGCTGCGGCCATTTTATTAGGGACGAAGATTTGTGTCTTGGATGTATTCGAGTATATGCCTGAGACGAGCTATCTAACAGCGAATCGCTCGGGTGAAATCGGCATAATTCGCTAATGTGAAGTCAATTCTGAATGCCTATCTATCGTTAAAACAAAAATTTTAATTTGATATTACCACAAAATCATTATTTTTGAACCAGTTTAAACTGGCTTTTTTGAAAAAAAACTAAACCCTTTTACAGATCTATTTTAGCTATTGAACATGTTTTGTCACACTCTTTCAAATTGGGAATGCAGCAGAAAAGAAAGAGACAAAACAGTACAATACCGAAGATAGATTTGAGATTTGTTTTTTTATGAATAGAAGCGTAAAATTTTAATAGAATTGCGTCAGAACTACCATAGACTAAGAGATCTCTTTATAGGATAAGTCCGCCATTGTATTTTAAAAATATGTTAAAACTGTTTTGTGTCCAATTCCAATGTAAATATGTACAATAAAGATTTTACAATACAATACAATACAAACAATATTAACTCTTAACGATTCATGCTATAAATAATGGTTTTGCAAATTTACAAAATTTACAAACGCACACTATGTATTTGATCTATATTTCTTTCTTTTTTTTTTATTATTTTTTTTTCAATAGTATTTCGCAGCTCACTTTTGGCCACAACAGAATATCAGTGTTTTGCTCTTTTTAGGGCAAAGCAAAAAGCTGAGTTGTGGCCATTTTATAGTACTGTGGCACACGCATGAAGAAAAAAAAATTGTTACTAATTTCATGCATTCTGTATTTGTTTTTGATTTTTTTTTTTTTTGTATATGTATCTTTTTTTATCTTTTTTTCACTTTGCATTTGTGTCTTTTGCTGTTTGTGTGCTGTAAGTGATGCAAATAAATTATCCATCTATCTATCAAATTGAAATTGTAAATTTAGAAATTCAAAGAATGTTACATCAGAATAGACATTCCTGGTCATTTAAAATTGACTCCAAAACCTCATATTCATATAAATTCAAAGCTATTTCAACTATTTGATTATTTTCTCACTCTCTTTCAAAATTCGAAATTAATACAAAAGAAATGGACACAAACACTTCAATCGCTTTTTTTATGCCACACATGTGGCAAACAGGCATACAGCCCGTCTGATGGTAAACGGTCACTATAGCCTGCAACACTAGGGGTGTCACGTGCACGTTACTTAGGAAAATAGGTTTATTAAACATTTTACGTTCTCATAAATAAGGGAATAAATAGGTACGTATGCCGTAACACAATCAACTTTGAGTAATAAATAATGTATAGTCAATTCTATAGATTTTAATTAAAATATAAACCGTCTTAATTATTGATTCGACCATGAAACAGTTTACTAATGTCCAACAGCAGCAGTACATATTAAAAACAAATTATTTGATTCCGACTTGTTACTACAGTAGAATCTCGATTATCCGAACATTAATTATCCGAGTATTCGATTATCCGGACTTATTCTTCACGGCACTAATTACCAATTTAGAAATGGTATTATGTATTCATTGGGTAAATAGTTATTATGTAATCCATTATCTTTATACCTCGTAATTTTTATATATCGTTTTCTCTAAATGACATATGTAAAAAACATAATAAAAAAAAATATTAAAATTGATTGTTTGATTTGACTTTGAAATCGATTATCCGGATTTTCGATTATACGGAATACGGGTTTTATTTGATTCGGATAATCGAGATTCTGCTGTAATTTAGAGAGTATACCTGAGATAATTTCAACAAAACCTAATTGCCTTGTCATTAAATTATATTTAAAAATACTATAGTTAAGAATAAACCGAGAGCATTCTATTGCAAATACTCGACACGAATCTTCACCTGATAATATGGTCGTAGCATGAGACTCAATTCTATAGCGACCCTTTGAAGATCCAATTAGATTCATGATAGAGAGGGGCAGAAGTATAGAACTTCTTGCTTTTTCATACCGAAACCAATGCCCAACTTATGCGGTATGTCTATGGCAATAATAGGATATTTTAAGGCAATTACTTAAAGGCACTTTCAGGCGCATGTTATTAAAGTAAATTACATTGCCTGAACACGCCTGATCATGCTCAGGCGAAGCAATTTACAGTATATATCTTAAATGCAATTTATAATATTCGTCGTGTATTATTTTTACTTTGAATACCTAACACACCTAGTTCTATTTGCTTCATTCTCTAACAATTGGAAAATAAAAAAAAAAATACTTATGTGGCCTGAGTTATAATTAAGTAGCCTAGAAATAAGAGGACAGGTGACTAAAAAAAAAAAGAGCAAAATAAACTAACAATGGACTTTGATGTTAAAAGCACGGGCTTCCATTAGAATTCTTTATATGATATTTACTAATTAATTGAAATATATAAATTAAACTAATGAACAGACGGTTAAGATTAAAAAAGATGCCTGTTTATTTATAATAAAAAGAAGTTTTGTAAAAAAAAAAAGGTTAAATATATTTTAGTAAAATTAGTATATTAGTAATTACAATGGGGTCAACTCTAAGGCCCAATTTCTCTGAAATTAAATTTTCAATTTTATATTCTAGCGTAATTTTTGACCAATTGACCAATATAGATTGAATTTCTAATTACAGTAGAGTCTCGGATTATCCGAACATCGATTATCCGGAATTATTCTTCACGGCTCTAATTAGCGATTTAGAAATGGTATTATGTATTAATTGGGTAAATAGTTATTAGGTTAATCCATTATCATTATAGCTTGTAATTTTTTTTTACATCATATTAATTCTAAATGTAAAAAAATATTAAAATTTAACCCTTCTTTGCATGATTTTTTTATTGGTGATATAAATCAAGGTGATATAATTCATGTTCGAAATTATAGGAAAAATGGTTAATAAAATAAATTTAACAGCTGTTTTTTTTTTCTGCAATGGACATTAGAAAGGTATCCAGACACGATCGACTTAAAGTGAACTTGTTCTTTTATATAATTTTTGAGCATTCAATGTTATGATGGAAATTTACACCATTACGCAAAGAAGGTTTAATTATTGGTTAATTTGACTATAAAATCGATTATCCGGATTTTTGATTATACAGAATAACCCCTGGTTTTATTTGATTCGAATAATCGAGATTCAACTGTAATTTAAATGAAAATTATTATAAATTTAATATACGATGGCTCGTAAAATGTCGTGAAACTATTAAATTGAAATATTAGATTAAGAGATATGTTTAGAGGACAGCGCCTGAGAATCGAACCCCAGTGACGAAAAATTAATTAGTTGAGTTTCTAAAGTAAAATTTTAGAATTCTTTTCATTGGTATGGTTTTTTTTTTTTTTTATTTTCTTGTAGTTAATTCCTTGAGTTACTAATAATAAGTACAAATAAAAAAAATAATAAAACTTTTTTTTAATAAATGCATAAAGCATAAAGAAAATAAAAGCGTTTGAGACCTCGGTAGAACAATATTAATTAAATAGTAAATCGATCAAATAATATCAAAATGGCAATAAACTCGAATGCTTTTATTTTTATCTGGCATATAGCTTTCCATAGACCATTCATCAAAATCGATTCTTCCTTTTTTTTTATAGAAATGACGCAAGAACGCGTATAAAAATCTATCACACATAATGTATGTAGTATCTATCCTATCCTGCAATGATTGCTCTATGTTTGAAAATACTTTGTTATCTGTGTCTTTTATATATTTTATACTTTATAATTTTTTTTTTTATACCACTGACGTGGCAAACAAGTATACGACCCATCTGATAGTAAAACTTGACTATAAATGTCTTAATAATTTAATCCATAACTTAACCAACTATTTATTGAACGTAACTTTCAGAAATAACTTTAAACACCTCGAACGTATGCTAATAATATAAAAAAAAAAACCCGAATACCATAAAAATTTGCTCGTTAACGAATTATATTTAACCTGTTTTTGGATCTAGATTAATAACTATGGCATAAGGAAGCTATAGCTAAGCTGTTTACATTACTATCCTATGGCGATGCTATTAATAAGAAAAAAAAAAAAATTAATTGCAAAATAATAACAATTTTTTATCCCAATTTGAAAAATACTAAGCACATAGCATTATACCTCATAATTATACTATAATTTATTTCACATACAATTGTAGGTTTAAAAAAATAATTATTTTTTTAAAGTTAAATAAATTTACTGACCACCCTAATTCATGGTTATTTTTTATAATATATTTAATATTAAATTTAATTTCAAATATTGTACTCTATTCTATTCTAAGTAAATTAATATTTGATCACCAAATACCTTAACTAAGTAAAGGTATAAACAGTAGGTTGTTACAAATTTAAATATTTAAAATTTAAATATATTTAAATTATTTAAATATATTTAATTTAATTTATTCAAGTAAAATAATCACCCACTAAAATGATCACCTCTTTTTAAACTGACAAAATCACGTTTGGACACTAATCAAAAAACGATTTGCGTTATGTTTAATTAATTAAAAATTGTAATTACTCATTAATTATACGCGACCGAATAAATTTCTTCCTATAAAAAAAAAATAAATAAATAAAGATCAAGACATAACTGGGGAAAACCGGTTAAAAAACTATCTCCGTTAAACGGACATTTTAAAATTCGAAAACTAATGAAAGCCCGCGCTGGAACTACGTGAAGAAAAAAAAAAGGGAAAAAAACAACAGCACAACGGTCCGCAAATTTCTAGGCCGTCAGCGGAGCCCCACCTTCGGCAGCGGGCGGCTGTGGCAGGTGCTGCGGCGTGGGCCCATGCTCGCCGGCCAGCGGGAACTCGGCACCGAGGGCGCCCGCCCCGACCGGCTTCATCAGCGTGTACATGTTGTCGCCCCCTGCCGCGGCAACAGTATTCTCATACCAATTGTACGACAACCGGTAATTGGTACCGGTATACTAGTAATCGATACCGGTTAAAACCGGTTTTCTTTTCGGTTTTTTAATCAGTTAACGGACTGACTTGCTCATGTTATCATATTTTATTTTACTCATATTTAATTTAATCTCTTTCTATACTGAATGTAAAAACAAATTTTAAATTTGAATATTGTTAAATATTTGAACTCAAATAGGATATTTATTCGGTTTTTTTTTTTTTAATATTTAAACTTTCTGACCATGTTAATATTTAGGTATTGAAACAAAACAATTTTACAAATTGCGATTTATTCGAAGACATTAATTATACTAATTTACAATTATTATACAATTAAACGTATTACACATAGATGCACTCGACCGGACACGGAGGACCAGAAATTTTATCAAACTACAATTTAATTTTTAAAAAATACCCAAAATAAATATCATAAAAATGTAACATTACATATTACAAGTGCAAACATATATATATAAAAAACCGGTTTTCATTTCATTCCATTTCCGGTACCAACGCATGCGGTCTTGTACTTTGAGTATTATATCATATTATTTACGGACGGTTTTAAGACAAAAAAAAAAAAGATAAAACATTATTATTGTCGATTTTCAACTAGTATTATTTTATCGATCAATTATATCATTAATATAATTTTATGTAATAAAAACTGTCACGGGAGCAACATATAGAAAAAAAAATATACACAAAGAATAAGGTACTACAAATATATATATATATATATATATATATATATATATATATATATATATATATATATATATATATATATATATATATATATAATGTCAGATAGATGTATTAAAATCGGTAATCGGTCAGAGTCTGTCTACATTATAAATTGTAGGTAAATACCAATTCTTAATATCTACAATTAATTATATTACCATATTTCAATTATTTAACCTAAAAATATTTTCAGAATACGGACTCGTTAATTACAATATTTCATAAAATAAAAAAAAATAAAATAAAAAAAATGTGGTAAAATCCATTGCCGGTTAAGAATTTAAAAAGGACGACGCTTATAAAAACATCTTCAAGTAATCATTTGGCCCAACTAATATTTACTCAAATTTACTTCGAGCTACGACAGACACAATGTGTAATAACAAATTAATAATATAAACGATTTCATATTAAAAAAAAAAAAATACTAGTTGGCTCAAACAAAATGTACCAAAAAAAAAAACCACCATTAAATAATAATGTCTTAAAAAAAAAACCTTGTAGCTATTCCTAGTCCTCGTTAGGCCAACAAATAGATGAAAAGTGCCCAAAAAAAAACAACAACAACAACAACAACAGATATTACCACACTTATACCACACTCTCAACACAATCTCATTTATTTAGATAATCGAAATTAATATCAAATTGGGCTACAATTTATTGCAATTAAACCGATTTCATAGGTTCAATAAATTAATCCAAAAAAATCTACCATTCACCACAATGTTATAATATAACATTTGTTATATTATATTTGTTATATTTGTTTTGTTATAACAAAATTATATTCACAAACATTTACAAAAACACGTGTCAACTAACAATCCATTGGTCTCTCTATATGGTAATCCATCTAGTTGAAAACCAACAATAGTCTTAAAAACTAAACAATTGGATACAAACATAAACGAGGGTAGGACAAAAAGTAAAGAAGTTTTCTTTTTTTTTTATTGTACAAAAACAAAATGAAAAAAAAAAGAAATATAAAAAGCGGAGTAATACAGGAGTGACCCAAGCGTGAACGAACCAAGGTTAAGCGAGAACGAAGCAAGCAGAACTAAAAAGTAAGAAATAATATTCCTTCTCAAAGGATTTCATTCACAATTATTCAATGATTTTCGAATGCCAGCGCCATCGTGTAATGTCGACCAAATGTATAACATAAATTGGCGTTTGGACAACCTCTCAATATATATATATATATATATTTTAGTAACAAAAAATTGGCAAACAAAAACCAATAGAACGTCTAAGAAAGTGCCACAGTCAAATACCTGGGTTTTAGTGATGTAATGTTATTTATAAAACCTGTAAATTGCTAAATATATTTATGTTAAATTCACTTTTGTATATAATAATTTATATATCAAAAGTGCCATTAACCGGTATCGGGTATTAAAAACAAATTGTTGAACCGAAACGACATGGTGTATTATTACAACACAATATAGAGTATTGTGAACGGAGGTGCAATCGAAATTTGAAAACTGGTATCTGTATTAATACCAATTTTAAAGATCGATTGCAGTTTGAATACCTATAAACATATTGACGTTAAGGTAATTATGCAAAATGGGTATCCACTTTCGGTATTCATATTTTTTGTAGTTAATTAATTTATTAATAACATCTCTAAATTGTGCCGTGTCTCTTTATGTCGATAACATTACGCCCTTTCACATACAGTTAACACTGAAGCATGTTCAGATACCGATTTCTTGGTATTCCACCCTACAACTTACGAGAGAGGCAACATTATAAAAAAAAAATCTTATAGACACAACGATTGAGCGAGAAATGTAACATTAAATACCGGTATCATTTCGGTACCAATTCGAAACCGGTATCGCTACCGAAAAACCGGTATCCAACCGCACCCCACCACACACCGCCACCTGTGAATTCATCTGCACTCACCCGAGTTGGACGAGTCCTGGGGGCTGGGCATGATGGGCGTGGAGGGCCCCGGGGGCCCGTTGGAGCCGGGCGGGGCCCCGTAGGCGCCCGGCGAGCCCCCGCTGTAGTTGAGGGGCGCGGAGCCGCCGCCGCCGCCGCCTACGCTGCCGCCCGCCCACGCGCCCCGAGGTCCCATACCCATCGGAGGCATACCTGTTAGTACAGCACACTTCAATTTTTCAATCGAAAAAAGAACTGCTGCCCCGAATGACCAATAAACTGACGGCCCACCAGGTAGAAAACAGCAACCATCACCTATAAACGCGAACAGCACAGGATACACTGTGACACCCATGGTAGCCTTCACGCGTTGCCATACAGGTGTTATTCCTCTGTACCCTGTAATTTTACTACCACATCCCACTCTTCGAACCGACTCATCTATCATGCGTCAGTTGCTTCTCGGCAGAGACACAGGTAAGACAGGGGCATCCAAGCCAACGACTTTTGATTAAAGTCGCCCTCTGGCGAGTGAAAATAAAGTTATTACACCATTGAAAAGTTTTTAAAGATTTTAAAAATAAAAAAAAGCCATTAATAAATTTTTGATCGAATAAACTTAATTTTAAATATATTTATTTGTTTTTTTAATTTGATACCCTAAAGTTGTCTTAAAAAAATAGCTCTCAGCAATAAGATCGCCTTACAGGAAGTGAGTGATTCCGAAATGAGCATATCCGCAATAGAACCAAAGTCACCGTCATAGCCCGAATGATAAGCAAGCTGATGTGGCAATGGGCTGGTCACATAGCTCGAAGAACCGACAACCGATGGGGAGGAAAGGTTCTTGAGTGGCGACCCCGTTCAGGCAATAGCTGTCTAGTACGACTCCACACTAGATGGAGACCACCTCAAATGCATTGCAGGGAGTCAGTGGATGCAGGTGGCTTAGGACCGTTCCTTATGGCAGTCAATGGGGGAAGTCTATGTCCAGCAGTGACAAACAAGCTGACGGCCCACCTGATGGAAAGTGGTAACCGTCGCCTATAGACATGAGCAGTATCATGGACATAACAGAGTATACTGTTTCGCCCATGATACCCCCCATTCGTTGCCATTCCTGAGGACTCAGGTGTTATTCCTCTGTACCCAGTAAATTCACTGCCATCTCGCACCCTTCAAACCGAAACACAGCGGGGGGAAAGGTATTGTTAGCAATGGAGTTTGACAGCCCCATTGCTAGCAATATACCCTATTTAGTTCAACCTCCACGTGGTTCCCCCTGGAAACCATCGTGAACAATTCTTGTTGAATTCGCCAGGATGGGCCAACAGACCTGCTTCATCCTCACCTATCACCCCTCACTGGTGCCCCGCCAGCGTATCCCGATAACGCAGGTGGGGTTACCATTCCATTTTCACCCACTAAAAAAAACCGAAACACAGCCATGCAAACACAACTGCTTCACGGTAGAAACACAAATGGGACAGAAGTGGCCAAGCAATCGACTTTTGTACAAAGTCTCCCTCTGGTGAATTTATTATTTATTATTATTTATCTATTTGTTTTTACGTATGTTAGCTACATCACTTAAAAACTACTTCATAAAAGCAGTTTTATTTTTAAATTAATAATGAAATCTGGATATTGAATCTTAATACAATACCTACAAGTGATCTATTCCATTCTCAACAGACTTGCTTTCAAATAAAAATATTCTCAAATACCGTTGACATTTTTCTATTTTTTTATTTTTAAATGAAATTAAAAGAAATTAAATTTGTTTGCCAGAAACATTGTAAATAAAATGTTGCATTTGTCAAGTTTACAATATGTTCATTATGTTTCGCCACATCAAATGGCGTACAAATATTAACCACTGAATTTACATATTTATTTATTTATTTATTTTTGTTTGTTACCTCATAACTTAGAAACCAATTTGGAAAATTCTTTATCTGAAAGTACACACATATGGTCAAAATAACTGGTTTTAACACAATGCAATTATGTAATAGATTTCACCCCATAAGATCTAGTATCACCTTGATTTAAGTGATCAAACTTAGGCAAACTTGACCAAACTTAGCCGAACTTCACCAAACTAGGTAAACTTTATCAAAATTAGCCAAATTTAATCAAATATAGCCGAACTTGACGAAACTTAGCCAAACTTAACTGAAGTTGACAAAACTTAGCCAAACTAAGCTGAACTTGACAAAACTTAGCCAAACTTGGGTAAACTTAGCCGAACATGACAAACTTGTAGCATGTTTATAAGTCCCAAAGAATGAGATAAATAAATTGTAATAAACATAGCTAAAAAAAACAAAAATTTGTAACATAATAAAATAAAGGGATGTGTAAAGTAGGTTTGCATGTAAATGTAACAAATCGTGAATGTGAGAGGTTGTAGGAATGACTTGGTGGACTGGCGTGATAGGTGTTGGGATGATAAGTGGTTAAAGGGTGACTTTTTTTATAGATAGATAGATATTCTTTACTGTTTCCTCCAAAAGATTACAATAGCAAACTCATTATAGATACAAACAAATTACAAGAAATGATCACAGTGAGACAACAATGGGCGGCCTTATCGCTAAGAGCGATCTCTTGCAGACAACCTTTGGATGGAGAGGAGTAATTATAAACAGTTTGAAATTTAATTAATTAATTAAATTAAATTATCGATTCTGTAATTTAATTGGTCTAGTTTGAAATTATATAGACAGAGTGTTTCCACACAAATGCCCCGAAAAAAAAACGCATATTAATGGAATAGTAACCCCGTCTACGCTAACGGAATAAGCTGGCGGGGCACCAGTAAGAGGTTATAGACAGAAACGTCCCTTGGCCCATGAAGTGACAAATTCAACAAGAATTAAACCACGATGGTTTCTAGGGGAAACCGCATGAAGGTCCACCTGAGAAGGTATACTGCTGATAATGAAGCAAATCTCTATTACTAACGATCCCTTCCCCCTCAGGGTTAAGTCGATGGAGCGGGGCGAGTAGATGTGGGGTGAGTAGGAGTAAGGTGAGTGGGTGTTGTCAAGAGAATGAGTGGAATGGAGTGTGTGAAGTGAGGAAAATAGGTATAGTTTTTTTTTTTATACAACTTAGAATGACAAACAAGCTGACGGCCCACCTGATGGAAAGTGGTAACCGTCACCTATAGACATGAGTAGTGCCATGGACATAACAGAGTATACTGTTTCGCCCACGATACTCCCCATGTGTTGCCATTCCTGAGAACTCAGGTGTTATTTCTCTGTACCCAGTAAATTCACGCCATATCCCACCCTTCAAACCGAAACACAACCATGCAAACACAATTGCTTCACGGTTGAAATACGAATGGGACAGAGGTATCCAAGCAATCGACTTTTGTACAAAGTCTCCTTCTGTGGTGTGTGTAGTGGGGTCAGCGGGTAGAATGGGGAGGATGGGTGGAATGGGTGAGTAGATGGAGTGGAGTAAATGGATGGAATGGGGTGAGTGGGTGGAGTGGGGTCAGTAGATGCAGTGGGGTGAATAAATGGAGAGACATAAGTGCATCGGAATAAGTAGGTGAAGTGGCATGTGGAATGGATGAGTTGCAGGAATGTGAGATGGAGAACCCACCTTCTGGCTGTTAAGGGGTGAAGGAATGGGAGGTTTTGATGGTGTGGCGGTGTGTACACGCACGTACCTGGTCCCTGCGGCGGAGGGCCGCGCATGCCGGACGCGTAGGCGCCGGGGCTCATGGGCCCCATGCCGGGCCGCGGCGGCGTCATGCGCGGCCCACCCAGCAGCCCCGCCGACGCGCCGCCGCCGCCGCGCTCCATTGAGTTCCCCATCATGCCCTGACCTGTAGACAAGAGATCACATCTTAAATATATAAAAAAAAATTGTAAGTAAACGGTGTCTGTACATGGGAGATATTTAAGAGAAATTGTTATGAGGGGTCTCTATAAGGCCAGTAGAAGCAAAAACAAAAATCTTTAGAAGTTTTGTCTGTCTGTCCGTATGTTTCTTTCAGCATCACGTAAAGACTAGTGCACCAAAATTTGTTGCGATTTCCCAATTGTGTTCCTAAGGATCTAATCTCTAATCTTTTTTTATTGTTTAGCAAATATATAAGCGGGGGGGGAAAGGGATTGTTAGTAATGGAGACTAAAAATTCCATTGCTAGCAATATACCCAACCAGGTCGACCTCCTCGCGGTTCTCCCTGGAAACTATCATAATTAATTCCTGATGAATTCATCATGATGGGCTAACTGGCCTGTTTTCATTCTCATCTATCACCCTTCACTGGTGCTCCGCCAGCGTATCCCGTTAGCGCAGGCGGGGTTACCATACCATTTTCATCCACCAAAAAAAAAAATAATATATATATAAGCGGACGGACCACCTGACGGAAAACGGCCACCGTCGCCCATGATCACCTTTAACACGAGAGGAGTTGCTTGTGCGTTGCCGACCTTTTAATTGTTTGTAGGCACGTCTTTTGAAATTCCTTACATATAGTAAGGGGAAAATTGGAGACGGGAGCTCATTCCACAACCTAGATGTAGGATATGGAAAACCTAGATGTAGATGGAAATGAACGGAATTGCCGGGCAGTAGTAGTATGCCATGCACCAAAGGATCATGCATCTCGATACGCCCTCTAGTAGTGGTTTGTTTTGTTGATTTTCCTACTTATAAAAACCACGCGCACGAAACAGCGTGCAAACAGCTAGTCATATATATATATATATATGATGGTCTCCGTTTCGCGGTGGTAGGCACGTTGCTTTGCGCAAATGAGTCTTGCGTTCGAATCCCAGTCGGGCCAATTTAGAACACGAACATTTCTGGATTGTCTCAAGTCTGGATGTTCTGGGCTGTGCATCCAGATGTTAGTATCCTGGTGCCTTATACCATGGGGTGTTCTAGCGTAAAAAGCAGGCCATTGGTGTAATGGTGCGATTAATGGCACTTATTGTTATAATATTACTTTTACCCGCGACTTCGTCTGCGTTGCCGTATTATTTATTTAGTTATACTTTATTGTACGCAAAAAAGAAAGATGTATAACAGGCGAGCTTAGCTCTGTAAGAATTCTCTTCCAGCAAACCCTGTCGCCCCTTGGCCGCTCAGCGCTTCAGACTGAACGAGCAGAGCAAATTATATTATTAGTAGCCTTTACCCGCGACTTTGTCCGTGTGATATGTTCACTAATGGAGATAAAATGTAGCCTATATCCTTCTCCATCCCATATAGTACATCCTCTGTCCCATTCATGTTTTAACCGTAAAGCAGTTGTGCTTGCATGGCTGTGTTATATGGCAGTGGCAGGGTGGGATATGGCAGTGATATTTACCGGGCACAGAGGAACAACACCTGAGTCCTCAGGAATGGCAACGCATAGGGGGTATCATGGGCGAAACGGTATACTCTGTTATGTCCATGATACTGCTCATGTCTATAGGCGACGGTTACAACTTTCCATCAGGTGGGCCGTCAGCTTGTTTGCCATTCTAAGTTGTATAATATACACATATATATATATATATATATATATATATATATCGACTGAGTGACCTTAACACACACAGTGACACAGTCGAGAGACAGCACCGTCTCTCTTAAAACATCACCAAATCACTTTCATCATCACCATCACTCACTGGTGCCCCGCCAGCGTATACCGATAGCACAGTCTGGGTTACCATTCCATTGTCATTCAAAGAATGCATCAAACGTTACCATACCCGAGGACTATGGTGTTATGCCTCCGTACCCAGTAACATCACTATCATACCTCACCCTACCAGGCTAGACGCACAACTGCTTCACGGCAGAAACACGAATGGGACAGGAGTACCCACGCAAATGACTTTGAAAAGTCAAATTAATCATTAACACTGAAATAAAAATTACCTACACGCTCGTCATTGTTTATAATAAAAAAAAAAATATTAGACTACTATATTTCACTACAGTTATCACCAAAAAGGTTAAAAGTTCACGTGACGAGTTAAAAACCGACCGAGTTAACGTGTAGTTACTTCCCTGTAAACTGTACATTAACTATATGATGTTACAGAGATATTAACCGCAAAATAAACTTTGTTTTGTCAATCAAGACTTTGATTTTTGATAAAGCATTCGTTGTGATGTAGTGAGCGTACTGGCGTTCACGGGTTCGAGTCTCGGCTGTGACAATTTAGGAAATCGATTTCCAATTTGTACATGTATATGTGTTCACTAAAAACTCCTTCCTTGCCCGTGGGTGTTGTAAGAGGCGACTAAGAGAACTTAACCCTTCTTTGCATAATGGTGGAAATTTCCATCATAACATTGAATGCTCAAAAATTATATAAAAGAACAAGTTCACTTTAAGTTGATCGTGTCTGGATACCTTTTTAATGTACATTGCAGAAAAAAAAACATAGATGTCAAATTTATTTTTTTAACCATTTTTCCTTTAATTTTGAACATGAATTATATCACCTAGATTTATTTCACCAATAAAAAAATCATGCAATGAAGGGTTAACGTTCGAGGGATGCTTTTTTTTTTTTTGCTGGGTGAAAATGGTACGGTATCCCCGCCTGCGCTAACGGGATACACTGGCGGAGCACCAGTGAAGGGTGATAGATGAGAATGAAAACAGGCCAGTTGGCCCATCATGATGAATTCATCAGGAATTAACCATGATAGTTTCCAGGGGGAACCGCGAGGAGGTCCACCTGGTTGGGTATATTGCTAGCAATGGGTTTCTCAGTCTCCATTACGAACAATCCCTTTCCCCCCGAAATATTAAATATTGGTCCCTTCAAGAAAAGATTGAAGTCTCCCTTTATAACTAATAATACTTAACACTATGCACTTAATATATACAAGTGTGGGGGTAATATATAATTAATATATATATATATATATATATATATATATATATATATATATATATATATATATATATATATATATATACATTAAGGAAACACTAGGCGTCATGTCGTATAGGGAGATATAGGATATGGCCTGGGATAGAGCTGGCTGGAGGGAGATGCATGAATTAGTTGCACCGACAAGAGGAAACTCTTAAATGAAAATGAATCTATATGTTGTTGTTAAAATATCTATACATATATTGACCCAATAACAGATATTTGAATTCACAGGGCACAGAGGAATAACACCCGAGTCCTCAGGAATGGCAACGCATGGGGTGTATCATGGACGAAACAGTATACTCTGTTATGTCCATGGTACTGCTCATGTGTATAGGCGACGGTTACCACTTTCCATCAGGTGGGCCGTCAGCTTGTTTGCCATTCTAAGTTGCAAAGTACCCGCTTTTAATGAATATAGATATGCGACTGATATGGGCGATATCACAATGGGTGGTCATTCATGATCAGAAGAACTCAATATATATATATATATATATATATATATATATATATATATATATATATATATATATATATATCACTGAGGTGGCAAACAAGCATACGGCCCACCTGATGGCAAGTGGTTACCGTAGCCTATGAACACCTGCAATACCAGAGGTATTACGCATGCGTTGCCGACCCTGAAGAAACCTTATTACCCCCCTTTTGAAAAACCCATCATTCATCATTCATTTTATTTTTTGCCTGTACCTTTCCTTACCTAATTTTCTCTATCACTGCATTGGGTTGGCTGGAAGAGATCTCTTTCAGAGACAAACCCCCCTTGCTAACAAGTTGTTAAACTAATTGCTGTATCTTTTTTTTCAAATACAATAAAGAATATATAAATATTTATTGATAATTTATTTATTTATTCTTTATTTAACACATTACAAAAAATGTTTCCGTACAAAAGGCGGACTTAATGCCATACAGCATTCTATCACAGTCAGATATATTCCTAGTTGCGTACAAAAACCACTAACCTGGGGGTCCGTTAAAATCATTTCCCATACCCATCCGCACCGCCCCTCGCGGCCCACCGCCAGAGTACCATGGCCCGATGAAAGGCTGGCCAGTGGCCATGAGCTGAGGCTGGGGACCGTGCGGGGACGGCTGGCTGCCGGGGTGCGGGGCCGGCGGCGACGGCCGTAGCGGTGAGTTTGGGAAGAATCCTGGCGGCATGCCTCCACCGCCCATGCCTGGAAAAAAAACATTTTACTTGCTTCAATAATGCAAATCTCTCCGTTCATAATTTGCAAATTAATTTTAAACGCTTGCTAGCATCCGATCAGACTGAATCTTGGCATACTTATGTAAGTTCTGTAACAATACAATGTTATAGGAGCTGGTCTGATGGTGAAGAAGAAAGGTGGTCATAGGAACTCGTGAACTATGCATGATAAATCCATCCCGTTTGGGCTAGTTTGAATTATCTTGATATAAATCTGTGTAGATTGTTTTATGGAACTCAGAATAGCAAATAAGCTAGCAGCCCAACTGTTGGAAAGTGATAACTATCATCTGTAGACATGAGCAGTACCATAGATATAACAGAGTGTACTGTCACCCATGATACCTTTCATATGTTGCAATTCGCGAGGACTTAGCTATTATACTTTTGTACCCTGTAAATTGACTACCATATCCCACCCTTTAAACCGAAACACAGCCATGCAGACAACTGCTTCATGGTAGAAACACGAATGGGACAGAGAGACCCAAGCAAACAACTTCTGTACAAAGTCTCTCTCTGGTATAAATATTATTATTACAGATTGTCCCTTAATTTCAAATTAACATATTAAATTAAGAGATATCTTTACAGAAGTGATTTTTTTTTGTTTTATAACACAAGGGGGCAAATGAGCATGCCGCTCACATCATGGTAAATGACTACCGCTGCCCATAATCACCCACCACACCAGAGGCATTGCAGGTGTGCTGCAGGCCTTTTAAAAAGGAATATGCTCTTTTCTTGAATGATATGATTTCCTGAATGTAAATGATAAAGGAGTACAAGGAACTAACAGAAGGGAGAGACAAATATTTATAGTCATTGGATCTACAAATATTTAGAAAATAGTCAAATCGTTTTTTTAAAAGCAGAATAAAATTTATTTTTTTTATACATCTTAGAATGGCAAACAAGCTGGCCCACCTGATGGAAAGTGGTAACCGTCGCCTATAGACATGAGCAGTACCATGGACATAACAGAGTATACTGTTTCGCCCATGATACCCCCCATGCGTTGCCATTCCTGTGGACTCCGGTGTTATTGCTCTGTACCCAGTAAATTCACGCCATATCCCACCCTTCAAACCGAAACACGGCCATGCAAACACAACTGCTTCACGGTTGAAACACGAATGGGACAAAGGTACCCAAGCAATCGACTTTTGTACAAAGTCTCCCTCTGGTAAATATAAATAATATAATGTAATATATAACTAATAAATTTATGTTTATGGACATCAAACTGAAAATGGTAAAACAGGGAATCTTAAATATTTAGCAAAAATTATCAATGCAGATTGAATAGGCATAGGAAGGAATTGAGGGCTCAATTACAAGGATCGGGAAGCATCAGTTTCTCTCTATTAGAAAGACAGCATCCAAGAACTGGTGGAAAGATTTACAGACAGAGACCGAGAGCTAATGAATGTATTGACCCCATTGTATAATAAAAAAAAAATCAAATCTGACATTCACACAGCATATTGGATAAAAGATTGACAACCAGCAGATTAGAAAAATAAAAAAATCATAATTTTTTTTATGGGTGATAATGAAATAGTAACCCCACCCGCGCTATCGGTTTACACCGGCGGGGCACCAGTGAAGGATGATAGGTGAGGATGAAGCAGGTCAGTAAGCCCATTCATAAAATATTTATTATTTATTTATATGCTCCCTACATAAATTTTTAATATAAATTTATTTGGTACTGTCACGGAATAGGCCACCTGTTCCTTTACCATGGGTGTCATAAAAGGTGATTAAAGGCAGGCGAGGGATGGGCAGCAGCGTCCCTCTTAAAACATCTTCAAAGCCTAACTGCTGTTGCCAATGTGACTGCTAAGCATGTCAATTACTGGCAAAACACCCCAAAGGGGAGGCTTATGTTCAGTGGACAGTTAAAGGCTGATGATGATGATGAAACAGACCCAGTAAATGGAGCTTAACATATCATTCACCATAAACCACCCTGTATGATAGTAAACTAAAACTGAAGGTCATTGACGCTCAAAATTATTTAAGTGCAGTATTTGCAGGCAGAATCAGAATAAGTAACAAATTTAAATGCAAAATAGCCCAAGTTAGAGTGGTAAATTGATCTTGTCTCAATTACAGAGGTCAATGCATATAAAATTCACTCACTGTCTCAGACATAGAGGTAACTGTTACTATAAAATTCGAAAGAATGAATCCCAGATATAAAGATTTGCTTCCTTTGACTAACAGAGGTAATTCAGTAGCAAAGTGTTGAGACCTCAGCATGAGTTTCAATTATGGGGGTTTCTCACTTATCTAGGACCAACTTTACCTAGTTTCACTGTATATAACTTGTTTTGTAAAACATAGCTGTATGGACAGTTTCTGTTGCCTACCCTAATTTAAAAAAATCTAAAATCTTATTTTGAATAAAGAACAGAATAAACTCATCCCATAACAGGTAATAATATATGGAATACGTATACAACTGTTCCGGTAACACCAAAAACACTAGTTTAATTGAACACAGAGATAAGCTGTGACATGGCCTAGAAAATGTAATGACACCAAACTAATGCGGTTTATGGTGGCAATAGGCTTGTTATGAGAACATACCGTCATTAGGCGGCGCCGGGCCGGCATTGTGACCAATTCCATTATATCCTGAATTGACGAATCCATAGTCGTGGAAAGCTTTCGCTTCCGATGAGTGCTCACATGTGTCCCGCCTTTCTGGCGCTGCGCAATACAGATCCCAGAACACACACCACCACGAGTGAAGGAACCCGGGCGGTTCGCCGAGCGTTATATTTTTCTCCCATCGTATTTCCGAGAGGAAGGTCTGAGCGGCTTTGGTTGCACCAACATGAAGCAAGTATTCATACACGTAAAGTGCCAATTTTTCACGAGCCTGAGCGTCCGAAGGCACCGTAGAGCCTTTGCCCTTGGCATACATATCGACTAGAAGCCGACTTTTATGATGAAATTGTTTATTATTTACATTAACGCTTTATATCAATAAATTCAACTTCACAAAATGTCATTGATCGATGGCGACATTTGGCGTCTGTGGCATAGATAATCGGTTTGTTCTCATAAACGATGATAAACTGTCATAAAATTTTGTCTATAATTTCCACAGATTAATAAATAGGTCACACTAATGAAAATGATCAAAGATGAAAGATTGTATATTTATTTCACAAAAAAAAAACATTAATGATAAAATAATATAAAAAGATTTGAAAACTGACATTAACTTCCAAGTTAGACATCCCCAATGAAACACAAGAAATCGTAATGCAAAATGGCATCTATTTTTGCTTTTATCAAAGCTTTTAATAAGTGATTCATAGACAAACAATAGGAACTAGGTCTGTCCTATCGATTATAACTACTATAAATTATTTTATAACGTAAAATTAAATGGGAAATATTATTTTACAAGGACTATTTTTTATATTATTATTATCATGCATTATTTATGTTTGGTAAAGAGATTATTATTATTTTCAAAGAATTATTAAAACAATAGCTTAAGTATAAAACTCAACTATGATTAATTTATAATGCGAATAAGAAATAAAAATGTATAAAGAACTTCATCATTATTTAATGAACTCACCCCTCTTTTATAATTTCGATTATAAAAACTAGAAGTAAAATTATACATTAAGATCCAATAGTATAATAATAATATACTTTCATAGAAAATTTTATTTAAAAAAATATAAATTATGACTTTATTATAGATTATGTTTGTACCAAAGAATTCAGAATTTCGACCAAAGCATTTAACGTTTGTCATCACTATTTGACATCAGAAAATTTGGACATTGAAAACACACCCAACTCTAGCAATGTCCATGTTTGTCTATTCCTTTTTCCTTGCGACCGTGTCACCGCGTGGTTCACGATCGCGTTTAATTTAAGAAACAATCAAAATGGCAATCCGACCAGTATACAGGCCAAAAATCGTTAAAAAGCGAACAAAAAGGTTTATTCGCCATCAATCAGATCGCTATGATAAACTTAAGCGTAACTGGCGTAAACCAAGAGGTAAGTTTAGTGCACGCTTCTCATCAGCGATAACCTATGATAATGTTTACTGTAATAACTGGTTAAATTCTTATTCATCTAATCAGTGTAATATCCAACTAGATATTACTCTTAAAATTATATATTCCATTTACAATTTATTTTTACATATCTTCATAGGTTATATCTTGATAAATGTTTTACTCCAGACTTTATTCTATTGTATTTCTATCTACTGCTATTATTTAAACGCTATTGATATGCAAGGGCACTCTGTGTTATTCATTTTTAATATGATAATTACAATTTGTTACCTTGCTACAGTAAATCTGCCAAACCCTATTCCTGATTGTTCTCGTAACTATTTGGTCATATTGGGAGATACATAATTATCTATTAATGTACTATCCTGCTACCATTGACAGGTAAAAATGTGTTTCTAGACCTGCACATTACTTTTTTTAAAAAATTACCAAACTGCCAAAAATAATGGAAGATTTAAAGACTTTCTTTTGATGATAAGGCTTTATAGCTTAGATCCTTTGCCTTTCCCATTGTGGATAAATAAATACTACTATCAGAGTTGAATGGATGAATGTGATATGTTGTATTTTTGGGTTTTTCTTTAACAACTAAAAGTTACCAGAGGGAGACTTTGTACAAAAGTCGATTGCTTGGTTACCTCTTTTCCATTTGGGTTTCTACTGTAAAGCAGTTATATTTGCATGGCTGTGTTGCAGTTTGAAGGATGGGATATGGTGTGAATTTACAGGGTACAGAGGAATAACACCTGAGTCCTCAGAAATGGCAACACGGGGGGGAGGGGTATCATGGGTGAAACAGTATACTCTGTTATGTCCATGGTACTGCTCATGTCTATAGGCGACAGTTACCACTTTCCATCAGGTGGGCCGTCACCTTGTTTGCCATTCTAAGTTGTATAAATAAAAATGAATAATCATAATATCAGCTTTTAACTGTCCACTAAGCCTGGCCTTTGGGGGGTTTGTTAGTAGTTGACACGCTTGGCAGGTGGATTGGCAACCGCAGTTAGGTTTAAAGATGTTTTAAGAGGGATACTGCTGCCCATCCCTCGCCCTACCTTAGTCCCCACTTATGACACCCATGGAAAAGGAAGGAGTGGCCTATTCTATGCCAAGATCACACAGCCCTATAATATGTAAAAGTTAATAATAATAAATTTACAACAATATAAAGAAATATACAATTTTTACTTTTAAAACCATAAAACTGTACCAAAAAAGAACTTCACCTCCCTTGTTTTTTTTTTTTATACAACTTAGAATGGCAAACAAGTTTACGGTCCACCTGATGGAAAGTGGTAACCGTCGCCTATAGACATGAGCAGTACCATGGACATAACAGAGTATACTGTTTCGCCTATGATACCCCCTATGCGTTGCCATTCCTGAGGACTCAGGTGTTATTCCTCTGTATCCTGTAAATTCACGCCAACTGTGTTACAGCAAAGTAATGTTGTTGTATTAAATTATTATATGTAAGGTCGTCTGTTACTCATTTATTAGTAAACTCATGATTACTGTAACTTATACTATTTATATATTGTACTATCACAACAAGGTATATTAGACCCCAAGGTCAAGGACTGTTAGACCCCATTACTAAAAATCCCTTTCCCCCATCCTTTTGGATTGTCCCGAAGTATCTGGAAGTTTTCACATATTATCTGCAATACAATCTTTTTATCCCAGGTATTGACAACAGAGTGCGCAGGCGTTTCAAGGGTCAGTACCTGATGCCCAACATCGGTTACGGATCCAACAAGAAGACCCGTCACATGCTCCCCAATGGCTTCCGTAAGGTATGTGTTGTATATTTTTTTAATGCACAGTAAAACTATGTACATAAGACAGACTTAACATGGGACAGTGTTCTCTGCCAAACTGCAAACAGATAAATAAGTAGAAGGTGCATTATTGAATAGAGGAAATATAAAGTAGTACTTAATATATTAATATATTATAAACATATAATTAGACTAATATAAACATACACATAATATGTTAAATAAATAAATACATAAAATATTACTATATCAAATAATAAACTGTTTTAGAAGGGCTAAAAACAATCTATGGCTCAAACAAAGTAACCAGCAAGATTAAGTTTAAAGGGAAAATTATTCAATTAAGGATATCAATAATTATATGTGTCAGTGTTACTCTAAAACTGCCCTCACTTTTATAACATTTTATGGAAAAAGCTATTTTTGTGAAGTGTACTAGTATACAGTCCGTCATTACATGTAATACAACATTCACAATAAAAAAGCCATAATTAATTTATGCTGTTCCTCATTTGTTCTATAGTTGTATGAAATCCAAATTAAATCATTCTTATTATGTTATGCGTATTTATGAGAGGGCCCAGGTACACCATTCGCACCCCAGAATTGTCTGGTGGCCACCTGGACCTGAGCAGATCAAAGCTACATAAAAAAATATCAGAGTACATAATTTTTTATGGGGTCATGACTACCCAGGAAAATCATAAATATTCAATGGCTTATTACAATAATTCACCCTTGCCTGCGCTACTGGTGTACGCTGGCAGAGGGGGGAATGATAGGTTAGGATAAAGTCAGGTTAGTTGGCCCATAGAAACTCAACAAGAATTAACCATCTTTTTTTCCAACAGGTTAAGCTGGGAGGAGATATTGCTAGCAAATAGGACCCTAGTTCCCATTAATAACATCTCCCATAATGTTAGCTGAGATTTAAAAGGATTACTGTTAAGTTTCTAATGGGTTCTTGTCAGCAGATAACATTGTGAATCCAGCAGTAGATTGTAAAAGATGGCAGTTTAAAAAACTACAAGTTTCACGTCTATTTGAATAGAAAAAAAAGTAGAGTCTCTGAACTAACATTATTCATTGACTGCTCCACTCATAAAAGTTACACTTTGCAGATGACATTTAAAAAAATTGCATATAAATAAATAAAAATATATTTCCAGGTCCTAGTACACAATGTACGCGAGTTGGAAATCCTCATGATGCAAAACAGGAAATACTGCGCAGAGATCGCCCACGGAGTCTCCTCCAAGAAACGGAAGACGATCGTGGAACGCGCGCAGCAGCTCAGCATCAGAGTCACCAACGCGGCCGCCCGTCTCCGCAGCCAGGAGAACGAATAAATTTACGTTAATTAAAAAAAAAGTTTTAAAAACACGTTGTTTTTTTTTTCTTTAAAATCATCAAAAATTCTATTCTCTATTTAAAAAAAAAAGTCCCCATGTGATTATATTCTAAACCGCTGGTACCATCCTTTTTTTATGTCTACGTCTAAAGAGCCATTTTCTTTAGAAATAATAAATAATTTATGGTTTTAAAAAAAAATACTTCAATTGTGGCAAAAGCAATTGTGATTATTTTGATTTATAATTTTCCTATCCGATTTTAATAGAATTTCTTTAGCACCAATCTGTAAGTATAACCCTTTCAGATAAAAAAAAACTATAAATTGGTGTAAACCTTACGGAATTATAAAGTAACAGCTAAAAAAATTCATTCGAAATTAAAACCTTTTTAAGGTCTTCAAAAATTAAAAAGCATAGATATCTGCTAAAAATTATATCAGCGTAGAAGGAGAATCTGTCACTATCCTTAATCTATGGGTATCAAATATGTATACCAAAAACTGTTAATTTCAATTACAAATCTGGTTTTTTCCAGTTGTAGGAAACAAAAATAGACCAAATTAATTCGAGTAACACATAAGGAGTATGTGTTGGATTCCAATATAACCCGCAAAATGTGACATCATCAATACATAGTATAAAACGAAGTCACTTCCCATCTGTCTGTCCCTGTGTATGCTTAGATCTTTAAAACTACGCAACGGATTTTGAAGCGTTTTTTTTTTATGGATAAAATAATTTAAGAGAAAGGTTTTTTTTTGATGGGTGAAAATGTAATGGTAGCCCCGCCTGCGCTAAAGGGATACGCTGGCGGAACACCAGTGAAGGGTGATAGATGAGAATGAAAACAGGCCAGTTAGCCCATCATAATGAATTCATCAGGAATTAACCATGATAGTTTCCAGGGGGAACTACGAGAAGATCGACCTGGTTGGGTATATTGCTAGCAATGGGATTCAGTCTCCATTACTAACAATCCCTTTCCCCCCAATCAGAACTTTTAGTTATTTATGTGTGCTTTCACTGTTGAGGATCAAACATAATTACAAACAGGTTAGATCACGTTGAGGTCCACCTGATACGGTATATTTCTAGTAATAGGACTAGCATACATTACTAGCAATCTCTTCCCCCCACTCACTATTGAGACCCGAATATAACCAACCCTTCGTTCCTTGACGGATAACGAAGTCGGCCAAACCAGAGTTCCGTACCGCTCTGGCGCTCTTGGGCGTACGCCATAGATAGATAGATAGATACATACTCTTTATTGTTTCCTCCAAAAGATTACAATAGTAAACTTATTATAAATATAAATAATTACAAGAAATAATCACAATGAGAAAACAATGGGCAGAAAACAATACCTTATCGCTAAGAGCGATCTCTTCCAAGCAACCTTTGCCATAAGCCATCGGCAAAAGTCGACACTTCGTCGCTCCCTTCTCACGCGCTTGGAGTACCTTCTACACTCGTCCCTAAGCGAGTCCGGTGAAACTGTACTCATTTAAAGACGAGTAGAGGGAGAGAGGGAGGACTGTAGTCCCCAGGTGACTTACGAGTTACACCGCGCATTTTTGAAGGCACTTTCTCCCACGCACAACCACTCTCTGGAATCAACTTCCAGCAGCAGTATTTCCGAACCGATACGACAACATAACCTTCAAGAAAAGAACATATTCCTTTTTAAGAGGCCGGCAGCACACCTGCAATGCCGTTGGTGTTGTGGGTGATCATGGGCGGCGGTAGTCACTTACCATTAGGTGAGCGCATGCTCGTTTGCCCCCTGTGTTGTAAAAAGAACAAAAGTATTTTGAAATAGAAAGATTGGAGTCGCTATTTTCAGAGCAATATGTAGGTTTTTTTAACGGGTGACAGATGGGCTAACTGACCTGCCTTTTTCCCCTATCATCTCTCACTGACCATTATCATCCATAAAACAAACATTTAGTCCTCAAGGATACAGAAGCATAACACCTTTGTCTGGGGGGGAAAAGGATTGTTAGCAATGGAGTTTGACAGCCCCATTGCTAGCAATATACTTTATTAGGTCGACCTCCGCGTGGTTCCCCCTGGAAACCATCGTGAACAATTCTTGTTGAATTCGTCATGATGGGCTAACTGACCTGCATCATCCTCACCTATCATCCTTAAGTGGTGCCCCGCCGGTGTATACCAATAGCACGGGTGAGGTTACTATTCCATTATCATTCATTAAAAGAACACCTTTGTCTAGGGAATAGAGATTGTTAGCAATGCGAACTACCAACCTCATTACTAGCAATACATCCTGTCAGGTCGACCTCCGCGTAGTCCCCCCTGGAAATTATCGTGTTGAATTCCGGGCGTATTGATCATGATGGGCTAACTGATCTGTTTTCATCCTCACCTATCATCCCTCACTGGTGCCCCGCCAGTGCATACCGTTAGCGCAGGCGGGCTTACCACTCCATTATCAGCCATTAAAAAAAACACCTTTGTCTACAGGAATACCAACGCATGAGGAGTATCACGAGCAAAACAGTATACTCTGTTATGTCCATGGTACTGTTCATGTCTATAGCCGACCGTTAGGTACCACTTTCCATCAGGTAGGCCGTCAGCTTGTTTGCCATTCTGAGTTGCATAAACAAAATGTGAGTCCAAAATAAGATGGTAATCAATTTGGCCTACTTTTTAACCCGGTCACGCGAACGCAGCAACGGGCAAAAGTTAGATTGTTTTTAAATTAAATATGGAATTGTACCAATTAATATTGTTGAGTACCAAAATTATGTAAATATCTATGTATGTATAAGTAAAATGACACTAGAGGGAGCCGCGCGTGCTCCCGTCGCGTGACGCGGCTACATAACTCGTTACCAAACCAATGTCGTGACAGACGCGGCGTTATGCAGTACGTAACAAACTATCTAATACGTGCCATAAGAAAAGAAAAAAAAATCTTTTTTTTAGTACGTTTGTTCCGTTGTGGAACAGACTGAGGTCGGAGACCATGCTGCCTAATCTTCAATATGATAATTTGTCTGGAATTTTAAAAACTATCTAATACATATTTTTTTTTATAGATGACCTTTAAATTGATTAGTAATTAGTCTTTTTATTGGCCATAGATAAATAACTTTGTAATTGCAGTCATTACTCTTTTTAATTTCTTCAAGGGTCAAGTATTTTTATTTATTTTTTAATGGATGATAATAGAATGTAAACCCCGCCTGCGCTAACGGTATACACCGGCGGGGCACCAGTGAGGGATGATAGGTGAGGATGAAAACAGATCAGTTGGCCCATAGTGATGTATTCATAAAAAAACTTCCTTGAGTTTCCTGGAGGAACCGCGTGGAGGCCGACCTGATAAGGTATATTGTTAACAATGGGGCCTCTAGTCACATTACTAACAATCCCTTTCCCCCCAGGGTCAAATATCGCCCATTATGCCATTAACAAGCAGAAAACGAAACGGGGTATCAATAAGGAACGGAATGGATTTTGGTGTTAGTGATCACAGGGCAAGTAATTAGTACAATTATCTTACTATTATTTTTTTCTTAAATAGCAATCGGTCGTTATTTTTACGACCATTTTTTTTTTGATGGGTGAAAATGGTATGGTAACCCCGCCTGCGCTAACGGGATACGCTGGCGGAGCACCAGTGAAGGGTGATAGATGAGAATGAAAACAGGCCAGTTAGCCCATCATGATTAATTCATCAGGAATTAACCATGATAGTTTCCAGCGGGAACCGCGAGGAGGTCAACCTGGTTGGGTTTATTGCTAGCAATGGGATTCTCAGTCTCCATTACTAACAATCCCTTCCCCCCTTTTACGACCATTCCTTTCAGCGTCGTGTATAAGAGATTCGTACTGGAGATGAAAATTATATCAAAAAGACTGGTCTAATTTTAGGCTTTTTAGTTTTAAAAACTGAAAGCAGTTTTGACAGTTATTTTTTTTTCTAAACTGGATACAAATAATGGATATAAATGGAAAAAAAATGTTCTTAGAATAGCAAAGAATTCTTTGCTGTTCTAAGAACGTTTTTTTTTTTTTCAAAATCTTTGCTAGATACTGTTACAGTAATATCTATTAAATTGAATAAATAAGGGAGACAATAATGCGAGTTTAAAAACACTGTGAAATTTACATCATTAGAAAAATTTAAGTTTAACCTATTAGTTTTGGCGGGAAATTATTGTTTTTTTTTTTTTTTTTAATACGTTTGTTCCGTTTGGAACAGGCTAAGGTCGGAGACCATGCTGCCTAGTCTTCAAAAAGATAATTTGTCTGGAATGGAAATTATTGTATTAATGATCATAGATCATAGAGTTATAATTTAATGTAATTATGAGAAGTAAAAGGAAGCTTAGGAGTTACAGATGAGCTAACAGGCATAAAAAAGAATTTATAATAATAATAAATGACTTTTTACAACTTTTTTTTTTAATGTAATATATCGTTTAAATTTGGAATCTTAGTATTATTGTACTCGTATAAAGCTATCCTAAATGGCAGATCATTGGCAAAATGCTTGGGTATGATATTATTTTTTTACGATACAAGCGCGCCCGTACCAAGCACGGGGTATTGCCTATATACAGGCTGTTGTATTTTGACTTGTTTATATTTCCTTTATATCCTTTTATGGGCAGAGGTACTCATAAGAGGATAAGCAGAAACAAATGAAATTACACTATACGAAAACATATTTTTTTTTTATAATTGAAAGGTACCGCAATTGATCACGATCTAACCTGATGAAAAGCCATAATGTGATCTTAGATGGCGCTCGCGGACTCACGAATAGCCTATTTACATTTGCATTAAATTGGTACAGTTTATATTTGGATGAAAAAACATAAACACGGAGAGAGTTCCACTCCTTGACAGTTTAAATGTATTTAAGAAAAAAGCAAAAGAATATTTGACAGCCAAGTGTTACTATACGTTACATGACTATTACATTGATAAATATTAGACGTGCAATTTAATTATTTTTATTGGCATTTTTACATTTTATTATTATTATTGACGTTGTTTTTATTGTTATAAGTTATTATTACTATAATTTTATATTGTACACGCCGATATGGTAGAATGTGGAATAATGGACATGTAATTATTATTTTCATCTAATGTATGTATCCATATTCATGCAATAATTGATTTCAATTTGAAATTTAAATTTGGCTGTATGCACGATGTAGGAAGATACAAAGCGCTTCGTGCGTATAAAAGGTATGTATACGACTTGAGGGTGGAGATTTTCGCCCCATCTGTTCGTCTGATGTTGGTACTTTTCATGTTTATAGACAATAATCAGTCATTGAAAGCAAATCATGAATTAATCATGATGGTTTCCAAGGAAACCGCATGGAGGTAGGACCTAGTGGGATATTTTACTAGAGGGAGACTTTGTACAAAAGTCGATTGCTTAGGTACCTCTGCCCCATTAGTGTTTCTACCGTGAAGCAGCTGTATTTGCATGGCTGTTTCGGTTTGAAGGGTGGGATATGGTGTGAATTTATAGGGTACAGAGAAATAACACCTGAGTCCTCAGTAATGGCAACGTATGGGGGGTATCATGGGCAAAACAGTATACTCTGTTATGTCCATGGTACTGCTCATGTCTATGTGCGACTGTTACCACTTTCCATCAGGTGGGCTGTCAGCTTGTTTGCCATTCTAAGTTGTATAAAAAAAGACATGAATTAATCATGGTGGTTTCCAAGGAAACCGCATGGAGGTCGACCTAGTAGGCTATATTGCTAGCAATGGGGCTCTTAGACTCCCTTACTAACAATCCGTTTCCCCCACTCATAAGAACTGCCATAGGTATCAGTATACTCTGTTACGTCCATGGTACTATTCATGCCTATAGGCAACGGTTATCACTTTCCATTAGGTGGGCCGTTAAGTTGTTTGCCATTCTAAGGATTACAGAAAAAAAGTAAAGGCATGGGAATATTACAAGAATCAACCTTGGTGGTCTAACAGCTCAACACGGTAGGGAGAGGGGGGGAGGGATTGTTAGTAATGGGGTCTAACTGCCTGCTTGTCAGCAACATACCTTATCAGGTCGACATCCACGCGGTGACCCCTGGAAGCTATCCTCCCAGGAAAAGAGTACTAAGCCAGCGTAAACTCTACCTTCCACTACTTCCTACGGGGAACCGCGTGGAGCTCGAACTGATAGAGTGTATTGCTAAAAATGGAGAGTGCATTTCTAATTTCATTCCCTCGGATTTTAAGGATTTAAATTCACATATAAATATTACCTATTGGTAATACCCCCTTATGGGGGAGGCTGATGTCCAGCAATGGACAATTAACGGTAGATTTTTTTTAATGAATGATAATGGAATGGTAACCCCGCCTGCGCTAACTGTATACGCTGAAGAGGCCCAGTGAGGATTGATAGATGAGAAACAGGCAGGTCAGTTAGCCCATCGTGATGAATACACCTGGAATTCAGCACGGTTTCTATCTGATAGGGGTATATTGCTAGCATTGGACTGGTAGTCATGTATTACTAACAATTTCTCTCCCCCCCCCCCCCCATTAACGGCTGTTAGGATGATAATGATGTAAATATTTAATTTTTAATTACCAGAGGGAGACTTTGTACAAAAGTCGATTGCTTGAGTACCTCTGTCCCATTCGTGTTTCAACCGTGAAGCAGTTGTGTTTGCATGGCTGTGTTTCGGTTTGAAAGGTGGGATATGGCAGTGAATTTACTGGGTACAAAGGAATAACATCTGAGTCCTCAGGAATGGCAACGCATGGGGGGTATCATGAGCGAAACAGTATACTTTGTTATGTCCATGGTACTACTCATGTCTATAGGCGACGGTTACCACTTTCCATCAGGTGGGCCGTCAGCTTGTTTGTCATTCTAAGTTGTATAAAAAAAAAAATTTAGGCAACTTTTAGCAACATCCTGTATAATGATTGAGCACCCAAACTAGCTCCCAGTGGGGAACGTAAATTCTGCATAACGGACGCAGTCGACCCCGCCGGCGGATTCTCTATTACGGTACGATTACAGTTTACTAGCTTTTACCCCCGACTTTGTTTGCGTAACCGGGTTACAAAGTAGCCTGTGTCCTTTCCTTCCCCATGAAGTGCGTATATACCAAATTTCATTGTTATCGATTGAGCAGTTAAGCCGCTATAAGGTAACAAACAATGATACATTATAGCATTTTTTTTTATCATATTTATTTATGTCAAATAACTTTTTTTTATGCAACTTAGAATGGCAAACAAGCTGACGGCTCACCCGATGGAAAGTGGTAACCGTCGCCTATACACATGAGCAGTACCATGGACATAACAGAGTATACTGTTTCGCCCATGATACACCCCCATGCGTTGCCATTCCTGTGGACTCGGGTGTTATTCCTCTGTACCCAGTAAATTCACTGCCATATCGCACCCTTCAAACCGAAACACAGCCATGCAAACACAACTGCTTACTTGTTTCTACTTGCTTGCAAACTTCGCCTGCTGGTTACTATATTTGAGTCATAGATTGCTTGCTATTTGCTCTTCTATTACAGTTGTTTTATTTGTTTTATATACTAATTATATAACTAGCTGACTCGGTAAACGTTGTTTTACATAATTTCTAGAACTATACATGAAATGGTTAAGCCGTTAAGGAGCTATAAGGTAATAAACAAACTCACTTTCATATTTATAATATTACTAGCTGACTCGGCAAACATTGTTTTACCATATACATTATCTCTAGAACTATACATGAAAATGTATCGTACTACAATTATTATATTGGATTGCCATCTTGCAACCCTATTGCGGCATATAAAAATCGCGATTAAAAAGCAGGGGTTGATCGTAAAAGCATGAAAATTGGAATTTGTATGTATTTTACAATGCTAAATCATAATAAAATAAAAATAAAAAAAAAAATTGTCGAAAAAATAAAACAAAAATATTTAGGTGTGGGTCACCCTTATCATTGAGGGGTATGAAAAATTGATGTTGGCCGATTCTCAGACCTACCCGATATGCACACAAAATTTCATAAAAATCGGTAAAGCCGTTTCGGAGGAGTTTGGTAATAAACACCGCGACACGAGAATTTTATATATTAGGTTTTAAGGATTTATTTATTATATATATATATTTATTTATTTAATATATTATGTGTATGTTTATATTAGTCTAATTATATGTTTATAATATATTAATACTATCAAGTATTGCTTTATATTTCCTCTATTCAATAATACATCGCCTACTTATTTCTCTGTTCGCCCAATGCTCGACTGGTAGAGAACACCGTACGGTGTTCAGTCCGCCATATGTACATAGAATTTTACTATGTATTAAAGTTTAAATAAATAAATAAATAATACCAGTACCTACACAATAAGATATATTTTTTTTGTAAAAATGGTTTTCTGAAAAAATGTTTTATTAACTTCTGAGCATTATTATTGACAATGCTGCTGTAGTTTTCAATAGTATTTGTTTGTTTAATTTTGTTTATATTTGTTTAATTTTGTTTATATTTGTTTAATTTTGTTTATATTTGTTTATATTTGTTTTAATTTTGTTTATATTTGTTTAATTTTGTTTATATTTGTTTAATTTTGTTTAATTTTAGTATTGTCTAACTTTGTGTTTCGTTTACTTGTATTTTATTTTGTGCAAATTCTAATGGCTACCAAATTACTATTTAAGTATATAATTATGTATTGTTTTAGCCGTTTGTTTGCCTTAAATAAATAAATAAATAATTTTAATTCTTTTAGGTATTAAACTAATTAATAAAGCAAAAAATGTCCTTGAGGATACTTCACGCGGGCTCGAGGATCCCTAGGAACCACAGCGTCAGGTTTACAAGTGAGGATTTACCTAAATATAAATCTTTGGTAAGTAACCTACTAATGAAGTAACAAAAAAAAGAAAAAAAAATTGTTTATGTATACTTTATTTTTAATTCTTATATTTTTTTTTAATGGACGATAATGGAATGGTAACCCCGCCTGCGCTAACGGGATGCGCTGGCGGAGCACCAGTGAAGGGTGATAGGTGAGAATGAAAACAGGCCAGTTAGCCCATCATGATGAATTCATCAGGAATTAACCTTGATAGTTTCCAGGGAGAACCGCGAGGAGGTCGACCTGGTTGGGTATATTGCTAGTAATGGGATTCTCAGTCTCCATTACTAACAATCCCTTTCCCCCCATCTAGTTATAATTGTAAATTATCAGGAATCCCCGCCGGATTCGAGCCTCCCCAACTACGCGCCCTACTCCGGCCCTGACTCCGGGGCGCCGAGCCCTGACTCCTGCCACTTCCAGCCGGCCGCTCAACGCTTCAGGCTCAACGAGCAGAGTAAATTATAACTAGCTTTTAACCGGAATTTCGCCCGCGTAACCGGGATATGTTTACTGACTGAGATAAAAAGCCTATATTCTTGTGCACCCTACATGTAAACCAAATTTCATAGAGATTGGTTGAGCCATTAAGGAGCTACCTATAAGGTAATAAACAAACAAACTCACTTTAGCCAGAGGGAGACTTTGTACAAAAGTCGATTGCTTGGCCACCTCTGTCCCATTCGTGTTTCAACCGTAAAGCAGTTGTGTTTGCATGGCTGCGTTTCGGTTTGAAGGGTGGGATATGGCGTGAATTTACAGGGTACAGAGGAATAACACCTGAGTCCTCAGGAATGGCAACGCATGGGGGGTATCATGAGCGAAACAGTATACTCTGTTATGTCCATGGTACTGCTCATGTGTATAGGCGACGGTTACCACTTTCCATCGGGTGGGCCGTCAGCTTGTTTGCCATTCTAAGTTGTATAAAAAAAAATTGTAATATTAGAGGGGATATTCTAAAACCCGGTGTCACAATGTCCGTTACCGCTAATCTATTTGAATGAAATTTTGTAAATATGTTTTGTTTGTTTCAACATAAGGTTGTATCCTGTTAAGATATAAAATCAGTCAAGTGCGAGTTGAACACACACGACAAGCGTTCCGTATATGAAATATTCAATGAATAGATACCGGTTCCGTTTGATTTCCATTTTTTTTCTTATTTCATATTAAAATCTCATCCATTATCCGTCCACAGCTGAACATAACTCTCCCCCATAAACTGCCATAAAGAACGGTCCTAAGCCACCTCCATCATTCACTAACTCCTTGCAATACATTTGAGCACATCACTCCATCTAGTGGAGGTGTCAAAAATTAAAATTAAAAAAAAAATATTTTTTTATATTTTTTACCACAGGAATCAAACTCCTGACTGCGATCAATCAGATCGTGCAGCAACGAGCCGACCTCGAAGCCAACCGTGCCACCCTCTCGAATCTTCTAGAAGAATTGAAGAGGAAGCTCAAACGGCGAATAGAAGAATGCCACTTCGAGAAGAAAGAGAAAATGAAGGTAAATTAAATACACTATCGGCTTTTAACGTGATTAAAATATTTTGCAGGTAAATAGTACCTACATACCTGCTTCTTTATTGCTGACGTTTTAAAATATCTATAAACAACGCGAAAGTGTAAAATTAATATGAAGGTATTTATTTATTTATTTATAGGATTACCAACATAAGATACAGCGAAACATTTCAATACAATACACTGGTAGATTAGGTCTAACTGTTCTTACATTTATACGCGACCACAGCATGCCTTGTGTTTGATGAACATTTAAATGGAACTAAATTATTAAATGTCATTAAATGAATAAAAAATATTAATAATATGAATAATAATATAAAATAAATAAATAGAAATTGTAATTAAATTATTTTAAATTATAAATAAATATAATGCAATGGCGAGGTACATCAACATTTCAATTTAGCCATGAACACGGAGTGACAATCGTTGTGAATATCAAGTTCAGGCTTGGTTTTTACAATATCGTTATACAGACGCGTTATGCGGACGATAGGTGATTCGCGGCCCAAGTTTGTTCGGCAAGCTGCATTTTTAAATAGATTGCAAGGATGCCGCGGCACTCTAGCAGATACATTGTAATCTAGTTTCTCCAGTAGAGGTGGGCAATCAATGTGATTATTCACCAACCTATGGAGACATGACATGTCAAGGTAAGATCTGCGTAGGCATAGTTCATCAAGGTGAAAATGTTTAATTCAAACATATCTTATTAATTCTAAGATGCTGCATCTTTGTCATCACCGCCATATCAGCTTTTAACTGTCCACTGCTAAACATAAGTCTTAAGTAAGTTTTGCACGTAGTTGCCACGTTTGGCAAACGGATTAGCAACCGCAGTTAGTTCCTATTCTATACCGGTCCTATCAATTTTTCTATTCTTTTTTTTTATACAGCTTAGAATGGCAAACAAGCTGACCGCCCACCTGATGGAAAGTGGTAACCGTCGCTTATAGACATGAGCAGTACCATAGACTTAACAGAGTATACTGTTTCGCTCATGATACCCCCCCCCCATGCGTTGCCATTCCTGAGGACTCAGGTGTTATTTCTTTGTACCCTGTAAATTCACGCCATATCCCACCCTTCAAACCGAAACAGCCATGCAAACACAACTGCTTCACGGTAGAAACACGAATCGGACAGAGGTACCCAAGCAATCGACTTTTGTACAAAGTCTCTCTCTGATCTACTCTATTCCTAGTCAAATTTTGGGCAAATTTAGTCATGTATTTTACTATTTTTAAGTACCTTATATACATGAGCAGAGTTTACAATTAGTAAAAAAATTGTCCAAAATTTCCAAAGCAAATATTCAAATTTCTCCAACCTTTCTTGGGTCCTCACTTTTCTCCAAAAATTTCTTCAAGAAATTAATTTCACCAAATTTAGGTTGCCAGATTAGACATTTTTCTACTACACAGATAAAATAATATCTAATCTGGCAACCCTGATCACTACTTACTTACTACTATTCAAGGCATTAAAACAAGCCAACCAGCGGCTGGAGAAAGAGAAGCACTGTCTCGCCACCGAGATAGACCACCTGAAACGCCATCTGGAGAAAGAAGAGGCCCATCACGTGCAGCATGCTAGAACTGCTGTCGCTCAGGTGAGGTACTCAGTATCTTTAAGATCCCTTATGGGAGAACCAAGGAATCCCGCCCACCCGAGTGAGTCATAAGCCTCCATCCAAGGAGGGATGGGAGTGATTGTTGATATTGCGGAATACCAGTCCCATTGTTAGCCATATACCCTGTCAGATCGACCTCCACGCGGTTCCCCCTGGAAACCATCGTGGTTAGTTGTAGTTCAATTCCTAATGATGAGCTAACTGATCTGCTTTCATCCTCACCTATCATCTCTCACTGATGCCCCGCCAGTGTATACCGATAGCGCAGATGGGGTTACAATTCCATTATCATCCATTAAAAAAAGGTATTTCTTATCCAATTTTGTTTAGTGACCTTAATGCGATTACATTAATTTCGTAGGCCATACAAGGCGTGGGAAAACTGCATCCAACTGAAAGTATCTTCACGCCGTGTTCCGTAGCAGACCTGCCAAATATGGTGAGCAGGAGTGTTGCCAAGAACGCGCCTTCCAGAATCGTGAGTATTATCATCTGCACCGGCCTTTGAAGGAACCTGAAGGATATAGGGATAGAAATAGATAGATAATTTATTTACATTACTTACAGCACACAAATTACAAAAAAAAAAAACATAAACATAATACACAGCAAATGAGATAAAAGAATGAAAATAAAAAAGCAACAGAACAAAAAAAATAGCAAAATATATAAACCAACAATCTCCTTTCTTTCCCTTCCATCATACGTGTGTCATAATAACACAAAATGGCCACAACTCAGTTTATTGCTTTGCTCTCAAGAGAGCAAACTCTTATATTCTGCTGTGGCCAAGAGTTAGTCGCGAAATTCCTTATTAAAAATAATAATAAAAAGAAATATAAATAAAATGCATTGTGTGTGTCCATTACATTCGCCTCAATAATAGAAGATGGCATTTTATTTATTTATTTAAATAAGTTTACTAACCAAAAGAAAATATGGTACAAAAGGCGGACTTAATGCTAGCAACATTCTCTACCAGTCACCCTTTGGGACGAACAGTGAACCACAAACGCGGTACTTCATTATAGGCATAGATAAAGAAAATAAAGGCCTTGGAAAATAATTTTAAACAAAACCAATAGTTCTTATTTACCGATTTCCTTTAAGCATTTCCAACATTCCGTTCTGTTTTCCCTTCAATCCTTTCCTCCATACCGTAGGTGGCAGGAACCACCAACAAATGTATTCCCGAAGAGGGTTGACGTCAGGCAGGCGGCGGGCGTAAAGCTATGAGCTAAATCATTTTGTGATGTGGATGAAACCAATAATTGGGGTAAGGGTAGGAAGGTGACGAAACCAATAGCTCCAAGATATGGTATTGTTAATTATTTTAGGCTGACAACAAATTGGCAGCCGCGCGTCTGATGCGCGATATAGCGGAGCTGCGACAGAGGGTCGCTCAAGTGGAGGCCAGGCTCGCTAACGAACTGAAGGTATCTTATAATATTTGCTATTATATACTTTTTTTTATACTACTTAGAATGGCAAACAAGCTGACGGCCCACCTGATGGAAAGTGGTAACCGTCGCCTATAAACATGAGCAGTACCGTGGACATAACAGAGTATACTGTTTCGCCCATGATACCCCCCATGCGTTGCCATTCCTGAGGACTCAGGTGTTATTCCTCTGTACCCAGTAAATTCACGTCATATCCCACCGTTCAAACCGAAACACAGCCATACAAACACAACTGCTTCACAGTAGAAACACGAATGAGACAGAGGTACCCAAGCAATCGACTTTTGTACAAAGTCTCCCTCTGGTAAATATATGAAAGAAAGAAAGAAAGAAAAAACTTTATTTTACAAGAAATATGCGACGGCACCCACACAGGGGTTAAAAAAAAATCCATATATTAAGAATTATAATAAAGAAACAACACAAAAAAATATTTATAAAAAAAAAAAAATATATATATAAAATTAAAAAAGAAAAATAAAACGATTCGTATTATAACAATTTCATCAAAAATGAATGTGTGTGTGCGTGCGTCGCAATACCTGCAAAATGAGGTGCGTGCTCAGCATTATGCTGTAGTATGTGTATACGAGGTCTGTCCGGAAAGTTCGTATAAAAGTGTTCTGGAATGCGAGAAAGAGGAGTGGGGAGGCCAGGTAAGCGCAGGACCCCTTCCTTATGTCCCTAACAATGCTTCAGTTCTGGTCTGACCGCCGTGCGGTGCGAACTGGCTTGTCACGCCATCTGTGAAGTTACCTCTTAACGAAACCCCGTCGGCATGGAGCCCGCTTCCGTTGAAGAGCAGCGCGTCGTAATCAAGTTTCTCTCGAAACTCGGCAAGAATGGCCGTGAAATTTTTGCCGATCTCAGAACAGTTTATGGGGATGATGCTGTGAAGGAACCAACCGTCCACAAGTGGCTAAAAAGATTCAGAGAGGGCCGAGAAAGCGTTCAAGATGACCCACGTTCAGGACGTCCTTCCACTTCACATTCCGACGAAAACGTGGAAAGAATTCGAACTTGTGTTAATGGGGACCGTCGTTTAACGGTCAGACAGGTGGCTGAAGAGCTTAATTTGGGCAAAACCGTGGTCCACGAAATTCTAAGAAACGAACTTCAAATGAAAAAAATTTGCGCCAAGATCGTTCCGTGAGTTTTTGAGTAAAAATTCCATTACGGTGACCGAACATCCCCCCTATTCGCCGGATTTGGCCCCGTGTGACTTCTTCTTGTTCCCAAAAACCAAATTGGTACTTCGGGGGCGGCATTTGGGGGACATAAATGAGATAAAAAAAGCTACGACGGGGCAGCTGAGAAACCTACAACCAGAGGACTTTCAAGGAGCCTTCTCACAGTGGAAACGGCGTTGGCACAAGTGCATTATGTCACAGGGGGAGTACTTTGAAGGGGATAAAATTGATTTACCTGAATAATTGTAAAATAAAATTTTTAAAAAACTTTTATACGTACTTTCCGGACAAACCTCGTATCTAGTAATAAAACTTGGGCAATTAATTCTTTTTGTTTATGTACATATTGTTATTCTTTATAATCTACATCACTCTTTAATAAAGAGTTTTCATTCTTTCGTTCGATTAGATTCTGTTTAAAAAACCCCGATACCGGCATAGAATACGCCACCCCTTCCTTTCCTGTGGGTGTCGTAAGAGGCGACTAAGAAAAATTAATAGTCGGGGGATGGACAGCAGCGTCCCTCTTAAAAATCACCAAAAACTAACTGCAATTGTCAACCCATGTAGTAAGCGTGGCAACTACTGGCAAACCCCCCAAAAGGGAGGCCTATGTTCACCAACGGACAGTTAAAATAGGTTTTCCGCAAGTAAAGCCGCGTGAACCGGTGTGAGAATAAGCTGACAGTGCATTTCCAGCGTAAGAGGCAGGCTGAGCTCGACATTATACGATTGAGGAAGGAACTATCCACCACCAAGAGCTGCGTCGCGTCGCTGCGGCTCCCCTTGCAACCGCTAAGGAAGCCGTGCTCCAAGTTCGCTTAGAAGACAAAAATCATAAAAAACATGTCAGAGATATGTAACTTACCATCGTGCATACCAGTACAATTTCATATCAAAACGTGGCAACATTTGCATTATCTGTCAATTGAAAAAATAAACATATTTCCGTAAAAAAAAAAGTATTTTTCTTAATCTATGCAACTTTCATTACTAATACTTCTGTCCTTTATCTATGGATTATATTTAAAAAAATGCTCTGCTTAAAAAAATAGAAAAAAAGTTAACTACGTTACGTTTCTACATCTAGAACTATAACGTGATTATTTGTTCTGTGTTTAGAACTATATTTGTGTTAAATTTGATATTTTTTTACCCATTAATGTACAATATTTGTGTATAATAAAGTATGAATAAATAAATATATTTTTAACTGATCTATAATATTGCATGTAATGGGATAAATGTTTAAAATACCGTTGATAACCTAATTTTACATACAATAAAACATTAAATTTGAATAGTGTACACGCATTAATAAAAAACTATATTCCACTTGTTATTGTTAGATATAGTATTACACCATAGATTAAGAATAATACCTACCAGTTTTTTTTTTTTAATTGGCTAGACAATGCAAAGAATATCAAACATGCGTTACAAAAACGTTTAATATAGTATTATAAAAACGTTACAAAAACGTTTAATATAATTAAATATAGTACCCACAATGGTACCTGAATAAAAAAAAAATAACTCTTTAAATATGACATTTTAAAACTTCACAAACAAGAAACTTATTATATATACTTCTCTAATAAAAGTTGGAGATAAATTGATATGGGAATAAATTGTATATTATTTCCGACGGGATCTGGATAGAAGGATAGATCGATTGCGCGGTAAAAAATTAGGTAATAGTAAAATTAAGGTAGATGAAATAGAAATAAAAATATTTTATTTAATACAGATGTGTTAAAAAAAATACAAAATATAAACCGCCAACCCGCCATAAACTAAAATTTCATCCCAACCATCTGGACGAGTGGCGGTCTTCCACCGTGCGTTTTTTAAGGCACTTTCTCCCACGCACAACCACTCTTTGGAATCAACTTACAGCAGCAGTATTACCGAACCGATACAACAACATAACCTTCAAGAAAAGAGCATATTCCTTTTTAAAAGGCCGGCAGCACACCTGCAATGCCGTTGGTGTTGTAGGTGACCATGGGCGGCGGTAGTCACTTACCATCAGGTGAGCCGCATGCTCGTTTGCCCCTTGTGTTGTAAAAAAAAAAATATCTGATATTTATCTCTTTATTTTGATTATTTCCATAAAAAATACTTGTAATGTAATAAATGTTGTTTACTTACCAAAAATATTCTTGTTTTATTTATAAACATTGAGGTTATTCCTATGTATATATCGTCTCCGAGACGATATATCTCTGAACCTATTAAAATGAAAATTGCAATTTGACATGACAGCGAATTTTTATTCATAGGTCTAATATCTTAGATTGGGGGGAAATTGTTTATTGTTGTTAGGGGAATGGAGACTGAGAATCCTATTGCTAGCAATATACCCAACCAGGTCGTCCTCCTCGCGGTTCTCCCTGGAAACTATCATGGTTAATTCCTGATGAATTCATCATGGTGGGCTAACTGGCCTGTTTTCATTCTCATCTATCACCCTTCACTGGTGCTCCGCCAGCGTATCCCGTTAGCGCAGGCGGGGTTACCATACCATTTTCACCGATCAAAAAAAAATTTTAGATTAGCAACATCGTAATATCTTAGATTACATAGATACAGTGTCTCCATACAAATGCTTCGAGAAAAGCGAGTCAACTTTTAGATACAATTTTTCGTGACAAATAGTTATGAGTGATTCCAAAACGTGTAAATTTATTTTGCTTTATAATTTTTGCATCTTTTTAATACGTAATAAAATAATTTTATTTATTAAATATAGATACGACAAGACACATTGTGTGCGTAAGTATATAGAACAGTGATAAAAAAATTAGCTAATTTGACAATTAGCTGACAAAAAGTTGACCCGTTTTTGAGACTCGATGCTCTATCTATATAATCTAAGTCTATGTATGAATTAAATTTCAAATTAAACTTAATATATAATGATCCATATAAGAGTACTTTTGCAAAACTATGTGAAAATGTGAAAAAGACTCTATTTTCCGCGCTAAGCCTCTCATTTGGGCCGTTGTGCGTATGAGTCGTGGCTAGTACAGCCAACCCAGCTCCGTCCAGAAGTGCAGAAGCTTCCTGGGTTCTTCACAGGCCTCACGGAGCGACCTCACCGTTCCGAGGATTTCTAAACGTTGATGGGCCACAGCCTCACATTCCAGGATTACGTGAGTGGTCGTTTCTTCGGCGTCGAAACAGCCTCGACATAGAGGGCTGTCTGTGGCTCCTGTTGTGTATGAATGTTTGTTTAATGGACAATGGCCCGTTATTGTCCCTATCATTATTTCGAGGTTTTTTCTATCTAGATGTAATAAACGTTTTGATAGTACGGCCAATTTTGATTGTCTTTGCAAAACTATATGATAAATTTTTTGTTAACAGATGATAATGGAATGGTAACCCCATCCGCGCTATCGGTATACACCGGCGGGGCACCAGTGAAAGATGATAGGTGAGAATGAAACAGGTCAGTTAGCCCATCATGATGGATACGCCTGAAATTTAGCACGATGGCCACCAAATGGCACCAAAAATTTTTTTAATCAATACATATAATAAAATCGTAACTGGCCGCTGTTTGTACATGGAAGATATATAAGAAAAACTATTAAAGGGGGCTTTTTGAAGGCAATAGAACACAAAACAATGATTTTTTTGTCTGTACGTTTGTGCACGTTAATCTCAGAAATGGCTCAACCGATTCGAATGTAGTTCTCAGTAATGCGTTATGGTTTTCTCCACTTAACATTTAGTGTTTGTTTTATTTCAATCGGTTCATAATTAAAAAAGTTATATCAATCTAAAGAGTCACATATAAAATGCTATAAAATAACCGATCAGTTGAATTGGCTGAAACTTTATGAAGGTATTAGGTATGTAATTATCATTTAAGTATATAATACCATATATACCAGAGGGAGACTTTGTACAAAAGTCGATTGCTTGGGTACCTCTGTCACATTCGTGTTTCAACCGTGAAGCAGTTGTGTTTGACTGTATTTCGGTTTGAAAGGTGGAATATGGCGTGAATTTACTGGGTACGGAGGAATAACACCTGAGTCCTCAGGAATGGCAACGCATGGGGGGTATCATGGGCGAAACAGTATACTCTGTTACGTCCATGGTACTGCTCATGTCTATAAGCGACGGTTACCACTTTCCATCAGGTGGGCCGTCAGCTTGTTTGCCATTCTAAGTTGTATAAAAAAAAAAGTAGACCGAAAATATGAAGAGTTTTAACGAGAATGATATACGGGAACTACATAGTTAGAAGCGGGCGACGCCGCGAGAAACGGCTAGTGAAATAATAAATATTAGTACAAGAATTTAAAAATTTTATAACATTTTTCTTTATTACGCACAATGAATTACATTCAGGTGAAAAAAAATTAATAAAAATACAGGTTGATTGAAACAAAACAATGTGGCATCTAGCAATTTATCTGTGCTCTTCTGTATCTTCCTTCTTTGGTGCCCTTCTTTAAGTCCAGGGCTCCCAGTTGGTGCGCGTCACGCTCAGGATACGAGGGTCGGTACAATGACGGAGAAGACACGAGACCTGAAATTTTAAGATTGTGAAAAACGGGCTTTTTATGGCGGAAAAACCTGTGACTCTGCGACCTTTTTTTACAACACAGGGGGCAAACGAGCATACGGCTCGCCTGATGGTAAGTGACTACCGCCGCCCATGATCACCCATAACACCAACAGCATTGCAGATGTGCTGACGGTCTTTGAAAAAGGAATATGCTCTTTTCTTGAAGGTTATGTTGTCGTATCGATTCGGAAATACTGCGATTGTGCGTGGAAGAAAATGCCTTGAAAAACGCGCGGTGGAGGACCGCCACTCGTCCAGATGATTGGGATGGAACTTTAGTTTGTGGCGGGTTGTACGGTGGTGAAAATCAGCAGCAGGTATCAATCCGAACAATTCCTCAGGGCACTCCCCATGATAAATTCGGTAGAAGATTAACAGTGATTGATTGACTGGTTGATTGATTGATTGATTGATTGAATAATTGATTGACTGGTTAATTGATTGACTGATTGATTGATTGATTGATTGACTAACTGACTGATTGATCGACTGAATGATTGATTGATTGACTGACTGATTGATCGATTGAATGATTGATTGACTGGTTGATTGATTGATTGATTGATTGATTGACTGGTTAATTGATTGACTGATTGATTGAATGATTGATTGATTGACTGATTGATTGAATGATGCAATAAAGTGTAAAATAAGTAAATATCACTGGATCCAGCTCACCTGCTCTAAAACGCTGTACAGGTCCTTCTTGCAATAATCTTGGAACACCTGATCCAGTAATTTCAAGTATTGCTTCTTGTCCTTTCTCTCAGACTTTTCTATGACCGTTCTCGTGATGTGCCACGAGAGGGCGGCACCGGACAAGATGTTTTGTATGTAAACGAACTGGAAATTAAAAACAAAGTATTAATACCAAAATACTATAATCTCCAACTATCTGTCCCCTCTCACCGTACTGGTTTCGCTTCAAACTCTTTTCTCCTACATTCTTCACGACTCTGGAACGCGCTTCCAGATGCCATTAAGAGACTACCGACTAAACTGTCTTTAAAAAAAAACCGTTCACGCTCACTTTTTTACTTTATCCGAGCAGTGAGTGCTTTATATTATTCTCAATTTCGTGTATAATATAGTATATGTCATATATGTGTAAGTATATTTGTTATTTATATATATTTATTCGTTTATATATGTAATTTTAGTATGTATGTATATCAATAATTACTAGTACCGCATTCGAGTATTCTGACACTTGCCTATGGTTGACTGGGAGAGAATGCTTTTAGCATTAAGTCCGCCATGTACACATATTTGTACTAATGAATAAATAAATAGTTTAAGATTGTGAAAAAAAAATTGTTATTTTGATTTAAAAACCAAACTATTGAATCGATTTTAATAAAATTTTAAGGTGACTAATCTGTAACTATATCCTTTCACAAATGCACAAAGTATGTATTTTTTTTTATACAACCTACAATGGCAAACAAGCCGACTGCCCACCTGATGGAAAGTGGTAACCGTCGCCTATAGACATGAGCAGTACCGTGGGCATAACAGAGTATACTGTTTCGCCCATGATACCCCCATGCGTTGCCATTCCTGAGGACTCGGGTGTTATTCCTCTGTACCCAGTTAATTCACGCCATATCCCACCCTTCAAACCGAAACACAGCCATGCAAACACAACTGTTTCACGGTTGAAACACGAATGGGCACGAATAGCACCAGTTAAGGGTGATAGATGAGAATAAGAACAGGCCAGTTAGCCCATCATGATGAATTCATCAGGAATTAATCATGATAGTTTCCAGGGGGAATCGCGAGGAGGTCGACCTGGTTGGGTATATTGCTAGCAATGGGATTCTCAGTCTCCATTACTAACAATCCCTTTCCCCCCATGCGAACGTATTGGCGGCCGGCGTACGACTACTGTAGAGGGCGCCAGTGTCTATTACCTATAACGAGCGGGTAAGTGCCCGCGAGTTGCCCGAATTGGTCGTTCTACTATGTCGGTAGCAGCGACGATGGGTTCTACCATAAAGTTGAATTTTCCTTAAATATCTCCCATGTACAGACATAGTCTAGTTACAATTTTAAACCGACTTCAAAAAAGGATAAGGTACATGTGTTCGATTGTATATCTTTTTTTTTTATTAAATTAATAAGATATCTAAATAAAAGAAAAGAAATAAATATCTCACCTTTTCATCGAACTCCGGACCCATCCATTTGAATGACATCTTAATGAACGTGGAGTACAGCTTGTGAGAGTCGCGTAGTGACGTCATTAGGTCTTGTATACGGCTCTCCAGAACTGGGGCAGACAGATAAAGAGAGATTGGTACGTGACAATAAAAAAATATCAAATTGTTAAACGTTACACGACTACATCCACTAGATGGCGTTAATCAAAATCACCATATAAACCAGTGTTTTTTACATGGCGCGGGTTGACAAATTACCAACCTTGAGGATCGCAGACCGCCAGCAGGTTCCTGGTGAGCCTGGCGGGCAGCAGCTCATGACTGCCGTACTGCAGGCTGGCGCCCCAGTCTACGTAGCACACAGCGCCATCTGTCGTGCTGCACAGGATATTCTCCAGGTGGCGGTCTCCTAGTCCTGTAAGGTAACATGGTTTTTTGATGATAAATACAATGGTAGCCTTAATGGTATGGAAGACAGCAATATATAAGTATTACAGTTACAATATCTATATGTTGATCCAATAACTGATATACTATATATCGGGTATTCAATATATCACTAGCGGTCCATCCCAGCTTCGCACGGGTGGACATTTTTACAACATTTTAAAAAATGTTATTGTGACAACGATAATAGTTGGACATATAGTGTCGCTAAGTTTTTTGTAGTTATTGATATTTTCTTCAATATTGTAGAACATACTTTTGTTCTATCACCAATAGTTTCCGCAGCGCACGCGACCAAAGATATTTTATAGCGTTTTTTTACACCTCGAGTTACGTTACTACAGTTTTAGTAAGGATCCCTAATCTTTTCTAGCAGTAAATATAGCCTATGTTACTCAGGGTGAATGTAGCTTTCTAATGGTGAAAGAAATTTTGAAATCGGCAAAATAGTTTTTGTATTTATTCATTACAAACATACATACACACAAAAATACAAATATTTCCTCTTTATAATATTAGTGTGGATAATTATGTTTGTAATCTATAAACAAAAGACCCGACTTCGCTTACTGTAAAACCAGTTACTTAAATATGAATATAATATGGAAGGTTGTGGAACTTTAGCCGGAGGGAGACTTTGTACAAAAGTCTATTGCTTGGGTACCTCTGTCCCATTCGTGTTTCTACCGTGAAGCAGTTGTGTTTGCATGGCTGTGTTTCGGTTTGAAGGGTGGAATATGGCAATGAATTTATACAGAGTACAGAGGAATAACACCTGAGTTCTCAGGAATGGCAACGCATGGGGGGTATCATGGGCGAAACAGTATGCTCTGTTATGTCCACGGTACTGCTCATGTCTATAGGCGACGGTTACCACTTTCCATCAGGTGGGCCGTCAGCTTGTTTGCCATTCTAAGTTGTATAAAAAAAAACTTCTGCTAGTAACAGTGGTGGTCAATCTTCGAGTGTTGCCAGTCACATTCATACTAACGGTAGCGGAATTAAACAAAATAATTCTAAATAAATAACCAGTGTTATGAACTCACACAGAGTAACACCTAGTTCAGAGAAATATAATATCACATCTGTCACGCGTGTCTCCCATTAGAGTAGGCAGAAACAATGGAACGCCAAATGCTTCGATACAAACAAACCTCTCTCGCTTCTTCCACATTCATCAATCTTTTCATACACGCTCGCCGGTTACGGGTACTTTTAATTTGGCCCTTCTTCATCACGTCGCCTATTTGGTCGACATACGTCCGTCTAGGGCGGCCCCTATCGACATCTCCATTCATTCTTGCTCGATAAATCTATCGTAATTCTTCTTCCATCCATCCTCTCCAAATGACCAAACCAACGCAACATTCCTTTTTCGATTTTTGCCACTACATCGTCTAATATCACTTGCCCAGTAACCAGCCGTGGACAGTGGCGGACGCGAGCGTGTCTTGGAACTTCGATTTCTTGGCTATGAAGTCTTGCAACGAGGAGCTGTGGTCTTCCAACGCCGCTCTGTATTTAGACAATATATTTTTAATTAATTAATTTCATTCGCCGCGTCGGTCTCGGCATAGAATGGGCCACCCCTTCCTTTCCCGTGGGTGTCGTAGGAGGCGACTGAGGGAGGGCGAGGGATGGGCAGCAGGGTCCCTCTTAAAACATCGCCAAGATTTAAGAGGGACGCTGATGCCCATCCGTTGCCGTCCCTTAGTCGCCTAACTGCGGTTGCCAACCCGCCTGCCAGGCGTGGCAACTAATGGCTAAACTCCCCTTATGGGGAAGGCTTATGTCCAGCAGTGGACACTTAAAGGCTGATATGATGATGATGATGAAATTTGATGTAAATATATATATATATATATTTTTGTAAATATATATTTATTTCTCTCACAAAATGACAATATATTAAAATTTACAGCTACGTAGGTTACAATTTAAAAACAATCTTTGTGAGAAACTGGTCTCGGTACTAGGATGACCCGTCTTACAGTACACCAGGCTCCCAAACTCAAGGGCATCTATTTTACTTGATTTGTATAGGTTAATAAATGATATTAGAAAAATTTTCTTAATCTACGTGTTTGCATGGCTGTGTTTCGGTTTGAAGGGTGGGATATGGCGTGAATTTACTGGGTACAGAGGAATAACACCTGAGTCCTCAGGAATGGCAACACATGGGGGGTATCATGGGCGAAACAGTATACTCTGTTATGTCCACGGCACTGCTCATGTCTACAGGCGACGGTTACCACTTTCCATCAGGTGGGCCGTCAGTTTGTTTGCCATTCTAAGTTGTATAAAAAAAATTTACTAGTATGGGTGAGAGGGTAAGTGAGCGAGTGCGTGTGAGTAGGTGCACGAATGCGTACATGTGTACGCGCGTGTGTGTATGTGTTTATGTGTACATAATCCAGTCATTTTATCACCACAATAAGATTTTCAGTCTCCAGTATAAACGAAATAAATGTGACAATAACTCATTCATTTTATTCATTTATTGATTCGTATAATTATCTCATGCTATTATAATAATAATAATAAATTCATTATAAAACAAAATTTAGTGACAGATTTGTGCAGACGATGTAACAGCAATTCGGAGACCATACAGCACATTACAGGAGCTTGTAAATCCATAGTACAGACCGATTACAAATATAGATGTGTACAAATATGTGTGTGTAGGTGTATGTATATAAATATAATAATGAGTAGGGATAATATTTATATTATTATATGTATCACATCTCCCATATTTAGAACTAATAGAATTTTTCATCGTGCCTCCCACCAAACTGTTTATAATTACTCCTGTCCATCCAAAGGTTGCCTGGAAGAGATCGCTCTTAGCGATAAGGTCGCCCATTGTTTTCTCATTGTGATTATTTCTTGTAATTATTTATATTTATAATAAGTTTACTATTGTAATCTTTTGGAGGAAACAATAAAGAGTATCTATCTATCTATCTATAGACATGACCAGGTTGCCAACATTATTCACCAAAAATTAGCTCAGAAATACAAACTTATACCAGAAACATACACACCCTACTATAAATATACCCCTGATGTAATAGTTGAAAACAATACACACAAATTATACTATGACCGTGCTATCTTGACAGATAAAGCTACACATTATAATAGACCTGATATTAACCTCCTAGATAAAATTAATCGCAAAGCATACATTATCGATATTGCAGTCCCAAATACACACAATGTACAGAACACTATAGCTGAAAAACTGGCAAAGTATACAGATCCAAAGGACGAAATAACCCGCATGTGGCGTTTACAATCCGCAACCATAGTTCCAATAGTCCTATCTAATACAGGAGTAGTCCCGAATCAGCTACACTTATCACTTAGAACACTCGACCTTCCGTGCTACACTTGCATCGAACTGCAGAAGTCTATAATACTAAACACCTGTTCCATTGTTCGGCGATTTTTAACATCCAATCAAAATTAATTATTTGTACAATCTACGAGATACTTGGCAGCCAGCCCGTACTCGTAGCAATAAAGCCAACTATACGTTGAGTAAAAAAATCAAAATAAACATAATAATAATAAAATAATAATAATAAATAATAAATAATAATAATCTTTATGAGTGATCAACGGAAGTTTTATAGGAACTTGGAGCGCCCAAAACTACAGCCCACAGGACAAAGACCCGAAACAGCCAATTTCGTCGCCTTCTGGAGACAGCTGTGGTCTGAACCTGTGGAACATGAGGAGGGCGCATGGATGCACGATGTTGAGGAAGCATGTGCTCGAATAACGCCGATGAACGCCATTGCCATTACGGAGGAAGACGTGGTTGCCGCGATCCGTCGGGCTCCGAACTGGAAAAGTCCGGGGATCGACGGATTACAGCACTACTGGTTAAAGGCGTTCTCGGCCAGCCATGCCACCTTAGCCGTGCAATTCCAGAGTGCCCTCGAAAACAGGACGCCGCCGCCTGGATAGATTATAAAAAGGCGTTCGATTCCGTGCCCCATTCATGGCTCCGGAGGATACTCGAGCTGTACAAGATCGACGGTACAGTTCGAGTGTTCTTGGAGGCATGCATGGGGCAGTGGACGACGATCCTGACTATCCAGGGCGAGCGATTGACGGATACCGCTGACCGGATAGAGATAAAGAGGGGAATATTCCAGGGCGATTGTTTGAGTCCACTTTGGTTTTGCCTGTCCCTGAATCCACTCAGTACTTTACTGGAGAATTCGGGAACTGGATTTCAGTATCGGAGAGGAGGTACACGAGTGTCTCACCTTCTGTACATGGATGACTTGAAACTGCTAGCTCCGAGCGTCGAACGCCTGACGGAGCTGCTAAATATCGTAAACGATTATAGCAGCTCTATTAGGATGGCGCTCGGAATAGACAAGTGCGCGGTCCTCCATGTGCAGAGAGGACGGGTCACTCAAACTGAAGGGATCGCCACAGATCCCTCTAATATTAAAACCCTCTCCGAGGCTGAAACATACCGGTATCTGGGCATGTCACAAAACATCGGTGTGAAGGAGACGGATATGAAACAGTCAGTCCGCGAGGAATTTTTTGCGCGCCTTACATGAGTACTGAAAAGTTCTTTGTCGGGCGCCAATAAAATCCGAGCTTATAACGGCTGGGTCATACCCGTACTCCTTTACACTTTTGGCGTGCTCAGATGGTCTCAAACCGATCTCGAAGCCCTGGATCGGAAAGTCCGCACAACTATGATCCTCCATAGAATGCATCACCCGAAATCGTCAGTCATGAGGCTGTATATCCCGCGGAAGGCTGGTGGTCGAGGCTTGTTAAGCGTTAAGACCATGCACAACCGCGAGGTTGACAGCCTCAGGACATATTTTCTGGAGAAAATAGACGAGGGTTTGCATAGAGAGGTCATAGAATGTGACAAAGGATTCACCCCTCTTTCTCTGGCTAAAGAGGACTGGCGAAAACCCGAAGTTTTGTGTACCTCTCAGCGGGAGGCCGTATGAAAAGAGAAGGAGTTGCACGGAAGGTTCTTCAAAGCCCTTCACGGGCCGTACGTAAACACGAAGACCTCCGTGCACTGGCTACAGTTCGGTGATCTCTTCGGAGAGACCGAGGGTTTTGTCTGTGCAATACAAGATCAGGTGGTTAAGACGAACAATTACCGAAAGTATATTCTGAAGGATGGCACTGAGGACATCTGTCGGGCATGTCGCCATCCCGGAGAGTCATTCAGACATGTGCTTTCGGGTTGTTCAGCTCTTGCCAACACTGAGTACTTGCACAGACACAACCAGGTAGCCAAAATACTCCATCAAGAGCTAGCTCTGAAGTACGGCCTCGCGAATGAGAGGTTGCCGTACTATAAGTACGAGCCCCAGCCGGTCCTCGAAAGCGACAGCGTAAGGCTCTACTGGGACCGATCCATCATCACGGACAGGACCGTTCTTGCGAACAAACCTGATATCGTGGTGATGGATCGGGCACTCTCGAGGGTGTTTTTGGTGGATGTCACCATACCGCATGACGAGAACCTCGTGAAAGCCGAAACCGAGAAGAAGAGAAAATATCTCGACCTGGCTCACGAGGTGACCGAAATGTGGGGAGTGACATCTACCGAAATCATCCCAATCGTTATGTCGGTGAACGGTCTTATCCCAACCAGTCTCGAACAACATCTCAGACGGTTGGGATTCCGAGGCGGCTCACTCCCGAGAAAGATGCAGAAAGCGGTGCTCTTAGATTCTGCCCGCATTGTACGCCGGTTTCGCTCCCTGGGGCCCTGAACCCGGGCCGACTGTGCTTCTGCCGGGGGTTAGTTGCCATCTCCTCTCCTTAAGAGGGGAGATGAGAATTTTAGTGAAATTTAAAAAATAATAATAAACAGATTTATTTCTCTTCAAAATTCATTACAGTGAAATACAATGCTTATATTAAAGTAATCAAATTATAAATATAATTGTGAGAGACTGGTGCCTGAGATAGGTATAAGAATACCTGTATTACAGCTCACCAGGGCCTCACTCCGCAGGGTTACTTACTAAGCACTTGTAACACAATAAAAAAATTCAATGTAATAAATATAATTTATAGAAAGAAATATTATAATTTAATCTGGAAGTTGTGTGTGTGTGCACGTTCGTGTGTGTGCGTGGGTGTGTACGCGCGCGCGCGCGTGTGTGTGTGTGTGTCTGTGCGTGTCCTCGCTGTGTGTATTTGTGTTTGTACGCATTCATATAAAAATTAAGGTAGTTAGTCATTTTCTCACATCTGTGGGATAAGTAAGGCCTCTGTAGCATCATAGTCAAGTGATTTTAACCAATTGGATATGAGCTTTTTACAAGCGTACCTATGATGTCGGTAGATTCTATAAAAATGTTGCACACCTGAGCGTGTACGCGGGCACGTTGTCGAAGATCAGATCCTTGTCCGAGGCATGCGGCAGCGACATCTTCACATCTGACAGGTACAGAAAATAATATAAAAATGCACCGTTCATAACGTCTAAAACAGCCTCTCCCAAAGTGGACGTATAATGCCCTCTTGTGGGCGCTGCAGGCCTAAAGGGGGGCAGTAAGAGACGCAGAAAAAAATGGGACCATTGTGTAGAGGCTTGGGGGGGGGGGGGGGGGGGTGATTTGTTGATCTTGAGGTAATAGTGGTTTTTAAGTAGGTGAAAAAATGGGGGAGCTAAAAAATAATTTATTCTCAAAGTAGGCAGTAGACAAAATAAGTTTGGGAACCCCTGGTCTAAAAAGACTGTTGTGACAGTTTTATGGAAATAATAATAGTATTGTTTGGGGGAAAGGGATTGTTAGTAATGGAGACTAAGAATCCCATTGCTAGCAATATACCCAACCAGGTCGACCTCCTCACAGTTCTCCCTGGAAACTATCATGGTTAATTCCTGATGAATTCATCATGATGGGCTAACTGGCCAGTTTTCATTCTCATCTATCACCCTTCACTGGTGCTCCGCCAGCGTATCCCGTTAGCGCAGGCGGGGTTACCATACCATATTCATCCTTAAAAAAAAATACTTTTTAAGTTTCGTAAGTACATAGTAACTGTATTTAGAATAATAAACAATTGTATTGTTTGTACAAGCGATACCATTATCCACTAATTACTAATTATAAAAACAAAAACATAGCTGTAAAAATAGATATGTTTTTTTCTATACAACTTATAATGGCAAACAAGCTGACGGCCCACCTGATGGAAAGTGGTAACCGTCGCCTACAGACAAGAGCAGCACAATGGCCATAACAGAGTATACTATTTCGCCCATGATACCCCCCATGCGTTGCCATTCCCGAGGACTCAGGTGTTATTCCTCTGTACCCTGTAAATTCACTTTCATATCCCACCCTTCAAACCGAAACGCAGCCATGCAAACACAACTGCTTCACGGTTGAAACACGAATGGGACAGAGGTACCCAAGCAATCGACTTTTGTACAAAGTCTCCCTCTGGTAAAATATAACATTTATATAACATTTTATGTACTTTCTTTATTTTATGCGTTTGCTTTACATGAATCACTCGAGCTGTGCACGTAATGTGATCGGATTGTAACCTAGCCGAATCACAAATGTAACTGTTATTTAAGTTTTTTATGGTTGTAATCTATTTTGTGCCAATAAAATAAAATAAAATAAATTTATAAAGAATCTAGCTGACCCAGCAAACGTTGTTTTGCCATATACATTACTTGGAGAATATTTTTTTTGTCCATTAAAAAAAAATATTGGGGAGGGTCACCCTTATCATTGGGGGGTATGAAAAATAGATATTGGCCGATTCCCAGACCTACCCGATACGCACAGGAAATTTCATAAAAATCGGTAAATCCGTTTCGGAGGAGTTTGGTAACAAACAACGCGACACGAGAATTTTATATATAAGATATCGACAATAGTATTTGTGTATTTTAATCATTTATTCAAGAACTTACTGTTCAAACGACACTTGCTGGATATTAAACTGTATACCCTTTCGTGGTCTACCAGAAACTCCACAAGGCCACTGTCCTCGCTCAAAGGAGTTACCTGGAAAGAGAGTATAAATAACTACGAATCCATGTGTGAGCGATTTCATTTCTTACCACTTGCAACTAGAAGGGATATTAGGGGGAAAGGGATTGTTAGTAATGGAGACTGAGAATCCCATTGCTAGCAATATACCCAACCAGGTCGACCTCCTCGCGGTTCCCCCTGGAAACTATCATGGTTAATTCCTGATGAATTCATCATGATGGGCCAACTGGCCTGTTTTCATTCTCATCTATCACCCTTCACTGGTGCCCCGCCAGCGTATCCCGTTAGCGCAGGCGGGGTTACCATACCATTTTCACCCATAAAAAAAAAAAAAACTAGAAGGGATATAGCAGATGTAACATTTGCTAGTCAGTATCGCAAGAGGTGATATTGGTTCAAAATATAAACCTTTTTGTTCCTACTAGAAAACGTAGGAAAACACCGTGTTCGTATGCACCACGATACAGAGCCAACTTTAGGCGAAATTCATATATCTGCAGAGCTCCGGTTAAGTTTAACAAATCATTGTTTGACCATGACATTGATCTGTTCCACACAAAGCCGCATGCAATTAAATTGCAGGTGGCAGAATCATTCTTTGGTTCTCGCCATGCTGCACCTAATTGACTATTCTGGTAATGTTGCCTTGCTTTATATTGATTTTGTTTTGTCATTATATAATTGTCCTTCCTTCTGGATCATTCCTAATGCTTTCAAACGTTTGGAAACTGTTGAGTCATCCACTCCTAATGATTTTCCAAGGCCGGCTAGCGTCTGACACGCGTCTACATCAAGTGATGCCTCCAATTCTTCGTCTTTAAACTATTTCGGTGCGCCAGAACGTTCTTTATCTTGAAGATCGAAATCGTCATTTTTGAACCGTCCAAACCAGCCTCTGCAAGTCGTTTCCGACAGAGCATACTCCCCATACGTCTCAACAAGAATTCGGTGTGCTTCAGCTGCTGATTTCTTCTGTATAAAATAACGCAATAGATTTCCCCGCAAATACTCTTTTCGTGGCACAAAACTCGACATCTTTAAGCGCTCAGAACAAAACGTGGTTGACACTGTGGCAAACAGAAACACACTGGCGTTCAAGAATACGAACAGTATTTCCTGGGAATGCGTTCGTTTCAGAAATATCATCCACTTATATTACTGGAAACGCCATCTGTTAGAAAACAGCGAGAACTTATTCAAGCACCTTGTATATTAAGCTAAAAGGTGTCTCAACTGTAACTCGCTGATACAGTAGCTTTCTATAGATGAATAATATCGACTAGTTTTCGAGTTGATCCATTACAAACAAACAAACATACTATAAAAATAAACGCTTTCCACTCCACATGATCTCATCCATTATCCGTCCACAGCTGGACATAGGTCTCGCCCATAGAACGTCATAACGCCATAAGGAACAATCCTGAGCCACCTGCATCCACCGACTCCCTGCAAGTTGTATAGTAATTTATAGAGAAACAGTCTCACATTATATGTCCGTACGTCCCGCAGCAGCCTCGAGACGCGGTGCGCTGCCGCGTCTAGTCGCAGCGACTCGCCCGCCTTGAACAGGCAGCGCCGCCGGCAGCCGTCCGACGTCAGCACCGACACCACCGCCGGCCTGCGGACGCTGTCCACGAATATCGATACCTTGGGGAGAAAGATATTATTAGCTAATGACTAATGGCCTCGTTGCTGGCAAGCCCTGTCGGGTCGACCTCCACGCGGTTCCCCCGGGAAACTATTGTGATTAATACTTGTTGCATTCCGCACCATATGCTAACTGACCTGCTTTTTCATCCTCACCTATCATCCCTCACTGGTGCTCCGTCAGCGTATACCTATAGCGCAGGCGGGGTTACCATACCATTATCACCCATTAAAAAAAATATCTTTGCCTGCGTAAAGGGGGAAGGGGCTATTAACAATGTTTTAAGAAGGACGCTGCTATCGCTCGGTTAAGTTCCCTTAGTCGCCACTTACGACACCCACGGAGACACCACGGCAAGAGAGGAGTGGCCTGTTCTATGCCGAGGGGGGGGGGGGGCAGGAAATGTTCAATAATAGGGTCTAACTGACCCATTACTACTAGGTCCACCTCCACGCAGCTCCTGGAAACCATCGTGGTTAATTCTAGTGAAATTCATCACGATGGGCTAACTGACCTGCCTTTTCATCCTCACCTATCATCTCTCACTGGTGCCCCGCCAGTGTATACTGATAGCGCAGGCGAGGTTACCATTCCATTATCATCCATTAAAAAAAATCTATTCCGGGACTATACGACGATCTTAGGTTATAAGATATTAATAATTTATTATTCTCTATTTTTATTAATCTTCTTTCTCTTGTCCTTGGCTGTCATTACCACTTTTACGCAGACGATCTTCAGATATACACTCAGAGCACTGTAGATGATATCAATCAATCTGTAGCGAATATTAATAACGATCTGAACAGCATTCTGGCATGGTCGTCTAACTATGGATTAGCTGTTAACCCCTCTAAGTGTCAAGCTATTGTAATTGGCAGTTCTAGACAATTAGCTAAACTTAATGTTAACTCAATGGCACCAATTACATTTAACAATTTAGTTATAAAATTAAAAACTTGTGTTAAAGATCTTGGCCTTTACATAGACTCATCACTCAGTTGGTCACATCAAGTTGCGGAGGTAAGTCGCTCAGTTGTTGCTACGCTACGCTCCTTATATCGCTTTAAAAACTTTTTGCCTATCGCTACAAAAATTAATCTTGTTCACGCACTTATTATTCCGATTATTGATTATGCTGATGTGTGTTATCCAGATCTTAATGAAGATCTTCTCGATAAGCTGGACCGTCTCCTCAACCAAGCTATACGCTTTATCTTCAACCTCCGCAAATTCGATCATATTTCTTTATATCGGTCTCAGCTCAAGTGGCTTTCCATTCGTCAACGCAGAAACGTTAGAACTCTTTGTACCCTCTACACTCTTCTTCGAAACCCCCAGTCTCCTAACTACTTAAGGAGTAAATTCCATTATCTTTTTGAAACTCACGAACGTAACCTTCGTTCCAATAATACTCTCCAATTATCCTTCCCCTCTCACCGTACTGGTTACGCTTCAAACTCTTTTCTCCTACATTCTTCACGACTCTGGAACGCGCTTCCTGATGCCATTAAGAGACTACCGACTAAACCGTCTTTCAAAAAAAGCGTTAACGCACACTTTTTATTTTTATCCGAGCAGTAAGTACTTTATATTATTCTCAATTCCGTGTATAATATAGTATATGTCATATATGTGTAAGTATATTTGTTATTTATATATATTTATTCGTTTATATTTGTAATTTTAGTACGTATGTATATCAATAATTAGTAGTACCGCATTCGAGTATTCTGACACTTCCCTATGGTTGACTGGGAGAGAATGCTTTTAGCATTAAGTCCGCCATGTACACATATTTGTACTAATGAATAAATAAATAAATAAATAATAATATTGCCTGCAAGAGATCGCTCTCAGCGATAAGGCCGTCCATTGTTGTCTCACTGTGATCATTTCTTGTAATTGTTTGTATCTATAATAAGTTTACTATTGTAATCTTATGGGGGGAACAATAAAGAGTATTTTTTTTATACAACTTAGAATGACAAACAAGCTGACGGCCCACCTGATGGAAAGTGGTAACCGTCGCCTACAGACATGAGCAGTGCCATGGACATAACAGAGTATACTGTTTCGCCCATGATAACCCCCATGCGTTGCCATTCCTGAGGACTCAGGTGTTATTCCTCTGTACCCTGTAAATTCACGCCATATCCCACCCTTCAAACCGAAACACAGCCATGCAAACACAACTGCTTCACGGTTGAAACACGAATGGGACAGAGGTGGCCAAGCAAACGACTTTTGTACAAAGTCTCCCTCTGATAACCTAGAGTATCCACCTATCTGTCTAATAACATTAATATACTAACCCGCTCGTCGAATTTGACTACTTTGAGCGGTCCGAGCGAGAGGAATCTAGATATATACGCGTCCCACTCGCACCCGCGCTGACTTGCTAGCGCTAGAGAGGGACAGAGCTGCGAGAGGCGCAGAGTGGTGGTATCTTCTTCCAGTTCCGTCCTCAACTGCTTTAGAACATTCTGGATGTCTTGTTTTGGCATGGAGAAATCTGTTGAATTAAATTTTAGTTACAATTAGTTACTACTCGTGTATGTATGTATATACTATATGTTGTTAGGTCCGTCTTGTGTTGCATATTTTCTTTTATTCTCATCTCATGAATGGAGATGTCGGTAGGGGCCGCCCTAGACGGACGTATGTCGACCAAATAGGCGACGTGTTGAAGAAGGGCCGAAATAAAAGTACCCGTAACCGGCGAGCGTGTATGAAAAGATTGATGAATGTGGAGGAAGCGAGAGAGGTTTGTTTGAATCGAAGCATTTGGCGTTCCATTGTTTCTGCCTACCCTAATGGGAGACAGGCGTGACAGATATGTATGTATGTATGTATTTTCTTTTGGCCAATAAAGTTACTTAAAAAAAAAATTATTGCGAATTCGCGACCAACTCATGCTTAATATGGTTAAGTAAAACACAGTTATTCGTTAACCATGTAGTTTATTTTGGGAGTGGGAGGGGGGGGGGAGGGGGATTGTTAATAATGCGGACTATTAGTGCTATTTTTTTCATAAGAGAAAAATTAATTATTTTGTTGTACTTTATTTTTTAATGATATGATAATGGAATGGTAACCCCGCCTGCGCTATCGGTATACACGCTGGCGGGGCACCAGTGAGAGATGATATGTGAGAATGAAAGGCAGATCAGTTAGCCCACCGTGATAAATACACTTGGAATTCAGCACGATGGTTTCCAGGGGAAACCGCATGGAGGTCGACCTGACAGGGTATATTGCTAGCAATGGGACTGACAGTCCCCCCCCCCCTCCCTATTTAGTTGTACTGTTATAAATTAAGTTTAATTTGAAATTTAATTCATACATAGACTTAGATTATATAGATAGAGCATCGAGTCTCAAAAACGGACCAACTTTTTGTTAGTTAATTGTCAAATTAGCCGACTCGTTTTTTTTCATCACCACCTTTTATTTCATCATCATTTATCATACATCACTGGTGGCCCGCCAGCGTATACTGTTATACAATAGTATAATAGACAATCCCTTCCTTTCCTGTAGATGTCGTAAGTGGCGACTAAGAGAACTTAGCAGTAGAGGGATGGGCAGCAGAGTCCCACTTATAACACCAGAGGGAGACTTTGTACAAAAGTTGTTTGCTTGGCCACCTCTGTCCCATTCGTGTTTCTACCGTGAAGCAGTTGTGTTTGCATGGCTGTGTTTCGGTTTGAAGGGTGAGATATGGCGTGAATTTACTGGGTACAGAGGAATAATACCTGAGTCCTCAGGAATGGCAACGCATGGGGGTATCATGGGCGAAACAGTATATACCATGTACCCTCTTGTAAAGGCATCCCGTCACCCGTATCCAATAGCGAGGACGGGATACCTTAAATACTGTACCGCAAACCATAAAAAAAAACCGGTTTCGTCACAATTCAAATTGAAATCGTCATAGTCGTAGAATACTGACGGATCTGACAAAGATTACATACACTCAGGTTATGGAATGAGCTCCCTGCCCAAGACAGAGTTTCCCAAGAGACTACAGCATGGGGTTCTTCAAAAGGGGTGTAAAGAGGTTTCCTCAGGGTCGGCAACGCGCGCGTAATACCCCTGGTATTGCAGGCGTTCATAGGCTACGGTAACCTCTTACCATCAGGTGGGCCGTATGCTTGATTGCCACCACAGTGGTATAAAAAAAAATATAAAGATATGATATAAATGATATCAACCAGTATACCTTCAACGTTGTATAAAACATCCCGTTGCCTCCTCAGCAGCTGGTAGGTGGTACCACCATATGGGTTGTCCAGCATATCTCTGATCCGACAAAATATGGTCCCGTAACCCCTTCTATCTGTAACCAAAATGAATTTAGAATAGAACAGATTAGAATAGAAAATATTTATTGCCAGTAAACACACAATTACATATTTTTATACAACTTAGAATGGCAAACAAGCTGACGGCCCACCTGATGGAAAGTGGTAACCGTCGCCTATAGACATGAGCAGTACCATGGACATAACAGTGTATACTGTTTCGTCCATGATACCCCCCATGCGTTGCCATTCCTGAGGACTCAGGTGTTATTCCTCTGTACCCTGTAAATTCACTGTCATATCCCACCCTTCAAACCGAAACACAGCCATGCAAACACAACTGCTTTACGGTTGAAACGCGAATGGGACAGAGGTACCCAAGCAATCGACTTTTGTACAATGTCTCCCTCTGGTATTTGTATGTATGTATTTGTAGGTTTATTTGTAGGTATGATACTTACCATTTCTATTCAAGGCGTCCAATAACTCCTTACAATATTGTCTTAGGGAATGTTTCGGGTCCCGTATGAGTGCGAAGTACTTCTTGTACATCTCTATGCCGTCATCAAACAGTTCTTGAAGATTGTACTCGGCGAGTACGCGCGGCGGGAACAGGTTCCAACATGTTCTCATTTGCTCCCGGGAAAACTCATCCAGATACGGCAGGAGACGTTGGAACTGCAAACATTTGTTCATCATTATACCATAATACACTCCGCATAAAAGACAGGCTCTCGACAGTCTGCTATCGGAGAATTCTTGGATACTTCGGTCATGTCGCTCAACGACAGTCCGACAATCTGGACAAACTAATGGTTGTAGGCAAGATAGAGGGAAGAAGACCACGCGGACGATCGCCTAATCGATGGTCGGACCAAGTAACCGCCGTTACGGGACTGTCAATTGCAGCTGCCCTGCGAGAGGCTGAAGACCGTGCACAATGGACTAACATCATAAGGGAGGCAACAGACACCTTTCAAGGACACGACCTTCAGTAATGAAGAGGACGAAGAGAGAGAGATACCATAATAACTATTCACGGGTGAATATAGACATTCCCCATAAAGGGAGGATTTTGCCAATAGTTGCCACGCTTGGCATGCGGGTGGACAACTAATATGCGTGTATTAACAAGGGCTCTCACTGGATACAGCAAACTAAACAATATGGCCCAACTATAGAGTTATGCCCAAAAAGTGTTTGCAGATTTTGTCACAGTGAGGAAGAAACGCCGCAGCACTGAATGTGTCGCTGCAGCCCTCTCATACATACACGATATATCTCCTTTGGAAAACACACTCTGTATCCTGAGGAGATAAAAACGTCGCTACAAAGAACGTCTTAAAGTTCCCATCACTGGTAGCAATTAGCAGCGAACTTTAGAAAAAGGCGAGCACAAAGATCATGGAAAGGTTGCAGCGTCACAGGATGTTTCTGCTTGTAAAAGCCCGTCTCTTAAAAATAATCATAAATGCGAGTTGACAACTCCAGTTAGGCTTCGGTGATGTTTTAAGAGGGACGCTGCTGCCCATCCAGAGGGAGACTTTGTACAAAAGTCGTTTTCTTGGCCACCTCTGTCCCATTCGTGTTTCAACCGTGAAGCAGTTGTGTTTGCATGGCTGTGTTTCGGTTTAAAGGGTGGGCTATGGCGTGAATTTACTGGGTACAGAGGAATAACATCTGAGTCCTCAGGAATGGCAACGCATAGGGGGTATCATGGGCGAAACAGTATACTCTGTTATGTCCATGGTACTGCTCATGTGTATAGGCGACGGTTACCACTTTCCATCAGGTGGGCCGTCAGCTTGTTGGCCATTCTACGTTGAAAAAAAAAATCCCTTGACCATTAAGCTCCCTTAGACGCCTCTTACGACACCCACGGGAAAGGAAAAGATGGTACGTTCTATGCCGGAACTGAATTTCAAAATCATATGACAATGCTATTCTAAGTTACATAAAAAAAAAATGGTTACTGCTCAATTTTCAAAAATCAAAAACAAGTATAATTCTTTTGGCATGATGTAGACATCGTGCCTCCAGTCATACTGTTTATAATTACTCCTCTCCATCCAAAGGTTGGCTGCAAGAGATCGCTCTCAGCGATAAGGTCGCCCATTGTTGTCTCACTGTGATCATTTCTTGTAATTGTTTGTATCTATAATAAGTTTACTATTGTAATCTTATGGAGGTAACAATAAAAAGAATCTATCATCTATGATAAAAAATATGATGATACTCCAACAAGAGCGTCAGAAATAACAAAAAAATGCTGTACCTGATCCAATAAAACTCTAGCGAGACGATCATCCAACGTCCGGCCATCGTAACTGTCTAGTCTGTTCAGCACAACGGCTAGGTACATATCGGCATCGCCGGGATTCGAACTGGCTACCCTATTTAATATACCTGCCATATTTTGTAATAACGCATCACGGTCTGAACAAGCCTCTGTGAAATAAAAATACAACATTTTCTGTACTTTTATTATTTTTAGTTTGGATGAGGGAATCTTAGATTATACAGATAGAGTGTCTCCATACAAATGCTTCGAGAGAAGCGGCTCAACTATTTCACACAATTTTGCGTGACAAATAGTTATGAGCGATTCGTTTATAACTTCTATATTTATTTTGTCTTTTTTTTTTATACCACTGAGGTGGCAAACAAGCATACGGCCCACCTGATGGTAAGCGGTTACCGTAGCCTATGAACGCCTGCAATACCAGGGGTATTACGCGCGCGTTTTGCGACCCTGAAGAAACCTCTTTACCCCCCTTTTGAAGAACCCCATGCTGTAGTCTTATAATCTCTGCATCTTTTTAATGCGTAAACACTCATTTTATTTATTAAATAATTAAATATAGATACGACAAGATACATTGTGTGCGTAAGTGTATAGAACACTGATAAACAAATTAGCTAATTTGACAATTAGCTGACAAAAAGTTGACCCGTTTTTGAAGCTCGATGCTCTATCTATATATAATCTAAGGAGAGATTATATAGATTATAGCAACATTAACACTAATTGCAGTATATATCATATATCATGTCATAAAACATTAATTACACACACGCACACACGCACACGCACGCACACGCACACACACGCACACAAGCACACACGTACACACACTCACACGCGCACCCGCGCATACGCACTCTGATACTGAAAAAGATCATTAAACAAAAATATTTAGTGAACTTACCATTCGGCCAACTATCATTATAAAAGTTCATCGCTAATTCATATAGAGACCGCAATGTCTGCTTGTTTGTCACGGACATACCTACGTACTGTACGTCAATATTATTCATAACGTTTTGTACCTTATCCAATGTTAATGCTGCAACAAAAATTATTTATTTTGGTCAATCGATCGATCAATTGCTTAATAATTACTTCAGCTAATAATTAGCTTGGCTAATAATTTCTTGTACAACAATTACCTTGGCTAATAATTACTTGTACAATATTTATCTCGGCTAATAATTACTTTATACAATAATTATCTTGGCTAATATTTATGTCGGCTAATAATTACTTTCTACAATAATTATCTTAGCTAATATTTATCTCAGCTAATAATTACTTTGTACAATAATTATCTTGGCTAATATTTATGTCGGCTAATAATTACTTTCTACAATAATTATCTTGGCTAATATTTATGTCGGCTAATAATTACTTTCTACAATAATTATCTTGGCTAATATTTATGTCGGCTAATAATTACTTTCTACAATAATTATCTTGGCTAATATTTATCTCAGCTAATAATTACTTTGTACAATAATTATCTTGGCTAATATTTATGTCGGCTAATTATTAATTTGTACAATAATTACTTTGGCTAATAATTAGCTTGCTCTAATTAAAATTCTTCATATCAATTTTCCTTAAATATTGTCTATGTACAGACACCATATAGCTATTATTTTATTATATATAAATTTCATAAACTTACAATTTAAATCTTGATGCAGGGACAAAACGAGTTGATGGAAACCGACGATCTTCGGAACATCCCCAGTTAACATAGCTGCATTGCTTTCTGTAAATAAACAAGTGTATTTCATTACAGTCGAGTCTCGATAATTCGAAAACTCTAAATTTATACGTATATTTATACGTATTTAAATCAATATATATATATATATATATATATATATATATATATATATATATATATATATATATATTAGAATTGATAAATTCGAAAATTTGATTTGCTTTTGCTTGAGCACCTCTGTCCCATTCGTGTTTCTACCGTGAAGCAGTTGTGTTTGCATGGCTGTGTTTCGGTTTGAAGGGTGGGATATGGCGTAAATTTAAAGGACACAAAGCAATAACACCTGAGTCCTCAGGAATAACAACACAATGGAGTGTATCATCGGCGAAACAGTTTACTCTGTTATATCCACGGTACTGCTCATGTCTATAGGCGACGGTTACCACTTTCCATCAGGTGGGCCGTCAGCTTGTTTGACAATCTACTTGTAGAAAAACGTGTCGAATAACTAGTATTTAATATACTCACCAGCAATCCGTAATGCCTCCCTTAAATGGCTACTGTCGTTATCTTTCAACCCTATCGCTCTCAAGGCCAGCAGCTTCTGATACTCCCACGCCGGTCTTTCGTCGTCCTCTAATAATCTATATAAATAAAGAATTGTAACTAAACGATTTCTGTTCATCACTACATATTATAGATAGATAATTTGTTAGCATTACTTACAGCACACAAATCGTCACAGTCGTAGAATACAGACGGATCTGACAAATAAAACATATATAGATCCGTCAGTATTTTACGACTATGACGAAATAACAATATAAACATACATACAATAATACATGCCACTGTGTCAGGTTGACTGGAAGAGATCTCTTTTAGAGATAAGTTCGCCTTCGCTAACATTATGTTATTAACTTATTGTTGTTACTGTATGTTTTAGTGCAATAAAGAATATATATATATATATATATATATATATATATGTTTGTCTCTTAAGGATAACAAAATGCGCAATTATAAAGCGGTAATTGGAAAGCTATTTACACAAGCACAGTATTAATCCTATCATTTTAAATACGCTAGTTGGCATGAGTATTTCATGGAGAATATTTTTCGCCTTTACACCATGCAAATTAAATTAATACCTTAGGAGATATAGCACGCCCCGTGACCCCGCGCCTCGCGTACGAGGTGGGAGGGGGAGGGGCCAAAAGTTTTGGTATATATCAATGTAAATTAAACGGAGAGATAGATAGATACTCTATATTGTTCCCTCCATAAGATTACAATAGTAAACTTATTATAGATACAAACAATTACAAGAAATGATCACAGTGAGACAACAATGGGCGGCCTTATCGCTGAGAGCGATCTCTTGCAGCCAACCTTTGGATGGGGGGAAAAGGGATTGTTAGCAATGGAATTTGACAGGTCCATTGCTAGCAATATACTCTATTAGGTCGACCTCCACGCGGTTCCCCCTGGAAACTATCATGGTTAATTCCTGATGAATTCATCATGATGGGCTAACTGGCCTGTTCTCATTCTCATCTATCACCTTTCACTGGTGCTCCGCCAGCGTATCCCGTTAGCGCAGGCGGGAATTTCACCTATCAAAAAAAAACCTTTGGATGGAGAGGAGTAATTATAAACTATAAAAAAATAAATTAATATTATGTATAACAAGGAAAGATTGTTTTTTTGTTTGTTACCATTCAACTCTTAAACTACTCAACCAATTTATACCGAAGGCTACATCTCTTCGGAGTGACATAGGTTATTTTATATTACCTGTTGATGGGTGAAAATGGTATGGTAGCCCCGCCTGCGCTAACGGGATACGCTGGCGGAGCACCAGTGAAGGGTGATAGGTGAGAATGAAAACAGGCCAGTTTGCCCATCATGATGAATTCATTAGGAATTAACCATGATAGTTTCCAGGGAGAACCGCGAGGAGGTCGACCTGGTTGGGTATATTGCTAGCAATGGGATTCTCAGTCTCCATTACTAACAATCCCTTTCCCCCCATATATTTCGTGTTAGGAACCCGTGCGAAGCCGAAGCGGGTTACTAGTATATAATAAAATATATTAGTAAAGTAATAAATTGACTTACCGTTCATTACGTCGGACGCACTGCAGCGTAAGCGCAGGTAGGGCCATCTCGTTCGCTCTCACACACCACAGTAACTCGTGCGAGCGGGACGCAGCATCGTTCGTTTGCGATTCCACTGACGAGTCGGTGTCGTGGCTAGGTTTGTACGCACATCTGCAAAAGTCCTCGCTCCTTAGTTATATTATAAACTACCATTTACCCGTGGCTTCGTTCGCGTGACCGGAATATGTTCACTATATATACAGGTATGAGAACTAAAAAATGTGACAAAAAATAGACATCAGTTCTGACAAAACCAGTTGTTTTATTTATTTACACTTTACTGCACCATTTATAGAATAGTAAATACATTTAACTGTAATGAGAAATGATACAAAAGGCGGCCTTATGGCTAAGCACACTCTTCCAGACAACCTTTGGGTAGAGAACATTGAGAAAGGAAAGAAAAACAAAGGGTAGGTGGCGCACTATTATATATAAACAAATATATACAAAGATATATATATATATATATATATATATATATATATATATATATATAAAGTGCTTTATATTATTCTCAACTTCGTGTATAATATAGTATATGTCATATATGTGTAAGTATATTTGTTATTTATATATATTTATTCGTTTATATATGTAATTTTAGTATGTATGTATATCAATAATTACTAGTACCGCATTCGAGTATTCTGACACTTGCCTATGGTTGACTGGGAGAGAATGCTTTTAGCATTAAGTCCGCCATGTATACATATTTGTACTGATGAATAAATAAACACAACCGAATTGGCAATCTCCTTTTTGAAGTCGGTTGAAGCCGAGCCAAGCCGGAAGATTTCTTCTAATGGATGATAATGGAATGGCCTGTGCTATCGGTATACACTGGCGGGGCACCAGTGAGGGATGACAGGTGAGGATGAAAAGTCAGATCAGTTAGCCCATCGTGATGAATACACCTGGAATTCAGCATGATGGTTTCCAGAGGGGACCACGTGGAGATCGACCTAACAGGGTATATAGGGGGGGAAAGGGATTGTTAGTAATGGAGACTAAGAATCCTATTGCTAGCAATATACCCAACCAGGTTGACCTCCTCGCGGTTCCCCCTGGAAACTATCATGGTTAATTCTTGATGAATTCATCATGATGGGCTAACTGGCCTGTTTTCATTCTCATCTATCACCCTTCACTGGTGCTCCACCAGCGTATCCCGTTAGCGCAGGCGGGGTTACCATACCATTAACACCCATAAAAAAAACAGGGTATATTGCTAGCAATGGGACTGGCAGTCCGCATTACTAACAATCCCTTCCCCCCCCCCCCCTAACCAAGCGGGGGCTGGTCGACAGTAGTTCATAAACGTACCTGATCTGAAGTCTGGCGGCCCATTCGGCGAGGCAGTCGCTGCGGTGTATGTCGCTGGTTGGCGGCTTTTCACTGTTCCATGATATTGCTTCTGTCACCTGGACATAATGTATACTTTTCTCAAACATGCTTGGAAATGTAAGCATTATTTTGATAATCTTCTTTGAGATAAATCAAAATTGCCGTACTGGCCAGATACATGCGGGCAGCGGCCGGCAAAAGTTGTATGAAAATTAATATCTGTCGTGTTTTGCGGCCAGATAAATTACTATGTAAACTCATATCTGTCCTGTAATTTAAAAATAGAATAACCTTTTACTTCGAAATATGGCTACCAAGGAGGTAACTAATAAAAGGTTTTATTTAAATTTCGAACTGACTTGCAAATAGAAAGCTGTTTATTGAAAAAAAAATGGAACATTATGGCGCGTGAAAAATTATTGTTTGTTGTTCGTCATTGAACTTAAAAAGTAAAATTGTGTTTTTGATTTCCGCGCATTGTTTGAGAAAAGTACTATACAAGCCTTGGCCACAACTAGGCATTGATGGACTCACGTATGTATGTCTCGGCTACGTCTCGGCCCACATTTGTATGTTCGTCCATCAATGCCTTAGTTGCTGGCTGCTGCAGTAATGTACTATTACTGCACTAAAACATACAGTAATAAATTGCCGTGTGGTCCCGGCATAGAATAGGCCACCCCTTCCTTACCCGTGGGTGTCGTAAGAGGCGACTAATAGAACTTATTTATTTATTTTACACTTTATTGCACCATTTATAGAATAATAAATACATTTAACTGTAATTAGAAATTGTACAAAATGCGACCTTATCGCTAAACAATCTCCTTCACACAACCTTTGGGTAGAGGTAACAGTCGAGGGATGGGCAGCAGCGTCCCTCTTAAAACATCACCAAAGGCTTACTGCGGTTGCTAACTACCTGCCAAGCGTGGCAACTACAAACAAAACCCCGCTAGGAGAGACTATGTTTAGCAGTGGACAGATAAAGGCTGATATGACGACGATTAGCTTTTTTATTATACCACTGTGGTGGCAAACAAGCATACGGCCCACCTGATGGTAAGCGGTTACCGTAGCCTATGAACGCCTGCAATACCAGAGGTATTATTATATCGTATTATTATATAGGTAATATCATATAATTATATTACTTACAGCGGAAACGTCAAAACGCTTCACGGGCCATCTGTCCATCTCGCTCAGCCACCGCTCGCTGTCTCGCTCGCACCCCTTCTTATACAGTGTTACCATTTTATCGAACCAATTTTTCGTACTGTTTACTGAAAAGGAAATATTTCATGTTTTTTTTTATACAACTTAGAATGGCAAACAAGCTGACGGCCCACCTGATGGAAAGTGGTAACCGTCCATGCAGTGGATTAGACCCCATTACTGACAATCCCTTCCCCCCCCCCCCCCAACAAAAATGGTTAAGCTTTTAAATATTTTCCCCCTAGAGACTACAGTATACAGTATACACTCCAAAAAGGTTATATTAAAGTTTCTTCAGGGTCAGCAACGCGCACGTGACAACCCTGGTGTTGCAGGCGTCCATAGGCTACAGTGACCGTTCACCATCAGACGGGCTGTATGCTTGTTTGCCACCTTTGTAGTATAAAATTAGAAATACCTTCGTATCGTTCCAGCTCCCTCTTGAACGTAGACACATCTGTCCAGAAGGAAGGCAGGCCGCAGTTCTGGATATCACATTTCTGCTGTATAGTCAATTTATTCCAGTTGGACAGATTGCCAAAACATGAAATTAAATCTGAAATACACAAAATACATATACATACAACTCTAACCTCTGACGTGTTAGTAATGTGAATGAATCCCAATAACCCCATTAATTTTTTTTTTAATGGATGACAATGGAATTACATTGGCACCAGAGGGAGACTTTGTACAAAAGTCGTTTGCTTGACCACCTCTGTCCCATTCGTGTTTCTACCGTGAAGCAGTTGTGTTTGCATGGCTGTGTTTCGGTTTGAAGGGTGGGATATGACAGTGAATTTACAGGGTACAGAGGAATACCACATGAGTCCGCAGGAATGGCAACGCATGGGGGGGTATCGTGGGCGAAACAGTATACTCTGTTATGTCCATAATACTGCTCATGTCTAAAGGCGAGGGTTACCACTTTCAATCAGGTGGGCCGTCAGCTTGTTTGCCATTCTAAGTTGCATAAAAAAAATTGGTAATCATACTTCTATCATATCATACAAGGCTTCGAGTAGCGATCTAATAACCTGCCTGACTATCTCGTTTAGAAGTGAAATCCTTGTCGCAAAACGTGCGTGAACAAAATGGCAGTCGGAAATTAATGGCTAATATGGAAGGTTGTGGAACTTCTGCTAGTAACAGTGGCGATCAATCTTCGAGTGTTGCCAGTCACACACATACTAACGATAGCGGAATTAAACAAAATAATATTAAATAAATAACCAAAGACATTACAGACACAGATGTAGATTTACATAATAAACTAACCTTTAAGAGAAAAATCATTTGTTTCACACCTCATATTGACATCACTCTCGTGACTAATCGATCTAAAACAACAAAGTGATTATTTAAAATAGATGGAGTGTCTCCAAACAAATCATCATCGTCATCTCAGCCTTAACTGTCCACTGGTGAACATGAGCCAACCTAAGAAGAGAGGTTTCGCCAGTAATTGCCACGCTTGGCAAGTGGCAGATCTCAATTTCAGTCAAATTACTTGTAATACCATAAAAATGGTGCACACTGTTTTGTTTGAAAACAAAAAGGTGTCAAAAAAACAGTCAACCAAAGTGCGCTTTAACTAAATTACGACTTGTTTTTGAAACTATGCTTTATCTATGTAATCTAAGTGTATTTACAAATTACTACAAAAAAAAGGGTCCAGTTAAGGTCTTTTTTTATAACTTAGAAATTTGTTTATTTATGTAGTTAACAGACTATGGTCGCTAAATGGTCGCGTACAACGCGGTTTCAGATATGTTTTTTCCCACGAACACTCAGGTTATGCAATGAGCACCCTGCCGAGGTTTTCCCAAGAGACTACAGCATGGGGTTCTTCAAAAGGGGGGTAAAGAGGTTTCTTCAGGGTCAGCAACGCGCGCGTAATACCTCTGGTATTGCAGGCGTTCATAGGCTACAGTAACCGCTTACCATCAGGTGGGCCGTGTGCTTGTTTGCCACCTCAGTGGTATAAAAAAAACTTAAAAGAATAACACAATATAATAAACAAAATCATATCATTATCATCATATCAGCCTTTAACTGTCCACTGCTGAATATAAACCTCCCCCTTGGGGGGTTTTGCCAGTAGTTGCCACGCTTGGCAGCCGCGGTTAGGCTTTGGAGATGTTTTAAGAGGGACGCTGCTGCCCATCCCTCGTCCTCCCTTATTCGCCTCTTACGACACCCACGGGTAAGGTAGTAGCCTATTCTATGCTGGGACTACACGGGAGCGAAACAACATACCCAAGAACAAATTGTTCAGGCCCCAGACACCTGAGCCTCACTTCTTCATACAGACATCTGGTGACTTCCTCTCCTTCGGTACGTGCTGTTGTTTCCTTCAACTTGAGCACTGTGTCTTGGAACCTGAAACAATCACTGGTATTGTAAGAACAGTAAAATATTATTTCTAAATCATAGACAAATATAACAACTTCGTTTTGTAAAATCTAATATTACCAGAGGGAGACTTTGTACAAAAGTCGATTACTTGGGTACCTCTGTCCTATTCGTGTTTCAACCGTGAAGCAGTTGTGCTTGCAATTTTTTTAATCAGTGTTCTATATACTTACGACCACAATGTATCTTGACGTATCTTCATATATTTAATTATTTAATAAATAAAATGAGTTATTTACGCATTAAAAATATGCAGAAATTATAAGACAAAATAAACATACAAGTTATAAAGGAATCACTCATAACTATTTGTCACGCAAAATTGTATGAAAAAGTTGAGCCGCTTTTCTCGAAGCATTTGTATGGAGACACTCTACCTATATAATTTATGAGTTCCAAACATTAATGTACAGGTTTAACAAACTTTATGTTACAGGGTCAAAAGCAAAACAGCTGATTCAGATGAATGCTCTGAATCAGATGGCAGACTATTTTCCCGCCGGTAATGCACCGCAGCCATATAATTAACGATTCTTAGTGTTGACGCCGCACAATGTATTTGAAGTTTTACGATTAACACGACGCGCGATACCTACAGCGCGTACAGTACTAAAGGACAACGGCGCTTCTTCGTAGGTAGTGTTCGTACGAGATGGCAGACTATTTTCCCGCCGGTAATGCACCGCAGCCATATAATTAACGATTCTTAGTGTTGACGCCGCGCAATGTATTTGAAGTTTTATGATCAACACGACGCGCGATACCTACAGCGCGTACAGGACAAAAGGACAATGGCGCTTCTTCGTAGGTAGTGTTCGTACACTTGTGAAGTTCACCTTACACAGCTGATTTTACTATAAAGTATTATTTTCTTTATATTGTGACATAATATCATAGATTACATGATTTTAAATAATAAAAAATGGTAAAAAATTGAAATTTTCCAAGAAGAATGTCCACTGGTTTTCAGTTCGGAATAATGGCCTGAATTTAACGTTTCAGTTTTCCAACCTATCCTTTACACATATACAAACTAATATGTCATTATGTTGTTTGTTGAAAATTTGGTGCCGTGACCAGGATACAATATAACATTACACTGATCATATTCTGATAAGGTTCTTCAAATGGAGTACATGTCGATTTCAAGTTACTAACTTGTGAAATCTACTGATTGTTATATTTATATATATAGACAGAATATCAGTGTTTTGCCTTATTGAGAGCAAAGCTATAAACTGAGCTGTGACCAGTTTGTGACCATGACAGAAGAGAAAAAATTAAGACTTCTTTTATTATGATTTTTTTGTATATGTACTTCTTTTATCTCTTTTTACTGTACATGTCTATCAGTGTCTGTTATTATTAATGTGCTGTAAGTAATGCAAATAAATTACATATCTAACTATTTATATAAGCTTATGCCATTACCCGTCAATTCTGCAGTCTACAGTCACTCTGGCCAGTTGTACCAACAGTGGGGTGACGTCACTGGGCGGTAGTGCCAACATGGCGGCGAGCTGCTCAGCTGTGTCCTTGTACAAACTGGACCCACTACCATTGCCGAGCGCTTTGAATATTTCCACCGTTAAGGCACGTTGCACTTCTGTATTATTCTGGTGAAATAAATTAGTAACAGTTTAATTTGTAAATTTTAATATATTAATCATGTAGATAGATAGATATTCTTTATTTTTCCCTCCAAAAGATTACAATAGTAAATTATTTTATTATTATTAATATCTCATAGTATACATACGCCTGCTCCATAAGAGAAGTTTTGCCAGTAATTGCCACGCTTGGCAGACGGGTTGGCAACGGTAGTCAGACCTTTGATGATATTTTAAGAGAGACGCTGATGCTTGTAGTCGCCTCTTATGACACCCACGGATGGAGAGGAGTATATACAGACTTAAGATATTAAGTTAAAACAATCAAATTACCTTTGCAAATGTTAACAGCGCATCCAGTATACTGTCTATGGTGATTTGTACGTCTATGCCAGGATCAGTGGGAGCTAAAAAGTAAAAGGTACGACTTAGAATAAATACATTCGAACAAACGAATGAATTAATAAAAAAATAATGAAAGAATAAATGAATAAATGAATTAATGCATGAAATAATAAATGAATGAATGAATTTTTATTAATGCATGAAATAATGAATGAATAAATAAATAAAGAATGGATGAATAAATGAATAATAAATAAATAAATGAATGAATGAACGAACGGGTAAATGAGTAGATAAAAATATATCATGCATAAATGAATAGCATTCATTTGAATGTTCATTTTTCTCTTCACAAAAACTGACTGATCAAACAATTTAAAAAAAAAATTTGCAAATTTTGAGTTTGTACACCGCGTTTGTTTGCCTATCCGCCTGCCAAGCGTGACAACTATTGTGAAACCCCCAATAAAGACATGATAACGATGATGCCTATCAAATGAGAGATGGTACAGTTCACGACAGTTACCACTGTCCATCGAGTGCTGCGTCAGCTTGTTTCTTATTCTAAATTGCATTAAAAACGACTCAGCACATTACATTTGTTGTTGTCATATTTATATATTGTCACAATTATTCCTTGTTATTTCATGCCTGATTTTTATAATTTTTACGTTCACAGATTATCCTGTGAAAACTATATAGGCCTATGTATTAGCAAACAAGCATACAGCTCGTCTGATGGTATACGGTCACTGTAGCCTATGGACGCCTGCAACACTAGGGGTGTTATATGTACGTTGCCGACTCTGAAGGAACCTTAATATATCCTTTAAAAAAAAAATTTTTTTTATGCAACTTAGAACGGCAAAGCTGATGGCCCACCTGATGGAAAGTGGTAACTATCGCCTACAGACATGATCAGTACCGTGGACATAACCCGTATACCCATACAGTACCCCCCATGCGTTGCCATTCCAGAGGACTCAGGTGTTATTCCTCTGTACACTGTAAATTCACTGCCATATCCCACCCTTCAAACCGAAATACAGCAATGCAAACATAACTGCTTCACGGTAGAAACACGAATGGGACAGAGGTACTGTAGTCTCTAGGGAAGACCTATATGATAACATTTGTCTGTAATAAACTAGTATAAAATACTGTGTTATACTGTGTTTTTTTTAATAGATAATAATGTAATGGTAACCCCGCCTGCGCCAACGGTATACGCTGGCGGGGCACCAGTGAGGGGTGATAGGTGAGAATCAAAAGGTAGGTCAGTTAGCCCACCGTGATGTATACTCCTGGAATTCAGTACGATGGTTTCCAGAGGGGACCACGGGGAGGTCGACCTGTCAGGGTATACTGCTAGCAATGGAACTAGAAGTCTGCACCACTAACAATCCCTTCCCCCTCAAGGCTGTTTGTTATTTAATAAATGAATTAAAACATGAGCCTCAGCGTACATACCTTTACTTTGTCTAGTCCGCCCCGAATAAGTAGAAGTACGATATGTCCTGAATGACCCTTGAAACATTGCACTTTTAGTCAGCAGCTTAGAAGAAGCGGTCCTGATGATGTCATCGGTTGGGCTCCTACAAAAATAGTAAGTTTAGATGATCCTGACCATAACTAGAGGTAAAAGAGTATAAGAGGGGCCGGGAGGACTGTACCCGTCCCAGTATTGTCCCATACGCATCCCAGGATGCAACCGGAGCTTTCGGCTACGCCTAAAAACTAGGCGTGAGTAATATATATATTTTACTTACAATATACTGGTGCAATAACGAATATGTTAAATATCTGTTATACATACATACATACATATCTGTCACGCCTGTCTCCCATTAGGGTAGGCAGAAACAATGGAACCCCAAATGCTTCGATTCAAACAAACCTCTTTCGCTTCTTCCACATTCATCAATCTTTTCGTACACGCTCGCCGGTTACGGGTACTTTTAATTCGGGCCTTCTTCAGCACGTCGCCTATTTAAATCTGTTATCTAAAATATAATAGATATCCGACTGATATGACCTTTTTCCCGCCATCAATGTCCAGAGAAACCCAATATATAGATATCGGATCGGTATCCATATTGCACGTATTTACTAAAGACATGTGAATACCTATCATGGTATATATTCTCAAACACGTGAGAATCCATAAAAGTCCTAATGCCTTTTATGGGACCAGGTCTGTTTTGAAAAATGATAAAGAACGCTACTAGCATTAAGTTCGCCATATTTGCTTTTGTTCAAAAGTCAATATCGATCGTTCCTCCCCCCCCCCCCCCCCTTGTAAATTTATCAGGATACTTCAGAAACAGTCCAAGTATAAATCCCAAAACTCACTGATTATCCAGCGGCTCGTTGCTCAACTTGGCCTCAAGGAACTGCTCGTTGGTCCTCAGTTCGCCGAACAGCATCTCCAAGAGCGGGATCTTGGGAGACACTCGGTGGTGATTAGTGAGGGGCATATATAGACATAACAGGAGACACTCGGCAAATCTGTAATAATTATTATTATTTCACAACATACGACCCCCATCTAATAACAAATACGACCTCCCCCCTCCTCCGACCTTCGAAAGTAGCGACCTCTCGGTTGAGAAATAATACATTAAGACATGTGGAAGATCTCTATTTTTTTTTTAAATTATATAAGTCCATTTTACTCGTTGATATACAAACTCATAGGTTTTTTTTTATACCACTGAGGTGGCAAACCAGCATACGGCCCACCTGATGGTAAGTGGTTACCATAGATATCTTTCTATAGGTAAAAGATTTTTAAAAACTGTTCTTTTTTTTTTAATTTATCTCTTATAAACAAACAAAAAATCAAATCTCTCCTTTTTATAATGTCAGCTTAGATTTACCTCACTCGCAAGTCGCCACTCGTCAGACGTCTGATGACGTCACAGGCGACATTATCCGTGTTCGCGACACGCGATAGCACCGTGTGCGCGTACGCATCGCCATGTACCATATTCAAAATATCCAATGCCTTCTTTTTAATCTTCTTCGCTGGCGGACTACCTTCACTGGCGGACACCACACTGTTCAGTAGATCTGTAAATAAGTGTCACTACATATTACGCAGCGCCATCTATTAACTTACATTATAAACTACGCAGAAATTTTACTATGGATACTAGACACCACGCCGGCATACACAGGCCATCAGTGTATGCCGACTGAAGAAACCCAGCGACCCGGAGGTCGTCGCCTCCGGAGTAGAAGCCGGGGTAGTGGCGTACACCCCGAGGCCCCAACCTCGCCCGCCCACACATCATCCGGCGGGCAAGAGTTGACCGTGTTGTTGTTGGTACTATGGATACTAGAACAATATATAGGCCCACTATTGGCGACCTGTCGATGCAAATTTTTTAGATTTTATTATATACTCGTATAGTACTTGTTGCGTGAATTTAGTGGGTACAGAGGAATAACACCTGAGTCCTCAGGAATGGCAACGCATGGGAGGTATCATGGGCGAAACAGTATACTCTGTTATGTCCGTGGTACTGCTCATGTCTATAGGCGACGGTTACCACTTTCCATCAGGTGGGCCGTCAGCTTGTTTGCCATTCTAAGTTGTATAAAAAAAAAAAAAAGTACTTTTTTATACAAATTTACTTTTAGAATGTTTGTATTTGTAATTTCTATTTTGTATCTTTTGACAATGTCTGTTCCTTTAACTTCATCATCATCATCATCATATCAGCTTTTAACGGTCCACTGCTGAACATAAGCTTCCCCCTAAGGAGGATTTGCCAGTAATTGCCACGCTAGGCAGACGGATTGGCAATCGCTGTATTTGGCAATTGTAGACGTTTTAAAATTTATTGTTTGGTCGCTGTTAATACATTTTTTTTCTGTTAAAATCCGAGTCTACATCATTTATCACCTCATCACAGTCCACAGGTCCGTAATTTTTTTTTTTTTTGTATACACATTATACGTAAATTATACCCAGAGCAATACATATAGGCATTATGAATTTTTGTACTTTGTGCGGGGTTCGAACCAGTGACTAATAGAAAGAAGCAGTGTGATAGGCCGCTCTACCAAATGATAATCAGAACGTAGTGTACAATTGGATAAACGGAAAAAAATAAGCATATGAATAAAAATTCTTTGAAGATACCATCATCACATTCGCCTCGCAACGATATCCGGCTCGAAGGATTGTTGGTGAAATTTGGAAGTGGGAAACAAGTGAGTAAAAATGATAAATATTGACAACTATTTCCATTAGTTCGCGTGTTGTTTCAGTCACTCAAAAGAAAGGTAATGCAGTTTCAGCTTCGAGATTTTTGTAATAATACAGGGGAAAAACTAGCATACGGCTCACATTATGGTAAGTGATCAGCGCTTCCCCGTCACCCGCAAGACCAGAGATATTGCAGGTGTGCTGCCGACATTTTATAAAGGAATATGCTCTTTTCTTGAAGGTTATGATGTCGTATCGATGACAAAAACTTACTTATTGGAAATATGAATGCATAAGTGATGCCACGGGCAGCACAGTATATATGAGTACGACTCTAGTGATAGTTACCTTCGAATGCCTTCACCATCACTTCGTACGCCGCTTGCCTGACCTTCACCTCTGGGTGATGACAGTATTCCGCAATCTGCATGACCGCTCGCCTCTTTATCCCCTCCTCCATCAAATGAAACCCGCTCTTTACCACTCCCATAGCCTCTATATTGTCTGTGCTCGATAATAACTCATTCAACTCTATGGTATCAAACATGGAGGTAATATACTCGTCAGGTGATAACTTTTGTGAAATATACTTTGATATGATTTGGAGACATTTTGATTTCAACGGCTTCACTTTCGGAGTTTGGTCTACTATGGTTCTGAAATAATAGAACATTATCTTTACGCTATATCCCTTGAGGTATAAACAGAGATAATAGGAAAGGCATATCCGGGTACATGCTCAGTCCTACCCGTGTCTCTGCCCTGAAGCAGCTCAGCTTACACGACTGTGTACGGTTTGAAAAGCAAGATGTAGCAATGTACAGAAACTAACTACAGGGTACAGAAACATAAAGCCATAGTCAGTAAGCCCCATTATTAGCAATATACCCCGTCAAGTCGACCTCCACGCGGTTCCCACTGGAAATCATCGTGATTAATTATGGATCTAACTTCATCCTCACCTATCATCCCTCACTGGTGCCCCGCCAGTGTATACCGATAGCGCGGACGGGGTTACCATTTCATTATCATACATTCAAGAAAAAATCGCTGTAGTCCTCAGAAATAGCTACTTATTGAGGGGTACCGTGAGCATTTTTTTTTATTTGTTTTTTTTTTTATACAGCATGACAGTATATTCTGCGATGCCCACGGTGCTGTTCATGTCTATAGACAATCCAAGATGGATACTACTTCCAGTTCTTATAGTTCTCCACTTATAGTTCTATCATATGATGCCTATAGCCACCTTTCACCATCGTACTGCTCGCCATCGGCAGGAAATCCATCCTAACACCTTAAATCTAGAATGGTCACACACAGTGCAGTTTCAGAGGCGCTTCCTCCGGCAAACAATCACGATGTGGATTGATCTTCCTGCCCAGGCTTTCCTTAGAGACTATAGCAGGGGTTCTTCAAAAAGGGCAATATACCAGAGGGAGACTTTATACAAAAGTCGATTGCTTGAAACACGAATGGAATAGTGGGTACCTCTATTCCATTCGTGTTTCTACCGTGAAGCAATTGTGTTTGCATGGCTGTGTTTCGGTTTGAAGGGTGGCGTGAATTTACAGGGTACAGAGGAATAACATCTAAGTCCTCAGGAATGGCAACGCATGGGGGGTATCATGGGCGAAATAGTATACTCTGTTATGTTAATGTTACTGCTCATGTCTACAGGCGACGGTTACCACTTTCCATCAGGTGAGTCGTTAGCTTGATTGCCATTCTAAGTTGTATAAAAAAAGGGCGTATTAAGGTTTCTTAGGGGTCGGCAACGCGCGTGACATGCTTGGTGTCACAAGCGTCCATAGACTACGGTAACTACATTTACCATCAGACAGGCCGTATGCTTGTTTGCCACCATGGTAATATAAAAAAATCTAACTGAAGTGTGACAACATCCGAATTATCTGACCTTACTTTGACCTTCTCTGAGGAGTCTTACCAATTATCAGTATGAAAGCTGCCAAATCCCACATTGAACGAACAACCCTCACCTGAATTGCCTCTCATCACATATTCCGGGACAGCCTTGTTGGGCGTAGTACAATATCTTGACATACTCATCTATCTTCTGTCTCGTTCTATCCAATATCTTTTTGAACTGGCGCATGGCTGCCTCCTTGTCGCTTTCCAACATAACCGCCAATCCGAACAGCTCCGCCATTTTGTACTCTTGGCTCCAATATTTGTCGTACTTCACCAACGTTGGCACCAGCTCGGGTATGTATATTTTACGTTTTGTTAATCTTTTGAGGATCGATAGGGAATTCTTATTCTGATAACTGTCTATGGGAGATCCTGGAAATATCAAGTTTTTAAGTGACACTTTCCATTCCTCACCTCATCATGATTTCATCATCATCATCACCATATCAGCTGTTAATTGTCCACTGCTGAATTTAGACCTCTATCGTTCTATCGTTCTATTGGGAAGTTTTTGCCAATAATTGCCAAACTTGGGTTGGCAATCGCAGTCAGGCTTTTAGTGATGTTTCAAGAATGACGCTGCTGTCCCTCGACCATTACATTCCCTTAATCGTCTCTTACGACAGCTACGGGAAAGGAAGGGGTAGCTCATTCTATGCCGGGAACACACGGCCAAAATAAAAATAAAATTGCCATGTTAAAAAGGAACAATTAATAGTACATTACTGCAGCGGCCAGCAACTGAGGCATTGATGGACGAACGTGCAAATGTGGGCCAAGGCGTAGCCGAGGCACACATACGTGAGTCCATCATTATTTTTTAACTCCTTGGTAGCCATGTTTCGAAGTAAAAGGTCATTCCATTTTAAATTACAGGACAGATATGAGTTTATATAGTAATTTATCTGGCCGCAAAACACGACAGATATAGATTTTCATACAACTTTTACCGGCTGCTGCCCGCATATATCTAGCCAGCATATATCTGACGGCAATTTTGATTTATCTCGAAGAAGATTGTCAAAATAATGCTCACATTTCCAAGCATGTTTGAGAAAAAAAATATTTAGCTACTGTCACTCAGGATGATGTAAGGATTATAATAATATCAAATCTGTTCAGGCATTTAGAAGGTATGATGGAATATAGATACTCAAATATATACTAGGTATGGGTAATATAGATACCAATCCGATATCTATATATTGGGTTTCTCTGGACATTGATTGCGGAAAGTCATCACTGATTCCGATATCGCCCATATAGGTCGGATATCTATTTTCGAATATGTTAAAAGTCTGTTATCCAATATTATATTTTGGATAACAGACTTTTAACATATTCCGTTATTGGACCAATATATAGATTGTATCGTCCCAAACGGCGCTTCAATCGATCGATTATTCGATTCTTAATCGAATGTCCACACACCTCGCGGATATGAAGCGATTACATTATTATTAAGTTGGAGGGCAGTTAGTGAACTCGTCCTTGCACTCGGCTCGAGATCACGTACCGTCGCGAAGCAAGAGCATAACCGAACAGTGATCTAGGAGATCATCATATTAAAGATCAAATCCTGTATATTTAAAGATATTTGTGTAGGCCTACCAATCAAACATCTATAACAGCATCCAGTCAAAGGTGGAAAGCTTCAAGTAAGTGCACGTACCTTCTTAAACATTGTAATCGCTTCATCCTCATTATCAGAAGTAAGGACATACGTATTTCAACCGCTTAACGGTGTCCCTACATAGATATTGACATACATACATACTACATAGATACCCCTGTAGATCTACGCAGAGCATCAAGTAAAGATATTTTTAAAAGAAGACTTTTTAATTATTTGTTGAGTTAACAAAACCAGCGCTAGTCACAGGTCACTCAATAGTTATTATATCTCATAATGCTTATCGTTGTTTTAATTTATGTATATGTATGTATATATATATATATGTATATATATATATATATATGTATATATTTCATATGTATTAGTTTATCCATATATATTAAAAGTAACGTTTATGTATTATATGTGCATTTCTTATGTGTATATTATATTTATATTGTGTATTGCCTTAATGTGTTACTATCATTGTCACATATTTTTCACCACATCTGCCCTTCATACGCTTTCTGTTTTTACCCAATGGTTAGCTGGTAGAGAATGCCATATGGCATTAAGCTCGCCATTTGTACAAAATTTTACTTATATATTTATATATTATATATTAAATACTCCTAATACATACATAAACCCTGAATATATTATTTCATCACACCATTTCATCATCATCATCATCATCATACCAGCCTTTAACTGTCCACTGTTGAACATAAGCCTCCCACTTGGGAGATTTTGCCAGTAGATGCCACGCTTGGCAGGCAGATTAGCAACCGCAGTTAGGCTTTAGAGATGTTTTAAGAGGGACGCTGCTGCCCATCCCTCGCCCTCCCTTAGTCGCCTCTTACGACACCCTCGGGAAAGTAAGGGGTGCAATGAATACTATGCCAGGTCTACACGGCCATACGTCGTTTACTCGAGTAAAAAATTCGAAATGTAAACATACCCTCAAGAAACCCCTCGAAGCACCTCCACGGCACCGTGACGTCATTACCATAGAGCTCAATCAGTTTCTCCACGAGATCCAGGAGGAACCTTTCCCCGATGTCTATGGTTGTACACACGAGGTATTCTATGGCTGTATTGAGGTGGCCATGCGAGGAATTAGGTATTAAAACGCCGCCACACTCGGGGTCTTCACACCATTTCGTCACTGTATCGAGCTGGTGAAGAAATATTTATGCTTAGAAATTAATTTATGACAGATAGTTTTAAAAATTATAAAGAAACGATAAATGACTGCGTTGTATTCCCATGAGACAAGAGACAAGACAAATTTTGATGTAGTGGTTTTCTTTTCTTTTTTTTTCTATAATCTATTTATAAGTAAGACATTGTGATATAGGAAATTTACTAATATTTATATTAGATAGATAGATAGATAATTTATTTACATTACTTACAGCACACAAATTACAATACAAACATACACATAATACACTGTAAAAGAGATAAAAGAATTAAAATAAAAAAAGCACAAATAAAAAAAAAATACAAAAACAAAATATATAAACCAACAACTTCTTTTCTTTCCCTTCCTTCATGCGTGTGCCATAGTAACACAAAATGGTCACAACTCAGTTTATTGCTTTGCCCTTAAAAGAGCAAAACACTGATATTCTGCTGTGGCCAAGAGTCAGCCGCGAAACTTTTCATTAAAAATTTACAAATATATATATATATATATATATATATATATATATATATATATATATATATATATATATAAATAAACTGCATTGTATGTGTCCATTATATTTGCCTTCACTTGACATTACATTCCAAATAAATAAATAAATAACAGATACCATTAGACGAGGGGTAGTCAGAGATCACTTTCTGTCACATTCAGATATTCAGGCAATAAATATTTCGGCTACGTACCTATTAGGTATGCCAATTTTTTGTTTATTAATTAAAAAGATTTTTAATTTTTTTTTTTTAAATGTATATATTAAAAGAAGATTTGCACGTCAAATATGGTAAAATAAAATATGGAGGCGTAATAACCTATTAATGTCACATCTGTAATACCCATATTTGAGCAAATAAATTACGTTATTATTATTATTAGATTGTACAGATAGAGCATCGAGTCTCAAACACGGGTCAACTTTTTGTCAGCTAATTGTCAAATTTGCTAATTTTTTTTATCAGTGTTCTATACACTTACGCACACAATGTATCTTGACGTGTCTATATTTAATTATTTAATAAATAAAATGAGTGTTTACGCATTAAAAAGATGCAGAAATTACAAGAAAAAATAAACATAGAATTTATAAAAGTATCACTCATAACTATTTGTCACGCAAAATTATATGAAAAAGTTGACTCGCTTTTCTCGAAGCATTTGTATGGAGACACTCTATCTGTATAATCTAAGTATTTATGACATACTAGTTTTTACCCGCGACTTCGCGTGACCGGAATATGTTTACTAATCGGTACAAAAAGTAGCCTATAATCTTTTCCATTCCATACAGTACGTGCATACCAAGTTTTATAGCAATTGGTTAAAGTGGTCGGTCACCAAACAAAATTAGACAAGTATTTAGTCAGTCCTCAGGAATGGCAACGCATGGGGGGTATCATGGGCGAAACAGTATCCTCTGTTATGTCCACGGTACTGCTCATGTCTATAGGCGACGGTTACCACTTTCCATCAGATGGATTGTAGCTTGTTTGCCATTCTAAGTTACATAAACTCCTGATGATTTCATCACGATGAACCAACTGATTCTGCTATAATCCTCACCTATCATCCCTCACTGGTGCCCCACAAGCCTACACCGTTAGCGCGGACGGGGTTACCATACCATTATTATCGCATTAAAAATCTTGTATACTCACAATATCCACATGCAATCCATTGAGACGTTTCCTGCCTCCTTCCTCGCGCGGCGTGTTCGCTACAAGTTTGAGCAACGCCGGGCAGAGAACATTAGCGTGTTGTCTGAGCTCCTCTTTACAGTTGATGATGGCCTGGTACAATCAAATGGTAGATGAGTCACAACCGGTGATTCATTAAATTCAGTTCAATTATCCATTCAACCAGAGGAAGACTTTGAAGAAAAGTTATTTGCTTAGCCACCTCTGTCCCATTCGTGTTTCTACCGTGAAGCAGTTGTGTTTGCATGGCTGTGTTTCGGTTTGAAGGGTGGGATATGGCAGTGAATTTACAGGGTACAGAGGAATAACATCTGAGTCCTTAGGAATGGCAACGCAAGGGGGGGGGTATCATGGGCGAAACAGTATACTCTGTTATGTCCATGGTACTGCTCATGTGTATAGGCGACGGTTACCACTTTCCATCAGGTGGGCCGTCAGCTTGTTTGCCATTCTAAGTTGTATAAAAAAAAATCAATCATTAATTCATCCAATCATTTATTCATTAATTACTTCAAAGTGTTGTGCATAGAGGCTTACCGAAGTGTTTACGTCATCTAATCCCAAACTGAGCTGAGTTGTATTATGAATACTTTAAGCAAGTACAATTGTATTACGCGTGTGGTTCCGGCATAGAATAGGCCACCCCTTCCTTTCCCGTGGGTGTCGTAAAAGGCGATTAAGGGAGGGCGAGGGATGGGCAGCAGCGTCCTTTTTAAAACATCTCTAAAGCCTGACTGCGGTTGCCAATCTGCCTGCCATATTATTAGTAATGGACAACCAGTCGCATTGCTTGCAATATACCCAATCAGGTCGACCTCCCCGTGGTCCCCTCTGGAAACCATCGTGCTGAATTCCAGGTGTATTCATCACAGTAGGCTAACTGACCTGCCTTTTCATTCTCACCCCTCACTGTGTTCTGTCATCCCTCACTGTTGCCCCGCCAGCGTATACCGTTAGCGCAGGCGGGATTACCATTACATTATCATCTATTGAAAGACACAATACCATAACACCCATGGAAAACTATAAACAGTGTCCCACCTGCGCCAGCAGCCACCTCGTGTTGTCGTGCAGCTCGTCGAGCGCCGCGACCAGTTCCCGCAGCCACTGCGTGTGGCTGTGCGCGGCCACGTGCGCGACCACGGCGGTGAGCGTGGCCGCGCATGCGTGTTGGCTCAGTTCGTTGTCAGTTAACTCCAGATCTTGGGTTACCACCTATAAAATTAAATACTACTAACCATTTGCCGCAACTTCACCCGCGTAACTCACCCTATTAACATATACCCCGTGTACCAAATTTCATTTCACTGAACTAGATGTTATCCTGCGGAAGTCCATATCACTGGTATTTTATTTTTATACAACTTAGAATGGCAAACAAGCTGACGGTCCACCTGATGGAAAGTGGTAACCATCACCTATAGACATGAGACATAACAGAGTATACTGTTTCGCCCATGATACCCTCCATGCGTTGCCATTCCTGAGGACTCAGGTATTATTCATCTGTACCCAGTAAATTCACGCCATATCCCACCCTTCAAACCGAAACACAGTCATGCAAACACAACTGCTTCACGGTAAAAACGAATGGGACAGAGGTACCCAAGCAATCGACTTTTGTACAGTTTTTGATTAGAATTATTACGTTTAATTCCGCTACCATTAGTATGTGTGTGACTGCCAACACTCGAAGATTGGGGGGAAAGGGATTGTTAGCAATGGAGTTTGACAGCCTCATTGCTAACAATATGTCCTATCAGGTCAACCTCCACGTGGTTCCCCCTGGTAACCATCGTGAACAATTCTCGTTGAATTCGTCACGATGGGCTAACTGACCTACTTCATCTTCATTTATCATCCATCACTGGTACCTCGCTAGTGTATACCGATAGCATAGGCGGGGTAACCATTCCATTATCACCCATTAAAAAAACCAGCGTATACCGATAGCGCAAGCAGTGTTACCATTCCATTTCCCCATTTGCACGTACCTGGGTAAACTCTTCGTGTGTGGTGAGGTCGTAGTTGAGAGGATCATCGGATAGAGTTCGAAGAAACATCCTCGTCCTTACGCTGCCCGAGCTGAGGTAGTCACCACCTTGGCCCACCTCTACAGAAACCGAGTGCCGGGTCTTGCGCTTCGACTGCGGAGTACGCGACAAATTATTTAGATAACCACACATAAAATTAGCAAAGAAAGGGGCAAACAATGCTCAAATAGGGCCAGAAGCTTATTGTGGCCTGTCTCGAAGCCAAAACCTGAGACACTTCAAACTTGAAAGCTTAGAATCAGCAAATAATAGCTGGCTTCTGTTACCAGGATTAAATCACTCAAAAGCCCTTACTAAAAATAGTGTGTGTATTAACAAGGGCCCTCACTGGACACTGTAAACTAAATAAGCATATGGCCCAACTAGAGTTATGCCCAAAAAGTATTTGCAGATTTTGTCACAGTGAGGAAGAAACGCCGCGTGCCAATTTTTTTTATGCAACTTAGAATGGAAAGCTGACGGCCCACCTGATGGAAAGTGGTAACCGTCGCCTATAGACATAAGCAGTACCGTGGACATAACAGAGTATACTGTTTCGCCCATGATACCCCCCATGCGTTGCCATTCCTGAGGACTCAAGTGTTATTCCTCTGTATCTTGTAAATTCACTACCATATCCTAATCCTTCAAGCCGAAACACAGCCATGTGAACACAACTGCTTCACAGTAGAAACACGAATAGGACAGAGGTACCCAAGCAAACGACTTTTGTACAAAGTCTCCCTCTGGAAATTAAGCTGTGTGATGTTTTCAGAAGGACGCTGCTACCTATTCTGCCTTTTTTTTGTGTATGTATGTTGTAATTTGTGTGCTGTAAGTAATACAAATAAAATTATCTATCTATCTATCCCTCGACGCCCTATATTACCTTGGTGAAAATGTTCAGTTATGCTAGTTGAACGCTCCCTTTATTTAATCTCTTTATTTAATTCAGAGGGAGACTTTGTACAAAAGTCGATTGCTTGGATACCTCTGTTCTATTCGTGTTTCTACCGTGAAGCAGTTCTATTTGTATGGCTGTATTTCGGTTTGAAGGGTGGGATATGGCGTAACAGTATACTCTGTTATGTCCGTGGTACTGCTCATGTCTATAGGCGACGGTTACCACTTTCCATCAGGTGGAGCGTCAGATTGTTTGCCATTCTAAGTTGTATAAAAAAAAAAAACTCCCTCTCTCTCTAGCTCCCTCCAATTAATTTAATAAAATTTAATAAGTTTCCACTAGAGAACTTGTAACTTACCCTGAATATTGGCAACTTGTACGTAACACTCTCGTCGCAGAGTCGCGACCATGCCTGCCTACTTAAAATGCTTTCATAAAACTTTTCCACCGGCCGCCGTTTGCATATGGCCGCGCTCAAACAATTGTACATTTTATATTGAAATCGTCTGAAAACATCAAGAGTTTATTTATTTATTTATTAATAAGAGTTATAATCTATTTAAATAGAATTTAGAAAAAGAAAGGAATTACTCGATTCGGTTATATTATTTTTTATTTTTAATCTATACTTATAATAAATCTGTAGCGAGGTCAATTCTGTACATGAAATATATTTACAAAATAACTATCAGCGGGTGATTAGTGATCGATACTGATGCCAAAAATGCAATCAGTAAAATTTATGTCTGTCTGTCGTGTATATTCGTTATAGAAACAAAAACTACTCGACGGATTTTAACGAAACTTGGTACAATTATTCTTCATACTCCCGGGCAGGTTATAGTATACTTTTCATCACGCTACGATCAATAGGAGCAGAGCAGTGAAGGGAAATGTTGGAAAAACGGGAGAAGTTACTCCATTTTCAAGCTACCGTCGTGTGTGCAGCCTTAATGGCCACTTTTTAAAATGTAAAAACGTCCACCCGTGTGAGGCCGGGACGGGCCGCTAGTTTTAAATAATTTTGGTGGGCAAACTAAAATATGGTACAAAAGGCGGACTCAATGCTAACAGCATTCTCTACCAGTCAACCTTTGGGATGAACAGTAAATCACAAACGCGGTACTACATTATTGGGGTAGGTAAAGAAAATAACAACTAAAAATGTATACCTATACTTAATAAATAATATATATAAATATAATATATATATATATATATATATATATATATATATATATATATATATATATATATATATATATTGAAATATGGGGGAAAAGGATTGTTAGTAACGAGGTCTAATAGCCCCGTTGCTAGCAATTGACCCTTTCAAGTCGACCTCCACGCGTTTCCCCTGTAAACCATCATGTTTAATTCTTGTCGAATTCATCATGGTGGGCCAACTGACCTGCATTCATTCTCACCTATCATCTTCCACTGGTGTCCCGCCAGTGTATACTGATAGCGCGGGCGGGGTTACCATTCCATTATCATCTATTAAAAAAAAAAACTCACTTGAAATCTGCCCTGAGTGCATCATCAGCAGCAGCAGGGCAGTCTTCGAGGCGGAGCGTGACGCACAGCTTGCAGCCTTCCCTGATCAGGTAGTACGGGTCCTTGACTTCTGTTTCGCTGTAGAGTATCGCCTGAGGGGACTGTAAGGATTGAAGCGGAATCTGCAAATAGAATAGATACTCTTTATTGTTTCGGAGTGCGGCGAGAGCGAGTACGCGATAGTGGAGAGGGAGATGCAGGCGTCGGTGCGCGCGCACCGGGACCACGCCGGCGGACACTTCAGCCACTACAACGTCGTCAGGGTGACGTATACCGATATACAGCCGGGGCTGGTGGGGACTGCCAGACACTCTCTATTGCCTCCTCCAAAAGATTACAATAGTAAACTTGTTATAGATACAAACAATAACAAGAAATGATCACAGTGAGACAACAATGGGCGGCCTTATCGCTGAGAGCGATCTCTTGCAGCCAACCTTTGGATGGAGAGGAGTAATTATAAACAGTATGGCTGGAGGCACGATGTCTACATCATGCCAAATGAATTATACTTGTTTTTGAATTTTAAAAATGGGGCAGTAACCATTTTTTTTTTTACAACTTAGAATGGCAAACAAGCTGACGGTCCACCAGATGGAAAATGGTAACCGTCGCCTATAGACATGAGCAGTACCGTGGCATATAACAGAGTATACTGTTTCGCCCCTGATACCCCCCATGCGTTGCCATTCCTGAGGACTGACTAAATACTTGTCTAATTTTGTTTGGTGACCGACCACTTTAACCAATTGCTGTGAAACTTGGTATATGCATACTATACACATAACGGAGAGTATACTGCCATGACAATGATGACCTCCGTGTATTGATATCCCTGAGTACTATGGTGTTTTTTTTTTACAACACTGGAGGCAAGCGAGCATGCGGCTCACCTGATGGTAAGTGACTACCGCCGCCCATGTTATGTCTCCCGCCTGCGCTAAGGGTGTTCACTGGGGGGGCACCAGTGAGGGATAATAGGTGAGAATTTTAAAGGCAGGTCGCAGAATACGCCTGGATTTCGACACGTTGATTTCCAGGGGTGATTACATGGGGGTTGATCTGACAGGGTATATTGCTAGCAATGGGTCTGGTTTTTTTTTTAATGGGTGAAAATGGCATGGTAGCCCTGCCTGCGCTATCGGTATACGCTGGCGAAGTACCAGTGAGAGGTGATAAGTGAGGATGAAAAGACAGGTCAGTTAGCCCATCATGACGAATTCAACGATAAATTAGTTACGGTAGTTTCCAGGGGGAACCGCGTGGAGGTCGACCCGATAGGGTATATTGATAGCAATAAGGACTAAACTCCGCATTAGGGCGGAAGGGATTGTTAGTAATGGGACTATCAGTTCCATTTCTAACAATTTACCCTGTCAGATCGACCTCCCCGTGGTCCCCTCTGAGAACCATCGTGCTGAATGCTAGGTGTATCCATCACGATGGGCTAACTGACCTGTCTTTTCATCCTCACCTATCATCCATCACTGGTGCTCCGCCAGCGTATACAGTTAACGCACGCGGGGTTACCATTCCATTATCATCCACTAATAAAAACCTCCCCATTACTAACAATCCCTTCCCCCTGCAATGGGAATTATAGTCAGCACTACAATCCCCCTCCCCCCTTTAATACGCCTGTGGGCGCTAACCTTTTCAAACGCTACTTGCAGTAACGTGAGGGCGCGGATGCGGTCTACCACGCATTTGTGGTACAAGGACAAGCTTGCGGCAGACACCCTTGGTATGAGGCGTAGCTTCCTCAGCAGGTCCTGAATGGTCGTCGAGAAGAAGCGCTCGCAGAACGCTGGTGTTGCGTATCTAGAGAAGTGATCCCATTATTTGTACTAATAGTTTTAAGAATAGACTTAAAGAGCAAGTTCTATCCTTTTGAGCATATATTATGTGTTTCTATGTACATACATATATATGTGTGTGAGTATATGAGCATATAAGTGCGTGTGTGCGTGCGTGTGTGCGTGCGTGCGTGCGTGCGTGCGTGCGTGCGTGCGTGCGTGCGTGCGTACGTGTGTGTGTGTCACTTAATTTTTTTTTTAATCCTTTTATTCTATTTCTCATGACAAAAATTGTAAAATAAAAAAATATTAGCGTATAGTTTTGTAAATGTAAAGCTACTTTGTAGTTAAATAGTAATAATACAGAGAGATAACGTTACTCATCCTACCACATAGATATTTAATATTTATTTATTCTGATTCGATACATATAGCACGATTCAAGTGTATAGATAGATCTTACACAACATGATGGCTTAACAACTAGAACATAATAAATCTTAAGATCACACCAGAAATAAAAAAAAAAATTACACTAGTTATTCTGTGAAACAAATAACTGACAATACCCACCTAGCAATGTTAGTTTTTTACATCAAAATAGACTACAAAATGAAATGAAATGTATCTACTTCGTAACACCAACGCCAAGTAATGTGAGGGTAGTTTGGGCAACGAAAATGGTTCATAACCATTTTCGTTGCCCAAACTACCCTCTAATATATTTTATGTTTATCGTACCTACTCATAAAGATTCTGTTTTATATAATGCAAAGGATTAATTTAGAGTAATCAAAGCACCTGACAAGAAATTATTACATCATGGAAAATAGGCAATGAGGTTAATCATTAATTCATAAGTATTTCTTGGATGTAAAAAAGTTATTCATAATAATAAAAATATATATATATATATATATATATATATATATATATATATATATATATATATTCCCACAATACCCGTTCACCTCCCACAAGGCGTATGTGTATGTATATCAATAATTACTAGTACCGCATTCGAGTATTCTGACACTTCCCTATGGTTGACTGGGAGAGAATGCTTTTAGCATTAAGTCCGCCATGTATACATATTTGTACTAATGAATAAATAAAAATATCATAATTAGTGTACCTCAAGGCACATTATTATTACATATCGGTATATAAAATGTTGAGTGTTACGACTAGAGGGGGGAGAAGGGATTGTTAGTAATGGAGACGAAGAATCCCATTACTAGCAATATACCCAACCAGGTCGACCTCCTCGCGGTTCCCCCTGGAAACTATCATGGTTAATTCCCAATGAATTCATCATGATGGGCTAACTGGCCTGTTTTCATTCTCATCTATCAGCCTTCACTGGTGCTCCGCCAGCGTATCCTGTTAGCGCAGGCGGGGTTGCCATACCATTAAAAAAAAAGAGTGTTACAACTCACCTAAGCAGTGGCACCATGATCCGTTGACACACGCCGAGCGTGAGACCGCCCCAGCAGCGCCTGTAGGCCGCTTCATACATCTCCATACGCTCCGAACGAGCGAGCGACGCCGCGCAGCAGGCCATCGCCTCATCCCACCATCCTCGCGTGTCATCACCTGCATTTTTTTTTTTTGCATTTTGAGAGAGAGTTATTTTTTTTTTATGCAACTTAGAATGGCAAACAAGCTGACGGCCCACTTGATGGAAAGTGGTAACAGTCGCTTATAGACACGAGCAGTACCGTGGATATAACAGAGTATACTGTTTCGCCCGTGGTACGCCCCTGCTTTGCCATTCCTGACGACTAAGGTGTTATTCCTCTGTACCCTGTAAATTCACAGCCATATCCCATCCTTCAAACCGGAACATGCAAACACAACTGCTTCACGGTAGAAACACGAATGGGACAGAGGTGGCCAAGCAATTGACTTTTGTACAAAGTCTCCCTCTGGTAAATATATAGTCATAAGCTACTTTCAAGAATCTAATTAAAGCCCACTGCCTATCATTATATTTTCTCTCTTTGTCTCTCTCTCTTTCACTCTCTCTCTTGTTTTGTTTTTGTGTGTGAAACAATTGTATATATGATTAATGTAATTATTATTTCAGCCGTTTCACCCAAAAAAAAGTTACCACGCTTGTCAGGCGGATTGGCAACCGCAGTTAGGATTTTAGAGATGCTTTAAGAGAGACGCTGCTGCCTTCTCTTCGCCCTTCCTTAGTCGCCTTTTACGACACCTACGAGAAAGGAAGGGGTGGAGTACACGGCGATTAATTTCTACATAGAAACTAGGCATGCCGTGGCCTGGAAACGAGGGCATAACATCAACGAGGGTGAGCACGAAGGTTCCAGAAACGTCTGGCCTCTGTTTACTCTCCAGAACTCCTCATAGAACCGCCAGACCAGATATTTACACGGGAACTGGACGTGCTATGCTCTGGCGAATAAGACATCTGGCGAAGAATCATCAGCGAGAATAAGAACGACATCCAGCAGTTTCTGACCCTTGTTTACTATCAAGACCCCTTCAAAGGACAGCCAGAACAGATATCTACACAGAAACTGGGCGTCTTATGCTCTGAAGACGAGGACATACCATAAGAAAAGGTGAGCACAATGTCCAGCATCTTTTGGTTCCTGTCTACTATCCAGAACTCCTCACAGGATAGCCGGAGCAAATATCTATACGGGAACCGAACAGGTTGTGTTCTGGAGATGAGGACTTACTATCAGCGAGGGTGAGCACGATGTCCAGCAGCTTCAGGTCCCCGTTGGCCGCCAGAGCGTCCAGGGCGGCTCGCAGGGCCGCCCGGGCTCCGCCGCGCACCTCCGCCAGCGTCGCCGGCAGGCAGCTGGACGCGAACTGGGCGTAACACGCGCTACACACCAGATGTAGAATGATAATACCTTAGATTATATAGATATTGTATCCTTAGAAATACTTGGAGAAAAATTGGTCAACTTTTCATACAATTTTGAAAGAGACAAAAAAACACATCTCTCACACAACCACATATCTCTCACACAACCCCACGTATCTCTCACACAACCACACGTATCTCTCACACAACCACACGTATCTCTCGCATAAACACACATCTCTCAGACAACTACACATATATCTCACACAACCACACGTATCTCTCACACAATCACACGTATCTCTCACACAACCACACGTATCTCTCGCATAAACACACATCTCTCAGACAACTACACATATATCTCGCACAACCACACGTATCTCTCGCATAAACACACATCTCTCAGACAACTACACATATATCTCGCACAACCACACGTATCTCTCACACAACCACACGTATCTCTCACACAACCACACATATCTCTATCACACACACAAATCCCATATTTTCACACAATGAGTTCGATTCTGGGGCGCCCATTCTCAAAACTATTTCTAAAATAAAGATTTCAATTTGATATCACAGGGAAACCTTTATCGTAATTACCAATATTAATAACATTTCTAAGAAAATTATTATAAATTTTGTTTATGACATTCCATAAAATATACCATATATAGATACCTAAAACCTTCGCCAGACGGCAGCACCGTTACAAGACTTGTTTTACACTCGCGACTTGTGTCGGAGGCGAGCTGATCGGCCACCCACCGTAGCGGGTTCGAGTCCGGACCTAGCTTTTTAGGCAAACAAGACATGTTGTACAGCAGACGTCGTTTCTGATGGAAATTTGTTCTCGCTTCATATACCGGCCATAGCTGTAATATTAACAAATACACATAAATCAAATTTATAGTAAGCATATCACTTTTTTCTATACCACTGAAATGGTAAACAAGCATACGGCCCACCTGATGGTAAGTGGTTACCGTAGCCTATGAACGCCTGCAATACCAGGGGCATTACGCGTGCGTTGCCGACCCTGATAAAACCTCTTTAGCCCTTTTTTGAAGAACCCCATGCTGTAGCCTCTTAGAAAAACCTCGACAGGGAGCTCATTGCATAACCTGAGTTTTCGTGGGAGGAAATATCTTTGAAACCGCGCTGTACGCGACTATCTAGGCTCTAAGGTGAACTCCTTGTCGATGGCGGGCTGTATAATGGTAACTAAAACATATAGGGGGGGGGGGGGAGTGATTATTAGCAATGCGGACTACCAGTCTCATTTCTTGCATTATACACTGTCAGGCGACCTCCACGTAGTCTCGTCTGGAAACAAACATGCTGAATCCCAACTGTATTCATTACGATGGGCTAACTGACCTGCCTTGTCATTCTCACCTATCATCCCTCACTGGTGCCCCGTTAGTGTAGCCATTCCATTATTAGCCATTAAAAAAAAAACGAAAATATATAAATATTACTATATATTACTAAAATTATAAATATAAAAGTGAGTATGTTTGATTGTTACCTCATGTTGGAAACTCCAACAAAAATTAATACTGGCATAAAAACTTTTTATTATATTTTTTAATTTCAAATAAAGAATAAATAAAATTGTCATAAAAATGGAGAATAAAAAAATTGTATTCCTAATTAACTTTGGCCTTTTATATATTAAATCCATGTATCTATATTGAGTACAATACAAAATTTGGTCCATTTCGAGCATCGTAAGGCAAGAAACAGCGAATTACAAAAAATCTCAGTTCAATATACGTGGATACGAGAAGCGCCATTGTTTCAAGAATACAACATATATGAAATCTATTCTCCTCCGTGCGTTCGACAGGCGATTGCAATTTTGTTGAAGTCTACAAGTAAATATTATATATTTCTCCGAGTGGTAACTACAATTTCTTTAGTTGTCAATTAAGAGATTTATATAGACGACGACAAACGATTATCTCAGTTGGCCTGCAAGAAAAATATACATCGAACAACGGCAAATTCATTCATGACACGAGGTGGGAACTACGATTTTTATATTCAATAAATACATTTGAACATTTTCCATAACATCTACATATTTTAATTTTGTGGCAATCGTCGTGCAATGGCCACTGATAGTGAAACTTCACTACGCGCCTCGCGAGGCTATGTTAAAGGGGCGATTACTCGTCTTCACAGTTTTGTTAGCAACGAGTCTGAATTAGAAGAAAGTACCTTACAGGCCCTTACAACGCGTAAAGAAAGACTGCTCACAGCCTTCCGTGAATATGAAGGATTTAATATGCGGATTCTTTCAATGCGACCAGATGATGATGAGGACGTAGCAGCTGTTGAAGATAAATATCTATATACTCTTACCGTTCTTAATGAAGTGATTAGCCGTAAGACTTATAGTGTAGAGGACTCTAAAGGTCATGTTAGTACTATTGCACGATCAAAAACTAAGTTGCCCGCGATTCAAATGTCCATATTTTCTGGTAATTATGTTGAATATGTAGCGTTTCAATCATTGTTTACTTCATTGATTCATAATGACTTAACACTAGATAATGTTCAGAAGTTGTATTATCTTAGGTCTTATTTAAAAAACGAACCGTATGATCTTATTAAGAACTTACCATTAACAGCCAGTAGCTATGATCAAGCTAGACAATTATTGGAGGAGAGGTATAACAATAGGTATCGTATTGTAAATGAACATATTGGTCAATTACTAGACTTACCTGCGCTTGTCAAATCAACCCCTGAAAACATTCGAGATTTTGTAGCGAGTCTTAAGCAGACTTTGGCTGCTCTGCAAAACTTAGATGTGAAGGTTGAAACTTGGGATCCAATAATTGTTTGTATTCTTAATCGTAAGTTAGATACATACACGGCTCGGTCGTATCAAATGGAGAAAGATACTGCCGAGGAACACAGCGTCAAGCACTTCATCGAGTATCTTGAGAAGAGGGCACTTGCATTGGAGAACGCTGCGCCGTCAACTGCGATGCCATCTACCAAGGCCAAGGGTTTATCAGTCAACGTAGCGGCTGCTGGTGAGAAAGTGGTGACGTGTCATTACTGTAAGTCTAACAATCATAAATTATTTTCCTGTAATACATTCAAATTAATAACTTCTGTGGAACGCTATAAATTCTGTAAAGACAATAAGTTATGTCTGATTTGTTTGAATAAGCACAATGGAAAATGCAAATTTCATTTCAAATGCGATCAGTGCAAAAAGGCACACAATTCACTAGTTCATCATGACGAATGTGACGAAGGTCCTGTTTCCTTATTATCCAAGGGCCACGATTCTAATGTTTTGCTTCCCACAGTAAAAGTGAAATTATTCACAAAGGATAAAAAGACGATAATAGTGAAGGCGATTTTAGATACGGGTTCACAAGCCTCCCTCGCTACGAGCAAGTTAATCCAGCAATTGGGTTTAACTCCAACACCCCACAATACAAATATAATAGGTGTAGGCAATGCTCAGAATAATACAAGATTTTGTATTCCATTAAACATACACTCTGTGAATTCTTCTTTTAATATGACTGCCAATTTTTATGTAGTCGAAAAAATTACCTGCAAGCATCCACAAACAAAACTTGATATTCGGCAATTGAAATTACCTCCCAATATAGTGTTGGCAGATGATCAATTTGATGTTCCATCTGAAATAAATCTCTTAATGGGTGCTGACATATTTTTCCATGTGATAATGCCCAATGAGCCTGAGCGACCGTGGTCTCGAAATCTGCACCGGCCGCTACCTAGTCAAGATGACATTACGCCCTGCATTATCAATACACGTTTTGGATATATTATTGGTGGTTTAATGCTTGAATATCAGCAAGCTTCAAAACAGGTAACATCACTATTATGTATTAAATGCGATCCTGAAATCAATGATAATATCAAATTATTTTGGGAAGCTGAGAGTATACCACAAACCTTTTCTGAGAATCAAAGTGAACAAGAGTTAGCTGAAACTATCTTTCAGAATTCTGTAGAATTGATTGATAATAGATACCAGGTGAATTTACCTCTTAAAGTCGAGGATAATGAAATTCATAATTACTTGGGCAATTCTTTTGTTTTAGCTTGGTATCGATTTTTAAGTTTGGAAAGGCGTTTACAAAATAATATTAATCTATTGTCAGAATATAATAAATTTATTCATGAATATGTAGAGCTAGGTCATGGCGATTTTATTAATTTTGATTTCTATGATTTTGACAAAGATGCTGTATATTTTTTACCGCATCATGCGGTCATTAATGAATCGAGTAAAACTACTCGCACAAGAGTCGTTTTGGATGCCTCAATGAAGACGGATAAAAAGGTTTCATTAAACGATTTATTACTGAATGGGCCTTCAGTCCAGAAAGAGCTTTTTGATGTAATTTTATTGTTCCGAATTGGTAAATATACGTTTTTCACGGATATAAGGCGTATGTTTAGGAATATTCTGGTGAATCCCAAACACAGGGCTCTTCAAAATATTCTTTGGCGAAATAATCCTGATGAGGCAATAAAATGTATACGTTTAAATACTGTTACGTACGGTATGAAAAGTTCAAGTTATTTATTAACTCGTTGTTTACTCGAACTTACTAAACTATTTGGTCAAGAATTTCCTATAGCTTAATTTATATTGCGAAACTGTACTTATGTCGATGATATCCTCTATTCGTCATCAGATCTTAGTGAAATAAAAGAAGCTAAGCAACAATTACAGTCTTTGCTACAAAAAGGAAGTTTCGAAACACATAAATGGTCAGCTAATGATCCAGAAATTTTGTCTGATATTCCAATTAGTAAACAACATTTTGACGAGCTAGAGTTGCAAAAGGATAATTATAGCATGAAAGTATTAGGTTTAAATCTAGATGTAAAGAATGATTGGTTTAATATCACATGCCCAGAAACTATTGATATAAAATCGGTAACAAAAAGTCAATTTTAAGCTGTATTGCTAAGTTTTATGATCCACTTGGCTTTGTGTGTCCAATTATAGTAAAGGCTAAGATTATTATGCAGAAACTGTGGGCTGAAGGTATTGGTTGGGATGCTTCTGCTTCCGATCATGTTAAAGAAGAATGGTTGTTTTTTATTGACGGTCTCAAGGCAATGGAACCTATTCATATTAATAGAAATATACCAATTCCATCAAGTTCTAAGGCTGTGCAATTGATCGGCTTTGCTGATGCCTCAAGTAAAATAGGCTACGGATGCTGTGTATATCTTAGAACGGTAGACTCTGATTGTAATGTGCGCATGTTTCTTTTATGTGCGAAGTCCAGAATTAATTCGTTTTCGAAACCAATAACGATACCACGGTTAGAGTTGAATGCGGCCTTATTGCTATCAAGTCTAGTACGGAGGACATATGAAACGTTACAGCTCAAACTTTCAATTGATAGTGTTTATCTCTTTACCGATTCTAAGATTGTTTTAGGTTGGTTGAATACTGATATTTTTAATTTACAAGCATATGTGGCTAACCGAGTAAAAGTGATTACAGAAAAAACTGTACAATTTCAATGGAATTATGTTAACACAAAGGAAAATCCAGCCGATTTAATAAGTAGAGGTATAGATCCAAAAGAATTACCATCTTGCTCTCTATGGTGGGACGGACCAGACTTTCTAAAAGACAATAGGTACAATTTTACAAACAAGGCTTCCTTACCTATTGACTTACCTGAATTGAAGAATTCTGGTGCGGCTGTAAATTCCTCTAAGGTAGTATCCCTCTCAACACAAATAAAGAGTGATATCTATCAGCTTATAGATAAGTACTCGGATATAAATAAAATGATCAGGGTGTTAGCCTACATATTAAGATTTTGTCATAATCTTAAAAATAAAAATGATCAGATTAAATGTAATTATTTAACTACAAAAGAATTGCAACAGTCATCGCAAAACATTATTAAACACGAACAAAGTATCCATTTTAGCAAGGAAATAAAATCGTTGACTGAAAGCAAAGATGTAGAGGGTATTTTAAAACCTCTTCATATTTTCCTGGATAAGCACGGTCTAATAAGGGTAGGTGGAAGGCTTCATAATGCTGAAATATCTTATAATCAAAAACATCCTATTGTTTTACCGAAGCAATCGAGAATAACCGAACTTATAATTCAGAATGAACATATTAGATTATTTCATGCAGGTCCGAAGTTGCTCCTTTCGAGTCTTAATCAAAGGTACTGGCTGATTAATGGCATGCGACAAGTTAAGAAAATAACTTATAGATGTCTTGTTTGCTTTAAATTGAAGGCAGAGGCGGCAAAGCAACTGATGGGTTCGCTACCATATCAACGTGTTACTGCCTGTAGGCCTTTCCAGACCGTTGGCGTAGATTTTGCCGGTCCACTTCGAGTTAAGAATTCTAGAGTCAGACGTGCAATCGAAACTAAAGGTTATATATGTGTATTTGTTTGTTTCGTAACGAAGGCGGTTCATCTTGAACTAGCTTCAGATTTGAGCACCGAAACCTTTCTCGCCTGTTTTAAAAGGTTCATTTCGAGACGTGGCCTTCCCAGTGAAATTTTCGCTGATAATGGAGGTGCTTTCAAGGGTGCGGCGAACCAATTTGTTGAACTTTACCGGCTCCAAGTTTCCAAGGGTCATCAAACGCGAATACAAGCGTATGCAGCGCAGCAAGGGGTGAAATTTCACTTCATACCCAGTTATTCACCTACTTTTGCTGGCCTGGCAGAAGCTGCTGTCAAGAGTACCAAATTTCATTTAAAAAGGATTTTACAAAAGCTTTTGTTAACATATGAGCAATTGTACACAATTTTAGTTCAGATAGAGGGTGTCTTAAATTCAAGGCCTATTTTACCTATGAGTTCTGATATAACGGATTTTAGTTATCTAACTCCCGGTCATTTCTTGACTGGTAATGCTATTGTAGCTTATCCTGAAAATGATGTATCAGATTTACCTATTAATAGACTAAGTTTTTGGAAACAATGTGAACATTTAAAACAATGTTTTTGGAAAATATGGCATAAGTACTATTTAAATGCTTTGCAGTTTAGATCCAAATGGCAAAAGAGTTACCCTAATGTAACAGTAGGAATGTTGGTGATACTCAAGGACCCAAACAATCCTCCTTTGCACTGGCCTATGGCTAGAATAAGTAAGGTTTTTCCAGGTAGAGATGGGAAGGTTAGAGCTTTCGAAGTTGTAACACCTAATGGTAAAACTTATAAACGTTCCTTATCTGGTATATGTATTCTTCCTATAAATGATGCCTAGATTTAATTATTATTTGCTCATTTTAAACTGCTTTCTTTTTCTTCTTTTTTTAATGTATAACGATAAAGAGAAGTAGGAATATGTTATTTGTAATTGTTTAGTTATTTATACAATTTGTTATTGTTATACTTATTGTAATGTAATTGGGCATCACCCACAATATTGGATTTACTAATATAACCATCAACTGTAATATTTTTATGGTTCTGTTATGTTTATGCAAGTTGTATTAGTATGAAATAAAGACATTTTCTGTTATATGTTATATATTGTGCAGCACATGTTACTGTTCTGGTAATTTATCCACTAATAAACCGCTGGTGTGGCGAGCATGTTGGAAACTCCAACAAAAATTAATACTGGCATAAAAAGTGCCTTTTGTTTATGCAACTTAGTTAGAATGGCAAACAAGCTGACGGCCCACCTGATGGAAAGTGGTAACCGTCGCCTATAGACATGAGCAGTACCATGGACATAACAGAATATACTATTTCGCCCATGATATCCACCATGCGTTGCCATTCCTGAGGGCTCAGGTGTTATTTCTCTGTACCCTGTAAATTCACTGCCATATCGCACCCTTCAAACCAAAACGCAGCCATGCAAACACAACTGCTTCACGGTAGAAACACGAATGGGCCAGAGGTGGCCAAGCAGACAACTTTTGTACAAAATCTCTCTCTGGTATTGGCCTTAACGTTTTAACCAGTTACTATGAAATTTGGTATACATCTACTATATGGGACGGACAAGGATAGTGGTATTTTTTATCCCGATCACACGAACGAAGTCGCAGGTAAAAACTAGTGAAAAATAAAAACTCTTACCTTATCAACCAATATCACAACTTCACTGGCATCGAGCGATCTCTTTCTAACATAAAACCTGACGATATCGTCCAATATGGAACAGCATTCCTCTAAGCCGGGCTCCAAAAGGATTCTATTTAAAAACGGAACCAACACATGTATGAAACGCGTACAAAATTTAATGCCCACTCTTTCGTTGCGTACGCCTTTCAAGTTCACACCTTCTAAAATTGTACTCTTAACATCGGCATCTGTCAAATACCTGACAGCTACTGTCAGGCAATCTGTCAAAAATGACATATGTCTCGTCTCGACTCTGTGATAGTTACTCAATATTGACGTATGCCAATTTTCGACTTCTTTTAATATCGGCTTCGATTCGAAAACACTTAGTAATATGGATAAAGCTTTTACTGTTGTCACGGAACTCTTTTCCGGGTACTGTTTGATGACACATAAAGTTATTTTCTCTAATGGCAACCTTTGGCACCAATCTTCGAAGCTAGATTGGACACTACTAGGTATAAATTTTAGAATATTTCTATACTTCGCGATACAATTTTCAAGTATTTTATGTGAATGAATAACATTTTCCGATTTTAGATTCTTTATTATTTTCGCTAAGAAATCCACAGTTTTCTGTAAAAGGAATTTTATATTATTATTATTATAGTATTAGCCGTGTGGTCCCGGCATAGAATGGACGACCCCTTCCATTCCCATGGGTGTCGTAAGAAGCGACGAAGACAACTTAATGATCGAGGGACAGGCGTTGTCTTTTAAGACATGTGAAGTGAATAAAAACTCGAAAGTAGTTAGAAGTAGCTTTATATTATTAAAGAAAAAAGAAATTATACAGAGAGAGTTCATGTATGCAACTACAATTTTTTTTTTTTTATATATAATTATAACATCGGGTAGAAGAAAAAAAAAATAAAAAAGATGACATGTAAATTTATTATGTCAGGTAAAAAGAACGCCTTCTTTTTAAAAATATCACAGCGTTCCTTTTAAAATACCACCAAAGCCTAACAGCTGTTGCCAACCCGCCTCCCAATCATGACAACAACTTGCAAAACCACCCAAAAGGGAATAGCCTATGTTCAACGGTGGACAATTAACTGCTTATATAGTAAACAGTGGGTTAGTTTTTAGACTAATACTAGAATAACTGGTTTTTTTCACAACTGAAATCAGTTTTTTTTTGGGACACAATCTTTAATTATTAGTTACTTTTGTCAGCATTTTTGTGTATCCCTTATAATAATAATAATTTAATTGCCAGAAACATAGATAATATGATGTTACAGTTTGTTTTTTAAACATACTGAACATTTTCAGTATGTTTCTTGATACAAATAAAGAGTTTATCTATCTATCAAAATTTTTAGGATTCGGTCAAGAGTCGAACCTACGCCCTTTGCAGTCTCCCTCTATATTAAGAGAATATCATATACCATACCTTGTAATGTAATTCCAATAGATTTGCAGCATATTCAATGAAAAACATCAGTACTGCGTCCAGCTTGAACAAATCTGGTCCAGCGCTGCTTGCATCCACATCGAAATCTTCAATAGCATACACTCTCTCCAATAAATCACTTCTCGTCAACATATTACTGTAATAACTCGAATGCAATCCGATTCGATTCCTCATTGTTGCCAACACATAAATACACTGGTACAATTCGAAATTCTTACAATCATAAACATCGAAAAACGAATCGTATATTATTGCACACTCCTGCTTTTCCGATTCGATCGCTTCTTTTATGAAACTTAATGATTTTGCTGTCAAATTGTTATAAATCTTAATATCGCTTTCCGTATTCAATTTTCGATGTACCATTAGATTGTTAATAATATTCTTCATCAATTCTCTAAGCGCTGTCACATCGAACAGTGCTATTTTCTCGACGTACGTTCTCGACGCGAGTTCGAACGTCGATACTGTTTCGAGTTCGTTTGTGGACGATATTAATTCGAGAATCCGCGGTAGTAGTGTGCGTGTGAGCGAATCATTCCGTTTTAAAGCGGATAATAGAATGTCCGTTATGTCCAAACCGGCGCGTCTCGTTATTGCTGGAATAAGAAAGTGAAGACATGTAGGGATGAAGGTGGGTGTCGTAAGAGGCTAAGGTAACTCAATGGTCGAGGAATGGGCAGCAGCGTCCCTTTTAAAACATCATTAAAGCCTTACTGCGATTGCTAAACCACCTGCCAAGAGTGGCAACTACTGGCAAAACTCACATTTTAAATCACAGTATTGTACATTTTTAGAATTGTCATGAAATGTAGTTTTTATAATAATGTGCCAAACTTGTGTAGTAAATTCTTTTTATTTTTTTACAAAAAGGTTTTTAGTTTTTAAAGTAACGGTAGGAAGATTCTAAAAAAAATAACATATGGCGTAAATTTACTGGGTACAGAGGAATAACACCTGAGTCCTCAGGAATGGCAACGTATGGGGAGTATCATGGGCGAAACAGTATACTCTGTTATGACCATTGCAATGCTCGTGTCTATAGGCGACGGTTACCACTTTCCATCAGGTGGGCCGTCAGTTTGTTTGCTATTCTAAGTTGCACAAAAAAAAATAGATAAATAGCTATTCCATTTTCACCCATTAAAAGAATACTCACAGTGAGTACTGGCCAGCATGAGCTGTGCCCTCTCGGCGGCAGTATGCAGCCCCTCATCCGACCCTGACTGCAGCACCACGCCCACCAGCTCGGTCAGCATCCGCCTGGCTCCTGGAGACGTTTCTTCGCTTATGTACTGGAATAAACATATTTTTTATTATATTATTTCAACTGTTAACTGCCCACTGCTGGACTTAAGCTTTTCCAATAAGGGAAGTTCTGTCAGTAGTTGCCACGCTTGGCAGGCGGGTTGGCAACCGCAGTTAGGCTTTTGGAGATGTTTTAAGAGGGACACTGCTGCCCATCCCTCGCCGTCCCTTAGTCGCCTCTTACGACACCCACGGGAAAGGAAGGGATGGCTAATTCTGCACCTGTGGCGGCATTGATGCAGTGCTGTATTAGAGATACTGTCACTACTTGGGGCTTTTCGAGGCTTCGTATTTCTGATCTCACGCTGCACTTGTCCCGGCGTAAAGACTACCAGGTAATTTTTTTAAAGGACGAATAGATGATAATGAAATGGTAACCCTACCTGCGCTAACGGTATACGCTGGTGAAGCACCAGTGAGAGATGATAGGTGAGGATGAAAAGGCAGGTTAATTAGCCCATCGTGATAATAACACTTAGAATTCAGTACGATGGTTTCCAGGGGGGACCGCGGGGAGGTTGACCTGACAGGATATATACTAACAATGGAAGTGGCAGTTTGCATTACTAATAATCCCTTCCCCCTTAGATTATCGAGTATTTTTTTTATGGACGATAATGGAATGATAACCCCGCCTTCGCTATCGGTATACACTGGCGGGGCACCAGCGAGGGGTGATAGATGAGGATGCAAAGGCAGGTCAGTCAGCCCATCGTGAATAATTCAACGATAAATTAGTCACGATAGTTTCCATGGGGAACCGCGTGGAGGTCGACATGATAGGGTGCATTGATAGCAATAAGGCTTAACCTGCCCATTACTAACAATCCCTCCCCCCAGACTACCGGGTCTTTGTACGGTGGCAGAGGTAGTGCCAGGTAGTTTTTGACGAATTTGTCGATCCTTGCAACATGTGCAGTATCTAATATCTGGTTAGGTTGGAACTGGCGTTCGAGATGGTCCACGTGGATTTCCGCACGGCCTGCTGTGAGGTTTTTGGCATTGGCATCCCTTCGCTCGCTAGTACAGGTCGGAGGTGGCTAAAATAAATGGTCATCAGTACCTGCAGTAAAGCGGGTAGCGCCCGTGGGGAGGCCCGCAGCGCGGCGTGGTGCAGGGCGACCCCCCGCACGCGGCCGCCTGCCGCCAGCCTACTGCACACCGCGCGGCACACTAGCGCCACGCCCGCACATATGGCTTCTCCAGTTTTAGAGCTCGACGTTATGTTTGCTAAAAAAAAAAAACAAACCCTCGATTAGTCACCCATAACTCGATGTTGGGAAAGGGATTGTTAATAATGGAGACTGAGAATCCCATTGCTAGCAATATACCCAACCAGGTCGATCTCCTCGCAGTTCCCCCTGGAAACTATCATGGTTTATTCCTGATGAATTTATCATCATGGGCTAACTGGCCTGTTTTCATTCTCATCTATCACGGTTCACTGTTGCTTCGCCGCCGTATCCCGTTAGCGCAGGCGGGGTTACCATACCATTTTCACCCATAAAAAATATATATATATATATTTACCTTAAATTATATAGATAGTGTCTCCATACAAATACTTCGAGAGAAGCAATAGTCAACTTTTTCATACAATTTTGTATGATAAATACTAAATAATACTATCAAGTATTGCTTTATATTTCCTCTATTCAATAATGCACCGCCTACTTATTTCTCTGTTCGCTCAATGGCCGACTGGTAGACAACACCGTCCGGTGTTCAGTCCGCCATATGTGCATAGAATTTGACTGTGCATTAAAGTTAATATATATATATATATATAAACTACACAATATATTAAATAACTATATAATACTAATAACAATTACGACATGAATACATACACAGCAATACTTAAATAATGAATAATAATAATAATAAGGAAATACGTAGCTATCGTGATACAATATCAATGGCTGGATAACATTGTAACGGATCCTTAGACTATTTCTAAAGTGAAAGAAGTGTCGTCCTCCTCTCTCGTACTCGCTGCGCCCAACACGGTCCATAATTGAAATGTTATCTACTAATTACATTATGGAATGAGTCATTGAAATCGCTGGTGGAAGATCCAAAAAAAAAACCAATTTTATAAATATAACTAAATTTAATTCTAAAATTTATTATTACAATAATAAGTGTCTTCAGATCGATGTGTGATCCGTAAGTGAAGTCATATCGAATCAAACATAAAGGAAATGGGTATTTTTGCTGCGTGAATGGAAATGCTGACTCGACGCATGTCTTTCTCGGTAGCGCACCTTCTTGCGTCGTGCTAGGTGGTCCGATCCGATCGCCGTTGAGGGTGTGTCGCAATACTTGATAGGTATCTACTATGACAAATGCAATAAGAAATAAATAAATAACACTCACGGTGAGCACACAGGACAGTCAATAGTTGATACAAGACATCCGTCTCTCCCTCCTCGACGGCTAACTCCAGCACTGATCGTAGATTTATCTGGAACAATTTTCATTACAATTGTACGGAGGTCAAGTTTAAAACAACTTTATTCGAATACACTTGTTTACAAGAACCAGAGGGAGACTTTGTACAAAAGTCGATTACTTGGGTACCTCTGTCCCATTCATGTTTCTACTGTGAAGCATTTGCTTTGAAGTGTTTGTATGGTTGTGTTTCGGTTTGAAGAGTGGGATATCGCGTGAATTTACAGGGTACAGAGGAATAACAATGGCAAACGAGCTGACGGCCCACCTGATGGAAAGTGGTAAGCGTCGCCTATAGAGATGAGCAGTACCATGGACATAACAGAGTATACTGTTTCGCCCATGATACCCCCCATGCGTTGCCATTCCTGAGGACTCAGGTGTTATTTCTCTGTACCCTATAAATTCACTGCCATATCCCATCCTTCAAACCGAAACACAGTCATGCAAACACAACTGCTCCACGGTTGAAACACGAATGGGACAGAAGTACCCAAGCATTCGACTTTTGTACAAAGTCTCCCTCCGGTAAAGGCATACAGTTACCTTCACATCTTTTCCCTGGTCAGCGTGAGGTATCCTCAGCGACAGGGCATCCTTCAGCTTCGCTATAACCGAGCTACTTGTCCTCCTATTATTGTTCACATCTGTTTTGCGGCCATATTTGCCTGTATTTAAAAGTATATTTAAAAAAATAGATATATTACTTACAGCATACAAATAACAATAGACATAGAGAGACGAACCCATGGATGGTTTAATTTTTCACTGCTTTAAGAGATTGCAGACTTTTTTTTTTTAACGTCTGGAAAATGCTTTATGCAGACCCATACACCTTGTGGGAGGTGAATGGGTACTGTGGGAATCCCCCCGTAAGGCGGGCGTGTACCCACCAAAAACTAGACGATATACCCTTGAGGTGCCATATGTCGGAGACATGGGTTCGCTTTGCAGACCTGAGTATATGATATTAATTTCAACTTGATACCTCCACGCGTTCCTAGTAACGGAGATTGAGAATCCCATTGCTAGCAATATACCCAACCAGGTCGACCTCCTCGCGGTTCCCCCTGGAAACTATCATGGTTAATTCCTGATGAATTCATCATGATGGGTTAACTGGCCTGTTTTGATTCTCATCTATCACCCTTCACTGGTGCTCCGTCAGCGTATCACGTTAGCGCAGGCGAGGTTACCATACCATTTTCACCCACCAAAAAAACAACGTGCAACAAGTGATCCTATAAGGGTTCCATTTTTTCTTATGGTGTTACGGAACCCTAAAAATACATAAAAGACAAAACATAATTTTATTCTTTCATAGAATTCATATTTGCCCTAAGAACAAGCAATTACATAGAAGGAATGATAAAATAAAAACTGTAAATCATATGGTTGCCTCCTTTCTTCTTATGCAAATATAATTAGTAAAAAGAGGACGACAGATACACCATCAGTTGCTATTTTTCTCAATTCATATCAGGTTAGTGTATAGAAAATGTTTGATATGTCAATTATTTGTCAATGACAAATTTTACATTACTAGATTATATATTGGACACAGTTCATGTAGAGAGTATGCGAGCAGGTTGCATCTGAATTTGGTAGGGTTATACGGCCGTATAACATTTTCTATACACTAGCCTGCTATGAATTGACAATAATAAAGGATCTGAATGTAAAAATAAGTTAGTAAAGAGCAAACATACCTAAGAACATAAGGATGCGCCTGTGTAGCACGCGGCCATCTCTCTGAGCGAGGTCGATGCGCACGCGCAGTTTCTCCACTGAGCGGATCACCTGCAACAGTATTTTTCAAACTTTTACATGGCGCGACCCCCTTAGCGTGTTAAAATATTTTACGACCCCCTACCCTCCGCTGTTCTTAGCCTGTATATATTCTATTACAAAATATGTAATTCACCAGTGAGGGATTTTTTTTTCTTTTTAATATTTAAAGGGCTTTTACCTTCTTCAGGTATATCAGTCCTATTGTATCCTGAATTGATTTCTCAAACAAAACTTTATCTACTTTCCCTAGACGCGGAAAGAGAAGAATTAATGGGCATCAATAATTTACAGAGACGTTCAAAAATTTCTGGTTTAAGTTCAGCTAACATAGATTGAATAAGACCAACATTGATAGGTGAGGATGAAAGCAGGTCAGTTGGCTCATAGTGAAGAATTCATCAAGAATTAACCACGATGGTTTCTAGGTGAAGGGGAATTTTGTTTGGACCGTTTTGGAAAATTCTTTTTTTATTTTAAGTATATATACTTACAGATTGGTCGCATAAAAATGTCATCAAAATCGGATCGGTAGCGTTTTTTCTTTTACTTTTTTTAATCCAACTTAGATTGGCAAACAAGCTGACGGCCCACCTGATGGAAAGTGGTAACTGTCGCCTATAGACATGAGCAGTGCCATGGACATAACAGAGTATACTGTTTCGCCCATGATACCTCCCATGCGTTGTCATTCCTGAGGACTCAGATGTTATACCTCTGTGCCCTGTAAAATCACGCCATATCCTACCCTTCAAACCGAAACACAGCCATGCAAACACAACTGGTTTACGGTAGAAACATGAATGGGACAGAGATACCCAAGCAATCGACTTTTGTACAAAGTCTTTGTACAAAATTGAAACACAATTGAAGTCGGCTGTTTTTTACAAACGAGCACGCGACTCACCTGATGGTAAGTGACTACCGCCGCCTATGATCACCCACAACACCAATGGCATTGCAGGTGTACTACCGGCCTTTTAATAAGGAATTGGGTTTTTTTGGCACAATCTTTAATTACTCCAAGCCGGTTAAAAATACTTAAATTTAAGTTTACTAGAATTAAAATATTTTTTCTCTCGCTTCGTTTAAACTTACATTATGTAGGCGATCCTCGTCGAGGCATTCGCGCCTTTCCACTATCAGATAATTCAGTTTCTCCAGGCCCTCGAGGAACGTTTTCCATTCCACGTCGTTTCTGGAGAAGATCACCTGTACATAGGAGCTCATCATCATCACGAGCATGCGGCTCACCTGATGGTAAGTGACTACTGCCGCCCATGATCACCCACAACACCAAAGGCATTGCAGGTGTGCTGCCGGCCTTTTAAAAAGGAATATGCTCTTTTCTTGAAGGTTATGTTGTCCTATCGGTTCGGAAATACTGATATATAGCTGTACCCCCCCCCCCCTTCATAAACTGCCATAAAGAAGGGGATTATGGGAAATGAATAGTTAAAATATTTTTACTTTTATTTATTTATTCATCAGTACAAATATGTATACATGGCGGACTTAATGCTAAAAGCATTCTCTCCCAGTCAACCATAGGCAAGTGTCAGAATATTCAACAAATTGTTAAAATATCTATGTATTTAAAAGAATGACACTATCAAATTTTCCTGCGCGTGCAACCTCACATGCGCCCTATTAATCACTATTTATTTTTTCTACAAATCTCAAAAGCTCTGAGGTTTGTTACACGGTTATACACCATAGGATATTTAAAAAAATATTACCATAAGAGGTCTTAACCACTTTAATGCAAGGGTTTTTCTGTGAACTGAGGTCAACTGGCGCACTGGCGCACGCACAAAATTCGAACGAGCATACAATAAATATACACTAAGCCGGCCTTATCCCAACGTGTGGCCCACGCCCCACAGGGAGGCAATCTAATAGTTTATGCAACTTAGAATGGCAAACAAGCTGACGGCCCACCTGATGGAAAGTGGTAACCGTCGCCTATACACATGAGCAGCACCGTGGACATAACAGAGTATACTGTTTCGCCCATGATACCCCGCATGCGTTGCCATTCCTGAGGACTCAGGTGTTATTCCTCTGTACCCAGTAAATTCACTGCCATATCCCACCCTTCAAACCGAAACACAGCCATACAAACACAACTGCTTCACAGTTGAAACATGAATGGGACAGAGGTACCCAAGCAATCGACTTTTGTACAAAGTCTCCCTCTGGTAGTTAAAGGGGGGCAATTAAAAAATGGACTCGAAGCGATTTTAACCGGGCTATTTAAATGTAATGCTATGAGTAGATACAGGTGCCAAGTTTAACAAAAAAAAAAATTAAATAAAAAAAAAATGCTGTAAATATTTATTAGGTATAATTTCGTTTGACGTTACCAAAATATCAACTGGGCGATTAGAGTCGTCAAGTAAAGTTTGTCGGGAAAAATTATGTGTAGGGGCATAAAAATATTAGAACTTGTTCAAGTGGGACGTGACACAAAAAAACGTTGAAAAACACTGCAATAAGCTTTATGAAATACAAACGTGCGAGAAGGTATCGCTTCAGGTAAAAATATAAACATAATATTTATAAGTGGCGAGAGGTACTCGGGATAGCACAAAGCTGAACACGTTTGATGCGCGAGAGGGTCTCGTGTGAGATGCTTAAGTAGATAATAAGTCCCTCTTAAAACCTCACCAAGCTCTAACTATGGTTGTCAATCCGCCTGCCAAGCGTGGCAACTACTGGTAAAACCCCCCAAGGGGGAGGCTTATGTTCAGCAGTGGACAGTTAAAGACTGATATTATGATTGTGGAATTCCCTTCCCATATCTCTCCGTGAGAGTCAATCCCAAAATATTTTCAAGTGTATACTTAAAGAGCATCTTCTATCTTTATGAACATATATTTATTTATTCGTTTGTGTGTGTACATATATACGAGGTCTGTCCGGAAAGTTCGTATAAAAGTGTTCTGGAATGCGAGAAAGAGGAGTGGGGAGGCCAGGTAAGCGCAGGACCCCTTCCTTATGTCCCTAACAATGCTTCAGTTCTGGTCTGACCGCCGTGCGGTGCGAACTGGCTTGTCACGCCATCTGTGAAGTTACCTCTTAACGAAACCCCGTCGGCATGGAGCCCGCTTCCGTTGAAGAGCAGCGCGTCGTAATCAAGTTTCTCTCGAAACTCGGCAAGAATGGCCGTGAAATTTTTGCCGATCTCAGAACAGTTTATGGGGATGATGCTGTGAAGGAACCAACCGTCCACAAGTGGCTAAAAAGATTCAGAGAGGGCCGAGACAATGTTGATTGTTTTTTTCGATGTTCGGGGGATTGTCCATCAAGAATTCGTCCCTCCAGGCCAGACAGTTGATGGAAAATTCTACGTCGATGTGCTCAGACGCCTCAAAGCTCGTGTGGCACGAGTTCGTCCAGAATTGGCGCGAGAGGGGCGTTGGATTCTTCACCACGACAATGCCCCTGCCCACACCTCTCTTGTTGTCCGTGAGTTTTTGAGTAAAAATTCCATTACGGTGACCGAACACCCCCTATTCGCCGGATTTGGCCCCGTGTGACTTCTTCTTGTTCCCAAAAACCAAATTGGTACTTCGGGGGCGGCATTTGGGGGACATAAATGAGATAAAAAAAGCTACGACGGGGCAGCTGAGAAACCTACAACCAGAGGACTTTCAAGGAGCCTTCTCACAGTGGAAACGGCGTTGGCACAAGTGCATTATGTCACAGGGGGAGTACTTTGAAGGGGATAAAATTGATTTACCTGAATAATTGTAAAATAAAATTTTTAAAAAACTTTTATACGTACTTTCCGGACAAACCTCGTATATATATATATATATATATATAGCGCGTAAACGTATTATACTAAATATGTATTTTACTATTTTATTCTCAAATTATTGGAGAAAATGTAGTAATAAACTAGACTAGATGTCGCCACACGAGATGTACAGCTAAGTTCTTAGATATCTAAGCAAAGTAAAAGTTTAGGTTTTTCTTAAACCAAGTATAAAATAAATATATATATGTCGGAAGATGGCCATAGCTAAGCTCTGTTTCCTCCGACTCAGACATGGTTAACAAAAACTAATCTACCGTGGGCGTGTACTAATAAGAATCAATAGTTAGAGCAATTACAAAATCACACTTTATTTTTAAACTACAATCATTTTCATTAATGTAAGAAATAAAAACTAATTAAATAATATCGAATTAAATAGAACTAAATTGAAATAATATCAACTAAGACTCTAGACAACGATCTGTTGCAGTAGCGCGGTTTTCGACAGATGAATGTCGCACCACTTCCTTCCATTATCGCTCCAACGTTTTGTCAGCGCTCCCCTTCATTTTTCTCGCTTGTGTCTCGAGTCTATATATATAGATATATATATATTACTCTTTAACTCACCAGTTAATAAATATAGATAATAAATAAATAAATAGAGTTAATAAATAAATAAATAATATGCATAGAAGCAGGTGCAGTAATAGTTCACCTGTAATGCCAACAGGACCTGTTCAGGCTCCGCCGGGGCCCTGATCACCAGCAGACACGCGGCGCACAGCGTCGCCTCGTCCTTGCATCTAGATATTTCGATGCCCTGCAATACGAATTTCATGTATTAACCATAATGAGACTTTGTACAAAACTTGTCTGCTTGGGTACCTCTGTCCCACTCGCGTTTGTGTCGTAAAGCAGTTGTTTCCATAGCTTTTGGTTTGAAGGATTTTTTTTTATGGATGATAATGGAATGATAACCCCACTCGCGCTATCGGTATACACTGGCGGGGCACCAGTGAAGGATGATAGGTGAGGATGAAAAGGTAGGCAAGTTAGCCCATCGTGACGAATCTAACAATAAACCAATGACGATGGTTTCCAGGGGTAACCACGAGGAGGTCGACCTGACAGGGTATATTGCTAGCAATGGGGCTACTAATCCCCATTATTAACAATCCCTTCTCTCCCCAACGATTTGAAGGGTGGGATATGACAGTCAATTTACTGGGTACAGAGGAATAACACCTGAGTCCTCAGGAATGGCAACGCATGGGGGGTGTCATGGGCGAAACAGTATACTCTGTTATGTCCACGGTACTGCTCATGTCTACAGGCGACGGTTATCACTTTCCATCAGGTGGACCGTCAGCTTGTTTGCCATTCTAAGTCGTAAAAAAAAAAAGGATTTAGTACGAATATTACATTGCTGTTTTTTTTTCATATCTTAGTATATCACTATAAAATATAATTTTATTAGGAAGGCCTGTGTGCAGTAGTGGATGATTAATGGCTGATGATGATGATGATACAGGATGTAGTAGGATTTCCCTGACCTTGCACACGTCACCTAGTGAGTCAGAGTCACTGAGGTGTTCAGCGATGGCCGCGAGTGTTGCGAGCGCGGTGGCGGCCTCGCACCGTCCCACCGGCGGGGCCAACGCCGCCCACACGTCCACTGCCTGCGGGGGCGACAGGGGCACCAGTTGGGACGTCAGGCTCAGGAGCGAGGACAGCCGGTCCGGCACCTCCTGTTGATATTATTTAAATTAATATATGCAAAAAAATCTGTAATTTTTTTATACCACTAAGGTGACAAGCATACGGCCCACCTAATACAACCAAGCGGTTACCGTAGCCTATAAATGCTTGCAATACCAGGAGCATTATGCGCGCGTTGCGGATCCTGAAGAAACCTCTTTACCCATACATACATACATACATACATATCTGTCACGCCTGTCTCCCATTAGGGTAGGCAGAAACAATGAACCGCCAAATGCTTCGATTCGAACAAACCTGTTTACCCCTTTTTGAAAAACCTTAACAATTAATTCTTGCTGAATCCGCCACAACAGGCAAACCACTTCATCTTCTCAATTCTATTGTATTTTATTCAATATAGATTATATTCAATACATAATTATTTAAGTCGTAAACACGCACGCACTCATTCAAATATGCACGCACGCACTCACACACGCACGCATACACTCACACACGCACGCGTACACTCACACACGCACGCATACGCTCACACACGCACGCATACACTAACGCACGCACGCATACACTCACGCACGTACGCATACACTCACGCACGCACGCATACACTCACGCACGCACGCATACACTCACGCACGTACGCATACACTCACGCACGCACGCATACATTCACGCACGCACGCACGCACCTAACTGTGTAAAAAAACTCACCTCGCCACCTTCCTCGAAGAACGTCTCCAACACGAAAGTGACATGAGCAACGAACTCCTCGAGAACTTTGCCTGACGCAGGATGGGTACCCATCATGAGGTTCCGCCATACCTCTATGTATTTCAACACGCCGTCGCCCGTGTCCGATGGCTGTATTGTTTCCGTCGTTAGGAATACTATAGAGTCCTGCAAATAAATTACTATATAGAGAATGATTGAACGAATTAGAATAAATAATGGAATGAATGAATTGATAGAATGAATAAATTGATTGAATGAATTGATGAATGAATTGAATGAATGAATTGAATGAATGAATTGAAGGAGATTGTTAGTTTATATATTTTGTTATTTTTTTATTTGTGCTTTTTTATTTTCATTCTTTTATCTCTTTTGCTGTGTATTATGTGTATGTTTTTTTTTATTGTAATTTGTGTGCTGTAAGTAATGTAAATAAATTATCTATCTATCTATCTATCTGTCATAATTAATTTTATTTGAATTAAAATTTCATTTGAATTCCAAACTCACCGCTCGAACATCGTCTGGGGCTTCCAATATACCTCGTGAAATGACATCGACCCTTTTAGAGTTAGGTAAATTCTCGTAAAACAGTATCGCTGTTTGCAACAATTTATCACTGTTGGCCAAATTCGACTCTATGCACCACGATATCTGGAATTACAAGGTACACAGGAATAACACTTGAGTTCTCGGGAATAGTAACGCATGGGGGTATCATGGGCGAAACAGTATACTCTGTTATGTCCATGGTACTGCTCATGTCTATATGCGACGGTTACCACTTTCCATCAGGTGGGCCGTCAATTTGTTTGCCATTCTAAGTTGCATAAAAAATAATAGAATAGTATACTCTGTTATTGTCCATGGTACTGCTCATGTCTGTAGACGACGGTTACCACTTTCCATCAGGTGGACCGTCAATTTGTTTGCCATTCTAAGTTGCATAAAAAAATTTGGGGAAATTACAAGCTTTTGTTTCTCTTGCAATGGACTTCATTTATATTAGAGAACAAAATCCCGGGATCCCAAATGACAAAGACATAAAGGCTGTTACATATGTTGCTATAATTATATATGAATTAATTGCATAAATTAAAACAAATAATTAACAATAATATTTGAATGACCATAGACGTATAAAAAAATAAATTACGTCATCATATGTTTTTTTTTTGCTGGATGAAAATGGTATGGTAACCCCGCCTGCGCTAACGGGATAAGCTGGCGGAGCACCAGTGAAGGGTGATAGGTGAGAATGAAAACAGGCCAGTTAGCCCATCATGATGAATTCATCAGGAATTAAGCATGATAGTTTCCAGGGGGAACCGCGAGGAGGTCGACCTGGTTGGGTATATCGCTAGCAATGGGATTCTCAGTCTCCATTACTAACAATCCCTTTCCCCCCGTCATCATATGTTAATATGTTGAAATAAGAATAAGATTCGAACTAAGAACAAGGAATTACATAGAAGGAGTGATAAAATTGTCAATTCATAGCAGGCCAGTGTATAGACAATGTTATACGGCCGTATAAACCTACCAAATTCAGATGCAACCTGCTCGCATACTTTCTACATGAACTGTGTCCAATATATAATCTAGTAATGTAAAATTTGTCATTGACAAATAATTGACATATCAAACATTTTCTATACACTAGCCTGATATGAATCGAGAAAAATAACAACTGATGGTGTATCTTTGGTCCTCTTTTTACTAATTATATTTGCATAAGAAGAAAGGAGGCAACCATGTGATTTACAATTTTTATTTTATCATTCCTTCTAAGTAATTCCTTGTTCTTAGGATTAAAATCTTGTCTTACAATTGTTTAACGATGACAATTTTATTTTTTAAAAGAACTACCAGAGGGAGACTTTGTACAAAAGTCAATTGCTTGGGTACCTCTGTCCCATTCGTGTTTCAACCGTGAAGCAGTAGTGTTTGCATGGCTGTGTTTCGGTTTGAAGGGTGGGATATGGCGTGAATTTACTAGGTACAGAGGAATAACACCTGAGTCCTCAGGAATGGGAACACATGGGGGGCATCATGGGCGAAACAGCCATTCTAAGTTGTATTAAAAAAAAATAGATAAATGCCCATTCTATACTGCCACCGCCACAAGATGGCAGATGGTCATTATATTAGCCATTTACTGTCCACAACTGAATATAGGCCTCCGTCTATTAGGGGGTTTCACCAGTGGTTGCCACACTTAATGAGCAAGTTGGTAACCGTTATTAGACTTTGGGTATGTTTTAAGAGGGACGTTGCTACCCAACCCTTTACCAGTTCCCTTAGTCGCCCACTGGAAAAGAAGGGGTGGCCTATTCTATGCCGGGACCACACAGTGAGATGGTCACGAAACTTAAGAAACGAAAACAGGGAGAAACTCTATTGATTGCAAAAAGAGTCGTAAAAATCGGTTCAAAATTGCCAATGTAATCATGTAACAGTCGCAAAAAATTCAAATTAATTAAAAACTTTAAATTGCTTTAACAAAAATATAGTTTTTAAAAAAAAATCTTACCTCCTCTGCAATATCATAGGATATACTACCACATCGAAGCTGAAACTCCAATGAATGTATGTCTGTAAGTCGCGCAAGATCTCCGAAACTGAAGCCCTTGCGTTCCATATATACTAATATTCGTAACGCGGTAAACTTTGTATTCGTATCTGTCGCCTCTGCCCTCGGTAATACTTCTGAATTTAGTACATTCTGTAAATGGTAGAAAATGGTAGTTTTTAAATTTACTATCATAACGCATTTTAATTTTATCTTTTAATATAGTACCTACATTTAAATATGCAGTCTAACCCAAGTTTTGTTATGTTTTTTTTTTACAACACAGGGGGCAAACGAGCATGCGTCTCACCTGATGGTAAGTGACTACCGCCGCCCATGATCACCCACAACACTAGCCTTTTAAAAAGGATGTTCTTATGTAACTTAGAATGGCAAATAAGCTGACAGCCCACCTGATGGAAAGTGGTAACCGTTGCCTATGGACGGTAGGGTAAATATAAAATTATAATGTAAAAATTTGACGTTCATAAGCGGCTAAAATGTCCTACATGAATAAATGATTTTTGAATTTTGAATTTTTTGAATTATGGGCAGTACCATGGACATAACAGCATATACTGTTTCACACATGATACCCCCATACGTTGCTATTACTAAGGACTCAGGTGTTATTCCTCTGTACCCTGTAAATTCACTGCCATTATATGGCGCATGATGGTAGAATTTGGTAGCAAATACTGTAAAAATATGTATTGTATGGGTAGGTAGTGTAAATTTCCTTTAAGATGTATTGAACATCTCAGGAATCGTTACAATGTACAACTCTCAATATACATAGATCTAATTCTATTGAGCTCTATCCTTGCACAAGGCATTGAATTCGACTTTACCTTTTTTTTTTACAACACAGGGGGCAAACGTGCATGCGGCTCACCTGATGGTAAGTGACTACCGCCGCCCATGATCACCCACAACACCTACGGCATTGCAGGTGTGCTGCCGGCCTTTTAAAAAGGAATATGCTCTTTTCTTGAAGGTTATGTTGTCGTATCGGTTCGGAAATACTGCTGCTGGAAGTTGATTCCAAAGAGTAGTTGTGCGTGGGAGAAAGTGCCTTGAAAAACGCACGGTGGAGGACCGCCACTTGTCCAGATGGTTGGGATGAAATTTTAGTTTATGGCGGGTTGTACGATGGTGAAAATCTGCAGCAGGTATCAATCCGAACAATTCTTCAGAGCACTCCCCATGATAAATTCGGTAGAAAATGCACAGAGATGCAACATCTCTACGCAGTTTCAGTGGGTCGAGCCGGACAGTAAGACGCCGATCGTCAACAATTCGAGCTGCCCGACTTTGAATGCGGTCTAACGGAAGGAGTTGGTACTGTGGCGCTCCTGCCCACAGGTGAGAACAGTATTCCATGTGTGGCCTCACTTGAGCTTTATATAGTTTCAGGCGGTTTTCTGGCGTGAAATACCGTCTCACCCTATTGAGCATACCCAACTTTTTGGAAGCTATCTTAGCTTTTTCCTGCAGATGACCGCAAAACTGGACGTCGCTAGATATATCGACGCCAAGAATCCCCAGACTCGACTTATTATCGAGGGAAGTGCCCCGAAAGTAAGGAGATACGACAAACGGTGTCTTTTTTGCGGTGAACGCGCAGACTTGTGTCTTCTTAGGGTTAAAGTGAACAAGATTGCGTTCACCCCAGATCGAAACTTTATCGAGCGAAGTTTCGATTTCAGACACAAGTCTATTCCGGAGCTCATCGGTATGTGCCCGCGAGATCTTTGCATGACCGGTGTATAATGCATCTCCTGTACTGTCGTCTGCATAACAATGAATATCACTGATCTGTAACATATCATTGATATGCAGAAGAAACAGTGTCGGAGATAGTACACAGCCTTGCGGGACACCAGCATTCACAGGTTTTAAGTCAGAGCATGCTCCGTCGACTACGACCTTAATGCTACGTTCCTTAAGAAAACTGGCGACCCAACTGCACAATCTCGCAGGCAACCCAAACGAAGGTAGTTTTGAGATTAGTGCCCTATGCCACACCCGATCAAAGGCTTTCGCAATATCCAGACTAACAGCTAAGGCCTCTCCCTTATTCTCGATTGCCACCGCCCATCGGTGTGTTAAATAAACTAAAAGATCACCAGCCGAGCGCCCCCGTCGAAAGCCGTACTGGCGATCTGAGATCAGCTGGTGATCCTCTAGGTACCGGAGCAGTTGATGGTTAACAACTGATTCCATGACTTTCGAGAACAAGGAGGTGATAGCTATGGGCCTATAGTTAGCTGGATCTGAGCGGTCTCCTTTTTTAGGGATCGGATGCACCAAAGCAGTCTTCCAAAACTTTGGGACTATACCTGATGAGTAACAGAGCCGAAAAAGACGCGTAAGAACCGGAGCCAACTCTGGTGCGCACGTCCTAAGCACAATTGGAGGAATGCCATCGGGCCCACTCGACTTATGGATTTCAAGGGAGAGAAGTGCTCTACGCACTGATCTTTGCGTGAATTTAACATCCGGCCTATGCCGGATGTTAGAGAGAGACCATCCCCCGTTGTAAGAGCTCTATAGCTCTTACAACGCGGGATGGTCGGCGGTGGTTTCTCCCCGTCATCCAACGTCGAGTTTGATGCAAAGAGAGATCCAAGGAGATCGGCCTTCTCTTTGGCGTTCAGAGCCAACGAGTTATCCTCCCTGCGCAATGGTGGAAAAGATGACTGACAGAAATTCCCTCGTGCAGCTTTGGCAAGAGACCAGAAAGCTCGAGACCCCGAAGGTAAACTAGCCAATCTCTTGCCAATTCTACCAATATGCTCTGACTTCGCTGTGGCCAAAATTCTTTTGAAGGACCTAGAGGCAAAGTTATACTTCTTTTTAAGGGCACTGATGTTAGGATCTCGCGACGCCACACCTTTGGCTCAGGCTAGGAAGCACTCCTGTTTCAGGCGAGATGCTATTCTACAAGAGGCTCCATACCAGGGCTGGGATTTCCCACCGACAGGTACCACAGAGTTAGGAATAAATAATTCCATTCCCTGAAGCACCACATCGGCGATGGAATTGGCGATGGCGTCGGGGTCCCTCAGTGCGAAGCAAACCTGCCTCCATGGGTAAGATGCGAAAAAAATCCGCATCTCATCCCAGTCTGCCGACCTGTAGTGCCAAACACGACGTCTACCCGTGGAACGTGGTGGAATCGGACTCATGAGAGGCACCTCGCTCCGCACCAGACAGTGATCCGACGATCCAAGCGGAGCTTCGACGGAAATCACATAGTTGTCTGGGTGGGTGGTCAGCAGAAGGTCCAACAGTGAAGGTGAATGGTCCAACACATCAGGTATTCGCGTAGGCGAGGAAACAAGCTGCGTCAGACCATAAGCCAAAGCAAAGTCATGAACAGATCTTCCCGCATAGTCGGTTGTACGTGAACCAAGCCATTCGGTATGGTGGGCATTAAAATCGCCAAGAATCACGACTTCAGCGGAAGGAATCTGTTCGAGCAGGGAATCTGTAGTCATTTGGACGTGCTCAATGAGTTGGTCGGTTTCGATGTTACCGCTGTGGGACCTGTATAGGCATGCATAGACGCGAGGATGGTCATTGCAGTTTACGCGCAGCCATAAAATAGACAGGTCCGTACCTTCAAGAATACCTACACTACGTAAAGCGACTAAAAAGTTTATAGTAAAAAACAGTAGTAATCTAGGAGGCAGTAGTAATTGGTAGAAAATAACAAATGATTAAATGCAAAACCTTTTACTAATTATACTGCTCGCCATTTACAGGAATCTTTTGGGATTATCTTCACACCATAAAAACAAAATGATCACGTACAGCGTGGTTTCATAGGAGCTGCCTTCCGCGAACGCTCAGGTTATGAAATGACTTTCCTGACGAGGCTTTCTCTAAAAACTATAGCATGGGGTTTTTCATAAAGGACGTAATAAGATTTCTAAAGGGTTGGCAATGCGTACGAGACATCGCTGATGTTACAGGCGTCCATGGGCTACGGTAACCCCGTTCAATATAAGACAGGTCGTATGCATGTTTGGCATCATAATATTATATATTATAAAAGAAATGGTATTAAATAGTAGAATATTAAAGAAAATAGCATATGGTAGTAAATAGTAGAAATGGTAGAAAACAGTAGAAATTGCAGAAAATCGTAGAAATGGTAGAAAACAGTAGAAAGTGTACCTGAGCTCTGTCCTTGTTCAGAACATCAACAGCGGCTTCATATATAGTGCGTAAAGCGATCGCATTATCTTTCTTATCTCGCACCGTCTCCCACAACCAGCGGCGTATATTTACGTCAGCCGAAAGCCTCTCTTTAAACAAATATGCATACTTCTCTAGTATTGTAATTATCACTGAAAAAATGTATCCTTCGTATAAAACCCGGTCATTTAATATTTATTTATTTATTCTTTATTGCACAATAAAACTTTGTACTTGTGGCGAGCTTAATGCCATGTGGCATTCTCTACCAGCTAACCATTAGGTAAGAACAGAAAGCGTATGAAGGGCAGCGGTGGTGAAAAATATGTGACAACATGGTTATGGTTATAAAAAAAATCAATAATGTCACATTTATATTAAAAAATCATAATAATATAGAAATTTATTGAATTTATCTCCAAGGACATCGTCAGGTGCCAATCAGGTCAAGGTGCCATCATAACAACAGTCCTGACGGCCCTACTGATGGGAAGGGGTAACCGTCGCCTATAAACATAAGCATATATATATATATATATATATATATATATATATATATATATATATATATATATATATATATATATATATATATATATATATATATATATATATATATATATATATATATATATATATATATATATATATATATATATATATATATATATATATATACATCGAATGTTGTTCGAATGAGCAGTTGTCGGAGTGCAAATTTGATGCTGTTTTATGTAATATTTATTTTATAAATGTATTAATTTGTAATCTGTTGCCTTGCTATAAATAAATAAATACGAACGTGTGCGTGCGCGCACGTGTATGCATTCGTGCGCATACATGTGTACGCGTGTGCGTATGAAATTAATTTATCGCATAGTAAAATATTTATATTTCTATAAAAACCTTACCTTTATTACATTTGGACGTGTCAATGTACTTTATAAGGGTGTCATAAAACAAATTCAACTCCGAAGTGGGCAGATGTGGTCCGAAACTGTGGAAGAGTCCGGACAGTCCTTGCAGTATCGCCGATGTCAGTGTGTCCTGGAAATTTCCCTTATTATTTAGACTCCAGCTGATGCAGGTGGCTTAGAACCGTTCCTTATGGCAGTCTATTTATTTATTTATTCTTTATTGCACAATAAAACTTTGTCCAAGTGGCGAGCTTAATGCCATATGGCATTCTCTACCAGCTGACCATTGGGTAAAAACAGAAAGCGTATGAAGGGCAGATGTGGTGAAACATATGTGACAATTATAGCAGTCTATGGGGGAGGCCTATGATCAGCAGGGGACTGATGGCGGCTGAGATGATGATGATGATGATTTAGACTCTGATATACAATTCTCAATCACCAGGTACCTCTAAAATTTAAATTTAATACAGCGAACACTCTATATAAGCAACCTCTCTATAATAAAATATCAATACATAGTATAAAACAAAGTCGCTTTCTCTGTCTGTATGTCCCTATGTATGCTTAAATCTTTAAAACTACGCAACGGATTTTGATGCTCATTTTTAATAGATAGAGTGATTCAAAAGGAAGTTTTATATGTATAATACATGCATAATATTGTAGAGAAACACTGATATTTTGGAGGTTTCTAATGTGATATGATGTAATGTGCACCCGTGCGAAGCCGGGGCGGGTCGCTAGTAATAAATAAAATATAAAGAATATTGCTTATTTGTGTGTATATATATCGACACAGTAAATGGAGCTTAACATTTCGTTGATCATTAAACCTATCCTAATAGTCCAGAGGAACGATATTTTAACATTTTTAATAATTCTAAATGGCATGTATCATGTAATTTGAACATACAATTTTTGTTTCATTTGCCCCCGTAATTTCGAAAAATATTTCATGGTAGGCCCTCTGCTTTCATCGTCACCTTTCATCCCTCATTGGTGCCCCGCCAGCGTATACCCTACCTATCCCCCCCCCCCGCCCCGGGTGAAAGAGATTGTTAGTAATGGAGATTGAGAATCCCATTGCTAGCAGTATACCCTATATATAGTATGTATCATGGTTAATTCCTGATGAATTCATCATGATGGGCTAACTGGCCTGTTTTCATTCTCATCTATCACCCTTCACTGGTGCTCCGCCAGCGTATCCCGTTAGCGCAGGCCATACCATACCATTTTCACCCATCAAAAAACAACCCATGCGACAAACACACACAAACATTCTCACCGAATTTTTCTTGGACTCGAGCATTCTAAGATATATCCGCCATATTCTGGTGACCTCGTGTTCGACCGTTTCAGGGTGACACTCACATACTGTGCCTGGAAAGAACAATTCAAATAATAATAATACACTCAAAAATGTCACTCAATACGATGTATGTACATGGCCGTGTGGTCCCGGCATAGAATGGACCACCGCTTCTTTCCCGTGGGTGTCGAAAGAGGCGACTAAAAAAGGCCGAGGGATGGGCAGTAGCGTCCCTCTTAAAACATCTCTAAAACTTAACTGCGGTTTTTTTTTAATGAATGATAATGGAATGGTAACCCCGCCCGCGCTATCGCTATACACTAGCGGGGCACCAATGAGGGGTGATAGGTGAGAATGAAAAGGCAGATCAGCCCATCGTGATGAATACATTATTATGAATACGTTTCAGACATAACAGCATTTAATATTTCAGTATAAATAAAAACAAACTCAAAAAAAAGGTTATTCAAAAAAGGGCTAAAGAGGTTTCTTCAGGGTCGGCAACGCGCACGTAATACCTCGGGTATTGCAGGCGTTCATAGGCTACGGTAACCGCTTACCATCAGGTGGGCCGTATGTTTGTATGCCACCACAGTGGTATAAAAAGTGTGTTTAATGTACTTGCCAACAATGAGTGCCAGCTGTGTCTTGCATACGTCAGAGTATTCCAACTGATTGATAAGGCGGGCCGCAAGCGTGCCATCGCACGGATATACTCTTGCGACTCTCTCTAAACATAAAAGCGCATTCTTCTGTCCCTCCGAGTCGAATTGAAGAGGACAAATCTGAAATGTTAATATAGAAATCGGTCCAATTAAATCACGGGTGGACATTTTTAGATTTCAAAAAGTGGTTATTGTGACATAACGATAATAGTTGGACATATAGTGTCGCGAAGTTTTTTGTAGTTATTGATATTTCCTTCAATATTGTAGTACATACTTTTGTTCTATCACCAATAGTTTCCGCAGCGCGCGCGACCAAAGATATTTTAGAGCATTTTTTACACCTCGAGTTACGTTCCTAAAGTTTTAATAAGGATCCCTAATCTTTTCTAGCAATAAATATAGCCTATGTTACTCAGGATGAATATAGCTTTCTAATGGTGAAAGAATTTTTGAAATCGGCAAAGTAGTTTTTGAGTTTATTTATTACAAACATACACACATACAGTGAGAGGTGAAAGGTGAGAATGAAAAGGCAGGTCAGTTAGCCCATTGTGATGAATACACCAGGAATTCAGCACGATGGTTTCCAGGGGAGACCACATGGAAGTCGACCTTATGCTCCATATTGTTAGCAATGGGACTGATAGTTCGCATTACTAACAACCCTCCCCCCCCCCCCCCCACCCATTGCACTAGCGGGTTTTTTTTTTTAAATGGATGATAATGGAATGGTAACCCCACCCGCGCTATCGGTATTCACCGGCGGGGCACATGCAATGATAGGTGAGAATGAAGTAGGTCAGTTGGCCCATCGTGTCGAATTCAACAAGAATTGTTCACGATGGTTTCCAGGGGGAACCGCGTGGAGGTCGACCTAACAAGGTATATTGCTAGCAATGGGGCTGTCAAACTGCATTGCTAACAATCCTTTTCCCCCCGCACTAGCGGGGTTGCCATACCAACCCACTCATTAATATAAAACTGTAAAAAAACCTTACCCGAATAATATCTTCACAGTACGGCTGCACAGTCTCAGAATGCTTCGTGACCACATCTGCGAGTAACTTGAAGGTTTCTCTGACCACATGGCACCAGGAGTCAACAGAATGGTATGAAGATATTGTACCCAATAAACATACTGGCTGGTAAAGCAATGTATCCAGGATCCTTTCTGGAAATAAAAAAAAAACGCTCACAACTGTAATTCCCAACCCCCAACCCCATGCTGTAGTCTCTTGGGAAAACCTCGGCCGGGAGTTCATACCATAATCTGAGTGTTCGATTTGAGATTTTTTTTTAATTTTAAATGAAAATGGAATAGTAACCCCACCTGCACCTATGGTATACACTGGCAGAGTACCAGTGGAAGATGACAGGTGAGAATGAATGCAGGTCAGTTGGCTCGCCATGATGAATTCGACATGAATTAACCGTGATGGTTTCCAGGGGGAACCGCGTGGAGGTCGACCTGACAGGGTATACTGCTAGCAACAGGCCTATTAGACCTCATTACTAACAATCCCTTTCCTCCCAATAACTTGAACTATTCTAATAACATTACAGTCCTGAGGTATGGCAACACATGAGGGTTATGTACCATGGGCATCACAACGCATTCTATAGGGGTGGGTAATATATATATAGCAATATCCATATTTTGGGCGGAAAGGAATTGTTAGTAATGGAGACTGAGAATCCCATTGCTAGCAATATACCCAACCAAGTCGACATTCTCGCGATTCTCCCTAGAAACTATCATGATTAATTCCTGATGAGTTCATCATGATGGGCTAACTGGCCTGTTTTCATTCTCATCTATCACCCTTCACTGGTGCTCCGCCAGCGTATCCCGGTAGTGCAGGCGGGGTTACCATACCATTTTCACCCATAAAAAAAACCTTTTTTCTGCCATCAAGGTTCAGAGAGACCCAATATTCTATATATTGGAGCAGTACCAATATTACCCATGCCCGAGAGCCTACCATGAAATGTTTTCCAAAATTTCCAATCTGAACGAAAATAATGTTTAAAGAGGGACACTGCTGCCCATCCCTCTACCAATAAGTTTCTTAGTCACCTCTTATGGGCACCTACGGGAAAGGAAGGGGTGACCTATTCTATGCAGGGACCACATGGCCTTAAAAAATCATTACAAATAAATTAAAATGAGTGTTATATATAGTGTATGACCCATCAGGTGGAACATCAGCATTCTAAGTATCATTAATAAAAAAAACTAACCTATCTCAAAATCAGCTAGATCTTTTTTAAGCAAATTGTCAGCAGTTCGTATTGCTTTGTTGCAGCTTTTAGGATCGGCTGGCTCTGGGTAGACTTCCAACAGAGCCTCCCATTGTTCCATGTTGGGCTACAACAGAATTTACATCAAATATATAGTAAGGTACTTGAAAATTAATTTCATCATGATATAGGCAGCCTGAGTGCCTTTTACCATCTATATCAGCCTTTCCCGAAGAGGGAGATAACACCCCCTTGTGGGCGCTGCAACCACTTTCCATCAGGTGGGCTGTCAGCTTGTTTGCCATTCTAAGTTGTATAAAAAGAAAAAAAAAAAAGAGGGGCAGTAAGAGACCCAGAAAAAAAATGGAGGCATTGTGTAAAGGTTTGAGGGGGTTAATTTAATTTAAAGTAATAGTGGTTTTTAAGTGAAAAAATGGGGGTGCTAAAAATAATTTATTCTCAAAGTGAGCAATAGACAAAATAAGTTTGGGAACCCCTGATCTATACCATGGGGAATGCTCTGAGTGTTCTAATTTAATACCGAATTTAATTATAAGATTGATGTTTTAAATATTTTTGGAAAGAAAAGAAATGGTTAAAAATCTAACCACATCATTCAGTTTATTCTCATATGCGTATTTGATTTTTAAACAAAAAGAATGCTTGTACATTATATTTGCCCCATACCTTATACACCTTATACAACTTAGAATGGCAAACAAGCTGACGGCCCACCTGATGGAAAGTGGTGACCGTTTTTTTTGTTTGTTTTTTTTTTACCTCGACAGATGAGGTTGAGCATAGAGGATTTATATCATTTTATCATCCATTGTTATATACCTATGTATCACAATAAATAAAATGAAATCAACATAAACTACATAGCAAAAAATATCAATAATAAATTATAAATTAGTTTTTGCTTGTGACGACCCCATTATATCTAGAGAAGATAAAGTTAAGATCAAAGACAATAGTTTAAAATTATTGAAATTAGAAAACTGTATGGTAGTTAATAACTGACCACAAATAAATGAAAAAAAAAATTAAATACATATGTTATTAATTTCATACCAATGTAATCAAAGTAGAAAAAATTTGAAAAGATAAACAAGAACACAGAAATTGGAAAATTGGAAATATTTTGACTTCTTTCCGACGTTTTCGTTGTTTTTAACTTCTATTTCTTTGACAATCAGCCGGTCCGCCGTTTCCGCTTCCCGTTTTTAGTGATGCGATTCGCCTATTGCAAGTGCTGTATAATCTATTATTTCTTTATTATTCTATATGATGTATCGCCATAGATTTAGAATTACGTATCAATGCCTATGTTTTTTTTTTAAATCCATGAAAGAAATAATGTTTAGTCATAGATTAGTATTTTTATACATTTTTAGTAAATATTTTTTTATGATGCATATATTATTCTCAATCTATGTATACAGACATGTTATAAAAGTAAGAATACATCTAAGAAATCCTTGAAGTGTATATTATACAACTATGAAAGATAAGGGTAAAGTATGTTTTATTAAGTCTACGAAAGTAGAAGACGATGCCGTCTTATTCCTTACTCAGATTCATTGTATGACTTAAGTACTAGCTAAGCTAGCTAAGTAAAGCTACCTGCTTTAGTACGTTATACTAAGCACATGTTAAAAACAGTACCCACTTGTGCTCGTAGGTGTACTAAAGGGGCAAAGGAGTATTTGGACAGTTATATGTAAAATAGAAGCACCCCAAACTTGATGAAGAATAAAATAAAAAGAAATAATAAAATATTTCCGTTAACTGGTTAACAAGGTAATATTAATAAAAAAAATATATTTATTAAAGAAAAATATATAATTCTCTATGATTTTAATAAATTCCGTTCGATATTTAAAATAAAAGATCAAGTACAAGAGGAATTCACAATTAAATTTTTAGAAATTTGTGAGACGCGCTTTTCTTCAAATGTACACATTCGGTACCAACTTTATAAAATTTATTATATTTGTCTCTGGAACCGGTATGTGTTTGCATATGTTTATTTAACATATATTGTGTTTTATAATCTTTTCTACAAATCACGCAAAATGTATCCGTGCTATATTTATTTGAACACAGTTTACGTTTATACTTTGTAAGTTGACCGCTCATGTTGTTGCATTCTGTATTATCTGTTCGAGAAGACTTTTTGGGCAAGTTATGGAACCTGAAAAATAATATCATCTGCACTTGTATTACATTTTTATATTTAGTTAATGAATAAATAAATATCATATGTCACTGCCATATCTAATTCTACAACGAAGCTAAAGCATGCCTTGTCATTTTGTCTGAAGAACGCAGTGCAATATCTAACATATTTAAGATATGATACTTTAGTTCTGGCAGTGCCCACTCCTCTTTCCTCATTTAAATACGACTATGATATCCGGAATGGAATGTGCTGGCAAAATACCCTAATATCGGGGTGAACGCCACAAAAGAAAAAAAAAATGGAATGTGCAAAGATTAAAATAACAGTCTATTATTTTAGCATTGGAAGTGCTTAAAATCTTTCTACCTACCATTATTCATGGTCTCTTACTAATTAGGCAGAAAAATATAGTGACGACGGTTTAAATATCCTGACGACGGTTTAAATATCCTGGATATATTTCCATTTTTTTTTTAAACAAACATTAGACGCTCTTTGCTGCAGTGGCAGTAAGCGGTCAGTGAATTTACAGTACGGGCCTTAAATGAGTTGCTAGGCAATGAGGCAATGACCGGGGGCTTCGACAGCCAAGATAACACCAAAATCACCTATAGAATTCACAAAGCTCCTCATTTAATGATTCTTCAGTCAAAACTTTTATCGTCGCCAAGGGAGGGGACCACCTATGTTATGCATACTGTCAGATACTCGATGCTGGTTTAGGCAAGTATTTGACGGTATGAAGTCTAGTATGTGAGCCGACTCACCTGATCTTCCCTCTCAAATCGGCCTTTGCATGCGACTCTAAATGTTCCTTCATTAGGTTTGAGGCTATTTGTACATTACATTTTTTACAGCTCAATTTTGTTATATTATACTTTTTACATCTAGAACAGACGAAGTTCTTCCATCCATCGAATGGCACTATCATTGGATACCTTTGCCTGCAAACCGCGCACTGTAAATTCAATCTTTTCTGTTCAACATTAGAGCCTATAATTGCATTCTTGCGCCGTTGATGGAGTCCTTTTTTCGCGCCTTCCGACACCATCTTGGTTTTTAGGAGGTGTATTATTTCCTTATTATTAATATTCGACACGTTTTTATTTTGTGTTGGCCTAATAGTGTCTTTGCTTCGAGAATGATTAGAAGAACCTAAAAAAAATTATGATTAAATATTCAAGTTCATTTTGCTCCACAAAAAACACTGTCTTCAAACGTGGCAAAATTGAATGAATAATGCCTTGACTATTTAAAACCAATAATCACAACAATTTACTTTAAAAACCAAACTACTAAATCTGTTAAAGAAGAAAAAAAATTTTTCCCAAATCGATGTGTAAATGACGGAGCTCTTAGGTAATGTGTTATATTATCTCTGTGTCAGGTACCAAAGATAAAAAAAAACGTCATTTTTTTTTAAGTCAGTTTTGAGTCTACTGGGAACGGCTTATCTAGAACCAGGGGACTACAGATATTTTAAACCGCGGGATATCGTCAAGGTAACACAAAGGATCTATGAAATGATGATATAAGGCAGGGGAAAGCACAAAAGATCCCAATGGGTCGACGTGCAACAGCTTAGCTGACCCCATATGCGAATATAAGATATATAAGTCAGTTAAAAATATTGGTAATGAAGTAGGTATTAACTGGATAGATGCTCGAAGGCGGCGTGTACTAACGCCCTGAACCTCTGCGTGCTTCTTAACTGGCGGACACACCACTCGCATATCATGCAATCTGACGATGAGACCTGGTAGTAAAAATGGTATTTTATTCATTATCTAACCCAATTGATTACCAAGACCATATGGCATATTAAAATTAGATACATAATCATAATAAAATAATAAGAAATAACCGTTTGACTGATTACAATATCAATTAACAATCACTACGCTTTTACTTCATGATATGTTGCTAATTGTAAAATTTCTTTTTTTTTTATACAACTTAGAATAGCAAACAAACTGACGGCCCACCTGATGGAAAGTGGTAATCGTCGCCTATAGACATGAGCAGTACCAAGGACATAACAGAGTATACTGTTTCGCTCATGATACCCCCATGCGTTGCCATTCCTGAGGACTCAGGTGTTATTTATCTGTACCCTATAACTTCACTGTCATATCCCACTCTTCAAACCGAAACAGCTATGCAAACACAACTGCTTTACAGTTGAAACACGAATGTGACAGAGGTGGCCAAGCAAACGACTTTTGTACAAAGTCTCCCTCTGGTATAATGTTACAAAGTAATACTTATAGTTTGAGTGGCGACGCCGTACGAACAAACTCAGTGTAGGACAACTCCCTAGGTAGGTAGGTGTGACAACCTCGAATAGATTGCAGGCAGTCAGTGGATGCAAATGGCTTAGGACCGTTCCTTTTGGCAGACTATGGGGGAGGCCTATATTCAGCAAGGGACGGATAATGGCTGAGATGCTGATGTTAATGAAGATATCGAACATACTCGAACACCGAAGCAGTCGTATAACAATTGGTCGTATCTTTCCTCAACGCCCTCCCACACGTACGTGTCACGTAAGTACCGGAGGCTGTTATCGCCACCGCAAAGTCTGCAACAGCGATCGGTGCTGGCGCCATCACCGGACGCGAACGTTAATGTCTCCTGAAATAGAACATTAAATAATATAGCTTTTTGGTGGATGTCACCATACTGTACGACGAAAACCTCGTAAAAGCCGAAACTGAGAAGAAGACGAAATATCTCGACTTAGCACTCGAGGTGACCGAAATGTGGGGGTTTGTATCCACTGAAATCATTTCAATCGTTCTGTGGGTGAACGGTCTTAACTCAACTAGTCTGAAACAACACCTCAAACGGTTGGAATTTTAAGGCGAAATACTGCTTCCATTGTACGCCAGTTTCTCTCCCTAGAACTAGAATCCCGGCCGACTGTGCTTCTGATGGGGGATAGTATGCTATCTCCTCTCTTCTCTTTTAGAAGGGAAATATGAATTTTATATAAGAGAAAATAATAATAAATTTATTTGCTAAAAATAGGGTATCAGAGATTTTATGTTAAATAAAGTTTTTTAGGCCTTTTTAGCCATTACAGAATAATATGTAAATGTCATTGATAGGAATTGATGAATTCATGTATCGACAACACCAACTGTACTAGATATTTATTTATCTTTAATAAAAATTCGTCTACCGAGTAAAAACTTTTCTTAAGTAGCCATTTAAGAAATTCAATTGTAAATTTATTTATTGCAAGTTCCTTTATATCTATAGGAATATTGTTAAAGATTTTTAGACACATCATATTAGATTTTTTTTAATAAACGACTTATTTTAAGTATTATATAAGTGACTAGTTTTTGAAGGTAGCTTGCGCTTCTTAATATCTGTTTCTTTGTTTCTGACAAATATGAATAAACATGTGTTTGTTTAGTTTAACAAATATATCTGATTAAAGTTTATAAAGACTAGGATTTGTGCATTTACAATTAGTGATTAAATCGTCATAGTCATAGAATACTGACAGTTACATCTATTTAATATTTGTCAGATACGTCAGTATTCTACAACTATGACGAAATAAGTTTACCAGAGGGAGACTTTGTACTAAAGTCGTCTGCTCGGACATTCTGTTTCACTCGTGATTTTGCCACAAATTTTGCACACGTACCTGTTTCAGTTAGGGGGATAGGTGCTATTAAATGTCAATATATCTCAGTATATAGAAATAATAGGTACTGACCATCTGTCAGCAGATAAGTAATAGGGTATAATTGAAGCTTGTGTTTAAAAAAAAAAACTATTTCAAAACTAATTATTTTGTTTTAAAAACTAAACGACTAAAACGACTTTAATAAAATTTCTATGGGACGAGAGCTTTTCACAAAAAAAAAAATTATAAATGATGAAGTTATGAAGTGGCATATATAAAAAATATATAATAGAACCGGAAACGTCTTCTATAAGTCATTAAAAAATAAAATAATTAAGTATTATTACTCAAATAATAAGAAATGGATACTCACTTTACTCAATATTTTGCATAATTTGTCTTTTGTCCAAATTACATCCATGTTCATTTAGTTAAAATAATATTCTCTCAAATAACTTACACAATTTTGTAAAAAGTAGGTACACTCATCCTATATACCACAATATATATGTCTTCTGTTCTTTTAAATGACATATCTACTTAGAAATATTAAAAAAAAAAATTTGCTTAAGGAGTTTATATTCATATTTGATAAATTAAAGGAAAGATTTGGGTGTTGGTTTGTAATGGATAAATTCAAATCTACAAAACCGATTTTAAAAATTCTTTTACCTATAGAAAGCTATATTACCAGCGAATAACATAGGCTACATATTTTCGAAAATTCTGTCTACCCATGCAAGGCCAGACGGGATCGCTACCAATTTATATATATTTTTTATACCACTGACGTGGCAATCAAGCATACGGGCCACCTGAAGGTAAGTGGTTACCGTAGCCTATGACTGCCTGCAATACCAGGGGTATTATGTGCGCGTTGCCGACCCTGAAGAAACCTTATTACCCCCCTTTTGAAGAACCCCATGCTGTAGTCTTTTGGGAATATCTCGGGAGGGAGCTTATTCCATAATTATTGGCGAATGGCAAATATACGACGTAATATATTTACAAACACAGATGAATGAATTAAACAATTTTTTCAAGTCTCGTATCTAATAAAATATTGAGTATTATATATTTAACAGTAGATCATAAACTTAATATAACAATGTAAAAAGCTATAAAATTTATAATGTGTCTATCTAATATTAATTATTCCAATCTAGATTTAAATAATAAGTCGATTAAATTTTTTTTTTTTTTGATAATTTACGCTCGTTAACAGTAGATATCAAGTGCATGTTCAAATGTGCATGTTTAAATTTCCCATTTAAATGATTTATGTATAAATCTTTAGAGAAATAAATGTCTTAAACCGTATTAAAATTTTAAAAAGGTATTAACGATTGTTTCATAGATTAAGGATATACCAGTCACTGTGTTTTAACTATTACTATATGTGAACATCAAACATTGTTATGTTATTGTCAGATATTTATTTTGACATTATAGTCAAGACAGCGACACAGACTTCGAATAAAAATACAATTATGTAAATTCTCTGCAACCAATTCATTTAATATGTAAATATTGCTTTAGAATGAGGTTTTATTTCATGATATCTATCGATATCGATATTTTAGATAGAGATATTGTAACTAATTCTAGAATACAATTAATATACTTTTTTTTATTTCGATACAATAGTAATGTCACTAATGAATGTGCATGTATTATGTTATTAAACTTTTAGATGGTTGCATAGTACATTTTCAGTTCTGTTAATATAGGAGTATTGTTGACTCTGGAATAATGCAGTGTAGTGTTTATCTATCTTTTATTGTTTAAATTCAATTTCTATTTATTTTGGTTTAAGTTTCGTTTCGATTTTAAACGTAATTTCTTCATAATTTAATCACAAATACTTTAAATGTATCAATAAAAGTGTTAACCTCAGAATCTATTCCAAACTTTTACCTATTTCAATCGATTGGTAATCATCGAAATTTATTGTGAAAAATCACATTTATCCCCATAAAAAATGGGTGGGAAGGCCGAGAAAGGCACACCTAAATACATAGCGAACAAGATAAAAGCGAAAGGCCTACAGAAACTCCGGTGGTACTGCCAGATGTGTCAGAAGCAATGTCGAGACGAGAACGGCTTCAAATGCCACACCATGTCTGAATCTCACCAACGCCAGTTGTTATTATTCGCCGATAACGCCACAAAATACATCGATGAGTTCTCGAAGGAGTTCTCCGATGGTTATTTGGAGTTGCTAAAGCGTCAGTTCGGTACAAAGAGAGTGAACGCCAATAAAGTGTATCAGGACTATATTTCTAACAGGTGAGGCTATAAATTAATAAATATGTTCACAACTATAATTCCTAATGTGGTAGTCAGTGGCTTTTTTATTCAATAAAGATGGATTAGTGTGGGACTGTAGCTAAAACCATGTTTAAGGTAGGTCAAAAGAACTTTTTGGTAGGGCAGAAGTCATATTTAAGTAACTTTGAGAAATACACTACAGCATAATCATACCTTACAGCCTAAGTGGTTGTGTACGGTGCGGTGATGTTTTCTTCCACAAATGCTTAGGTTATGGAATGAGCTCCCTGCCGAGGTTTTCCCAAGAAATTACAGCATGGGGTTCTTCAAAAGGGGGGTAAAAAGGTTTCTTCAGGGTCGGCAACATGCGCATAATACTAGTGGTACTCCAGGTGTTAATAGGCTACGGTAACTGCTTACCATCTGGTGGGCCATATGCTTGTTTGCCACCTCAGTGGTATAAAAAAAAAGCAAATCTGTCTAATTTACTTGGGACCTTTCATTTTAAGGTAGGGCATTGGGCCTTTTAAGGTAGGGTATTGCCCCTCAATGTCCCCTTTTAGCTATGGCCATAGAGTACTGTCATTGTCTACCATTGTCACCAATGTCATTGTCATTGTCTTACCCCTATTATTTGGGGTCGGCGTCATATATTTCTTCCTGACATCATTTGTTGTAAAAAAAGGATCAAAGAAAAGGGAAGGAGATATTTTTGTTTAATGAGTTGTAATGGAATGATAACCACGCCTGTGCTAGTGGTATACATGATAGGTGAAGATAAAAAGGTAGGACAGATAACTCCACCTGTGCTAACAGTATTCACCAGAGGGAGACTTTGTACAAAAGTGTTTGCTCACCTCTGTCCCATTAGTATTTCAACTGTGAAGCAGTTGTGTTTGCATGGCTGTGTTTTGGTTTGAAGGGTGGGATATGGCGTGAATTTACTGGGTACAGAGGATTAACACCTGAGTCCTCAGGAATGGCAATGCAGTATCCTGTGTTATGTCCATGGTACTGCTCATGTCTATAGGCGACGATTACCACTTTCCATCAGGTAGGCGGTCAGCTTGTTTGCTATTCTAAGTTGTATAAAAAAAAAACTGTATACACTGGCAGGGCACCAGTGAGATATGGTAGACGAGGATAAAAAGAGAGATCAATTATCCCATCATGATGCATTCAACACTAAATTAGTCACTATGGTTTCCAAGGGGAACTGCATGGAGGTCGACCTGATGGAAATAGGGTCTAACCTTGACATTACTAACAATCCCTTCCCCCCTAACCTATAGTGATTATTTCAGTTGCATTTAAGCATAATGGCAGTAGCGTAACAATAGGGTGGCAGGGCTGGCAAAATGCCACGAGTCCCCGACCTAAAAGGGCCCTGGCTCAAGAGGCCGCGAGCTCAGATTTTTTTTACATTGTACCTGAGTATTTTATTTTTACTGATAGGGCCCCATCAGTGTGGGGATTTACCACAGGCCCCAAATGGTATAGTTATGCCTCTGCATAATGGTTTCCAAGGAGACTATGAAGAGGTTGATCAAACAGATTATATTACTAGCAATGGGACTGTTTTCCATTACTGACAATCCCCCCCCCCCCCCCGGGTACCCTCCAAACCAAGGCCGTGCAAATGCAACTGCTTCACGGTAGAAATAGGAATGGGACAGAGATGCTCAAGCAAACGACTTTCTACATATGTATATATATTTATTGTTATTATTATTTACTTCCAGGGACCACCTCCACATGAATGCTACTCAATGGGAAACACTTACGGATTTCGTTAAGTGGCTCGGACGGGAGGGCAAGTGTGTGGTAGATGAGACGGAGAAGGGATGGTTTGTGACCTACATAGACCGAGATCCGGCTGCTGTCGCTGCCATGGAGGCCAAGGCCAAGAAGGAGAAAATGGATAAGGATGATCAGGTTAGATATTCCATGTCTGTAAAGCCCATGGTATAATAATGATAGTGTTTTTTTTTTATGGATGAAAATGGTATGGTAACCCCGCCTGCGCTAACGGGATACGCTGGCGGAGCACCAGTGAAGGGTGATAGATGAGAATGAAAACAGGCCAGTTAGCCCATCATGATGAATTCATCAGGAATTAACCATGATAGTTTCCAGGGGGAACCACGAGGATGTCGACCTGGTTGAGTATATTGCTAGCAATGGGATTCTCAGTCTCCATTACTAACAATCCCTTTCCCCCCAATAATGATAGTGTTGTATCCTAAGATAGAGCACACTCACATCTATGGCTGTATACAATTATGGTCTATGTCTCTATATATTGTATTAAAAAGGTATAATATTTTCTCTCTATGTGTGTTCACTCCATTTTGTTAAACGTTCCACATGTTTCTCTACTAAAATTAATTGTAAGAAAGAAAAAGTTGTTTGTTGCAAGCCTTCCTGTATATATATAACTATATATATATATATATATATATATATATATATATATATATATATATATATATATATATATAATATATATAATATATTACCATTAAAATATAACCATTATGACTCAATTAGATAGATAGATAGATACTCTTTATTGTTCCCTCCAAAAGATTACAATAGTAAACTTATTATAGATACAAACAATTACAAGAAATGATCACAGTGAGACAACAATGGGCGGCCTTATCGCTAAGAGCGGTCTTGCAGTCAACCTTTGGATGGAGAGGAGTAATTATAAAGAATTAGGTTTTTTATTAAAATAAAATCTTTAAACACCCATAGGAAAGAATGCTAGAGTTCATCGAGAAGCAAGTGGAAAGAGGCAAGAAGAGTAGCAACGTCAACGAGCCTGCGTACACGGAGTTCAAACGAGAGAGCAGTCAGGAACGGATCACGCTGAGTTTGAAGAGAAAGACTGATGGTGAGTCATTTTTCTATTTATTTATAGCAAGGCAACAGATTACAAATTAATACATTAATAAAATAAATATTACATAAAACAGCATCAAATTTGCACTCCGACAACTGCTCTGCATTACATTCGATATTAGAAACATTAAAAGAATGACGGCTGTAGATTTAAGTAACAAATTGCCAGCCTTAATGTACCATTGCAAGGATCGTTGGAAGATATCAAGCTCCTTGCATACATTGTTTGTTATATTTTCTGCACATGCGGATAATTGGGATTGTGATACGATACATTATTATTACAAATCGGTATATAAAATAATTTTTGTATTCTTTTATTACCTGTACGGAATGAAACTGAAAAATTTTTAGCCTAAGCTTTTTGTTTACTACTTCGTATGTTTGGATTTCCGAAGTAGGAATACCAATGGAATGATCACTTCTAAATGGTGCACTGAGATGAAACATGCATAAAATTTTAAGTTACCAGAGGGAGACTGTACAAAAGTCGTTTGCTTGGCCACCTCTGTCCCATTCGTGTTTCTACCGTGAAGCAGTTGTGTTTGCATGGTTGTGTTTCGGTTTGAAGGGTGGGATATGGCATGAATTTACAGGGTACAGAGGAATAACATCTGAGTCCTCAGGAATGGCAACGCATGAGGGGTATCATGGGCGAAACAGTATACTCTGTTATGTCCATGGTACTGCTCATATCTATAGGCGACGGTTACCACTTTCCATCAGGTGGGCCGTCAGCTTGTTTGCCATTCTAAGTTGTATATAAAAAAAAGACATATGTATCTTGTAATTGCATCTGGTATATTTTTGTTGAATAAATTACATTATTATTCACCTTTATAACTGATTCACGCGAGCAATACCGCGGGTAATAGCCAGTTTCATACGATACAAGAATGTTTTAATTTCATTTCAGACAAAAAACCAGAATCTCTCTCAGCGTCAGCTCTAAAACTGTCCAAGACGAAAGAAGAGTCCTCCAGCAAGAAGCACAAGACAGAAGAGGGCAGGAGCAAACAGTCAGCCCTTGACGAGATTATGCATATGCAGGAGCGTGCGAAAGAGAAAGCGAATAGGTAATAAATTTTACAAACTTTTATGCAACTGACGTCACGACCGATTCTAGGACATCATTTTTCTAAACCTATTTCTCTTTATTTAATAAATACTCCTCATCATTGTAATTTTTTTTATACATACTTAGAATGGCAAACAAGCTGACGGCCCACCTGATCGAAAGTGGTAACCGTCGCCTATAGACATGAGCAGTACCATGGACATAACAGAGTATACTGTTTCGCCCATGATACCCCCCATGCGTTGCCATTCCTGAGGACTCAGGTGTTATTCCTCTGTACCCTGTAAATCCACGCCATATCCAACCCTTCAAACCGAAACACAGCCATGCAAACACAACTGCTTCACTGGTTGAAACATGAATGGGATAGAGGTACCCAAGCAATCGACTTTTGTACAAAGTCTCCCTTTAACTGTCCACTGGTGAACATAAGCTTTCCCCTTGGGGGGGGAGGGGGGGGGGGTGCCAGTAGTTTTACAGGCTTAGCACGCGGGTTGGTAACCGCAGTTAGGCTTTAGAGATGTCTCAAGAGGGACGCTGCTGTCCATCCCTCGCTCTCCATTAGTCGTAATAACCGTCGTCTATAGACATGAGCAGTAACATGACATAACAAACTATAATGTGTCGCCCATGATACACCCTATGCGTTGCCATTCCTGAGGACTCAGGTGTTATTCCTCTGTACCCTGTAAATCCACGCCATATCCAACCCTTCAAACCGAAACACAGCCATGCAAACAGAACTGCTTCACGGTAGAAACACGAATAGGACAGAGATGGCCAAGCAAACGACTTTTGTACAAAGTCTCCCTCTGGTAAATTCCTGATTTCCCGTCGATTCGTTACAGAAAGGACTACTGGCTGACGGAGGGGATCGTAGTGAAGATTATTACGAAGTCACTCGGCGACAAGTTCTACAAACGGAAGGCGCTCGTGGAGAAAGTGGTGGACAAGTACGCGGCCCATGTGAAGCTGCTAGACGAAGGTGTCAAGTTGAAATTGGATCAGGTAAGCAAGGACGGATAAATAGAGTTCATAATGAAAGATACCTCTGTCCCATTCGTGTTTCTACCGTGAAGCAGTTGTGTTTTAATGAGTGATAATGGAATGGTAACCCCGCCTGCGCTAACGGTAACTGGCGGGACACCAGTGAGGGATGATAAGTGAGGATGAAAAGACAGATCAGTTTTTTTTTATGGGTGAAAATGGAATGGCAACCCCGCCCGCGCTATCGTTATACGCTGGCGGGGCACCAGTGGAAGATAATAGGTGAGAATCCTGACCTAATAGAGTGTATTGCTAGCAATGTGTAAATTTTTTTTTGATGGCTGAAAATGGTATGGTAATCCCGCCTGCGCTAACGGGATACGCTGGCGGAGCACCAGTGAAGGGCGATAGATGAGAATGAAAACAGGCCAGTTAGCCCGTCATGATGAATTCATCAGGAATCAGCCATGATAGTTTGCAGGGGGAACCGCGAGGAGGTCGACCTGGTTGTAATATATTTCTAGCAATAGGATTCTCAGTCTCCATCACTAACAATCCCTTTCCCCTCAACAATGGGTCAGTTTGAGCTCATTACTAACAATCCCTGTCCCCTAGGGCAGGTCAGTTAGCCTACCGTGATGAATTCAACACGATGGTTTCCAGGGGACACCACGGGGAGGTTGACCTGTTAGAGGACATTGTAAGCAATGGGACTGGTAGTTCGAATTACTAACAATCCCTTCCCACCCAATACAAACGAATTGTGAACCTTTTGCTTTTGGACGACGATTGAAAATGCCTCTTCGTCTACAGAATCACGTGGAGACCGTGATACCGTCGCAGGGGCGCTCGGTGCGGTTCGTGAACGGCGCGTACCGTGGCCACACGGGTCTCATGCGGCACATAGACACAGACAACTACTGCTGCGACGTGGAGGTACGTGACTGGCATGCAGCACGACATCTACCAGTATCACCATTTGATGTGGCGAAACATAGTGGACATAAACTGAAAAAATAATGGAGTAAACTTGGCATATGCAATATCTCTATGTTTCTGGCAAATAAATTTAATTTCATTTTTACTGCTGAGGTGGCAATCAAGCATACGGCCCGTATACCTGATGATAAGTGGTTTTTTAATGGGTGATAATGGAATGGTAACCCCGCCCGCACTATCGGTATACACCGACGGGGCACCAGTGAGGGATGATAGGCGAGGATGAAGCAGATCAGTTAGCCCATCGTGAAGAATTCAACATGGATTGTTCAAGATGGTTTTCAGGGGGAACCGAGTTGAGGTCGACCTAATAGGGCATTTTGCTAGCAATAGGGCTGTCAAACTCCATTGCTAACAATCCCTTTCCCGGGATTTGATGAGAATTTGGTCCCAGATTCGATCCCCGATCGGGCCAATTTTGAAAAGTTCTCAACTGAAATTGCATTCCTAACTGAGCGGTAGATTCATACAAAACAATGACAAATCAAAAATGCTTTCAACTAAGTTTAAAAATATTTTTATTTTATATTGAAAAATATTTTTGCTTTTCAGATATCCGAAGGTCCCCTGACAGGACGCGTCGTGAAAGGTGTTCAGTACGAAGACATAAGTAAATTGGCCTCGTGACACCATACCCAAATACCATGCGTACCATGAAGAGTAACCACACAGGCGGACAATGCTTGACAGCTGTTCAGCGGTCACAAGATCGAATCCCAGCTTGGCACTTCAATTTCAGGGGAAAGGAATTGTTAGTAATAGAGTCTAACTATCTGACTGCGGGGAGGGCAGCATTGCTACCAATGTTCTCAGTCAGGTCAACATCCAGGTGGTCCAACTAGAGTGAGTGGTACAACTAGAGAAATGCAAACAAGCTGACGGCCCACCTGATGGAAAGTGGTAACCGTCGCCTATAAACATGAGCATTACCATGCACATAACAGAGTACACTGTTTAGCCCATGATACCCCCTATGCGTTGCCATTCCTGAGGACTCGGGTGTTATTCCTCTGTGCCCAATAAATTCACGCCATATTCCACCCTTCAAACTGAAACACAGCCATGCAAACACAACTGCTTCACGGTTGAAACACGAATGCGACAGAGGTGGCCAAGCAAACGACTTTTGTACAAAGTCTCCCTCTGGTAAATATATGTTGTATAAAAATACTAGCAAATCTCCCCTTATGGGGAAGGCTTCAATTCAATATTTATTCAATAATGGGCAGTTAACAGTTTACATGGTATATATAAATACAGGTTCATCATCGTCATCATAACAGCGTTTAACTGTCCACTGCTGGGGGGGAAGGGATTGTTAGTAATGGAGACTGAGAATCCCATTGCTAGCAATATACCCAACCAGGTCGACCTCCTCACGGTTCTCTCTGGAAACTATCATGGTTAATTCCCGATGAATTCATCATGATGGGCTAACTGGCCTGTTCTCATTCTCATCTATCACCCTTGACTGGTGCTCCGCCAGTGTATCCCGTTAGCGCAGGCGGGGTTACCATACCATTTTCACAAATCAAAAAACTGTCCACTACTGAACATAAGCCTCCGCCTTTGGGAGTTTTGCCAGTAGTTGTCACACTTGGTGGATTGGCAACAACAGTTAGGCTTTAGAGATGTTTTAAGAGGGACGCTGCTGCCCATCTCGCTCTCCAATAGTCGCCTCTTACGACAATCACGAGAAAGGGTGGAAAAATACAGGTTAATTGTATTGTATTGTAATATCTTTATTCTACATAATTTACTAATTTGTGGCCAATAGACAATAAAAAAAAAATATTTTTAGATTATACAGATAGAGTGTCTCCATACAAATGCTTCGAGAAAAGCGGCTCAACTTTTTCATACAATTTTGCGTGACAAATAGTTATGAGTGATTCCTTTATGACTTGTATATTTATTTTGTCTTATAATTTCTGCATCTTTTTAATGCGTAAACACTCATTTTATTTATTAAATAATTGAATATAGATACGTCAAGATACATTGTGTGCGTAAGTATATAGAACAATAATAAAAAAATTTGCTAATTTGACAATTAACTGACAAAAAGTTGACCCGTTTTTGAGCCTCGATGCTCTATGTATATAATCTAAATATTTAAAACACAATGGTGAACTTATCCCATAGAGGGATCTCTTGCAGTCTTTTAATATAGGTTAATTAATATGTGATAATTTATTTGTGATGTAAATAAAATGTAAATTAAAAATATTACTTTACTGTTGTTTTTATTTTTCACTAGCTTCCCGTCAATGTTAAATTTTTTTTAAATTACCTCAAAATTGTACCTTTTTGGAATTAGTATGAGATGTAGATGTATTGAAATAAAGTTTCAAAACGTTACGATACGTTTTTTTTTTTATACCAGCTTTGTTCAAATTTCAGTTAGAAAACTTTTAAACGTAAAGTTCGCATCTAGTTTATGTTTTAATTTTCTTGTTGTTCAATATACTTGAATATCATTTTAATTAGGAAGACTTATTCTTGGCTACCTTGAACAAAAAACAACAATAAAATGAAAAAAAAAATGGTAAAATTTAATATTTAGCTTACATGGATATTTTCACCACACTTTGAAAACAAAGCATAACTTAATACTACAAGACTTAGGACAATAAATTTTAGTATTTTTGTTAGATAATAAATCTCACTATACCCATAATCCGTCAGTCCACTACTTACGGGACACTGTATACGAGGTCTGTCCGGAAAGTTCGTATAAAAGTGTTCTGGAATGCGAGAAAGAGGAGTGGGGAGGCCAGGTAAGCGCAGGACCCCTTCCTTATGTCCCTAACAATGCTTCAGTTCTGGTCTGACCGCCGTGCGGTGCGAACTGGCTTGTCACGCCATCTGTGAAGTTACCTCTTAACGAAACCCCGTCGGCATGGAGCCCGCTTCCGTTGAAGAGCAGCGCGTCGTAATCAAGTTTCTCTCGAAACTCGGCAAGAATGGCCGTGAAATTTTTGCCGATCTAATTCGATAAGACATCCGGGGAACCACGAACAAAAAAATCAAGAAAATCCCGCTCAAATGTCAAGACAATGTTGATTGTTTTTTTCGATGTTCGGGGGATTGTCCATCAAGAATTCGTCCCTCCAGGCCAGACAGTTGATGGAAAATTCTACGTCGATGTGCTCAGACGCCTCAAAGCTCGTGTGGCACGAGTTCGTCCAGAATTGGCGCGAGAGGGGCGTTGGATTCTTCACCACGACAATGCCCCTGCCCACACCTCTCTTGTTGTCCGTGAGTTTTTGAGTAAAAATTCCATTACGGTGACCGAACACCCCCCCTATTCGCCGGATTTGGCCCCGTGTGACTTCTTCTTGTTCCCAAAAACCAAATTGGTACTTCGGGGGCGGCATTTGGGGGACATAAATGAGATAAAAAAAGCTACGACGGGGCAGCTGAGAAACCTACAACCAGAGGACTTTCAAGGAGCCTTCTCACAGTGGAAACGGCGTTGGCACAAGTGCATTATGTCACAGGGGGAGTACTTTGAAGGGGATAAAATTGATTTACCTGAATAATTGTAAAATAAAATTTTTAAAAACTTTTATACGTACTTTCCGGACAAACCTCGTAATATACTACTGTAATGATAAATTAAAACAACAGATTAAAAAAAAATAATGCAGAAACATACTTACAACTAAAGCAAAAAGTACAATTAAAAAGCAAAAGAAAGGAATAAAGAAAAAAGTAATAAAAAAAAACAAGTTATTTAGGAAGCAAACTCGTAATTTATATTTAAAGGTAGACATGTTTTTAATAGATATAATGTTATCTATAAAATAAAAATGAAAAGTCATTATCTATGTAGCTCACAGATGTTGAACACTTCAATTATTATGCCAATATCAGCTGTTGTCGCGCGCCATTTGTCCTTCATCGATAACATCGACACATTTCCTTCAAGAGTGTTTGCTTCACATAACTGTGTATTGGTTTACCTATTTGTACTGCTCAGCGATAAAAAAAAATAAGTGGACGTGAAATACTTAGTACACACTTAGATTATATAGATAGAGTGTCTCCATACAAATGCTTTGAGAGACGCGGCTCAACTTTTTCATACAATTTTGCGTGATAAATAGTTATGATTGTTTCTTTTATAACTTCTATATTTATTTTGTCTTATATTTTTTATACATTTTTTATTGCACTTGAACAAAAGATACAGCGATTAATTTAAGAACTTGTTAGCAAGGGTTGCAATTTTTGCACCTTTTTAATGCATCATTTTTAAAACTCATTTTATTTATTAAGTAATTAAATATACATAGATACGTCAAGATACGTTGTGTGCGTAAGTGTATAGAACACTGATAAAAAACGAGTCGGCTAATTTGACAATTAGCTGACAAATAGTTACCCGTTTTTGGGTCTCAATGCTCTATCTATATGATCTAAGAATGTATCGTATCGCAGTCCAATTAATCGCATGTGTAGAAAATATAACAATGTATGTAAGGAGCTTGATATCTTGGTATAATCATTGTGCAGCGAAAATTCATCAACTACAAACACAGATTCTGAGAATAATCGCGTTCGAATATTTTTTTACGTAAAAATCGATATAGCTTCTAAATGCTATCAAAATCATTTGTAGAAAGACAACATAGCTTACAGTTCAATAAAACTACGTGTAATGAATGAAATTCAGCAGCTGTTTATTTGGTTAAACTAAGAAAAAAATCAATTTAATTATTTTTCGCGAAGAAATGTCCGGTAGAATTGGCACTTAGGTACTTTTTTTTTAACAGATGATAATGGAATGGTAACCCCACCCGCGCTATCGGTATACATCGGTGGGGCACCAGTGAAGGATGATAGGTGAGGATGAAGTAAGTCAGTTAGCCCATCGTGACGAATTCAACAAGAATTGTTCACGATGGTTTCCAGGGAGAACCACGTGGAGGTCGACCTAATAAGGCATATTACTAGTAATGGGGCTGTCAAACTCCATTGCTAACAATCCCTTTCCCCACACTTAGGTACTTATTGACATTATGTAATTTCAAATTTATGAAAAAAAATACTTATATTGTAGATATAGGGTAGATTATTGTATTTCAAACCAATTGGGGCAAAAAAAATAGGTTTCGCCAAAAATGTTAGTGACTTTTTTGCTGCACAACGACGATATTTCTCTCGTACTCGCTGTACCCAACAGGGTCTATAATTGAAATGTTATCGACTAATTATATTATGGAATGCAATAAGAAATAAATAAATAAATATTTCATATTAGTGTTTCTTTCGTACTTGTATTTAGGCCGTATGGGCGCGGCGCGTGGCTTTTTTTTTATACAACTTAGAACGGCAAACAAGCTGACGGCCCACCTGATGGAAAGTGGTAACCGTCGCCTATAGACACGAGCAGTACCATGGACATAACAGAGTATACTGTTCCGCCCATGATACCCCCTATGCGTTGCCATTCCTGAGGACTCAGGTGGTATTCCTCTGTACCCTGTAAATTCACGCCATATCCCACCCTTCAAACCGAAACACAGCCATGCATACACAACTGCTTCACGGTAGAAACATCTCCAGCGAGATGTAATTATACAGCGCTAATTTTCATGCGGCTCCTTAACTCAATTAACTTTAGCATCCGTACTCGGAGGGAAAGGGATTTTTAGTAATAGAGATTGAGAATCCCATTGCTAGCAATATACCCAACCAGGTCGACCTCCGCGCGTTTCTCCCTGGAAATTATCATGGTTAATTCCTGATGAATTCATCATGATGGGCTAACTGGCCTATTTTCATTCTCATCTATCACCCTTCACTGGTGCTCCGCCAGCGTATCCAGTTACCAGTAAAATGAATTGTTTTTTTTTCTTTTTTATTGTTGTTTTTCTAACTATTATTGTTGGTAATCAAGACTGTATCTATCTATGTATTAGAAATAAAATACTTATTTAATAAAGTGAAATTTACGAAGTACTGAATTAATAAAGTTGGTACAAACAAGATAAATAAATTGAATGTTGGTCTTATTCAATCTATGTTAGCTGAACTTAAACCAGAAATTTTTGAACGTCTCTGTAAATTATTGATGCCCATTAATTCTTCTCTTTCCGCGTCTAGGGAAGGTAGATAAAGTTTTGTTTGAGAAAACAGTTTAGGATACAATAGGACTGATATACCTGAAGAAGGTAAAAGTCCTTAAATTATTAAAAAAAAAAAGATTGTCTATTATTATGTACCTACCTAATTTTATAATAAATTTTACCTAAACAATTATATTATTACTTCGATAAATTCGATTTTATTCGATTTGGTACCCCGTTACTTTTATCTACAATAATGTTGCCAGTAAAAAAACTTATTACTTTTAATATAAAATTCTCTTCATGTTTAGCAATTGGGTTCAATAAATTTTTTAAAATTTTATTTTTCAATTATAAGAGATCAAACTCACAGTTTTTAATGTTATAAGGAATAAAGGAATAGTGGAGACTTAGGTGGACTCGTTATTCGCATTTCATAGGCGTAGTAAAACGTACAATGTACTAATCGACTGGCTATGTAATCACAAAAACGAGACAAGAAAATAATAACACTAGTGCGTGTTTTTTAAACATGTGTACGTAATATGTTTGAATTTAGTATGATATTAAATTTACAAAATAGCAAATATTCACGAAATTATTATAATTTTAATTTGATTAATGGATGCTCAGAGCTTAATTTTTTTTGATGAGTGAAAATGGTATGTTAACCCCGCCTGCGCTAACGGGATACGCTGGTGGAGCACCAGTGAAGGGTGATTGATGAGAATGAAAACAGGCCAGTTAGCCCATCATGATAAATTCATCAGGAATCAACCATGATAGTTTCCAGGGGCAACCGCGAGGAGGTCGACCTGGTTGGGTCAGAGCTTCATTTGGATTAACTTAGATTTTTTTGTACCAAATTGTTTTTTTTTATTGTGCTATTATATAATACTGTGTCAAAAGAGATACAATTTTAATGCGTAATTACGTGAAGAATGTGCCATTATGCGGTTCTTTTTCTACATTTACTTTAAACTAATTTCAAATCTACTTCTTCTTCCTACCCTTATCACAATTATTATATGGAGTCGGTGTAAAATGTTTTTATCTATATTATAAAAAGATTTGGCTTAGTTTTACGACCGGCCGCCTGCCTGACGTCAATCCTCTTTGGTAAACTAATTCCAAATCAAAATACAAAAAATTATTAGAACTCCTTCACACACTCCCGTGAAATTAGTTTCAAGCTTATATTGTATAGACAAGAGTTCTACTTGTCTATCTCGCTCTAATTTATTAGTTATTAGGTTTTCTCTTTTAACATCGTCAGTATATATACTTTATTATCTAAGTTATACTTATTGATTATGGTCGTAACTCATTTAGACCCATGAATTTTATATTGTTTAAGCCAATTTCCATATATTTGCTTGTTGCGTTTGCGTCATATTTCATATTTTAATGGAAATAGTGTTTCTTATAATTTAGCAATTTAAGTATACTGCTGGGTAAAAGTATGTATATAGTTATATATAAAGGAGGGCAATGGTACATACAAACTGTACAGACAAACTGAATATGTTTTATGTTATGCATCTGTTAAAAAAGAATAATTAAATAAAAAAATAAATAATGATGTAGTAAGCGAAGTTAACGATTTTCTAAAATCGTTGGGTATACTTGAGACGAATGAAGTAAGAATTGATTGTAAGTAAAGGAGCATTTTGCAAACAAATATTCTCTACCTACCTCGTAACAGTCTATCTATGTGATTCTCAACCTTTTTTTGTTGCGGCACATATTTAACGATTTCAAAATTTGGCGGCACACAAAGAAAAAGATAAAAATTATTTACTTACTACAACACACTGCATAAATAGTTTATGACAAAAACTTTAAATATTTGCAAAATTTGGCGGCACACTTTTAAAATTTGGCGGCACACAAAAGTGCCGCGGCACAGTGGTTGAGAATCACTGGTCTATGTAATAGAATGAGCTCTAGAAAATGTATTAACATATTATTTTGGCATTTGTCTAGAGAAAAAACTAATTAAGTATTATATGTATATTAGTATTATGTTATTATTTTGCATCATAAGTTCGGTAGTAATAAATATTGGTTTATTAGTAAGACTAAAAAAATATATAACTTTTTTAGAATATTACTTTCATATTTGGACAGAAATAGAAAATTATATATGGCAACCCAAGCAGGCCTGGCGTGACGCCGGCCGGCGTCGACTCGATTACGTATGGTTATTCGATAACAAAACGAGCTGCAAGTCTGTCGAGTCACAGAGTATAGATAGAATAATAAATACATACATACGGAGTGCGGACTTTTGATTTGACTCATTCTTCCCGCAGCGACTACCATGGCGCCAGTGTGTTTATTACGGACTAGTGGTGTTTTCCTATTATTATTTTTATTATTAAGCGCATGTGTTGCCTCGCCGCCATGGATATTTTCCGTGCGTGTAAACAATGTTTCGTGTACTGACAATACGTGTTACTATAACGTAAATGTGACCGGTAATGGTGTTAAAGAGTGGTCGTTAACCTCCAAGCCGGGTGTAAGAGGTGAACTTTGTGAAAACATTGTTTCTATCGAGAGAACGCTAAATAACGTTGACATAAAAGTGTCCAAGTCTGGAAAGTTGTATTTCTGTGCTAAAGGCATTTACGGGTGGACACATCAAGGGAGCAGTATATTTTTGGACGCAAATGACGTCATCAAACGAAATGAGTGGAGGTGAGTCCAGTGATATGTTTTTTTTCGAAACCGATTTGAATATAAATATACATACAAGTGTGTACATAGGGTTACATTTTTAGATTAACTATTCACAGCAAGGTAAAGCTGTTTGTAATTATTTTGTGATCCTATTTGATTTACTTTTTAATACGCCAGCTATTCGTATGGAGATTAGTATAAGGTATTTTTTTAATTTGGAATAAAAATGATAAAATGGCGGTATATTTGAAATTGTCAATTGTATTTTTACGTGTGAATACTGAATTATATAATAACATATAGCTATATAAATGTTGCCAAGTGGTTATTTAAGCGTATACCTATTTCGTTGTCTTATTACATGATTAGATTATTGATCAGCGTTGTGATTTAAGATTAGATAGGTATGTGTCACGAATTATTACGCACGCGGGTAGTTGCACAAGTGCGTCACCCCAGCTGGAACAGTTGGCAACCTTGATGGGAAGTTTTTTTTTTTAGTTTCATGACCAAGAAATAGATTTTAATGCCTTACCGCTGAACATTTAATTACTAATCTTTAGGTAATATTTTAAGTTCTTTTATTAATATTTATAGTAGGTATATTATCTATTATATGTACAAAATACATAGATTATATATTTTTTACAGTGTTAATTAATAAATAAATATTAATAATTAAATTATAAATTAATAATTAATTCACCAGAGGGAGACTTTGTACAAAAGTCGATTGCTTGGGTACCTCTGTCCTATTCGTGTTTCAACCGTGAAACAGCTGTGTTTGCATGGCTGTGTTTCGGTTTGAAGGGTGGGATATGGCGTGAATTTACACGGTACAGAGGAGTAACACCCGAGTCCTCAGGAATGGCAACGCATGGGGGGTATCATGGGCGAAACGGTATACTCTGTTATGTCCATGATACTGCTCATGTCTATAGGCGACGGTTACCACTTTCCATCAGGTGGGCCGTCAGCTTGTTTGCCATTCTAAGTTGTATAAAAAAAAAAGTTAAGTTTATTATTTTCATATTATTTGATTATGCTAAGTCCGTTGGCAATTTCTTAATTGTAATTTTTATATACTTAATAATTTTATTAAAATACCCACATTTTTTTTTTATCTATACGTAAATACCCACAAAAATGACAAACGTGAAATGAACACTTTGTTAATGTACAATTAAATTCACATGAATTTTATCATCGTCATCGAAGTCATTATCCGTCCACTGCTGGACATAGGCCTGCCCGTAGACCGCCATAAGGAACGGTCCTGAGCCACCTGCGTCCGGGGGGAAGGGATTGTTAGTAATGGTGACTGAGAATCCCATTGCTAGCAATATACCCAACCAGGTCGACCTCCTCGCGGTTCCCCCTGGAAACTATTATGGTTAATTCCTGATGGATGCATCATGATGGGCTAACTGGCCTGTTTTCATTCTCATCTATCACTTTTCACTGGTGCTCCGTCAGCGTATCCCGTTAGCGCAGGCGGGGTTACCATTTTCACCCATCATAAAAAGTGTCTTTTACGTTTTGAGTAGATAAATGATAAAATTGTATAAAAATACTACTGTAAATGGCGGTAAATACGTACTAATTCAATTAGCCACTCACTAGTTACTACGAAACAGGGTAACGAGCCTAGTGTAGTGATCACTGATAAGTAAATTGAGCAAGTACTCGCAATTTTATTAAAAAAAAAAATTACAGTCTATTAATTTTCAATATTTCTAATCGATTATTTATACCCGTAACCGGCGAGCGTGTATGAAAAGATTGATGAATGTGGAGGAAGCGAGAGAGGTTTGTTCGAATCGAAGCATTTGGCGTTCCATTGTTTCTGCGCTACCCTAATGGGAGACAGGCGTGACAGATATGTATGTATTATTTATAAAGTTGCCTTGTAGATATCCCAGCATGGAATTGACCACACTTTCCGTTCCCGTGGGTGTTGTAAGAGGCGATTAAGTCTTAATGACCGAGGGATGGGCAGCAGCGTTTCTTTTAAAAAGACTATTCATTCCTAGAGAATACATTATAGGGTCAAAAAGGGTGTATTAAGGTTCCTTCAGGGTCGGCGACGCGCACGTGACAACCCTGGTGTTGCAGGCGTCCATGGGCTACAGCGACCGTTTACCATCAGACGGGCTGTATGCTTGTTTGCTACCTTTGTGGTATAAATAAAAGCTTTTTATTTATACATATAATAAAACTGTAGAGGCCGAGTGTCTGGTGTGCCATAGGAATTGCTAGAACGTAGGTAGTTTTCGATGCGATTGTCTGCGAAACTAGCTGACCTGACGGTAAGTGGTAACCGTCGTCTATAGACATGAGCAGTACCGTGGACATAACAGAGTATACTGTTTCGCCCGTGATACCCTGTGCGTTGCCAATCCTGAGGACTCAACAGTATATGTTGCACATCATCGATGATAACTCAAACTGGACAACGGGGCGACCAGAATCTTCCCATTATATGTAGGAACGTTGCCGACATACATACCTTTTAGATGACTTATGCTTATCGCAGACTAGTCATTGCAAAAATTCCTAAAGACCAGAAAACGCGATCTTGAAATCCTAATTGTCAAATGCCTGAAGTCGTGTTGGTTGCCGCCAAAATTTGTACTTGCAAGGGAAACATAATGATAGCTTGTTTAACTTTTATCCAACGCCATCTAGCAGCAAATTGTCGGTTTAATTTTTACCCTTACTCCGTACTTATTATACAAATTTACCAGAGGGGGACTTTGTACAAAATTCGTTTGCTTCGGCACCTGTGTACCGATTCGTGTTTCAACCGTGAAGCAGTTGTTTGCATGACTGTGCTTCGGTTTGAAGGGTGAGATGTGGTTGTGAATTTACAGGGTACAGAGAAATAATATCTGAGTCCTTAGGAATGGCAACGTATAGGGGGTATCATGGGCGAAACAGTATACTCTGTTATGTCCATGGTACTGCTCATGTCTATAGGCGACGGTTACCACTTTCCATCAAGTGCTCTGCCATTCTATGTTGCATAATAAACAAAAACTGATCTGCCTTTCATCTCACCTATCATCCCTCATTGATACCCCGCCAGCGTATACCGTTAACGCCCGCGGGGTCATCATCATTCCATTGTCATCAATTAAAAAAAAAACTATCACCCCTCACTAGCGCCCCGTCAGCGTACCCCTTTATTTTTTTTTATATTGAGGCGTGGCTTGGAATCGCGTCCTTTCGCCATTGCGCAGGCGAGGTCCCTATTCTATTTTCTCTCTATTAAATCGCTACCATATTTAGATAAACAGATAGATAGATATATAATTTATTTGCATCACTTACAGCACAAAAATAACAACAACCATAGATAGATATATACATACACAAAAAAAAACAATACATATACTAAAAAAAACAAAAACGAAAGGGACATAGAGAATAAAGAAATGTCATTTTTTTCTATCCATTTAATATTTTTTTTTATTTAATTATTTCTTATTTTTTTTTTGTATAAAATGTTTTCGCATTTTCATTACCATTGATTTTTTTTGATGTGTGAAAATGGTATGGTAACCCCGCCTGCGCTAACGGGATACGCTGGCGGAGCACCAGTGAAGGGTGATAGGTGAGAATGAAAACAGGCCTGTTAGCCCATCATGATGAATTCATCAGGAATTTAACCATGATAGTTTCCGGGGGGAACTGCGAGGAGGTCGACCTGGTTGGGTATATTACTGGCAATGGAATTCTCAGTCTCCATAACTAACAATCCCTTTCCCCCCTACCATTGATATTGGGATCGATTATCAAAATTATGCAATTACGCTTGAGTGCGGCCTATACTGCACTTTACCACTAAGAGATCCCTGTCTGTCAAAAGGTCGTCGACCCGTGGCGGTTTATCATGAAATGAAATTCCTAATTTTCGCTTCAGTAAATGGAGCTTTATATTGTCATTCATAAATCCTACTATCAAAAGTCTAAAGGAACGATATTGTTGCAGATTCAATTTAATATATAAGATTTTTTTTATACAACTTAGAATGGCAAACAAGCAGACGGCCCACCTGATGGAAAGTGGTAACCGTCGCCTATAGACATGAGCAGTACCATGGACATAACAGAGTATACTGTTTCGCCCATGATACCCCCCATGCGTTGCCATTCCTGAGGACTCAGGTGTTATTCCTCTGTACCCTGTAAATTCACGCCATATCCCACCCATCAAACCGAAACAGCCATGCAAACACAACTGCTTCACGGTTGAAACACGAATGAGACAGAGGTACCCAAGCAATCTACTTTTGTACAAAGTCTCCCTTTGGTAATTAACTCTTTTTACTTAATATTGCACGTACTGGCCACTTATACATTTTTTACTATTAAAAATATAATGCATTCTGTCGATTCTTTTTTAATTTTCCAAAAGAATGTTGAAAACATTTTTTTTTATTCATTAAAAACAATTATAACGGCAAAAGCCAAATCAATGTTATAAATCTAGTGTGCCAACATACAAAGTTATAATAAATGTGTTTAACCCGACTCGAGATATGTCTGAGCCGCTTCCAATATCTTTGGCAGGCTGCTACTAAATGTATCAATGTTGTTTATAATATTATTATCGAAGCATTTGGCGTTCCATTGTTTCTGCCTACCCTAATGGGAGACAGGCGTGACAGATATGTATGTATGTATGTAATATTATTTAATATTCGTACATAATAATATGTATTTTATTTATCTCGCCGTTCTTATAAATATATAATAGTTTAGCTGCATTTGCATCGTAATTATAGTTATTACTCTGTACCGTGTAAATTCGCGCCATATCGCACCCTTCAAACCGAAACACAGCCATGCAAACACGACTTCCTTCGTTCCTATTCTATGCAAGGACCACAAGCCAATGTACATTACATACAATGTACTAACTATTACAATGTACACATACAATACAATCGTGTTATTAATTGGTATCAATTACAATACTGAGTCATGTGAGCGCGTACACTGATAACACGCCGTCTGGCCAACTCGAAACATGTTTTTATATATAAACTAGCGGCCCGTATATATATATATATATATATATATATATATATATATATATATATATATATATATATATATATATATATATATGTATTGTTAATACACACACTATTTTTAGTAAGGGCTTTTGAATTATTTAAACCTGGCAACAGGAGCCAGCTATTATAGCCACGAATACGCAGGTTATGGAATGAGCTCAAGCCGAGGTTTTCCCAAGAGACTACAGCATGTCTTTTTTTTTAAAAAAAAAAAGGAGGTAAAGAGGTTTTTCAGGGTCGGCAACGCTCGCGTAATACCTCTGGTATTGCAGGCGTTCATAGGCTACGGTAACCGCTTACCATCAGGTGGGCGGTTGCTTGTTTGCCACTTCAGTGGAAATCAAGAAAGTAGACTGGGACCTCGCTATACCAGTCTCCTTGTACTATCCACCAGATAGTCCGTCAGCTTGACTGATTGTCAGAGTTACATAAAAAACCGCCTATAACCGGTCTACGGCCAATTGGACGAATTAAACTTGAACATCAATTTAATTGAACGAAATATACTAATGAATGAATGGTATGTATTGAATGAAACAAAACCGGTTAAAAGCGCATTTTTTTTTTTATAAATAGCTAGTTTTTAATGACGACTTCGCGTAACCGGGACATGTTTACTGACTGGGTAAATGTAATGTATTGTAAATTAGACTCTATTTCCCACGCTTAGCCTTTCATTTGGGCCGTTGTGCGTATGAGTCGTGGCTAGTACAGCTAACCTCCGCCCAGAAGGACAGAAGCTTGCTGGGATCTTCACAGGCCTCACGGAGCGACCTCACCGTTCCGAGGATTTCAAAATGTTGATAGGCCATAGCTTCACGTTCCAGGATTACGTGAGCAGCCGTTTCTTCGGCGTCGAAACAGCCTCGACATAGAGGGCTGTCTGTGGCTCCTATTGTGTATAAATGTTTGTTTAATGGACAATGGCCCGTTATTGTCCCTATACTGATTGCAATAATAGATTGCTGATTCGATTTAGAAACTAAATTGCGCTTTTAGAAAGATATATTATCCCTGAGTGCTATAGACTACTTTTTATTTTGTTTTTTTTTTTTTTATACAACTTAGAACGGCAAACAAGCTGACGGCACACCTGATGGAAAGTGGTAACCGTCGCCTATAGACATGAGCAGTACCATGGACATAACAGAGTATACTGTTTCGCCCATGATACCCCCCATACGATGCCATTCCTGAGGACTCGGGTGTTATTCCTCTGTACCCAGTAAATTCATGCCATATCCCACACTTCAAATCGAAACCCAGCCATGTGAACACAACTACTTTACGGTACAAACACGAATGGAACAGAGGTGCCTAAGCAATCGACTTTTGTACAAAGTCTCCCTCTGGTAAATATATTTTTTCAATAATTAATCGCGATAAATGTAATTGAAGTCGAGCAAAAATTCTATAAAATGGCGTGCGCCTGCCTACACGATTTGAAATAAAAAAATAAGATGTATAGCAAAAATTTTAATTCTTTTTTTGCTTTAAAGAAGAGATCACAACATTATATAGGTATCTAAGTTTACTATCTCAGCCAAAAAAGTTAGTTTTTATGTTAAATGTAAAATAAATTTTACGAGGCGTTAATTTTAAAATCATAGAGAATATCAATGCAGAACAATAGAGTAAAACTAACAGATTTTTTCATCGCGACTCCGATCAAACTGTTTATAATTACTCCTCTCCATCCAAAGGTTGGCTGCAAGAGATCGCTCTCAGCGATAAGGCCGCCCATTGTTGTCTCACTGCGATCATTTCTTGTAATTGTTTGTATCTATAATAAGTTTACTATTGTAATCTTTTGGAGGAAACAATAAAGAGTATCTATCTGTCTACTTGCACAGGCGCCGCAACGCTAACCTTACTAAAATGTGTTGAACAGTTTAAGAGTTATACAAACAAATATTGCACCTACTGTTTAAAATAAAGCAATAAAGATTATGTCCCACAAAATATTTATTTTAATTGCGACTAACTCGGTTATTTTGATTTAAAAACTAAATTACTTTAAAAAAATTTTGCTAAAATTTCTATTTAACTAATCTGTAAGTATGTATTATACATATTTACAATTTCAGATAATAAATAAATAAATATAAATATATACGGACAAATCACACAGATTGAGCTAGCCCCAAAGTAAGTTCGAGACTTGTGTTATGGGATACTAACTCAACGGTACTATATTTATAATAGATACATATATAGATAAACATCCAAGACGCAGGCCAATCAGGAAAAGATCGTTTTCCATCATGACCTGGCCGGTGATCGAACCCGGGGCCTCCACGTCGCAGGCAGGCGTGTTGACCGCTGCGTCACGGAGGACGACAAAAGAACTTTCCAAATCGATTTATTTTTACTTTTTGAAACTACATTTATGATTTTTATATTAATAAAAATTTCAATTTCATTTTATCAAATACTTACAGAAAAAGCGTGCCATTTTTTATAACATAAGCGTTTGCAAAAAAACCGTCTATTTCTTGCACTTATTGCATAAAATACGATAAAATCACAGTTTATAAAGTAATACTTGATAAAATACCTTGATAATATTATATTTGTGATAATAGGGCTGAATTGTGAGTCGTCAATTCTCTATATCTATGCCATAACTTTTTTTTTTTATACAACTTAGAACGGCAAACACACTAAAGGCCCACTTGATGGAAAGTGATAACCGTCGCCTATAGACATGAGCAGTATCGCGGACATAACAGAGTATACTGTTTCGCCCATGATACCCCTCATGCGTTGCCATTCCTGAGAATTCAGGTGTTATGCCTTTGTACCCTGTAAATTTTCTGATATATCCCACCCTTCAAACCGAAACACAGCCATGCAAACACAACTGCTTCACGGTAGAAACACGAAGGGACAGAGGTGGCCAAGCAAACGACTTTTGTACAAAGTCTCCCTCTAGTGAATTACCTCTTAATCTAATATTTTCAAATTGATAGTTTCACGAAATTATTGTTTTATGAGCCATCGTAAACTAAAATTACAGTAATTTTTACTTACATCTATTAGACAATTACTTCCTGTTGGTTTTTGCAATAAAGATTTTGCTGTGAAAGCAAATTGAAATATTAGAGACAGATTTAGAGTATTGACGAAATAACACGTGTATGTGTTGACAAAATTTACTTTTAAAATAAATTAGTTTTATTTTTTTTTTTTTTTTTAGTACGTTTGTTCCGTTTGGAACAGGCTAAGGTCGGAGACCATGCTGCCTAGTCTTCAAAAAGATAATTTGTCTGGAATTTAGTTTTATTCTGTTTCCTGTCACGTTTTTTAGACTTTTTTTTTCTCTTCATATGGCACGGCACCAGATGCATTCGTCATTTTTTTTTTTATAATTTTAAAGGGAAAATTATAATGTAGATATAGCGGTAAGTTAAAGGGAAAAGTATTCTTGACTCTATGGTCGGTTAACGCATACATAGATAACAATATTTTTTCTATAGTAAACATGACTGTTGTAAACATAGACTGAGTATAACGTACTTGGTCTAAGGTTGTAAATAGTTCTTTTCTCAATGGTGATCGGTCGCCATCTTTACGTCCATTTCTACCAACGTCATGTATGAGAGGCTCGTAACTCGTTAATTATTATTTCTCCACAAGTAACATTCAAAACGCACTGCAATCATAACAAACAATTACGCATCGTCCCGTCGCGTGTTTATGTACTCTACTCAAACTACAGCTGTTCAATTTAAACTAAATGTTCATTGTTCCCGCCATTTTTTCCATAGATATCTATTTGCAACCGACTTCAAGGAAATCGACAAGAAGCAGGTTCTCAATTCGATTGTATTTTTGTTTTATATTTAAATGTTTATCTCATAACTCTGTCAGTTGATTGGCCGATTTGGAAAATTCTTTTTTTTTTTTTAAATCTATCCGTTAGTTTAGTTTTTAAATTAAAATAATTGGTTTTGCCACAAATGACGTCGATTTTTTTTGTACTACAATTATTAAATGTTTCCTATTATCGAAACAGAAACATCACAAGCTAATGAAAGGGGGGGGGGATGGGATTGTTAGTAATAGGGAGTTTAGTCCCTATTGCTATCAATATACCCTATCAGGTCGACCTCCACGCGGTTCCTCCCGGAAACTATCGTGACCAATTTATCATTGAATTCGTCACAATGGGCTAATTGACCTGCCTCTTCATCCTCACCTATCACCACTCACTGGTACCCCGCTAGTGTATACCGATAGCGCAGGCGGGGTAACCATGCCATTTTCACGCATAAAAAAAAGCTAATGAAAGGGCAATAGTGCACTCGTCATAATTTACAATTATAAGAATTATAACTATAATTTTTTTTATAGCATACAGGGCAAACAAGCATGCAGCTTACCCGATGGTAAGCGTTTACCGTCACCATTAGACACCCGCAATATCACTTTTTTCTTAAAAGTTAAAATTACTATACAAAATATAAAATAAATACATAATGTTTCTAAACGTAAATTATTTTATAATGTAAACATCTGTTAAGAAAAGATTTTTGAAAGTGTCAATTTTAAGGGGTAACACGAAACCAGGCGAGCAGAACCGCGGACTATAGCTAGTAATTAATGATTACTTTAATAATTTGCCACAGTAGCATCGAAAAACACACAATAGTAAATTTGTAAAAAAAAAAATGAGTCCATTAGCTAATATTATTAGCAGTTCTTTATATTATTAGGCTAAAAACCTTCGCCGCTAATATCCAATGTTTTATTTTTTTACGATATAGCATTAAGCGGACACTCCCTTGGCCCGTCGCGTGACAAAGTCTATTAGTGATGTACTTGTCCAAAACACCGCTACGAAATGCGTTCGAACTCTGAATAAATTCAAATTTGGAACTATAATTTGCAATATTATAGGCAAAGATTTCGGATTGTAGAATTATAGGTGGGTACCCTTAAAGTCACCGCGAGTATAATTAAATTTCGAATACAGTTCAACAAAATAAACACAATTTTTTTTATTTTTTTTTTTATACAACTTAGAATGGCAAACAAGCTAACGGTCCACCTGATGGGAAGTGGTAACCGTCGCCTATAGACATGAGCAGTGCCATGGACACAACAGAGTATACTGTTTCGCCTATGACACCCCCCATGCGTTGCCATTCCTGAGGACTTAGGTGTTATTCCTCTGTACCCTGTAAATTCACGCCATATCCCACCATATATTGTGTGTGTGTGTATACACATTTGTGTATATATATATATATATATATACATATACACACATACATACACATAAACATACACACGCATACATACACACTTCTATAATAATTAAAAAGTTATAAATTGTGATGAGACACCTTTTAGCTTAATATATAATAACAAAACAAAAGCAATATAAAGCAAAGCAACATTAATAAAATAGTCAATTAGGTGCAGCAGTTATTGGCACTGTAAGATCTATTGTTGTTAATATATATTTTTTTTTTGATGGGTGAAAATGGTATGGTAACCCCGCCTGCGCTAACGTGATACGCTGGCGGAGCACCAGTGAAGGGTGATAGATGAGAATGAAAACAGCCCAGTTAGCCCATCATGATGAATTCATCAGGAATTAACCATGATAGTTTCCAGGGGGAACCGCGAGGAGGTCGACCTGGTTGGGTATATTGCTAGCAATAGGATTCTCAGTCTCCATTACTAACAATCCTTTCCCCCTTTTGAAGTCGGTTGCAAAGGACGTTTTTATTGTAAAAAAAACCCATTTCAATTCTGACAAAATACAGATAAGTGACTAGATGTTTGGGTTAAATATATTTATATTTAGAACGCGGATTTGCGTCTTGCGATTGCAAATAGATTTTACTTCACAACATGCAGTTTTTTTTTACTACGCAATAAAAGATGGCCGTTTTCAGCCGTTATAAACATGGAATATGGAAAAATATGGAACAAATACGGGAACGTGCTAAAAGTGAACTATGCAGCGCCATCTAGCTAATTATCGCTGACCTTTCTGTCGTTCAATCTGTTGTTGTATCAACCGATAAACGTCCACTGCTGGACATAGCCTCCCCCATAAGGGGGTTTTGCCAGCAGTTGCCACGCTTGGCAGGCGGATTGGCAATCGCAGTTTGGTTTTGGTGTCTTTTTAAGAGCTGCTGCCCATCCCTCGCCTTTCCTTAGTCGCCTCTTACGACACCTACTGGAAAGGAACGGGTGGCTTATTCTATGCCGGGACCACACAGCTAATATACTCGATGATCATATTTCTATAAAATTTATATATATATATATTCACCAGAGGGAGACTTTGTACAAAAGTCGATTGCTTGGGTACCTCTGTCCCATTCGTGTTTCTACCGTGAAGCAGTTGTGTTTGCATGGCTGTGTTTCGGTTTGAAGGGTGGGATATGGCAGTGAATTTACAAGGTACAGAGGAATAACACCCGAGTCCTCAGGAATGGCAACGCATGGGGCGTATCATGGGCGAAACAGTACACTCTGTTATGTCCATGGTACTGCTCATGTGTATAGGCGACAGATCAATTCGGCTGTATTTATGTTTGTCACCTCATATCTCTGTCAGTTGTAATTTATATCAAAATACACTCCTCGCAAAAATTAAGGGAACATAAAAATTTTTGAAATTTTTGGGTGATTTTCAACAGGCTGTATTTCAGTGAAAAATAATCGTACAGGAAATTTAAAAAAAGGGTTTTGAAGCTTGAAAACTCTAGTTTTCAGATTTTTTGGTGAAAAAATTTTTTGAGCTCCGGTTTCCATGCAATTCTTAAACAAAGCTGAAAATAATTTTTTTCTAAATTTTCTAGGTTTCGTTTTTCACTCTATGGGCATGGAAAAATTTTTTCGAGCTACTCCATTATATAGGTCTCTTAGCGTCTTTATTCAGCTTCAAAAATCGCTTTGGATGGCTCAATTACGACTATTTGTCTCCGAGATATCGAACTTTGAATGCAAAAGCATCCTTTTCCATTCAACTGCTAATATCTCTGAAACTACTGGTCGCACAGCAAGCGGGCGCCGAGTTTCTTTATCTGCATAAAATTTCCAATTAAGCACAGTCAAGAGTTAGTGAAGATAAAATTTTTTTCCACCTCTAACATTGAATTGAAAAAAGTGGAAAAAAGTGACTTTTTCTCCTTTTTTGGTTACTTGGCTGTATCTTCGCTAATATGGGCGGGAAAGCTAAGGTTTGAGGAAAATTTTACAGTCTATTGTTCCTTAAAGAACCCCCTAAATCCCTGGAGCGATCGGTTCAACGGTTTTTCCCGGACCAATTGATTGAAATTTTGGAAAAAATAAGGGAACAAGGTTTTTGTCCCTTAAACTCACCCTAATCCATTCAAAAATCTATAATTTCATTTGTTTTTCACTTTTTACTCAATTTTTTGTTTTTTAAAAATTCATTATCAAAAAAAAATCGAAAAAAATCAAAATTTTTAAGAAAAATTTTTTTTTTAAAAGTCGAAAAAAGCTTACAAAAAATTTTTTGACAAAAACTTTGATTGATGATGATCGATTTACCGCCGGCATTAGCGTTACCCAAAGCATACCACGTGGAGGTTGCATGGTCGGATTCGTCTTTTCAACTTATCAAAACTTTTTTCGACTTTTCAAAAAAAAATTTTTCTTAAAAATTTTCTTGATTTTTTTCGATTTTTTTTTGATAATGAATTTTTAAAAAACAAAAAAATTTAGTAAAAAGTGAAAAACAAATGAAATTATTGATTTTTGAATGGATTAGGGTGAGTTTAAGGGACAAAAACCTTGTTCCCTTATTTTTTCCAAAATTTCAATCAATTGGTCCGGGAAAAACCGTTGAACCGATCGCTCCAGGGATTTAGGGGATTCTTTAAGGAACAATAGACTGTAAAATTTTCCTCAAACCTTAGCTTTCCCGCCCATATTAGCGAAGATACAGCCAAGTAACCAAAAAAGGAGAAAAAGTCACTTTTTTCCACTTTTTTCAATTCAATGTTAGAGGTGGAAAAAATTTTTTTCTTCACTAACTCTTGACTGTGCTTAATTGGAAATTTTATGCAGATAAAGAAACTCGGCGCCCGCTTGCTGTGCGACCAGTAGTTCCAGAGATATTAGCAGTTGAATGGAAAAGGATGCTTTTGCATTCAAAGTTCGATATCTCGGAGACAAATGGTCGTAATTGAGCCATCCAAAGCGATTTTTGAAGCTGAATAAACACGCTAAGAGACCTATACAATGAAGTAGCTCGAAAAAATTTTTCCATTCTCATAGAGTGAAAAACGAAACCTAGAAAATTCAGAAAAAAATTATTTTCAGCTTTGTTTAAGAATTGCATGGAAACCGGAGCTCAAAAAATTTTTTCACCAAAAAATCTGAAAACTAGAGTTTTCAAGCTTCAAAACCCTTTTTTTAAATTTCCTGTACGATTATTTTTCACTGAAATACAGCCTGTTGAAAATCACCCAAAAATTTCAAAAATTTTTATGTTCCCTTAATTTTTGCGAGGAGTGTAACTATTTGCCATTCTAAATTGCATAAAAAAAGAAACGTTCATAGACTACCGTAACCCCGTTTATCATCAAACGGGCCGTATTTTTTTTTGTCACTATGGTATAGTATAAAAAAAAAAACTCAATTATTCCAGACAATTTATCACACTGAAGACTAGGCAGCATGGTCTCCGACCTTAGCCTGTTCCACGACGGAACAAACGTACTGAAAAAAAAAGAACTCAATATCGGACATAATGGCGCTTAACACCATTTGCCATGCCAGAATCGATATTTACTAATTGAAGTTTCATTAGCAGTTATTCATTTTATATTATGATGTAAGACCGTTGAATGTTTCCATAATTCAATTCCGAGAATTTATTTATGTGTTCTGTGTATTAAAATTACGTATTTTTTTATGCAACTTAGAATGGCAAACGAGCTGACGGCCCACCTGATGGAAAGTGGTAACCGTCGCCTATACACATGAGCAGTACCATGGACATAACAGAGTGTACTGTTTCGCCCATGATACGCCCCATGCGTTGCCATTCCTGAGGACTCGGGTGTTATTCCTCTGTACCTTGTAAATTCACTGCCATATCCCACCCTTCAAACCGAAACACAGCCATGCAAACACAACTGCTTCACGGTAGAAACACGGATAGGATAGAGGTACACATGCAATCGACTTTTGTACAAAGTCTATCTTCAGTAAAAATTCATGTATATGGTATGCAGAGTAAGTGATCACTACGTTAGTAATATATATATATATATATATATATATATATATATATATATATATATATATATATATATATTTTTTTTTTTTTTATTGCACTAAAACATACAGTAACAACAATAAGTTAATAACAATGTTAACAAAGGCGAACTTATCTCTAAAAGAGATTTCTTCCAGTCAACCTAACGCAGTGGCATGTAGTTATTTATTTTTTATGAATGAAATCAAGTGGTAATTCTACTTACGACGTATATCTTGGATTATATAGATAGATAGATAATTTATTTACATTACTTACAGCACACAAATTACAATAAAAACATACACATAATACACTGTAAAAGAGATAAAAGAATGAAAATAAAAAAGCACAAATAAAAAAAGAAAAAAAACAAAATCTATAAACTAACAATCTCCTTTCTTTCCCTTCCTTCATGCGTGTGCCATAGTAACACAAAATGGTCACAATTCAGTTTATTGCTTTGCCCTTAAAAGAGCAAAACACTGATATTCTGCTATGGCCAATACAAATATAGCATGAGTGTAAAAACAGAATAACTTAGGTTAATCACAGATTACTGAGACTATATCTAGAGATAAAGGTTTTAGCTAACCAAACGTCAAATTGGCTGACACATGTTTTTTTTTTTTTATCAAAACAAATGCACTTTCTTTTTGTAAAGATTTTTACGGCACTGGGTGGTAGCCCTTTAGTGTCCGTCATCGATTGTAACTAAATTAATGAATAGATCACTGCATTTTTATAAAATCTTCATAAAATTAAATTATGTTTATAGTATATTTTATGAATTTATAAATTATTTGATAGTTTTTTTTTTTTTTGTAAGTTAAAAGAAATGCTTTATTTTTTAGTATTGTAAGTAATTAGATAAAAATATTTCAGTTCAGATCTATTTTTTAATTTAGAATTAGGATTTTTTTTTTTAATGATATAAATATACAAATGTAACGCATTGTTTACAAATTAATATACATGTATTTACTAAAATGGCGGCTATTTTCAATTCTTTAAAACCGAAAACATATTTTATATCTATATTCAGATATAAATCAAAGTAGATATTCAGTACAGATAAGAATTATTATGGATTTTTTATCTGTTTCTTTCGAATATAAGAATTCTGTATTTTTTTTTTATACCACTGAGGTGGCAAACAAGCATACGTCCCACGTAATGGTAAGCGGTTACCGTAGCCTATGAACGCCTGCAATACCAGAGGTATTACGCGCGCGTTGCCGACCCCGAAGAAACCTCTTTACCTCCCTCTTGAAGAACTCCATGCTGTAGGCTCTTGGGAAAACCTCGGCAGGGAGCTCATTCCATAAGCTGAGTGTTCGTAAAATATCGTGTATCGTGCTTATATTTAAACTTAATCTAACAATGTACTATTAAGGTTGCAGCACTAGTAAAAAAAAAAAACTATGAGTGGTTGCTAGGGTTACCATCTGTTATCATCCGTCATCTCTCTAGTGAAAAAAAAACCGAATACAACGCGTGTGTCAACATAAACTATTGTGTTCCGTAAACCGCGTAACAATAAGTGTATATCTGAGGGCTTACCATGAAATGTTTTTCAAAATTTCGGAGCCATACGAAACACACATTTGATGTTAAAATTACATAATACATGCCGTTTGAAAATGTTAAAAATGTTAAAATATTGGTGCTTTGGACTTTTATGATAGGATGTATGACCAACGAAATGTTAAACTCCATTTATTGATCCGATTTTGGTATAAACAAAAACACGAAATTGAGTCCGAAATTTCGGAATTTCATTTCATGGTAGACCCGCTGTTTGGTCTTCGTAAAATTCCACTAAAGTTTGTCCGGTACTTCAGTGTATAATAATTATCTACTTCCATCTCTTTTCCACCTCTCATCATCAGTCTGGTAAATCACTCTGTTTTATCTATATTTTATACTATCTCCCATACAGTTTGTAATAAATGTATATTATGATAATCCGCCTGCCAAATGTGGCAACTAGTGGTAAAAATCCCCTTTAAAGGAAAGGCCTATATTCGATTAACGACTGATATAATATTTATTTATTTTACACTTTATTGCACCATTTATAAAAAAGTAAATACATTTTACTGTAATGAGAAATGATACAAAAGGCGGCCTTATCGCTAAGCAATCTCTTCCAGACAACCTTTGGGTAGAGAACATTGAGAAAAGAAAAAAAACAAAGGGTAGGTGGCGCACTATTATATATAAATAAATATATACAAAGATATATACATATATGTATAAATACATAAACAAATACATACATAAATATACACAAACATACACAAACTTCAAAGTACATATACAACAGGAGAGAGTGACACTGGAAGATGAAGATGGAAGATGGGAAAATAGATACTTACTTACACATACACTAAACAAACTTTTCACTCAAATAATATCATTAATTAGATACAATCTCTCTTTAAGGAATAATACATGTTACATATGACAAAACAGCATAATATAATGAAGATAACACAATTATATAATAACATTACTATTTTACATTGAAATTAGAATAAAAAAGAAAAACATTAAAAAAAATATATATAATAATCAATGAAAAAAAAAAAATTACTGCCATAAAAACTTTGTTATATTTTTTTATTACAATTAAAAATATATAACGTTTCTCATTAGTAGGAGAACGTACTTAAGATCAGGCTGTGTGGCCTTGTTCCTTTGTCTTTCCCATCTATACTTATAATAAATCTGTAGAGAGGTCAATTCCGTACATGAAATATATTTCCAAAATAACTATCAGCGGGTGATTAGTGATCGATACTGATGCCAAAAATGCAATCAGTAAAATTTTTGTCTGTCTGTCTGTGTGTTCGTTATAGAAACAAAAACTACTCGACGGATTTTAACGAAACTTGGTACAATTATTTTTCATACTCCTGGGCAGGTTATAGTATACTTTTCAACTTTTTTTTGCTACGATCAATAGGAACAGACCAGTGAAGGGAAACGTTAAAAATGTCCACCCGTGCGACGCCGGGACGGGCCGCTAGTTATGAATAAATTAATACTACTACTAGGAGAATGAATAAAATTATATTTTTGTTTGACTTTTGCGTTTACTATTTCATTCTTTATGCATAAAGAATTAATACGCCAGAGGGCACCATCATCGTGACACAATTTTTTTTTATTTGACAATCAAAAATTGTCGTGTCATGTTACGGTTAGGTTATAAAGTCGAACAATCATTCGTGCAATTTGTACAGTTCGTTATATTCGCGTCTCTATTAACACCACTTGTACAGTTTCACGGTTCTTGCAAACAGTACGTAATTAGCACTTCCATTTTCATATTGTGACACAATCTGTTAATTTTTTTTTTTATGCAACTTAGAATGGCAAACAAGCTGACGGCCCACCTGATGGAAAGTGGTAACCGTCGCATATAGACATGAGCAGTATCATGCATATAACAGAGTACACTGTTTCGCCCATGATACCCCCCATGCGTTGTCATTCCTGATGACTCAGGTGTTATTCCTCTGTACCCTGTAAATTCACTGCCATATCCCACCCTTCAAACAGAAACACAGCCATGCAAACACAACTGCTTCACAGTTGAAACACGAATGGGACAGAGGTACTCAAGCAAAAGACTTCTGTACTAAGTCTCCCTCTGGTAAGTGTGGCTGAAGAACACCATTTAGAAATGTAAATAAAAGCGCTCAGGTTACAACTTTCAATCAGGTGGGCTGTCAGCTTGTTTGCTATTCAAATTTGCATAAAAGAACATAGACATTCGATTTGACGTGTTCGAAATTCAAAATATGAATAAAGCTGTACATCCGTAGTATCTTCGTCTCTTTTTACGGGATAAATATTGTTAGAAATATTAATTACTAGATTAAATATTATCTACCTACATAATTATTTAGTTATCTAAATTGAATTTTCTTTACTTAACACGAGAGATAAAACGTACCATTAAATATCCGTATCATAAAATGTAATTAAACGACTCTCGCGCCATTTTTATTGCGACCCATCTTAAAATTTTATTTGACAGTAAACGCAGTCTAGTGTCGTCTGGATGAGCGCCAAAATGGCGGCGCGACGTAACAACTGATTTATTTACAGAATTATGACAAAATGATATTTCGTTCGTGTGATACGAATGGGCGGAACATCTGGACTTTGTATTTTAAGGAATGTTTCTAATTAAACGGAGAGCAATAGCATATATTAATAATTTAGGTACACGATAGCAATGTCACAACCTTCAAATTTTAAATTTTAGTTAGCGTATAAAGGAAGGAAAAAATGAAAAATCTCAAAATTTCATTATTCATCCATTAAATAAAAAAAATATTATTATTAAAATCTACGTTTATTTATTCAAATAACGCATAACTCTTGTAGCTAACGGATAAGATGTATTATTCGAGAAAAAAAAGAAGATAACCTACAAAAAGAAATGAGATCCCATAAAAAACATAAATTATAAAAAAAATGCCAAGTATCACAATGCAGTTCTTCCACTACAAAAAGTTGATTTCATGAGAAACAAAGTAGTAACTGTCCTTCATGGACACCTTTTCAATATATTTGTTAAAAATTTCTAACGAATCACATACCTAAATAAATCTATAACTTATTGATAGTCATCGTATCAATATTAGACATCTTTATATCTGTCATAATTATAATGACATGGCAATTGCACGGCGCCATATTTATAAAATAATTATCTAATACAAAATCTACCATTTCGATTACTAAGTAAAATTGAAAAGAGCACTTCAGAAAATTGTGTTTTAATAGTTGAATATTTTGCCCCCCCAATTACCACGTTATTATCATTACATATTATAGAATTATAATGACTAGGCGATTGTAAAACAAAGATTTTTTTTTTCAAAAAAATTGAGAAAGTACGACGATTATTGGAAAAATCTTTGGTTTTTGAGCTCAAAATGAAACAAATCACTGAATGTGACCTATTTTGCTGAACGCTTATAGATTGAAAATAAATTTATTCTTATTTGTTTCTTATTTACAATAGTATACGAATACTGACGTCGTTAAGTTTTTTTTTTTTTTTATATATATATAATTAATGTTTGCATGGGTTACATACAATTGTTTTTATTCGGAGTGACACGACCCTGAGCGCCGCGTTTGCTGTGAATGAATCCGTATGCCTAGACGAAAATCATAGAGCAATAGGTGTTACCTCTATAAAGTTTCTATTTCGGTCCCGCCACGCTCGCGTCTTATATCAACTGCCAATGTTTTCTATTACATTTTATTTAAATTACTTCTAATGAATAGACGGCGTTAGAATTTTAACTACAATGTGGTAATTGATGATGGCGTTTGTTACCAACTCACACTTAAGCATTGGTAGTGATTTCGTATTGAAACGTCATCGGTGATGACAGTGACGCAACTGTCAATATTTACGCGGGAAAATGACGGCAAGCATTTTATTTTTATACATAATACACATCTACCGTCCAGTAGTACAACGCCTATGGTATG